TCGACGAGCCAAGTTTTAGTTTGAGTTCAGTTCACCATATTTTTTTATTCGGACAAACAGGTGCTCACAGAGGTACACACAAATCCGTTTTGGGTCACACTTGGACAGGGAAGGTTGTCCAACCATCATTTCACCACCCATTCTAGGTGTCGTTTGTTATTTTTTGTTGGTGTCGTACTGTGCGAATATTACTCTTCTTGGAGGATTTGTTTGTTTGTTTGTGTGTTTGAGTTCTGTATTCACGAAACACACAGACGGAGGACACAAAAACAAACAAAGACATCTTAATTACATCGAAATACGGCACAACAGGCGCTCTGCAAGGAACGGATAGAGAAAAAGAGGGCGGACATTGGGGGGGGGGAAGATCCTATGTGAACCTGGGTTGGTTGTGACGATATCGTAGCCAGATCGATCAAATGAAGGCATTTGCAAGTTGATCTGGATGCAATGATAGGAGGCGTTTCTTGTCTTGATCTCCCCCGCACAATTCAACAGGGTACCAACCGAGCCCTCAGTCTCGCTCCTTCAAATTCTGACCAGTCCTTTTGCGAGGGAGCAGGGGCACGCGACGAGGCATTCAGGTGCGTCATGGTACAGGATTGGCTAGAACTCTTTTCGTCCAACTTGGATCGATGATCAGGCCGAGAGGGTAGAGACATAAGACAATATCTGGACCTGCTTGTTGAGCAATACCCTGCGGTGGATACGGAACGGAGAGCGAGAGGGAAGAAGGACGACAAACGGCCTTTCCCCCCTTTTGCCAAGTTTGCAAAAAAAACGATTAGCGCATTTGGACAAGGGAAAAGGCCAAGGGGCGAAAGTGTAATAGGCTCTGTTGGGACACCCCCCCCTTCTTTTTTTTTCTTACTTGCTTTGCTTTTTCCTAATAGGTTTATTTTAGGCTAAGACGACTCAAAAGATGATAGACGTGTCCACAAGAAGAACAAGAAGGTCCAAAGGGAGGGGCCAATCGTCGGTGGCTGTCCACTCGATCCAGCAAGGAATCACGCTCTAAGGTGCCAACTCGCCCGCCAATCATATTCATCTGTGATTATTTCCACTCAATCGGCAATGAACTGAAGTGTGCGCATTGATGTGAGACTGATCCGTCATGAAAAAAAAGCGTTCATGTCTGTTGAACGTCCCTCCTCTTGCTCCCTTTCATCTCTCAACGACAATTCATATAAAGCTAGGCACCCCTGCCCCTCTTTCCATCTTTTCTCTCGACTCTGTCCTGACCACCACTTCCACCCCTACCTTCTCTTCGCCTCTTTCTCTTTCTCTCTTTCTCTCTTTTTTCTTCACTTACTCTCGCTTACTCACATTCTCTCTTACGACTTTACTTCTCTTCACAACACTCCCTTCCTCTCCAACCTCCAACCTTCACAACTATCACAAAATGTCCAAGACTGAAGACGGACCCGAGATGTCTGAAAAGTACGAGATCGACCAGATGCAGGACGTCACTCCCCACATGGCTGCCGAGCAAGAGGGTCTCAAGCGTGACCTCCGTCTCCGCCACATGGTCATGATCGCCATCTCTGGTACCATCGGTACCGGTCTCTTCTTGACCTCCGGTGCGACCATCCATACTGCCGGTCCCGGTGGTGCTCTTCTCGCCTATGCCGTCATCGGTCTCTGGCTTGTCTTTGTCTGCCAGGCTATCGGTGAGATCGCTACCCTCTTGCCCCTCCCTGGTGCCTTCAACGCCTGGGGTGGTCGTGTCTTTGACGAGGCCTTCTCCTTTCAAATGACTGTAAGTCTCCCACACTAGTCACACGTCCTATTATTCTCATTTTCCTCTAGCATTGGTACCATGTCCTCGAAAACTAACACCGCGCTCCTTTTCCTTATTCCTTGACGCACAAAAATAGTGGATGTACTTCATTAACTGGGCTTTGACCATCCCTGCTGAGTTGTCTGCTTCTGCCATTATTGTCGAGTTCTGGCTTGGCGAGAATTCGTCTTTCCCTTCCTGGGTCGTCCCCGTTATCATTATTGTCTTGATGGTCTTCATCAACATGGCCGGTGTCCAGGTCTACGGAGAGCTCGAGTACTGGTTCTCTATCCTCAAGGTCTTCACCATCATCTTTTTCATCATCTGCGGTATCCTTGTTGATGCTGGCGCCATCGGTGGCACCACCTATGGTGTCTCCAACTGGCACATCGAGGGGGCTCCCTTCAAGGGCGGCTTCATGGGCTTCCTTACCACCTTGGTCTCTGTCGGATATTCCTATGGTGGATCCGAGATGACTGGTGTCACTGCTGCCGAGTCCCGCAACCCCCACAAGCACGTCCCTAAGGCCGTCAACACCGTCTTGATTCGTATTGCCTTCTTCTACCTTTCCTCGATCTTCTTGCTCGGCTCGATCGTCGCCAACGACGACCCCCTGTTGATCAACGCTGCCGGATCTGCTGCTCAGGCTCCTTTCACCATTGTCTTTGTCAAGGCCGGTTTGAAGGGCGCTGCCAACTACATGAACGCCGTCGTTTTCACTTCTGTCTTCTCGGCCATCAACTCTGACTTCTATGTCGCCACCCGCATGCTGTTGTCCCTCTCCCGTAACGGCTGGGCCCACAAGAAAATCGGTTACACCAACTCGCGCGGTGTCCCAGTCTTTGCTGTTGGTATCGTCACTCTCTGCTCGTGCTTGTCGTTGATCACCATCTTCGTCGGCTCCGGTGTCGTCTTCCAGTGGTTCGTCTCCATCATCGGCTCCATCATCTTCCAGTCCTGGATCTTGATCTTGTTCCTCCACTTCCGCTTCCGTTACTGCTGGAAGGCCCAGGGCCGTGCCGTCAACGAGCTCCCTTACGTCTCCTGGGGCTACCCTTACGGTAACATCTTGGCCACCATTATCGGCTGCTGCTGCATCATTGCCACCTGCTACTTGTCGGTCATCAACCCCCCTCACCACCCCGGTGCTGGTGCCACCGAGGAAGCGTTGGCCGACTACAGCAAGGCGCGTGATTCGTATGCCCAGAACCTTTTGGGCGCCTGGTTCCCCTGGGTCTTGTCCGCCATCTTGTTCTTCTCATACAAGTACACGCATGGTACCAAGTTGATCAAGGCTGAGGATGCCGATCTCGACACTGGTCGCTTTATCCCCTCTGAGTCTGACAAGGCGGACTTGAAGCCCCACGGCCCTGCCTGGAAGCGTTTCCTCAAGATGTTTGTCTAAAATGACGAAAAATGTGGAGGAAGTGAAGCAATAGCTACCATCCCATCATCATACCATTTACATTTGCATGTATGTACCATAGAATTAAAAAAAAGTCCCCCTTCTCGTTTCTATCTTATCTTTTCTCATTCTCTTATGACAATTGCTTTTGAGTGTCAGTTTCTATTGTCCCTATTTTGCACTCCATTGGCCAGGCGCCGGAATATGACTGAAGAACAGGGGGGGGGGGGGGTATCATTTGTGTCGCGTGCATTCACTGCGAGCCAGTCAGATTCGGTCCCTGAGTAGGCGGATATATTCCAAGTTGAATGAGGTCATCTCTGTCCCTTTTGAACACCTTGTTATATAGAAACTAGCCCAGAGGAGGAGGATTGTCAATGGTGTATACTAGCAAGTTCTTGTAGAAGTAGCTCATGGGCATCTGGTAATGTAATTTTCAAAAGAACAAGAATAAAAATGGTTAAAGGATCATCGAAAGGTCGGATTCTGATGCGTCAAAGTGTTGCCTAGACAATAGTTGGCCACTTTTCTTACATTCACTGTAACATCAGATCGGGGTTGTTGGCCTTTTTTTTAGGAATGATTAATAGCTGTGGATACAAGAAGGGATCGGTTCATACACTGGGAGTTATGGTACAATATGAACTGACAGATGTGATGTTGATTTCTTTTTGCTTGTTTGCCCTGGCTGTGTTGTCTAATTTTGAATGTCGATAAGCAAACAAAATACTTATTTTAGAAACAGTTATTTTATTTTGCTATGCTGCGTCTTTCCATTTAAATGCTCTATGAGAGTAGAGACGAGTCATTCATAGCGGCCTCTCCGACAGAGTGCCATAGACGGAGTAGGGCCATCGTTTCCTCTCTTCTCTACATAGACTAGAATAAAACCATGGTTCTCGTGATTCTGCATCTTCCTTCTTGTCTGCCTGGTGTGTAGATCACCCTGTTTCTAGCTGGAATGTGTGCATGGATGGCGGTAAGACTGCAGAGGCACAAACGTGTAATAGGGATGAAGAACTAGTGTGAGAAAACCCTGTGGACCGTCAAGACAAATAGAGGAGTCGTATATTCATCCCCCTCTCCACCTAGTCCAGAGGGAGGAGAAAAGCACATAGCTCATCCCAATTGAAGGATAAAGAGGCGCTAGTGCAACAATCAAGAGAGAGGCTTGTTCTTATTCATGGCTACAAGGCTGGACAATATCGATTGACAACAGAACGGGGGTCTTATTGTTCTTCATGGGGTCTAAACGAACCTCGTCTTGCCCACTTTACCTCACTTTGTTCTCTATCAAATCTAGACCTCCAAAGCAAGCGTCCAATGTTGCAGGTGGGAGGGGGGGTCAATGCGTTCCTGAAGAAAATGAAGGCGGGGAAAAGGAGGATGGTGCTCTCATATTTTTTGTCTTCGATCGAGTTTTCTCGATGGACTCGCTTGACATGCCTCGTTGTATTTTCTGCACTTATGAGTGGGGGCGAGTGTTTTGTGCAACAGTTCGAATGGCACGGAAGCAGGGAAGGGAAACAGAACATCTGTTACTGTGACAACAGGAAAGGGGTTGTCCCTTGTTCGGAGTAAAATAGAAAGGAGAAAGATGTACTTTCGCTCGCTCGTCCATTCGCGTGTTTCTCTTTTTTCCAATTTCCTTCCCCTTCCCTCCTTTCTCCCGCTCTTTTTTGTCTCTCCACACCTCCACATGTCCTTCCTCCGGTATTACGCCCACAGTCTCTTTCCTCTCCATCAATACATTCCTCGCAATCACCGCTGAGCAGCAGCAGCAACAACATCAGCAGCAGCACACCAGCAAAGTGTATGACACCGTGCTCATCGGGGGGAGCAGGCATCGCGGACATGATGCTGGCACTTCTTCGGAAGGCCGACATTCCCTATGATAGCTATGAGCGAGCTGCAGAAGTAAAAGCCCTTGGTATGACCCTCCACCTTCCCCCCTTGTCCCTCCTTTTTCTTTCCGGCTCCTCTCCTTTTTCTTTCCGGCTCCTCTCCTTTTGCGCATTGAGGACTTGCATTCTGTATATTCCTCTATTCTTTCGACTGTGCTTTAATTACACCTTCAATTGCGGATACTCCAATACTACTTCTCTCTATCTCTCTCTCTATCCTTCTGTTTGCTTAGGATCGGCACTGTACTTCAATGCAATGACGGCACGGATCTTCAAGAAGGTGGGGATCAACGACGAGCCGTATGCCATGGGCGAGAACACGACTTGTATCCAAATCGCGAGCGAGTAAGGAATTGCATACACAATGGACTTTAAGAATCAACAAGAGCTGTAAGTAATACCCCAAAACGGCCATGACACCCTTTTTCCTACACTGTGAACAACATTGAAGCTCCCATCCCTGCTTCGTTACCTTCTGGGCCACCTTTTTTTTCAATTTTTCATTTTTTTCCCACATAAATCTCCAGGTTCGGATCGAAGGGATACATCATTTGGAGACCCATGATATACGACGTCCTCCGTCGCCAGGTCCCCAAGGAACGCTTCCAAATGGATCGCAGGGTCGTCTCGATCTCTCAGCAAGACGATGTTGACAAAGGCGGCAATGAAGGAAAGGGCGCCGTGACGGCCGAGTTTCAGGACGGATCAGCCGTTCGCGCAGGGATCTTGGTGGGCGCCCGATGGTATATACAGTGCTGCGCGCCAGAACATGTACGCCCAGCTCAAGGAAAAGAATATATTGCCGGCTTCGGACGATGTTCCTTTGCCGTGTAGTGCAGTCCGCCTAGAGGGTCAGACCAAGCCCTTGGACCCTTAGACATATCCGTATTTGAAACTGGAGGATTGTCAGTTCATCAGCACGTCGGCCAATAACAAACCCTATGCCGTAAGGATATTGACAAAAGAATAACAAGACAGATCTCCCCTTAGCATTATTCTCGGTTTTCTCTTTTCCTTTTTTCTCCTCGAAAAAGTTGTTATTGTTTTCTTACGCGACCTTTGTCTTCTGTTTTCTTCCTTCCAAAACCGCAAATAATGGACATACTTCACTAAAAAGAAATCCACGGTGTGCTGGACCGGAATTGAATATTTATCGAGCGAATCAAACAAGGAGCTTCGATCAATCAAAAACTCGGAATGGGGACCTGAAGCTGTCGAAACTATAGCCAAAAATATCCGTTTTTTTCCCCATCTTCAGTGGATCCGACAAAAAGCTGACGATGGGCGAACTGACCAACTGGACGCCCAAGAGTTGATCTCCAAGGTTATGCTGGAAGAAAAGGTCTTCGAGACCTGGCACCATGGCCGTGCTGTCTTAATCGGCGATGGTAAATAGAAAACACGCGATGTCGAACACTGGATGCTCCAACCAACAATTTCTCAATGCTAATCATATGCTCTCGATCTTTACATTCGTCATCGCCATTAAACCTTGTTTCCCATAGCGTGCCATAAGGTAAATAAAAAGAACAATGGAAAAGGCAACGACATTCTGGTTGCACTATTTATCTCCGCATTGTGCAAATACCATGCACGCCCGTTTCATCATCCTGACTTAAATTGTGTTACCTTTCCGCAATAGCTGAACCCAGCAGGAGGGTCAGGAGCCAATTGCGCGATCCATAACGCAGTAGCCCTGGCCAACAGTATCAATGCCCTTCCCGAAACCCTCACAAGAGCCTATATCGATCAAGTCTTCAAGGCCTATCGGAATGAACGTCCGCCCTGGGTTAAAGCGGCCTTCAATTTCAGTACCATGAGGAAATTCATGGTTCAAAAGGCCAGTGCCACAAGTATTCACGCAGAAACAATGATGCAATTACCAATAGCGCACGGTTAGGAGGAGAACGTTAACACTCACGTCATTTTTTATTTTATTTTATTTTATTTTATTTTATTTTTTTCGTTTTCTTTCCTTAACAATAGGGATTGAAGCAACGTTGACGCGCTTTCTGTCAAGAAATATGCTAGACTGGATCTCAGGAGGGTAATGAAGCTAAAGCACTGAGTGTCTATGGCCCAGGACGTTGTCTATAATCTAATCTATGCTAACGTGTCTTTTTTCTTCTTGATGTTCTTCATCGCAGAATCAACATGCTCTACTACCAACCCCAGGCAGCATTCCTTCCACTGATTGAGAACCAGAGGACTGTTGGGCAAGCCTTCCAGGAGGGGTTGGATGATGCCCTTCCCATTGTCGAGGCGCGCAGGAAAAGCAAGCTCGCTTCTGGACATACTACTGGAGCCGCTACTACTACTGCCACCCAGACAGCCGATGCTCGTGCCGTGTAACAGAAAAATACTTAAGAGTATGAGTGTTCGCGGGGTTTCAGGAAATAATAACTGACCCCGCGCGTTTCTGAAGACAAGTAAAGGTAAGGCCTAGAATCTCCTTCACCCGATCAACAAACGCTTATTTCATGCCCTCTTTATCTCTCGCCCGTTCGCTCAATTTATACAGAAGAGATGCGCGCTATCTACATTAGAGAAGGATGCAGATTAGGGAAGTGACAGAACGGCGGTTCGATGATTGTTTTTCTACGTGTTTGTATTATACGCAGGTAAACTGGCGATCTTTCTATCTTTCGCAATTTACGCACCCAATCCAGGTGGCGTCCTTGTGCTTGCGACGTTCGATCATTTTTTGGGTTGTGAGTTCACTCTTTTTATCACACTTTGCTTCTCCTTCTAAACACACGCACGAAAACGGTCTAAAAACGAGAGCACAAAACAACACCAACAACAACAACAACAACACAATACCATTTATCCGTTGATATGAACTGGGCGTGGGATGGACTGTTGAATCGTGTTGATCATCCGCCCACACCGTTTACCTATGATCAAGGAGAGTCTTCCAGTGGGCTCCTGGTTTGCATGCATCAAACTCTTTCTCTCCTTGCTAGTCGTTGTTGATGTTGTCAAAGGCAGACAAAAGGCGAGTCGGAAGACCAAAAAAAAAAGCCTAGAAGCACGCCAAGACTGTACACAAGGCAATTGGCAGTATCCTGTCGTCGCATCAGGTCCGTGCAAGTTTAGGGAATGAAGAAGGCATTAGTCAGAGCGTCCACTAGAACAAAGTGAGAGACAGAGGGGTAATTAAGGTTTTCTTCCTCCATCTTCATCTCCTGTGAAGTGGAACATTACAGAGGGGTGCTCTCTTCTTTCTTGGATGAGGACATGCCTACACCGAGACATGGTAATCATACCATTGGGTTAATTTGGTGCAAAGAGGAAGAGAGGAGGAAGAGAGGAGGGAGAATGCTGGTCGCTTCCTTTTTTTTTTGTTTGTGCAATACGAGTACATGTCAGCAAAAAACAACGAGCATAACAGATGGCAAACAACACTACGGCCTAATTTATTCGTCGAAATAGATTTACGATGGGGCGCACATGGATGCGTACATCACACATAAAGGCTCCGTCCTTCTCTTCCCTTCTCTATCCAATTTTTTGTTTGCAATCGATGCAGACAAAGGATGGGAGAAAATGCTCACATCATTTCTCATATCTGAACCTGTTGGGTTTCTCTATAAGCGTGCGAATGCAGAGAGAGGGGATATCAAGCAGGTTGAGATGTCGTTGGAGTAGACGATTATTCGGCTACAGCCCGAGGGCATCCCATTCGGTAGATGGATGATGTCTCGATATTGCTATTGGCCTTTTTGCTTTTTACTGTTCACTTCTTTGCCATTGTCTCCATCTGCTTCCCTCACTTTTTCTGTCCTCATCATCCGCCTCGCTCCCTCCATTTCGCCATCTCCATCACCCTTTTTTTCGCACTCATTCCCCCTCTCACCTGGCTACCTCCCGTCCCCTCCCCTCACCTCCCCAACGACAACAACAAATAAAATGGAGATCAACCCAGAATATATGAACATGGAAAGTCCCAACCTAGCCAACAAGCGTCCCAAGGTCTTGATTATCGGAGCCGGCCTCGCAGGAATCACGCTCGCCATGCTGTTGGAGAAGACCAACATCCCCTATGAAATCTTTGAACGCGCCAGGGCCGTCAAGCCTCTCGGTAAATGAACTCCCTGAATAATTCTCATCTTTTGTTAGTAAAAAAAAATTCAGGAACTCGCTCCGGACGTCTCTAACCTTCTTCTGCTCGATTATTGCCCTAGGTTCTGCCATTTTTCTCAATTCGACAACGGCAAAGGTCTTCAAGCAATGCGGCATCTACGATGAGCTGTTTGCTTCTGGCAAGATTACCCGCTGCATCCAGATTGCCAACGAGAACCGAGAAATCGAATACATCATGGACTATGGTGAAGATGCCCTCAAAATGTATGTTCCCCCTTTCCTTCATCTCCTTTTTATACCCTGTTGAATCAAGAGACAGCAGAAACAACTCAAGCAACTAAACGATCCTCTCCTTATTTCGATTCCTGACTGCTGTCTTCATACAGGTTCGGATCCCACGGTTACATCTTGTCGAGGCCAAAGTTGTACGGGATCCTCCTCGCTCAGGTCCCCAAGGAGCGCTTCCACATGAACAAGAAGATGCTCTCGATGGAGAACGGCGGTAACGGTGTCCTGGTCCGCTTCAGTGACGGAACCACCGAGGAAGGCGACATCCTTGTTGGCGCAGATGGTGCCTACAGTGCTGTCCGCCAAAACCTGTATGCCAAGCTGAAGAAACTCAACAAGCTGCCCAAGTCCGACGCCTTGCCATTGCCATACAGTACCACCTGCCTTGTCGGACAAACTCGTCCTCTCGACCCGGAGGACTTCCCAAACTTGAAGGAGAAGACGTGCCAGTTCATTCGTATCCTTGGAGACCACAAGCCTTACACTGTAAGTTTCCCCTCTGTCATTTGGGCGTTGGTCTTTTTGGCTATATTTTTTCAATTTTGCAAAGGGAACAGAAGCCCAATACAAAATCTCACTTTTCGGTTTTTGAAAATGCAAAACGAGGTTTCTCAACAAGTAACCATCGAATCATTCTACAATTCTCGGATATAGTGGACTTTCTTCACGACAGCAGCCAATACTGTTTGCTTCAGCATCATCGAATTTCTCGACGATGAAACAAGGAAGCTAAGCGACACCTTCCGCTCGTCCGAGTGGGGCAGCGATGCGGCAGGAGCGATGATCGAGCAGGTTAGACACCTCCCCATTATCAGCGGTGGCGACAAGATAACCACTGTTGGCGACCTCATCGATTTGACTCCTAGGGAGTACGTTTCCAAGGTTGTGTATGAGGAAAAGTTGTTCAAGACGTGGCATCACATGCGCACAGTCCTTATTGGCGATGGTAACGTTTTACTTCTGCTTTTCTGAGTGCCGTTTTGAATTGGATTGTCTGTCACCACTCACCAGGAAGAAGGAAAAAATCTAACTTAAAAACCAATCTCGTTGCTCTTCCATACTCTCGTTATCCCAAACGTTGTGTTTACCAGCCTGCCACAAGGTAACAAAACATACATCGTGCCCGTCGCAAGGTTATTTTGTTTGTTTACAGCGACAATCAAATCAAAACACTAACTCAATCCTTTGTTGATGTTGGTTGTTTTTCTCTCTCTGTACCTTAGCTAAACCCTGCTGGCGGTTCTGGCGCAGCGAATGCCATCCACGACGCCGTTACGCTCGCCAATTACATCAATGCCCTCCCCACCCAGCCCAGCGTAGAGGACATTCAAAAAGCATTCAAGGACTACAGGCATGAACGCATCCCCTGGGTCACCGAAGCGTTTGAATCCAGCGCGGTTTTTAGGACCATGGTGGAAACGGTAAGATATGGGCGTTCTTGTGGTCTCAGAGTGGAAAAGAACTGCTTGGGTGTTTTGTTTGTTGTCAAGAGAGAAGGAAAAAGTCCTCTCAAACGCTCACCTTGCATGATGTTTTTCTTTTTTTCTTTTCATTCGATGGAGAGTAGGGTATCAAGGCCAAGATGGTTCGATATGTATCCAAGAACATGCCATCCTTCGTAAACCGCAAAATGGTAAGTTCCTCTGAGACAGTCCTTTTTTTCGTTTCAGAAATGCTACAATGTCCAGCGAAAACTAATGTTTCTTGGCTGCAATTGTCATATACACACAAACAGCTCATCCGCATGGCCATCAATCAACCCCAATGCTCTTTCATGCCCCTGATTCCAGACGCGGGCACGCACAAGTCGGCCAACCAAATGAGTGTGACCCAAACACTCAAAATGATTGAAGAGAACAAGAGGCACGATGATACCAACGCCAAGAAGAGGGCAGCACAACTCGCCAAACAGTTTGCGGTTGCAGAAAAGGACCGAGAGGAGAGAGCAGAAGAAATCGCACAGGCCAAAGCCGAGATGGAGAGGAGGTTGTAGAATAGAGGGCTCAGAGTTGGATCGACAACTTGAGTATAGATATACCCATTAATAAATCTCAACAGTCATCTTTTGTGATTTGGGCATGTTGATGTTGGAGGAGGACGACGCTGAAGAACACAAAGTGAGGAGCGGAACCTTCGGGCCGTGTTACAGTCGTTGAGTGCATGTGTCAGGTAGGGAGAGAGTAAGATATGAAGTTGGCGTGGGTGTGTGGGAGTGATTGTGTCTCTTTCGTACATGTTTGTTCCCTTCTATGGAAGGGCATCGAGTGTGCTCACATCCACCACAGTTCCAATCTTCTTTTTTCGTTCTGTGCACAAACAATGGGTCCTCTTCGCACGTCGCGGACACTTCTTTCTTTTCTTTCTTCTTCTTTCTTCGATAGCAAGACCACAACTCATTCCCCTTTTTCACAAGTGACACCACCTGTGACATCTCTTTCTTTCATACATTCATTCCCCTCTGTCGTTACATTCCATTACCTAATTTCATCACCATGACAACAACGACATCAGCCAAGACACACCCAGGAACAGGAGAACCCTCGACTCGTCCAAAAGTCCTCATTGTCGGAGCGGGTATAGGAGGGATGACATTGGGGATGCTTTTGACCAAGGCTGGGATCCCGTTCGATATCTATGAACGCGCTGCTGCTGTGAAACCTCTTGGTATGCTTTTCTCTGGGATTGTCGCACGTTGATCAAATCAAAAAGGGGTTGTCAGAAAGTCAGACTTTTAAGCACCGTCAGTTCAGTCAGTAGTCATCAACGACACAGAAACACGACACACCAGTGCAGCTTGATTATTATCACACGGATATTATATTCTCTCTGCCTTTCCCTTCCTTTCGTTCACCAATTAACATTATTCGTTCGACCAATTTTTTTTTCTTCCTTCCAACAGGCTCGGCGCTCTTCTTGAACCCTACAACGGCAAAAATCTTCAAACAGTGCAACATCTGGGACGACATCATGAGTATCTGCAAGTTCACCGGGAAGATCCAAGTCGGAAACGAGCAGCGCGAAATCGAATACTGCATGGACTTTCCCAACCAAATTGAAATGTAAGACCCCCACGTCGTACTTTTTTCATGTCTCCGCATCTCTATCGAAGTGGTTCTTGCATGCTACAAACAAGTCCTTCTCTCCCTCCGCTTCTAATTCCCCATTTTTTAAACCTCTTAATAAGGTTCGGATCCAGAGGTTACATTGTCGCACGCCCAATGCTCTACGACATCCTCCATCGACAAGTCCCCAAGGAGCGTTTCCACATGAGCAAAAAGGTCACAACCATCACCCAAACCGACAACGGCGTTGTGCTTCACTTTTCCGACAACACTACAGTCAGTGGCGACATCCTCGTAGGAGCAGATGGCGCTTACAGTACGATCCGTCAATGTATTTACACCGATCTCAGGACAGAGGAGCGCCTTTTGGCCTCGGACGATGAGCCGTTGGCGTACAGTAATGTGCAGCTTGTTGGTCAGACTAGGCCGCTGGATCATGCTGATTTCCCGAATCTGAGTATTCCTGATAGCCAGTTCATTCGTATCCTTGGCGACAACAAGCCATATGCCGTAAGTTCCCTTTTGCCCCTTTTTTTTTGCACATGGGTGGAAGATTTGTTAAGATTTATCTTGTGCCAGCAGTCAATGGATGTTATAAAACATTTTTTCTCAACGAGAAAACCAATATTTTCTTCTACACTTCTCGGACATAGTGGACATTCTTCACAACAGCACAGAACACCATCTGCTATGGTGTTACTAAATTCCTATCGACAACTTCCAGCAGACAAGGCGACGACTACAAAAATTCCGAATGGGGTCCAGAGGCAGCTGAAGCCATGTGCGCAGAAGTGCGGGATTTCCCCATTATCAGTGGCGGCGACAAGATCACGACTGTGGGAGATTTGATCGATTTGACGCCCAAGGATCTTATCTCGAAGGTTATGTTGGAGGAGAAGGTGTTTGAGACCTGGCATTATAAGCGTGTTGCTCTGATCGGCGATGGTAAGTTACTGCGTGGACCTATTTCTTTGCTTCGATCAGCGCCAAAACCGAAGGACAATATGTATAACTCCTTTTTCGATCTTCCCATACGTGTTCTTCTTCACTGCTAGCTTGCCACAAGGTATGGTCTCATATTGCTTGTCACCCCACCGCATCGTTGTTGGATGCCAAAGAGGCGTGTAATTAACCTCACAACCCATGCAATTAATTACCACCATAGATTAACCCATCAGGAGGTTCAGGAGCAAACAACGCGATGCACGACGCCATCACATTGGCCAACTGGCTCAATGTTCTCTCCGATACCCCCACGGCCGCCGAAATCGAGCACGCGTTTGAAAAGTACAAGGAGGAGCGTTTGCCTTGGGTCAAGCAGGCCTATGATTCCAGCCTTATCTTCAAGGTCATGATCGAGGCGGTAAGGAACCCTTTTGTTTGCTGCGACTCTTGGATGGGTTGATCTCTTTTTGGGCGCATTGAGCCCGAGGCAAGTTGACAGAACTAACAAGCAATGTTTTTGCATGGTGTTTTATGTTCATTAGAACTTTAAAGCGTATTTAGTCAAGCTAGTCTCCAAGTACATGCCCTCGTGGATCACAAGCAAAATGGTACAGTATCACATCTACCCAGTTGATCCGTGATCCATTTGTTAGTAGGTTTAATCATCGTACTATTACTCTTTCGTCCTTCTCACTCTGTATGTGCTCCACCCCGTTGATAGGCGATGCGAATGTCAATCAACCAACCTCAAGTCAGCTTCTTACCACCTACCGAGTACCATGGTTCGATCCAACCGGCACCCCAAGCCAGTTATGAAGAGACTTTGGCCATTCTTCAGGAGCGTGCAGCAAAAACGAATGCCGGAGAGCCGGTCACTGCTATGTAGATACCATTTTCCACTTTGATAAAAGCAGTAATCGTGAAGGACGCCCTTTCACGAATGCATGGTCTTGAAATTTTGTTTTGCGAGTTGGATTTAGAAATACTGCGACAGATTCGAACACTCTACTTCGCATGAAGGTTGTTCTACGAGGCTTTTGGTTGGCTGGTTACCCACTTGGCGTGTTTCTTTTTTTTTTCTTATATTTTGAACAACCAGCGCGGACACATTATATTCAGATGAGCAGACGCATGAACCGAAATCTCACTTCCTTCTTTCACACTTTACTAGCCTCAGGGCAAAAAAACAACAACAACAACATAAAAATACTTCAGCATCGTCGAATTTCTCCGCACGTCCGTATGAGGCACCGATGCCTGCAGTCGGAGCGATGATCGAGACACCGTCCTATTATCAGCGGTGGCGACTGTCAGCAACCTCATCGACTTGGCTCCCCCAAAAGTACGTTTCCAAGGTTATGTGTGAGGAGAAAGTCATTCATACTGCCTTTTGAAGAACCACTACCAATCCTCTTCAGTAGACAGTAATAACAGTACCCAAAAGGAACCTTCCTACAAGATCAACACATCGATGATTGTTACAATCTCACATAAAGTGTATATGTATTATGTCAAAAACAACTTTTCTCTGTCTGCAAAAAAAAGACGCAGCAGAAAAACGCCAACGACCTCTACCTCTCTCGCTGCCTCACTACCTCCACTCCCATGTTCCAAAATCAGCTGACTTAGATCTGGAACTTGAAGGTGAAGAAATCATCGTCAAAGTGGTGAACACGGACATAACCATCCTCTCCACCACTGGCAAAGGAGCGACCATCGGGGTGGATGGCAATGGTGTTGATGGGTCCGAAATGTCCACGGACACGTCCAACCTCCTCCTCGAGGACCTTGTGCCAGAATCGGCACTCGAATTTACCCTGTCGGCTGCTGGTCGTTGTGACATCCATGGCCTCCTGTCCTCCTCCGACAACAACAAACTCCTGGTGCTTGGGCATGATGGCTGCGGAGTTGAGGGGGGTGTCGGTGGTGTATGTCTTGAGAACCTCCAATGACTCGGTCTCGAGAACCTTGGCAGACTTGTCCTTGGATGCAGTGATGAAGTAGGTGCGGTCGGCGGACATCTGCAAGTCGGTCAAAGTCAACTCGTGAACCTTGTTGGTGCTGATGTACTCTCCAGACTGTTTTGTTGTTGTTTTTGTTGTATCCATAACATTAGAGTGTTGAGTGTATCCAGTAAAACAACAATACAAATAGAAATAAGAATACATCAATTGGTTAGAAATGGACTGAAAACCGGTCCAAGGGAACAAATCAACGACAAATGACTGAAAGAGTGGGTTACCTTAGGGTCGATCAAAGCGACGGATCCGTTCTCGCGACCAGCAACAATGTATCTGTTAAGAGCACCCCATGCAGCGACGGTGATCTTGGGGCCCTCGGGGTGGAAGTCGTAGATGGGCTCGGAAGAGACTATTTCATCACAAGAGAACCTTAGTCAGCAATTGAGGTCAAAATAATAACAACACTCCTGTAGAGCATGAAAAAGAAAAGAGGCGCTGTGAAATGTGTCATAGGACATACCGGTCTCGGTGGTGCTGTTCTCGACGTTGAAGATCTGGAGGGTGGCGGGGTAACCCATACGGGGCTCGGTGACGATGAGGACCAACTTGTCATCCTCAGAGAACTGAACGCATCTGACGGCAGTGTTGAATTCCCACGACTTTAAGCACTTTCCGTTCGAGACATCCCAGAGCTTGGCAGTGTTATCGGCCGATCCAGAGATCAAAAGAGTGCTCGAGGCTAGAAGGTTGTAAGAAGGGAATCGTGTTCATGGTGAGTTCCTTAGTTCTTTAGTTCCTCTCCTTTAAGGTGCAACAATGAGTCGCCTGTCTTGCTGCGAGTTGCTGCGTCCGTGAGTGTCTTCCCAATTGTCCATATGAGGCAGAACCAACAAGCTGATTGTTTTGCTGCGTCTCCGTCCCTTTTCTTCATGGGTTCTTCAGATCATCCATCAGACGTACAGCCAATAAGGCTGCTTGTATTGCTGCGTCCTCACATTGCATTTCTCACAACTGCGGGAGAGATCGTCTTTTTCTTGGTTGACTGCGCCATGTCCCCTGGGGTTATGCTGTTGTCCTTTCCTCGGTACATTATGGAGTCCTCCTCTGCCCTGCCGTCCCTGTCCCTGTCCCTGTCCCTGCCATGTCCTGACTGAATTGATAAGTGTTGTTCTAAAGCAATGGCCTTCGACATATCCAGTAACAAAGAACCCATGTCCACCGTCTAATGGATGCTGGCTACTGTCACGGAGAGCAGCTTGTCCCAAAGTTACAACGAAGACTTACAGTTGACGTCAACGGTCCAGATAGCACCAACGTGTCCCTCGTATGTGCCGAGACGCTCTCCGTTGTGGGAGAACCAGGCATTGACGACATGATCCTTGGACACGGAAAAGAGCAAATCTCCCTCGCGGTTGTACTTGATTTGCGTCAACGAACGTTCGTGACCCTGAAGAAGAATGGGACGCTATTGACGTTCAAGAAAAGGAGGGTTGGAGGTGTCGGTTAGGTGAGAGTTGATGATAGGTGGTGTGTGTGTGTGTGTGTGTGTGGGTGTGGGTGTGTATGCCTAGTGTCGATGCTTGTGGTTCCTGGTTCCTGGTGTGTAGATCTGTTATTTTTTTTGCGAGAGCCATCATCCTGGTTGTAGGACTGTTGAAAGAAGAGTTCTGAAGGAGGGGTGTTCTACGTGGTGCAACTGTCTGTGTTTAAATAGCGAGTGATTTGTCGTTTGTTGCCGAAAGAGGGAGGAGCAAGTGTCAAAGTGTGAAGTTGCATGGTTGTCATGGGAGTATGTGTGGGTTGCAGTTTGTTGTCGATGTGCGTTTCCTGTAGGCAGCCTTGAGACAGGAAGTGTTTGCAGTTTGTCAGTTCAGTACCATGGCTGAATGTGAAGTCTGTTGGTTGGTGAAGAAGAAAGTGGAAAGACTCTTGACTGGAAGGCATAAAAATATTTGCAACAACAACAGGGGAACAATCGAAGGTGACTGCTAACTCATACGATCATGATCTATTACCACGACATCATTTCCTTGATCCACATCACGTGCAATCGATTTACACAGCAACCCAGGAACGCGAGAAAGATGAGGCCATGCACCATTCCTATCTTCTGGATTACTGGATGTATTAGTGCCACCTTCCTCTTCTTCATCCTCGCCAGCACCGCATGCATGCAATAATACAAGACATCTTACTAGGACTTGGGAAGGACACGTTCAAGTATAGTGGGTCAATTGACATTGACAGATAAAGTTCACAGGCACCTCTTCCTGTGCCTGATTTAACAGCAACATTCAGGCACGCCCGCTGGGCCGGACCCTGCTAGAATGTGCGGTCATCGATTTTTTTAAGTCCTTGTTTGTGCACACTTCCTTGTTCAACCTCGTCTATCTCTTTCTTACTCGTTTGCCTTGAGATCTCTGTGTTCACTTGGAATCTGGAGGGTGATAACTGCCCAACCAGGAGGACCTTGCTGGCGTCAACCTGCATCCGTTCTTTCTGGTATCCCCGCTGACACGGCTTCCACTTGGTTCTGGATTTATTTGAATAATACAATCACTCCTGCCGTCCAACAAGGAAACGCCAACCACATCTCCCTATGGATTAACGAAGTCGGCTAGCCCACCTTCCCCACCACCGGCAACACCAGTACGTTCCTTTTCTTCTCCATTTTTTCCTCTCTTTGTTTTTGCCAATTGATCCATGCCACACATACCCACCGCTTTCCTTCTCTCTTGTCTTGTGCCTAGATGCATCAATTCCGTCGATCCCCAATCTGCAAAAGTTTGTTGATACATGGTTGTGTGATGCCAATGCCAAGAACCTGTCGTACTACTTTTTCGAAGATCTGGCCCGGATCTGAGATCTGAGGCCTCTTGACTTTCGACAAGCGTCTCAAAGTCGAGCTTCCCGACCGTCTCGCCGACTAGTTCCAATCATTCTCTAGTTTATTTCATTCTCCTTTTTAGTGCGTTGGGATACAAGTGCAAGAGAACAGCGAGTGTTTTCTTCTCAATGAAATCTTCTCACCATGAGCACTTTGTCAATGCGCCACAAAAGCCACAATTGCCATTTCACACAACCAACTCCCCACTCTTTTCCCCTGACCCGCGTGTCCCTTTTCTTTTTTTCTTTTCTTTCCATTCCTTCTCACCACACCCTCTTCACCATCACCAACCAACCAACAACCAAAATGCCAGAATCGCCAGCCCTCTACCCAAAACTCGAATCCTACGACCAAGGATTCCTCAAGGTTTCCTCCATCCACACCGTCTACTATGAGCAGTCCGGAAACCCCTCCGGAAAGCCCGTCATCTACCTCCATGGCGGTCCCGGTGGTGGAGTCTCCTCCCACGACCGTCGTTACTTTGACCCTTCAGTGTACAGGATCATCCTCTTGGACCAGCGTGGTGCGGGCAAATCGACCCCTACGGCCTCTTTGGAGGATAACACGACTTGGGCGTTGGTGGAGGATATTGAGAAGTTGAGAGAGCATCTCCAGATTGAGAAGTGGGTTGTCTTTGGTGGTTCTTGGGGAAGCACCCTCAGGTAAGCACGCAACAAGGATCATTTATCAATTAGATGTTGGGGAGGGAGAGAGGGAGCAATTGACGGTTGTTGGTTGTGTGTGTCGTCGTTGTTGTGTTTGTGGGAACAGAGAATACTACTCGAAGGTTCTTTTTTCCCAGGAAGTTATAACGAGAGCAACGGGCGTTACTAAAAGAGGAGTTGATCCAGTGTTCTGTAGCGTGAGAAACAACGCTGAATTTTTAGTTCAAGTATAGTGGGGCTGGGTTTGGATAAGAACAAATCAAAAGAGGGACCTGAAGGAACAACACATCCCAGTGAAAAATGACGAGATTGTTGGAACTCACACTGTGCTCTTTTGTTTTTCATAACCCCCAATTAGTTTGGTGTATGCTCAGGAGCACCCTTCCCGTGTCAAGGCCTTGATCCTCCGCGGTATCTTCATGTTGCGTCAGTCCGAGCTCAGATGGTTCTACGAGCAGGGTGGTGCCTCCAACATCTTCCCCGGTATGTCTTCGTCTCCATTGTTGTTGCATTCTTCACCTTTTTGTTTCTATTTGTCTTTCCTTTGTGTCTGTCAGGTTGTATTGTCAGTGGTCGTCAGTGGTCGTCAGGAATAAGGACAGGACGACACAATGGTCATGGACTAACAAAGACCAGGAACACGACACAGCAACGGACGCTTGATCATGGACAAGCAAACCATTTGACAACAGTGACCAACAAACAAGACATAGCAAAGAACGTTTTGTCGTAATCATCGTCGTTCCTCATACAAACGATTAGAACTACCAGATAGCAACGGACTATTGATCATGGACACCATCGTTCCTAATATCAATTAAGGAACAATCAATCAACCAACGACAGCAATCAGACAACAGCAAACGATCAATACCGAACTATCGACCATGGATTCCATCCCCACAAACACAACTAAACAACTATGGAAGACTGACCATAGACACCCTCCTTATCTTTCACAAAAAAAATACAATCAAATAGACGCATGGGACAAGTATGTCGAGCCTATCCCCGAAAACGAGCGCGACAACTTTATCGCCGCCTACCACAAGCGTCTCACCGGCTCGGACGAAGAAGAGCGCATCCGCTGCGCAAAGGCCTGGTCGACCTGGGAATGCTCCACCTCCAAGCTCTACGTCGACCCCGTCGAAGTCGCCAAGGCCTCCGAGGACATCTGGGCTCTGGCTTTTGCTCGTATCGAATGCCACTACTTCTTCAACAAGGGCTTCTTCAAGACTGATGCTCACATCCTCGAGAACGTCGACAAGATCCGTCATATCCCTGCAACGATTGTTCAGGGTCGTTATGATGTTGTCTGCCCTGCGACTTCGGCTTGGGACTTGCACAAGGTCTGGCCTGAGGCCCAGTTTGAGTTTATGGCGGATGCAGGTCATTCCGCCAAGGAGCTCGCGACCACTGCTCGCCTTGTCCAGGCTGCCGACGAGTACAAGTCTCTGTAAATACCATTTGTCATCTTTTCTCATTTCGTTTTCTTTTGATATCCCTCCGTCATCAATAAAAAGAACGAAGCCTTCTTCCATTTTGTATGCATGTCTTTATTATTCATTCGGAAACTTTGGGGATGTGAGTGAGATTAAACGCCGACTTGTGCACACAGCCCGTCGTGGCACGGACACTGATGACATGATCGTTGTTCCGCTTTATATTTTGGGTGTCACTATTCGTCTAACTGACTAACTTATCACTGAATATACTCTCAGACACAGCCTACCAAACACACACACCGTGCCTAGCAAGGAACAAGAAAGGTGAGACCATGGAGGTCGCCAAGACCAGACCCTGCCCTTTTTCCTAGATAAATGTCCAAGGAACCGAGGAAAAGAATGAGAGAGAGAGAGGGAGAAAGGGCAGAGTGGGGAGGAGCGTGTTACTGGAACAAGTATCGATTGGCGACTTCTTCTTACCCATGTCATTGTCATGGAGCCATTGTCTCGCAACGTTTGTATTTTTTCCTCTTTTTTTTTTTTTTGCTTGTGTGCTTCGGTAATGCATTTCGTTTGAGCTTGGAATAACTTTCGGGGAATAAAAGACGGATATGCGAAATGTGCATATTTATATATCTTACGTATTGTGAGCGAGGATAGGGGGAAAGAAAGGGGGGAGAGGAATGTATGTACTGTACCTTGTTGAGATGATGATGGTGAGTCTGTTTTAGAGGGAAGTGAGAGGGATGAGGGTAAGACTGCATGATCAGAGTATATGTTACCACAAAGGTCTGATGGAAGGAGGGGGGACGATTACGCATAACGCGGACAAAGAGAGCGAGGAGCGGAGCGGGGAACAATGACACCAGAGTCTGCTTACTCCAGAGCCCCAAAACAAAAATGAAATCCGGAAATACATAGAAAACAAAGGCGATCGCCCCCCACTCTTCTTTTCCTTCTTCCCCTCTCCCAAACACCCTTTCCAGAAATAAAATTCGATTCTCGCCTCATGTCGTTTTCTTTTTTGTTTCCTTCGTCCAAGGATAGGACTGGAGGGAGTATCGAAACAAATAGCTTAGTTTGCTTTGTGTTTTCATGCCAAGTGCTTTGTGTGTTCATGCCAAGTGAACACCAAAAATAAAAAATAAAAAATAAAAAATAGGGTTGATTGTCGGTTCAGGTGCGCGAATGGTTGCTGGAAATAGCCAGTGTACCTGCTGACTGACTGGACCAGGGCTATTCAACCCGAGTCCACATCCAAAAATAATTTCTTTTGTTGTTCTGTGCGTGGTTCTGTTAGAAATGATTGGATTTGTTTGTGTGACCAAAGTAGAGAAAGTGAGGTCGAACGACCAAAGGACAGACTCTTGATTGCCATGCGTATTGTTCACTATCGGCGTAAAAGCGAGAAAGGTATTAGAAAAGATTAAGAGGAACAACATCAACTATACTTTTCTTGTTGGTCGTGTGCTCGTCCGTGTTCATCCGCGACAGGCATCGAATGCATCTCGATATCCAAGATAGCGACTCCCATCTCTCCTTCTTTCTCCTTCGCACGCACGACAAATGCATTGTCGAGAATGGTGGCACGCGGGGCCAACTCCTTTTGATTGTTTGCATTGTCAACATAATTTTCTTGCTATCCGAACGGCAAGGGATTGCCTTTTGCCCTCTCTCTTCATTGGGAAGGAATAGAAGGGGGTTCAAAAAGAGCCGTAAGAAAAGGCAAAAATGAAAACAAGGGATAACAATTCTTATTTTTCTTCCTCAACGCCTCTTTGTTTTTTCTCGCTTTACGGAGACAGAGTAAAAAAAAAGAGTGAGGGCGAGTGCATGGTTAGCCTGACCTCGGCCCACTCCACCCGATGGTGACGAGACATGGGATCTTGCCTGCTCTTGCTCTTGGGAGTAGCAAGGAAAGCGTCCAGAGGCATCATCATGTTCACGATGCTGAGACTGACGAGGTACTTATACAGTACATGTAGATAGCTAAGCTGAGTTATGAACACTAGCCCACTTTGATTAACACAGCGGAGGAATAAAAAGAATAATGAGAAAAACATGAACACTGTTGCTTAAGCAGCTCAGCTCCGGTTTGGATGTACCTCCACAAATGTATGCGATATGAGAGCGATACCCTCGGTTGTTGAGAGGACAAAATGACCATGAGCCACAAAGATGTCATGGCGGTAAGATGAGTGACAATAGTCCTAAAGAATAACAGCAGCAACAGCAGCCCTTGAATTCATGCATTGTTGTTATGAGTGAGAATTGCGCATTGATGTGTATCCGCCTCCCTTCTTTCCCATGCACATGAATTTGCACCCACCCCATACTCCGCCGCCGTTTCTTTGATCCGTTGGTCCAGACTGGACACAACTGGCTTACACTCGCATACTAACAAGCCTGGATGTTCTGTACAAACAGTACAAAACCATAACCATAAACAACGAAACGAGCGAGGAAAAATGTGCTCTCAATCCGTCATCTCACAGTCGACAGGCAAACAGACATTTGAATAAAAGGGACGCCTTCCCTCTCTTTCTCTTTTCCTTTCTTCTCCTCACCATCCACCCTTATCTCTTTCTCTCCTCTCCCCTACACCACACACATATACACACTTATCACAATGAAGTCCATCGCCCTCATCACCCTCTCCACCCTCGCCTTGGTCTCCCAGGCCACCGCCCAAATCCTCGCTTACTCGGCCCCTATCTCTGCCACCCAGTGGACGTAAGTTCATTTGCATCTCTTCTTCATTTCAGGCACACTCGAATCCACTCCTTCGAAAAGAAAAGAAACTAACAGTTCACATATATCTTCCTCTATCGTCATGGACATGAAAAGTGCTGGAAAGTCCGCTACGATCTCGTGGACAAACTCTTGCAATGAGGTCGTCGGCAACACAACCTTCCCCGTCTACCTCAACCAGCAGGTCGGCCTGTACCAGGTCCAGGTCCCCGGCATCCCTGAGCTCGGATACCTCGACTGCAAAAAGGCCGGCAAGATCACCGTCCTGGTCCCCGCCACCATCCCCCAGGGCAATGACTACTCTATCCTCGTCACCAACGGCGGTAACCAGTCCTACTCGGCCTTGTTCACTATCCTCAGCACCATCCCTGGATCGACTACCTTGGCTTTGCCTACCACTACCGTGGCCGCTGTCACCACTACTGCTACTACCGTTCCACCTACTAAGACAGCCTCGGCTGCCCCTGTTGTTACGACGACCCCTCCTACCACGCCTAACCAGGCTGGTGCTTTGAAGACTGGATCCCAGGTCGCTTTCGTTGTCGTTGCCGCTGTTGCCTCCTTGTTGCTTTAAGTGCTTTTTAGCATTTTAGGCAAAGTCAAGGCTTTTATCTACAACACCATCTACCTCTACCATCCACTCCTCCCACCATACGAGAAGGAAACACCCCCCCCCCCCCATCTAATACCTTATCTTCTTTCTCAGCAGCATGAGCAGAACACGCGAAAAACACTCTTAATTATAATTAAAAAAAAAAAAACATAAACATGCCGACGAACACAATCGAAATTTTTACGCATGAGAATGAGAAAAATGTGCATGGTTGTGAGAAAAAGAGCAATAGTAGACAAGGGACCAGACCCATGTAGGTATAGGTAAGGGATAGGGGGAGCGAGAAAAAAAAGGAGCCAGGACGGAAGAAGCCAGGACGAAAGAAGCCGATGGCATCTTTGCAGGACCAACAAGGTGTGAGTGACGGAGTATGTTTGTTTGTTTTCTTGGTGCTGTCTGTCTCCTCTTTCCCGCTTTGCATATCGGGTTATGCAGCAAAACCTTCTTTGGCCCCTATCCTTGTCTTTCTGTTTGTCTTGAAAGAATTTCTCCCCCTTCGGATCAAACAATCGCATGTCCCCCCTCTTTCTGTCTCTTTTTTTTTTCTCTCTCTATCTCTTCCCCTTTTGTCTTTCGCATTGACATTCCTCTCCAACGGTATTCTTTTTTTTTTTGTTTTCGTCGCCTTTTTTTTTTGTTTTCGTCGCCTTTTTTTTTATGTGGGTGTGTTTTTGTTTCCATGGACCTGCGCTATTCCTGGAAGAACAAAAAAGAAGGGTGGTTCTGGTCGGAGAAGGAGAGGGGTCCAAAGGAGATGTGGAAAAACAAACACGCAGACAGACAAACAGACAGACAAACAGACAGACAAACAGACAGACAGACAAACAGACAGACAGACAAACAGACAGACAGACAGACAGACAGACAGACAGACAGACAGACAGACAGACAGACAGACAGACAGACAGACAGACAGACAGACAGACAGACAGACAGACAGACAGACAGACAGACAGACAGACAGACAGACAGACAAGCAATTCCTTCAAACACACGTATAACACATACACAGACGCATTCGGGGGCGCATTGTCGTCTAGATAGCCCAACCAGCTCATTACCCGTACATCTCAGCGTTACAAGTTTACAGACAACAATAGAAGATCGCCTCTTGCCCCTCCTTGACAATGTCAGTTTTCCCCACATGGGCGAAATTATTGGGTAGGCGTCGGTGCCGAGATGGGGACAGCAAAAATTAGAAATAAGGAATGACAAAGAGAGAGAGAGCAGGGTGAGCAGTAGTTAACAAGGAGGTAAGGGTGGATTAAGGACTTGAGATGGCGCTGAGGTTTGGGGTTGGTAGGATTGACTTTTTTTGCTCTCATTTAAAGAAGAGGAGGAGTGTGCGTATTTTACTTTGTCAATTTCGGCTCTGGAAAGAGAGAGAGATAGAGTCCACATGGAGCAAAGGGTCGACTGAAAGGACAAATTGGCGTTTTTCACTAACACGAAATGAGGGCTCAAGGCGAGGCGGGTAACGAAATGTGAAAAAGTGTGTACAAGGTCCTGATGTTCTATCCATCCAATATTAATGTGTTGTCATCGATGTCATAAATGGCTATTGCATTTTTATGGTTGAATGACGGGACGAAAACACCAACGCCTTTCGCGTTACCCTTCATATGTTTGTCGTGTGACGAGAAACGCGCTCAAAAGAGAGGGGTGACTGATCACTTAGACGTAGGAGGTCCAAGAAGTTCACTACCTACCGCATGTCCTTTCGCTGGTAGTCGGTTACGTTGGTTGATGGGAACATTTGCATAGGTGTGTCTTGTCCCTTCTTTGTTCACTCGCAGTCTCGCGAGCTTTACGGCCCGTCAGATGTGCATAAAGGATGTAAGAGTTCAACTGGTACGAAGAGCGGAATACACATCACGCGGTGTCCCTTTGATGATCGCGACGCGCTCAAAAATAAAGATGATTCTGCTCATGACGATTGATGTTTGTCTACGTTTATTATTCTCGCTTTGTGTCAACATCACTCAAAAACAAAGATACAACCGTGGACGTGGATCTCTCTCGTCGTGCAACGCTGTAACAGTGTACAAGACGAGATGAACAGTGATGGATTACACCATCGTAAGTGCCTGCTGATTAAATAAATTGCATCTCTGGTCCGCCTTATTTCTTTTAATTTCCGTGGTTGTTCGATGGATTTAGCCTTTGCTATTATCCTCCACTCCATTTTTTTCCATTTGCCAGCTCCATCCTCCTCTTCATGGAACACATCCATCCCTAAGTTGAGCCAAGCGCTCCAGTTGTTTGTGTATGGTTTATCCCTCACACCTCAATTCAGCCTAAATCTCTATTTGTTGACGAAAGTTGTGCATCTCATGAAAAAGAAGGAGAAAAATGTGTCCCCTGACCCCCTCACCGCCACCCACACAAACACCAATAACCGTGGCCGGTTAGGTCCGCCGCCGTCGAGCATTCCGTTCGTTTTCTTTTCTTGGAAACGTTCTTTTTCATTGATACCTCATTCTCTCGCCCTTAAGAAAATTGAGAGCAAACAGAAGGTCGATCCTCACCAAAGGAAAAATGAAAAAAACCTCAATCAACAACGTCTCTCTCTTTCTCTCTCTCTTTCTCTCGCACTCTCTCTCTACTTACAACTCGAATGGACGCCCTGGTGAAAGGCAATTGCACTGAAAAGAGCACTGGATAATTATGACAATAGGGAGTAGAGAGGATTAAAGAAGAGAGAGAGAAAGAGAGGCAGGATGGATGGGAACAAATATGTGCACAGTGTACATGCGATTATATGTCGGTGACGTGGAAATAGGCAAACTTGATTCCAGTTGGTGTCTCTCTGTGTTGCTCATTCAAAGACGCACCAGATCCTGATGTCGACCGACCATGTGTTCTCCCAACCTACAACGAATGACAGACAAGGAACGGACAATAAAACGAGGAATCATGGGCAATGACAACGACAACAACGACAGCAGGGTGACCTCGTCGTCGTCAAAGCCTTTTTTTTTGTCCTATTATTTCTTTTTTAATTTCCACTCCGCCTTTACCGACGCGCCTGTCCCTCTCTCTTCTTACGCGCGTCAGTGTTCATCATTCTTTTTCTTCTTTGTTTCTTCTTCTTTCTACTGATTTATCCGACTTGACGTACGTTCGTTATCCTTTTGTACACAACCACCTTTGTTCCCTTTCTCTTCACCTTATCAAACAAAAAAGCAAACCAACTATCCATTGAGAAGGCCACTTCACCTTTTTTGTGCTTCCACACAGCCCAGCCTCTTCCCCCCGTCCCCCCCTGCCCTACAACTTCTCTTCCTCCTTTCATTCTCCCTCTTCCCCCTTCCTACGAAATCGATACCCCTTCTTCATTCCTTATCCTTTCCCATCTACTTTTCCAGCCATGTCAGCAAAAATACCATTTGTTCTTACAGAGCAGCAGCAGTATCAGGTACACACGACCTCCTCCTTACATCAACTTCTCAACGATCTGGATCTTATGGCGACAATGAAAAGAAACCAAGGAGTGCTAACCTGTATTTTGCCTCATACTACCCTACCGATTGAAAACAATAGGCGATAGAACAGACACTCACGAGGGCCGGATACGATCATGAAGCATATGTAGAGGATCGACCCAAAGTCAGTCATGGATCCATGGTTTTTTCTTTCTTGAACGGCTCTACCGGTGCAGTAGGTGGTGACCAGTCAACTATCTATGGAAGCGACGGATTGGCAACAGGAGCAAGTACTATGGCTACTCACTACAACAGCAACAACAGCAGTAACACCTATGGAGCAGTCTCGTCTGGAGCAGCGAGTATCCACGGAGGCATGTCATATTCGCCCATCTCGCCTGGGTCAACGACAGGGAGCATCTGTGGAGGACACGGACACCACCAGCAACAGAAACGATACAGTCGTACGGTCCGGTCAAATGCGAGCAGTATTTTGTCGTTGGGTCGTCAGAAGACGGAACCGCCTGTGATGATGCTCTCACATTACAATTCACCCTATGAGGCCATATATTTCAACCAACCTGGTATGTTACCTTCCCTTTGTTGTTGTGCATGAGGAATTTGAGGGGAAGAAGTATATGCGAGGGGAAACAATTGCAACACTGCATGCATAGAGGAAGGAGAGGGCACAACGGTCATAACGAGTAGCAGTTGAATGATAATCTACGAGGGGGATGGGAATAGAGAGACCAGACGACTGGTAGAGCGAATAACTAAACTGATTGTTCGCTTACCTTGTTCAAATGCTAGAGGTGATGCACTTTGTTGGCAAGGATCTCCGCATCGGGACAGTGTGTGTATCCGCAAGACCAGGCCAAGGTGTAACCCATGTCCTCGTCCGGACCGTTCTCGTAAGTCTGCCTCTTTCTCCCCTCTTGACCATTTGATCTGTTGTTGCGTTACACAGACCTGCGCCTTCCAACTCGCTCGCGTTTCCCTTCCTAGCTGACCATCCAATCACCCCTCACCGAAATAGAAATTTACCAACATCGATATACCAGACAGCATGCGCTCATCTGCAGAGTTTGAGCGCCACCGTACACTATATCCCAAGAAAGGCGACATATATGCAGTCATCCATATCGCAGTACAGCATTGTCTGGAATCGATCCCAGAGATTGATGTGAAGCGCCATCAAGTCATTCGGCACCAGTCTGCTGCAGACCATTCTGTAATTGTCCTGGATGAGCCCGGGTGGATGAAGAGTCCCCGCTACATCTCTAACGTCGTCAAGTGTCTTGAAGAGATTAAGCAGGAAGGGTTCACTCACGTCTTGAAGAACTTGGAAGCCCAGATGGTATGTTTGCCGCTGCCATTGCTTCTGCTTCCCGTGATATGTTTGTGTGCAATGAGTGACTGACACCATTTGTATTTACTGCCTTTTTACTTCAGAAACCTGGCGCGCTGACGGTTGACATTGTTATTCCTGAACTGGCGAGTAACGAGCAGGAAAAGTTCTGGGCGTTCTTCAATGGATTGGGTGACCACATCGAAGAGGAGACATACCTCCCACAGGCACCTCGAGCTCGCTTGAACCTTCCAGAGATGATCGTCGGCAACAAGGTACGTTCACTATAACTGTCATTTTGTTTGAGTCAGAATCCCGGGCAAGAGTCGACACACAGGATAGTATTCTAACCAATCTCGACCCCTTATTTTTATTTTCGCTATCAGACCGAAGACCATCGCATGGAGTCAGTGGCGGAGCTGATCCAGACAGAAAAAAAGTACAACGAGCGCATGAAGGACTTGGTTCACGTAAGCCCCCGTGTTTATCCGTTTTCACTGGGAAACCCCTCCTGCAGAACATGCGAAGAGTCATGCGACTAAACTTTCAAATCCTAATCACTACATACATTTAGATCTACCTGACAGAGGCCAAGGCGTCGGCAACGAGTCTGTGCCCTGGGTTGGGCAAATACGAGATTCGGGTCATCTTTTCCAACATTGAGCAGATTCTGACCGTCAGCAGCGCGTTCTTGAAGGACTTGCAAGAGTACGAGAAGGATGCCTCGCGGTCCTTGAACTTGGGCGACATTTGTGCTCGAAACGTAAGACCATCGCCTTGTCACCAGTGACTGTCATCCGTCCATCATTTTTTTTCCTTCGTGTTGCGATATGTTTGTTATCTAACAGAAACATTCATGTTTGCCTTCCTTCTTGATGAAATGATAGCTAAGGAGGATGGGGTGCTATAAGCAGTACTTGATGCGGTACAAGAGAGCGCAGGACACATACACGACCCTGTCAAGAAAGCTGCCAGCCTTCAAGGCGCTGCTGGAGAAGTGTGTCCAGGTCAACAACATCACTACCCTCAATAACCTCTTGGTCGAACCCACGCAACGTATCGTCAAGTATCCCTTGCTCTTCAAAGGTGAGCGAGCACACTTGTGTTCTTGTTCATGCTTTGTTTGTTACACAAGCGACCGTGAAGGGCATGACTAATACTCACCGATGCCCTTTTCTTTCTTCATCGGAATAGGTATTTTATCGGGAACAAAGAAGGACTCTCCTGAGGTGATGGGTATTGTCGAGGCAGCAGAGTTGGCGTCACAGATTGCGCACATGGAGAAGGCCAAGCCCGAGCAGACGGCCGAGATGCTCTTCAACCTCCGAAACACGATCGAGAACTGCCCCGACGCACTCGTTAGTCAGAACCGTAGTATCGTCTCGTACTTGGACGCTTATGAAACAAATCTACTGACTGGTGAGCGGGGCAAGTCGATTACGCTGATCTTGTTCTCGGACAAGGTCATGATTGTGAGGAGACCTAAGGGTGTTAGTGGTGAGACGCTCTTTCAGCTCAAAGAGGATGTCGAGGAGAGGAAACGAAGGGAGAAGGAAAAGAAGGAGTTTAAGGAACGAGAAAAGAAGTTGAAGAAGGATGATACGGGGAGGAACGATTCGGGTTCCGGTACACCCACACCCACTTCTGCGACACCTGGGTCATTGGGGTCTGGAGCCATGGCGGCGGCGATGATGATGTTTGGGAAGGATTGGAAGTTTATGGGGTGGATGGACATCCTCAAGCTCAAAGTTGCCATCGTCGAGCAGAGTAAGTTTTTTTTTTCGGTGTCATTGCTGTGATGGGCGTGCAGGGTGAGCATAAATAATGAAAGAATTGACGCCTAACTGGACACCATTTTTTGCTTTCACCCCTTTACCATAGCTGACCCGGAGGGATTGTTCTGCATCACGACTCGGAACCACACGGAGTCCAAGGATGATCGCTGGGAGACGACTCGCGGGATCCTGCCAGAGTTCCTCGATAAGCGTGACAGCTTCATATCCAAGTTTCACGAGACCCTGTCCCTCAAGAAGGCAGCGGCGACCGGATGTGGGGCCGATTACACGTCCCGTCTCCATGTGACCGAACTCGAGTTGTTCTGCAATGTTTTCTCAGAGAGCCAGTACCGGGATTTCAAGAACAAGGGCGATGTCGCCTTGTTCTACGCCCATGGTCGGAGTCGTCCAATTGATGTCACACCGTTCACGAGACTGCCGACATTTGTGGGTATGATCCAGACTACAGATTCGGGAATGCGTGCGGTGATGAGGAGCAAGTCGAACTTGAATGATGTTGGAGATCCTGCTCTGACGACTGAGGATGCGAACCGGTTCATGGACGTTGATTCCTTTCAGATACATATCGCCGAGCTTGGTAAGTCGTGCTGCCATTTTATTCTTGCACAGACGATATTGATATTTGTTGTTTTTGGTTTGCTGGCGCAATATCTGACACCCTGCCTTATTCGATTTATTTTACAATACAGTTGCAAACTTGCAATGGGTCGCGTACCAGTTCGACCCGTATCAGAGTGCACAGCTGCACTTCAGTAGAGTCTACTTGGATACAGACTACCTCTACCAAACTGCTGCTCCTTACCTCAAAGCAACCACCCTCCGAACCAAGGGCCTCAAAAAGATCCGCGATACCACCGCGTCTGTCACTTCGTCCGCCTTCTCAGCGCGATCGCCTCCCGTGCAGTCACCTTACGCGTCAAGCGGAGGGTCGAGCGGTGGAGGCGGGAATCATCACCCGTCTCAGTACCTTTACAGGAATAGTGGTGGCGGAGGAGGATCTTTCTCGCCATTGGCCAGCCCTTCGGGTATCTTGGCGTCGCCTTCATCACCTGGCGGGGGCATGTTGGGTCGATACGGGAGCTCCGGCAACGTGATGAGTAATTATGGATCCACGGCGAGTTTCAGTAACTTCTCACCGGCAGGCGGTGTCAACGGCAATAGCAGTAGTTATTACAACCACAGTAGCGGTTACATCAACAACAACAACAACAGCCTCAGCAACGGTGGCAGTGGAGCAGGAGGTATGACGATGGCTGCAGGGTCGGTCAAGAACGCCTCGGCGCTGTCGCCCTACATGATGCAACAGCAACAGCAGCAGTATCTCAAGAAGAGGGCGGACAGCGTTGCGATGTTTGACGGTGGCCCCGCTCCTGATAGTGAACAACTTAGCGGCCAACAGCAACAACAACAACAACAACAACAACAACAACAGCCGCCGCTGTACCCGAACCAACAGCTGTCGGTCAGTACGTTGAGGGACAGTTTGTCAGTGATGAATTTGATGCTCCCAGGCCCTGGGCGGAAGAAAGGTCTCTTGAACTCTATGGTTTTTGTTGGCGACAAGGAATAACAAGACTTTTGCCGGAGAGAAAGAAATAATTACAAAAAAAAGTAAAGAATGAAGGACGAATAAGGAAGGCACTGGAAGTTGTGTGGGATGAAGTGATGCGAGGTGGTGGCGGTGGATGATATAAATATATATATATGTGATGTGCTTTTCTAATACTTTTTTCTTTTTTGTTCACGACTCTTTGATCGATACAATCACAACCTCCTTCTTCCCTTTTTTTTGTTTATAATGTTTTGCGAATTCGTCCATAGACGAGATTGTAGAGCCCGTTGAATGGGACAAATTGTTAATAGAAACCATGGAATGCCAAGATGCGCCCCAAAACCACACTCCTCTATGAAGAAGCGACACGATCATGGAAAAATCAGTGCTCGCTGAGGACGAGAAGGTGCTAAGAATGTCCTGTTCATACTTTTTCTCGGGATGTGTTCCCTACTATTTAGCGGATAATCGGCTGTTGAGCGATCTGCTGACGGATGTTGAGGATCAACGGACGATCAGGAAGCTGTTCAACCTAGTCCATTGCTCTGATATGCTCAAGGGAGTGGAGAGGTCATGTCGTGTCATGGTAGCCAGAATTGGATCGGAATGTGGAATGTGGAATGTGGAATGTGGAATCCACTGTGTCGCCACCAAAAGCAGCACGACCAAAAGCAGCACGACCAACAACAGTTCGCCGGTTAACTTGATCGGTGTCAACACCAAGACTCCAGCCTCGAGCAAACCATATCCTTGTCACCTGCGGTAACAGCCAGGTCTTGACCAACCACACACCCATCGCTGGCAACAACCTCCGCACCGACGAACAGCATTCTCACCGCCATCATCAGTGCCACCATGGCCATTTTTCTCGCAATGAGAACCGCCGAGGCAATCACCCCAAGGAGACGACGCTTCACATGACAAAGACTGGCCATGTGGGGAAAGCCTAGACGCAAGAAGAATATCGTCGTGACTCGGCCAAGGCGCGACTCTCCAAAGCCCGTTTTGCCACGCCTTTTGTCATTTAGGTGGTTGTGTGCAGGATATCGAGACCATACATTTTTTTCTCCCTTCAGTGAGTTTTTCCATGCGTCTTGCTTTCACCATTGTCGCCTATGTATTCTTCTCGTAGATCAGCCATCTACACGACTGCCACAGCTATCCTTCTTCGCTTACCTTTTTTTTTTTTTTTTTTTTTTTTTGCCTCTATTATCGCTCTCCAACGACAAATTCAATATCCTTTTTTTGCCATTCCACGTCCATTATGCAACTTTCCTCTCCTCTCCCACCTTAATAAAACCCTGATGTTTCTTTTCTTTCTCCGTCTCAGCTTGACATGTGTAGTGCTCGAAAACATACCCTCTACTTGCCCAACATATGCATGCCACTCTATGCGGCCTACATATGTATGATGCCCAAAATTACGGAATGGGGGTCTTCTGCGTTCCTTTTTTTTCTCTTCTTGAGGGGGTTTATAGATTTGTTCGAAAGAACATCTCTTTTTTTTTTTCCGCGCATGAGTTAAGGGCAGTTCAACATATGCCCTGGCGACCAGACGTGTCAAGTAAAGGGATAAGATGTAGGGCACAGGAGCAGGTTACAGGGACCCGGGTGCAAGGGTATATAGGGACTGAGGAAAGGGTAATAAAAAGGCTGGCGTTCATGTGAAGAGCTGGCAGGCGGTTTTTACGAATTGATCACACCTGACTTCGTTCTGATGCATTGTTAGCCTGTGCAGTTTGGTACTGTTACAGTGTGCCTGGCCAGTGTGAGAGCCATGTAATATTCGCGGTTATAAATTTACTAGGCTTGTCGTACCTCCTAAGGACCTGGTGGGTCTGGTGAACCAGGTGAACCAAGCTTGCTACCGCCATAAGATGTAGGGTCGTAGCTATAGTCTCTAGGAAGAGGGGGGAGTAATGTCATAAACAAGTTTCCCGAGCTTAAGTCCTTGTGTCTTGGTAATACTACTTGTGAGTATAATCCTTAGAGCTGGCAGTAGCCACTGTTACCGAGACTGCAATGGCCAGGGCAAAAAAAAATGCAACTAGAAAGCTAGATTGCATTTTGGAGATGACGGTGAGTACGGGGTTCGAGGTGGGAAAACGTTTGATGCCTACAAGCCTAATGTGTTAATGTGTCATACGTCGATTGATATGGATCTCTATTTAGGGTTTCACAAGTATCTGCTAATAGTAACATCGCTGCTCACCCACTCTCCTAGCATGTGTGCATACATCCCGTCCTTGCAGTCTTGTAGGAGAAGGGTGAGAGACGCGGATGAATGCTTGTATGTATCCCTGTTCTTGCAGCATAATAAGAAGCAAAGGACAGCAAAGGGATGGCAGACAACATCAAAAGACAACACCAATGGACGGCGACATGGCATACATCAAGTGACAACACTATGGTCAACATCAAGGGGCAACATTAAAGAGGTATCGCAAAGGGATAACACTAAGAGACAATACCAAGGAGAACAGCAAGGGTTAGTATCAAAGCGTAAGGCGAAACAGTCAAGAGACATCATCAAAAGGCTATATCAGGGACACTATAAAGGGGCAGCATCAATAGGTAATACCAATGGGCAACTTCAAGAAACAGTGTCCAGGGATAAGGGACACCATGAGATACTGGAGAGCGATTGGTCTGCTGAAAGGAAGACGATCCAGTCCTGGGCAAGGTCCGCACGCCAGTCGAGAGTTGTCCTTCTTTGTGAACTGAAGGCGAACTGAAGGAAATCCGATTCTGCTGTGGCTGATGTGACTGGGTGGAAGAATAAGGAGGGTTGCTTGCGGAGGGTTGCTAGCGGACGGTAATGGCCCGGTGTTTGAGGATGGCAGAGCAGTAGATTCCTGATACAGAGTCGCGTTCGTAGAGAGGACTGTCACTGCTGCTGTCTAGATCCGGAGGTAAAGATATGCGGTTGAGTCCGGCGTGAAAAAGACGAAACAGATGGTGGTGCCGCTGATGTGGCAGCCGGAGTAGAGGCGGCGGCTGTGGCAGAAGAAGGGCCAATAGCGGCGGTAGTGGTCGCAGAGGTAGGATGAGTAGGTGCGCCGGCTGTCGTGCGACCTTGAGGAGGAGTCACTTGGTCGATGCGAGATCCAGAAGGACATTTGAGCTGCTAGGGGCGTGCAGGATTCGTAGGCCGAGGGACGTTCGATGTGGTTGTTGCTTTAGTAGGGTGTCTTGCAGCTGCGCTTGCTGCTTTGGAGGTGTAGCTTGCACTTGCAAGTCTCTCTGTGCGTTTTCCTCCTGCCACAATCGCTGTTGCTGCTGAATTTGCTGCTCTTCCAGTTGACTTCAAAATAGGGGCCTTCGAGCTATTGCTCTGTTCAATCCCCTGACTCTGGCCGTCCTTCTGGGAGTATAGATGAGGATGACGGTTACTTCCGCTAGCCTTGTCCGACCTCCTGGACGATCCCTGATCCTGCTGGATGACGGGTGGTGTTGGCGAAACGACCTTAGTAGTAGTCTTGGGTATGGATGGAGTGGGGTTTTTGGTAGTAGTAGTCTTGGGTATGGATGGAGTGGGTTTTTTGGTAGTAGTAGTCTTGGGTATGGATGGAGTGGGGTTTTTGGTAGTAGTAGTCTTGGGTATGGATGGAGTGGGTTTTTTGGTAGTAGTAGTCTTGGGTATGGATGGAGTGAGTTCTTTGGTAGTAGTAGTCTTGGGTATGGATGGAGTGGGTTCTTTGGTAGTGGTAGTGTGGTCGATTGGTGAAATGGATGAGGCAGCGGCGATGGATTGTTGCTTTAAAGCAACAGATATTTGGGTGGGCATATGTCGTTTCGTCATGCTCACAAGACAGGCTAGCCACTCAGTGTACTCCTCGGCGCAGACAAAGACCTTGTAGTCGAGAATCTCGAGGAACTGCCGTTCAATCGAGCGGATCTTGCCCATGCTGATCCCTGTGAGCCAGGACCAGCAGTCGTTGTTGAGCGAGCCATCGTTGTGGAACTTGTCGGCGAGGATCAGGACTCCGATAAAGAAGCGCTTCTCGTATCTCCTTTTACTGGTCAGGCGCTTATTCTTGTCCCTGAGGTTGCTCACAATTTGGTGGAGGAATCGGAGCGAGAGGATGATGGTGCTAGGAGATCTGCGAGTATGCCAAAGGACTTGGACGCAGAACGTGCGGAACTTTACGATAGGTTTGACCATGTCCGTGTGTTTCCGACGGCGAGAGGGCTTGTGGGTGGGGTCGCAACTTGCTGGTGTGGAAGAGTCTTCGTGCTCGGCGAGGATGTAGAGGAACATGGAGGTGGCAAAGTCGGCCATATCAATAATTGCCTTGCGCTTTTCTTCTGAAACCATGTTTGCTGTTGCTGTTGTTGTTGTTGTTGTTGTTGTAGTGGTGGTAGGTGGAGACTCAGAGAGGCAAAGCGGCCCAGAAGGTATGAGGGGGCGACTGTTTGTTGTCTGAGGTTAAAGATTAGACGGATAAGGTGGCGCTAGCTGGTGGTCTCGAGAGAGGGTGGGGTAAGAGTTGCGAACAACAGCAAGAGCAAGAGCTGCGAGCAGGAGTGCAGACTGTAAGAAAGGAAGAAGAAGGAAAGTGAAAAGTGAATGAGTCAACAAGAGAGGAATGGAAAGAAGGAAGGAATGGATGAAGGTGGGAAACTAAACAAAAGGGAGGGGACAGTGTGTAACAGTAAAACGGCTGAAGAAAATTGTCACAATTTCGTTGTCGAATTGGATGATTTTTTGTTGCGGAGTTACGATGGCAAAGGGAGGAGGAGAGAGGGTGAGGGAAGAACAAGACAAAGGAGAGAAGTGAGAAGAGAGAAAAGAAAAGAAAGGCGAAGGGTCTGTTTATGTTCTGGAAGTAATCCTCATTCCCTTTGGTTGTTGATTCAAGTGACGATCTCTTCGGTGGTGTAAAAAAGGGGCGGGAAAAGCGAAAAGGTCACGAGTAAAGAAGGTTTACCAAGGAGGACAAAAGGGGAAGGGTAGAAGAATAGAGGGAGATAAGGAATGGAAAAAGTGCCGCCGATTTTTTTATTTGAACGACCCATAAAGCGACCGAATAACAGTTCTATTATTATTGAATTGATTGTATTCAATGAAAAAGAATTGGATTTTTTTGTTTGTAAATTATTTATTTCGTCGTGGTCCTCGTGGCCGGTGTGCGTCGCATAAAACAATACCCCCTCCTCAGCCTCCCTCCTTTATTAAAAATGGATTTCGATGCCGATTTCAAAAAACCGATGTCATTTTTTTTCTCGTCCTGTCAGAGCCATGAAAAATGGCATCGGTTTTTTGAAATCGGCATCGAAATCCATTTTTAATAAAGGAGGGAGGCTAATATGGTCTTTTGGAGCATACCCAGGGTATCTCTGTCAAGAACAAGACATCCAAGTACACAGGCCCCCGAGGTGACTGGAGTCAGGGACACGGTTACATCACGCACGATGGTTTCTTCCGTGTGGCGCTTCGTTAGCCACACATGATGAAGGAAGGTGCCCTGGAGCGACCAAGGACCCACGTGCTGCTGACGAGCGGTTGTTGGAGAGTTTGTTAGGAAGGAGGAGGTTGTCAATGATGGAGAGGATGGGAAGAATCCCCTTCATTCGTATCTAGTTTTATCTTCTTCCTGTGAAGAGCAGAGACAATTGTTGCGCAGAGCCAGGTTCTGGACCGGACTGCGACTGGTGGCCCGGAGAGAGCCTATTTCCGCGCTGCTTTATCACGAAATCACTTAAAGAGGTTGCGCAGTTAGTGCGATTCTTAAGGGGTGTTTAGGGGTTTTTGGTTACATTCCTTAATCGCAAAAACACGTGACCCGCTACTGTTAGGATTCCCTGTTTCCCCTTAAGCAGGTTCACCTATAGTCTTTCTGGTCACCACCTCCCTACCGGCCCCTAGGATCCTGAGTCGCGGCACACTGCGGTCCGCCGGACCGACGCTGATGCCCTGAAGGCACCAGCCGGCCCCGTCCCGAAATCTCTCTTGAGCTCGGATGATCGACCGGCTCCTCGACGCCGGCCCCCCGGGACTCAGCCGAACCGCACCTCTATATAAATAACTAGCATTTCCTTAGAATTACCTTCAGTTCCTTTCCGTTCTCCTTCATAAATATATCTTTCTTTCCCTATATTTTCCTTGTCTTCATGTCCATCTTCCAGTGGACCTTCGTTTATCTATCCCTTCTCTTTTCACTCTTCCTTCTAGAACTCATTACTTTTGGGCTGACACCCAAATCCCCTTTCTCTTCCTCTGGTTGTACCTTTGATCGCTCGTGCTGCACTTTCCCCAATGACAGTCACCCGATTCACCTCTCAACCGAACACTACGGAGGTAGTTCAAAAACCTCAAAACCCAGATTCGCACCCGAAGGGGATTGAACCCGGCCGCTCTACCAGAGAGCTAAGCAGGCTTGAAAAAGAATATGTAGAAAAAATATCAGTCACAATCAGTCACATGATCGGTCGTTGCGCTCGATCGTCTACTCAACTTGCTTTGCATTATGATCCAGTCCCCTCCGCAAAAAAAAGCGTGGCCGTCCACGCAAGCATGACACCACACCCGGCACCTTTAGAATTTCCTTACTGGTGCCCCTTACAAAAGCGAAAAAATACACTGTCGCCGAGCTTGCAAGGGAGGACGAATGGATGCAGCGATATCTGGACCCATTATCTCTCGCTAGGAGCGGCGATGTCTTTACGATGCTGATCCTCCCAAAATACAAGGAATACAGGCTCCAAATGGCTAAGAAGGTCGTGCCGTCGCGTGTCAGAATTGAGCTTTTCGACATGTATCACTACCTCGTCAGTCGATTCGAGGACACGAACAACACAGTATCCTTCAGCACCTTTGGCCAATATGTTGGAATCGACCTCGCCAAGAGACACTCAATGGTTGAGTCAATAAGGAGGACTATTATCGAAGGACCGCCCTGCAGCTCCCCCCGACCGCCTACTACTATACCCAAAACAAGAACACCATGGTGGATATGGTCGTCGTCCGATGGTTGGATGATCAGAAAAAACGCAAAACTCACGTTAGCGTCAAGATGATCCAGAATGCCGCCACGCTCACATACACCTTGCTTTAAGACTGGTTCGAGTTGGAGAAGGGTGGTTTTGGAGTCCACCCGTCCTTTTGCGCGTCCGGGTTTGATGGTTTCAAGAAGCGCCACAATGTCTCCTATTGTCAACTTCATGGAGGGTCCGTTTCCGTCGATATGAAGGCGACTCACCCGGGCTTGATACGATCACCCAGATTTTTTCGGATTATTATCCCGACAATATTTACAATTGCAACGAAACCGGCCTGTATCTGAGGGAGCTGAATTCCAAGTCCTACACCGTTGATGGCAACAATGCTGGAGGCAAGCCAAGTCGTGCATGTTGATTTTCCCTCCTGGTGTGCGCTAATGCTTCGGGTACCTCTATTCGAAAGGCAAAGACAATGAGTTCGATAAGACTGTTGCTTCTAGGTAATGATAAAGATCTGTTTTTGTTTCTGTATGTTGTTTTGTGTGTCCAATTCTATGGTTAATTAATTCTATCTTTCTCTCTTGCCTATATTAGCTAAGAGTCATGCGCGATATGTACATGAAGAGTCGTTGGAGATGATGAACATCAGGATTACGTCTAAGGGATGGATGAATCGCAACGTTTTCATGGGATGGCTGAAGTTGTTTGACGATGGACTCGCCGAGCGGTCCCTTCTCCTACTCGACTCTTGTCCAGCACACAGTAACATCGACATGCGTGACCCGGAAACCAACACCCCATGGAAGCATCTCCGTATCCTCCAACTACCCAAGAACTCAACCTCCGTTACCCAGCCTGCAACATGTTAGGTTTATCATTGCTCTCTAGTTAGTCATTCCTTGTCACTCTCTATCATCTCTGACTCTGTATGACACTACACCTAGAAACCTAGTTGGCGACTTTGTATATATATTTAGTTGTATCATAGTAATAACATCAATCACCACTGCTTCAACTCTCGTCCCCGTTCTATTCTTCTCCGTCCCAGTCTTCGCCTGTTGCACAGCCCCTCGACGCCGGAGCTTTCAGCGTTTTTAAACGCGTCTTTTTGGAGATGCTCAGTCAGGAAACATGTATCGTCAGGGACTACGACAACGCCAAGGCAATCAGCAATGGCCAAGCTTGGTCACTCTTCTCTTACGCCTGGAACAAGGTTAAGGAGGCCTTTCACGTCCAAGTTATCATATGGTGTTTGTTACATCTCTGTAGATCTCGACAATATCCATAGCGACTATGGGATGAGAATGTATATATGATACCAAGCATATAAGACAACCATTGTAACATTTTTTGTTTAACTATCCTACTAAACACCAACCTATTCTCCAAACAACAAAGTCTTCTTATTTTTCGCACACCACACTCTTGAATGTGTCCATCTACTATTAACCTGTAACCCTCACTGCAAGATTCGCCAGAGTAGTTCTTGTATGTGATCATCTAAAGCACTTGTACTCTCAACTGTATCTTTGGGGCGAAATACAGGGGAGAGATTACATTTTAAAAATTCTTGTGCTGTCTACTGCTATTTTATTCTGTGTTCTGTTGCCCACTATGAAGAGATATGCCAGTTATGGAAGTCAACACTCCGTTCCTTGGACTTTGGATATTTTTTATATGCCTTTTTATATCCTCTGCACATGAAGGGGCCGCTAAGCCGTCGACAATCAGGAATTGCTTTGCTCACGTCCCAGCCCTTCCAGAAGCGGTGCGAGAGGACCTTCGGAGAAGACCATCATACGCGGAGGAACAGCCCGAGCTGGCAGAGTACTCGCTACGCAACAACTACAAGGAACAGGAGAAAACACATGTACTAAGTACCGTACGACAAAGAGTTCCTTGCCCTTAGGAGGCCTTTCAGGTCCAAGTTATCATATGGTGTTTGTTACATCTCTGTAGATCTCGACAATATCCATAGCGACTATGGGATGAGAATGTATATATGATACCAAGCATGTAAGACAACCATTGTAACATTTTTTGTTCAACTATCCTACTAAACACCAACCTATTCTCCAAACAACAAAGTCTTCTTATTTTTCGCACACCACACTCTTGAATATGTCCATCTACTATTAACCTGTAACCCTCACTGCAAGATTCGCCAGAGTAGTTCTTGTATGTCATCATCTAAAGCGCTTGTACTCTCAACTGTATCTTTGGGGCGAAATACAGGGGAGAGATTACATTTTAAAAAAACATGTGCTGTCTATTGCTATTTTATTCTGTGTTCTGTTGCCCACTATGAAGAGATATGTCAGTTATGGAAGTAAACACTCCGTTCCTTGGGCTTTGGATATTTTTTATATGCCTTTTTATATCCTCTGCACATGAAGGGGCCGCTTACATATGACTTTTCAGACGCTCTTTTGACATTCGCTTGTTGCTCAGGCAGGGTTCGATCTCGGATGGCTTTATGCAGCATCCGACGCGACTGATTTCCCGTAGGCATATCACCCTCATGTCCTTCCTTCTATGCAATTCACACCCCCAAAAAATCATGGCCTTATTTTTCCTTTCAGGAGGTAGCCGTTTTCTTTGCCACCAATTTTTTTCTCGTACGTCACTGATTTTTTCTTGGGTGCATATGCAACAAAAGGCCCCTTGAAATTTTCTTTGTTTCGTCAGCGTCAGACCAACCACATGTAAACAATCCATCATCCTCTCTCTCTCCACTCGTACTCCGTGCCCCTTGAGTCCTCGCTGTGAGTGCTATTTGTTCCCTCCCCTTCCTTTTTGTCCTTTCTTTTTCCTTCACCGCTCTCTTCCCCCTTCCTCTTTGTCCTTCTCCCCCCACACCACCAACCAAGTCACCGCTTGTCCGTCTGCTTTCATCAAGCCAACCCTCGAACCAACACCTAAGTTTCGGTATGTCTGTCTTCTCCACCACCAAGATGGACATCCTCCCCTGCCAGCCAGAACCGTACTCTTCCTCCTCTTCTTCTCTGGCCGGTCCTTCTACTACGTGTCTCGCTGCTGATTCTGCTCATCTTCCGCCGTCGTGATCAATCAATATTACAACGCACTCGCTCGACACGTCAACATAACAACAACAACGACACCCAACTAGTATGTGGTACCAACACCTGCAGCAACAACGACAACAACAAGCGACTGGCCTGGGTGTCCTCATCTCGTTTCTTCAACAGCGACCTGATGGGTGTCATTTTGTTTTGACTCATCCCTCGTCTCCACGGCTCACTGGTTGCACGCAATACAGGCGTTATGTCCTCTTTTCGCCTCTGCACACGCAACTTTCCTTTTTTGGTTGGCTGCGTCGACAACCGCGCGCGCACATACGTACGCCAGGGCGCCCTTTCGTCTTCCCGAGAGGTCCTTTTGTCGTTGTTGACAGGATGAGGGAGGGGATGAAAGGTCGAGAGAAGTGAAACGAGATCGGATCGCGGTTCACTGCCACCCACCCGCCAGCAGCTGCTGCACTTTTGCGCGCGAGCTTGAGCTTGGATAGCCTTCTCCCCTCCCTGTCCCTACCCAGCGACTTTTGGTTGCTGGCCTGTATCAGTTCGAAGTGGATAAGGACGGACGTCACTCCTCTTTGGATTCGGATTCAATCCCCTTTTCCAAAGTCATTTTGCGTCTGTTTGCTCCCTTTTCAGCCAAGTCAACAACACGACATCAACAACAACCTCGACAACACGACACAACGCAGGAGGAACACCAACAACAATAACGAGCAACAACGGCCTCGCCACCAGAGAGAGAGAGAGAGAGAGAGAGAGGGAGAGAGGGAGAGGAGTCCCCGGCCCTCGATATCGACGGCGGCGAGTTCTCAGGAGGATGAACCACAGAAACACCACACATGCACTTTATTGTTTATTTTTTCCTATTTTTACAACTGCGCCGCGCCATCTCCTCCCACTTTAAGTGCTTGGCCTCCCTCTTCGCCTTGCTTCCCGCTCTTCCTGGATTCGTTCGCAACGAGACAAAACAAAAATCACACAATACTAAACGAAACCCCTCAACTCCTGTCAACCTACCTCCTACTTGTTTCCTTCTTGCCGTCTTCGTCTTCGCCGCCTCTCCTTTGGATCGGATTTATACAGCCCTACCCCCACCTCTTTTACAATCATGACCGACCACCACGACGATCTTGTTGACTACGACGAGGATGATGATGTTATCCAGTCCATCAACGCTGTCCCCGCCACCGCTCAGCCCGATGCCGCTGAAGAGTCCAAGGACAAGAAGGGCTCCTATGTCGGTGTCCACTCCACCGGCTTCCGTGATTTTCTCTTGAAGCCCGAGTTGTTGCGTGCCATCGTCGACTGCGGTTTCGAGCATCCCTCTGAGGGTAAGCCTTGTGTTTTGATATTCTCTTTTGTTTGATTCATTATGAGAAGAAGCAAACCAACGAGCTTTCCCTAAACTAGTTTCTGACTCGTCATCCCCCTTTTGTTGTTTTACGAAATAGTCCAGCAGGAGTGCATCCCCCAGTCCATCCTCGGAATGGATATTCTCTGCCAGGCCAAGTCTGGTATGGGTAAGACTGCCGTCTTTGTCCTCGCCTCGCTCCAGCAAGTCGAGGCTGTCCCCGGCGAGGTCTCTGTTGTTGTCCTCTGCCACACCCGCGAGTTGGCCTTCCAGATCAAGAACGAGTACGCCCGCTTCAGCAAGTATTTGCCCGAGGTCCGCTCTGAGGTCTTTTATGGTGGTACTCCCATCAAGAGAGATCAGGATATTCTCCGTAACAAGGAGCTCTGTCCTCACATCTTGGTCGGAACCCCCGGTCGTGTCCTCGCCCTGATCAAGGAGAAGACCCTCAACCTCAAGAACGTCAAGCACTTTGTCCTCGACGAGTGCGACAAGATGCTCGATCAGATTGGTAAGCCCCCTATTTCCTTAAGTTGCTTCCCTTGCTACGTTCCCTCTTTTTTTCTTACAATCGAATGCCATGAAGTGATGACAACAATATGCTACTTTAACCCAGCTCGTTTAAGGACAACATACGTTCCTCATGAGATGACGTTAAATCTGAATCTGTGCTTCGACCCACACCCACTATGGAACTGTACCCGATCCCCTCGACATATGATTCTAACTGCGTCAACTTCTTGGTTACATATAGATATGCGCCGCGACGTCCAGGAGATCTTCAGGGCCACCCCCCATCACAAGCAGGTTATGATGTTCTCAGCTACCTTGAGCAAGGACACCCGCGTCACCTGCAAGAAGTTCATGCAGAACCCTCTCGAGATTTATGTCGATGACGAGACGAAGCTCACTCTCCACGGTCTCCAGCAGTACTACGTCGGAATCACCGAGGCCCAGAAGAACCGCAAGCTCAACGACCTCTTGGATTCTCTCGAGTTCAATCAGGTCTGCATCTTTGTCAAGTCTGTTGCCCGCGCTGAGCAGCTCAACAAGTTGTTGCAGGAGTGCAACTTCCCCAGTATCGCCATTCACGGATCGATGGAACAGGCGGATCGTATTGCCAAGTACAAGTCCTTCAAGGAGTTCAACAAGCGCATCCTCGTCGCCACCGACGTCTTTGCCCGTGGTCTCGATGTCTCCCGTGTCAACGTCGTCATCAACTACGACGTCCCTGACGCAGCCGACACCTACCTCCATCGTGTCGGTCGTGCTGGTCGTTTCGGTACCAAGGGTCTCGCCATCACTTTTGTCGCCGATGATGCTGACACCGAGATCTTGAAGAGCATTCAGGCCCGTTTCGAGGTCCAGATTCCCGAGCTCCCCGAGGAGATTGATGTCTCGACCTACATGACTGCCTAAGTCATTCGTTTTCTTTTCTCCTGGGACATTTTTCCGTTTGCTGTTCGCACACACATACATACACACACACACCTGTCCCTCTTTCACCTCTTTATGTCTGATTGAATGAGGAAGAGATCAGATAACTGGACGGGAGCACACAAAAACAACAATCAACCAACCAACACCAAAAACACAACAGCACATCCCTTTTTTTTGTGGAAACGCGTACAAACCTCTGTAATATAATAAAACAACAAAAAAAACCAATCCAATCATGAACGCCATTGTCACCAACGTTCAGTGCCTGCATTCAGTTTCTTCATTCGCCACTTCCTAGGTAACTATCCCTTGGACGCCATTGCTGGAGGTTTTAATAGCATGGGGTGTTAAAGTTAAAGTGAGGTCGCCTGCAAGTACCACAAAAATGATAGGAGGGACATTGAGTATGAAGTTTCTCAGGTCTCGCCATCTTGCCTATCTTCCTTCTCCTTCTTTAACTTCAACCTCCTTTCTTTTATTTTTTTCTATGCGTGCTTTGTTTTCTCTCCTTCCTTCCTGTCCCTACCCTTCGTCCTCGTCATCGTCGCCGTCGTCTCCCTTCAATAACAACAACGCGTCAAAAGGCCTCAAGACTTTGTTGCAGCCCAAGCTTCGTCTTCCACCACCACAAGAACAAGCGGTGCAATGTCGCAAAGAATCATTTAACCATTTCTGTAGACAACGTATATTTGTGGAGAGGAGCAAGTGCGCATGGGAGTGGCGAATGGGGAGCACTGCGGGAGAGAAATCACAGAGCAGGGGAATGTACTGCCACTGTAACTATACACGCCTCTGAGGTGACATACCAAACGACGCAAAAACTACCGCTACGTTGTTTTCTCTCCTTGCGTCAATGCATGCATTCCTCATCTTCATTGGAATGTGAAGGATGTTTTCTTTAACTTTTTCCCACTGTGTTGTCATGTTTTAAGGAGAAGCATAAGGTTTATAGGCACCGGTAGACAGTTGGGCGGCCGAGAAAAAAAAAATAAGAAACAGGAAAAACTTGCGCTTATAGCGACCGTGCTTTTTGATCCTTCGATGTCGAGGTCGTGTCGTCGAACTACTAAAGCAGAGGTCAATGTTCGCGTCACTGCATTGTGTTTCTTTATTCATTACAGAAACATACCAATTTTTGGGTACCATTCATCACTTCATTCTTGTATAGTTGATGTCACAATGTAATGCTGGATTACTAAACTCTTCCATTCTATTCATCTCTTAGAGCTCCAAGAAGTTCAATGGGATGTTGCTCTTTCGTGTTTTACGTCTACACGACAACCCTCGTGAAGGACTGCACTCATCAAATCAAGGATCATGTCGAACGAATGGGACATACAGAAAGAGTGGATTCTCAGTTTATTTCAACTACGCGAGATCTTGATATTGCTCTAACCTGGGTACATCATGAAAAATCACGGTTTGCAGTTACTAAGTGCAGCTTATTGGATCCCGGAACTCTCCTCTATGATTTATCAACGGGCCACATCCCTTTACAGCCACCACACGACTCCTACGTGCAAAAGCACAAAGAGGTTTTGGTTTATCCTTTTATTAAGTCCAGTGCTATAGTCGCCGTTTATTCCCATGAGGAGTTGTTGCGGTTATTCGGGCCACCCCCTATTTCAGAGAACGCTGCATCCTTTAGTTCACACTACATTTTAGTTCTTCAGCATCGACATTCAATACTGCGGTGCTCCCAATGCCTTTTATATGGCCATGATCATGACCATGGGCATTACTGCTCATGGCGCAACTTCCACTTGACAGAAGTTGTGATAACGATAAACGGGAGCCAACCCGCACTTGTGACCGGATTTTTCAGGGAGACGCTCAATTGGGTCAGATTTTATGTAGTTACTTAATGAAGACTTCATCTGGCGCTTATCATTCAATGTCAGTTCTTTCAATCCTTGCTTCATTAGAATTCGAACTCGCGTGTGATGCTATATTCACTTGGACTGATTGTCCTGTGTTAAGAAGGAGCGGTGAATCGCGTAAAACAGATGCAAGCAGTCATCAGACCATGATATCAGTAGGTGTAAGGGGAAAGAAGGGTCAGTTGGGGGTCTTTTACTTGTTAGTGCACGGAAGTGGGAGGATGATGATGTTCTTGACGAGCGAGAAAACATTCAAGGGGGACAGGGTGATCAGCTGTCATTTTTTTTCCTCCTCCATCCAGGCTTGCAAAAACAAGGTGGACACATCTAAAGATACTCCTTGGTGGCTCTTTCCCCGACAGCAAAAACGCCGCCCTTCCAAAGACTTCAAGACCTCGACGCACCTGCACCAACGGTGTTGAAGCATAATCCCCGCCCAACAGCTGAGTCTCACTCCAGAGATGTCAAGACCCCCGCCCTTCCACCACTATCGCCAGCAGTGGACAAGGTGGCACAGTTCAAGGCCAGTTACAACGGAGTTTACGTGTGGAGTCAACAACAACGACGCAGCTGTGGATCAGTGCGAGGCGTGCTTGAAGGAGGTTGACGCGTTCCTCACTAAACAAGGAGATCGCGAAAGGGGGGGTTCCTGCTAGGGGGATTCTTTCAGGAAGAGGTGGACAGTGTGAGCCTCTGGCGGTTGACGGAGGAGAATTGGTTGAAAAGAGGGTATCGTGTGGCGTTGGTTAGTTTGAAGGGGGCCAGGACAAAGAAAACGGAGGCCAATAGCGTTGGAGATTTTGGTATTTGTTGGTGGAGGGATGGTTGTATTCCGACACGCCAACCTAACCCATTTGAGGTGTCCAAGCCTAGACGGGATCATTACCGGAGACAGTATGTATGAGCGAAAGGGACAGACTGTGTATTAGATATCTCGTGAGAATAATAAACAACGAAAACACACCTCGACGAGTTTTGATGGTCTTGTTCAACGCATGCAACTGTAAGATTTGAGTCAGGAAAATATGTGAGAGAGAGAAGTCAAGAGGAGTGAAGGATGGGTTGCATTAGAGTCATGGTCTGGTCCTCCTTTTCTTCAGCGTTAGTGTCTTGTACTGCACCATTATTTTTCTGTTATCGTCCCTAAAAAAATTCAAGGAGTCTCGATTCTCGGGGTAACACCAAGGCATGCATCTTTAACCTGGGTCACATAGTTGAGGATGTTTGTGAGCAAAGGGGGGTTGTCCCTTGCTTGCTTGCTTGTTTGCTTTTGCTTATGCATGGAGGTGGTGTTCCTGGCGAAATATTTTCAAGGGGAGAACCATGGCTGGTGCGGTGATATTTCGTAGGTTTTGATTTGACTACCAACGCGACGCGAACAGATCAAACCGTTCGATGACTCACTGCTTTACTAAAAATTGTCCCAAGTATCGACGCTTTACACTTATTGTGTGCGTGGAGTAGCGCACTTCTCGTAGAAAAACGGAAACCCATAACAACATCAATCCCCCCTTCTCCTCCCTGCGGATTACATTGTTCCTAAAAAGTACCCGGAATACAATTAGCATAACATAGCTCGTCAACTTTGCATAAACATGAATGAAAAGTGAGACCACTCCTTTCGTTCGTTCGTTCCTGGAAATATACATCCTTGATCGTAATGTGGCACTGCTTCTGACGTGTAGGTTTTGTCGCTTGACATTTTATTCATGGATACCCGCGTTTTGTTTTTGTCTACGCCCACCTGCATGTATGTAATGTTTCTATCGCTTGAAAGATGTGAGACCCATGGAGGGAAGAGGGGTGAAATCTGATAGCGTGCATTTTTTGAGTGGGCAACTGTAAGCGAGAAGCCCTTTGAAGTGTAACGCTTTGAGCTTAGACCGCGCTTCCGGGATCCCAACTTGGGGATAAAAGAGTATCCCAAAAAATGAGAGGATGTAATGGAAGAACAAAAACAGAACAAAAAAAGAAAGTAGGGAAGTGCAAGGACTCTCTGGCAATGTGGGTGATCGGCGACTCAGCAACGCTTCTCTTGTTGGTACGGGCGCAATCGGGCGCTTCAAACAGTAATAGCAAGGGAGATCCCACAAAGGTACTATGGTCATTCTGATTTGGCGCCATCGGATATGCTTTGTTTGACCTTGCGAGTACACAACGTAACGGCGGCCATATTCGCATCGGAGGAAAAAAAAAAACGAAATAAATAGCAAGGAGGCGCGGTAAGCCTTCTCTTCATACATCCACATTTTGTCGCCTTTCACACTCCTAAGAAAGCAAACAAAGAACATGACAACCTCTATTGCACAACCTTCTCAGACAAAACAACCTCAGCATGTGGACCCGGCAAAGAAGCGACCCAAGGTCTTGATCGCCGGTGGAGGACTGGGAGGTCTCTCGTTGGGAATGCTCCTACAGCAGACCGATATCCCCTACGAGATCTTCGAGCGAGCCACTGAGCCCAAAGCCCTTGGTAAGTGCGCCAAGCAGTTTTGCGAACAAAGAAAGAGTATCGCAAATGTAAGCTGCCTCCTACGAACAATCACTAAATCTTTTTGTCGTTTGATTGTGTGAAGGATCGGCGATTGCACTGTCGGCTGCAACAGATGCGTTGTTCAAACAATGCAACATATACGACGAGTTTGTTTCTCTTGGGAAGAAAACACTCTCCCTACAAGTCATCGCTAACGAGCAACGTCGAGTCGATTACAAAATGGACTTTTCGGCACAACAGCAAGTGTAAGCACATTGTGAACTCTCTTTGACGACGCTCTGTCTCTTTGTCACACATAATCTCGCCCCGCGTGTTAACACACAAATCTTTGTGCTTCCTAATGATAGCCTTGGAGCCATCGGTCATGTCATTGCCAGACCCGCCCTGCACGACCTCCTGTTCAGACAAATCCCTAAGAACCGCATGCACATGGGCAAAAAAATCCTGTCGACTGACGACCAGGGCGACAACGGCATTACTGTTACCTTCAGCGATGGAACAACAGCCTCAGGTGATATACTTATCGGAGCTGACGGAGCATACAGCGCTGTCCGCCAGAACCTGTTCAAGCGACTAAAGGCACACAACAAACTGCCAGCAGCCGATGATGTCCCCTTACCCTACAGCACCGTTTGCCTAGTGGGACAAACACGACCCTTGGATCCAGCTGTGTTCCCTCATTTATTGCAGGATGATTGTCAGTTCATCAATACCTTGGGAGAAAACAAACCTTGGGCCGTAAGTTTCGCTCTTGTCCTAGTAGTTTTTTTTTCACATGCGCTCTCTTCAACACACTATTTTTTTTCTCACTTTCATTGCTTCTTGTTTTCACTCTTTTTTTTCGCTCTCTTGATGCTGCCGATGATTCATGACCAACGAAAGTGGGTTACATTAACAACACAGCAGGGCACGGTGTGTTGGTCAATCATCCGATTCGTCGAGGAGTCCAAAACATCAACAGACGACAAGAACGGCCACTCAATTGTCGATCAAGAATGGGGACCCGAGGCTGCAGAAGCAATGTGCAATGAGGTCCGTCACTTCCCCGTCGTGAGCGGTAACGAAGTAAATCCTTTGACACTGGGAGATCTGATTGATTATACCCCCAAAGACCTGATCTCCAAGGTCAAGCTGGAGGAGATTGTCTTTGAGACCTGGTTCGGAGGGCGCACTGTCCTTATGGGCGATGGTATGCACCTCTCTGTTGTGTTTGTTTGTTTATTTTTTTCTTAGATGATAACAGCTCGACCTGTAAGCTAACCAGACTGTCCTTTTTTCTTTTACTTTTTCTCCCTTTCTGTACATTCAGCCTGCCACAAGGTAAAACATTATGATTTCTTCACAGAACATAACAACGTACCTTGCATATACCATATCCTCTTACATACGTTCTCATTTTCTCATCCTCACTTTTTGCAATCGATTCATTAGCTGAACCCTGCGGGCGGAGTTGGGTGCCAGAATGCCATGCATGATGCGATCATTTTGGCCAATTGGATCAATGCCCTTCCCTCAGACCCCACCTCCAAGGACATCGAGAATGCATTCCGATCCTACCAGGATGAACGTCTACCTTGGATCCAGACCGCCTCCAACTCTACCCGCTTCTACCGCACCATGGCTTCTGGTGTAAGAACTACTGACACTGCATTGTGTTGACCATAGGCCATGACATTTTTTTTTCGTAGGTTCTAACAACCCATCATTTATGTAAATGTAGGGAATTGTGGCGGGACTGCTCAGGTTCTGTGCGAAACATATGCCAGCATGGGCGAAACGCAAGATGCTGGTTGTCCTTGGAGGGAACAGGCCTCAGTGTTCATTCTTACCTCTGGTTGAGGATAAGGGATCTGTCCCACCAGCCTTCCAACCCAGTCTTTTGGCCACCAAACCCAAGACCCCCGCCACTTCTGTTTAGATGCACTGGGACGGTAACCGCACGTTTGATTTCGATCAATTGAATAAATAAAAAGGAGTGGCTGTTCGATGCCCGACAGATCAAGACTCTGTTTCTGTCAATTAGAGATGGAAATAAACTTGTTTGCGACAATTGCTTAGCTTGATGAGCCCATCCACGGGTAGCTTGTTCTTGTAGTATGGAGTCATTTGTAGGCCAAGAGAGCGAGAACCGGCAGAGAAGGAATCGGGAAGGAAGGAAGGGATGATTACGATGTTAATTGGGAAAGCTGGTTTGTGCGTCCTCCGATTAGTTTTTTTAGTGTTTGTGCCCCGGCAGTCTCCGTCCTCTGGAGCGCTGAGTTGCGCACTCTCTAATTTCGGACGGCGGTCTGTCCTTTTCTGGACAGAACGAATCTACTCCGCTCGTCTTTAATTATTTAGTTTCCAGCTTCCTCACCGTTCAACGAATTCAGCTCATAGCGTCAATCATACAACGACGATCATTTGTCTGGACACTCTAGGGCCGACAATCATGCAAAGACGATCACTTGTGTGGACCTTCATACTGTATTCACTCTCGTCTTCTTGCGGAGAGCGCAGTCAACCACCGTCTAACTTTGATCGGAACCGGTCGTACGAAAAACTCTAATCATATCAACCTGCTGCAGGTAGAAAAAAGAAAGGCATAAAAGTTTAACACATCAGTCTCTCCTTCTCTCATCTCCATTCACTTTTTACATTCACTCTTACATTCACCTTCACTCTCACCAACAGCAACTAGCGCACTTCACTGCAGCCACGAACAATGTCAGCCATAGCTAAACCAAAGGTCCTTATTGTCGGAGCCGGTCTCGGGGGCATGGCCTTAGGCATCATTCTCCACAAGGCCAAAATCCCCTTTGAGATCTACGAGCGTGCTGCCGTCGTCAAGCCTCTCGGTATATATTATTCCTACACAATTGGGGCTCATGTTAATATACTGTACATGCATATTGGATTCACAAGTACCGATACAATACCCTTTTCTTTGTATTCATATTCATGTCTCTGTCTTGTTTACATTCATCACTCCCTCACACCTATAGGAACGGCGTTGAGTTTCAATGCGACGACTGCTGCGATGTTCAAGCAGTGTGGATTCTATGACGAGTTCCTTGCAATTGCCAAGCCCTGGACGGAGGTCCAAATCGGAAACACTCAACGCACCATTGACTACAAGATTGATTTTAGCGAGCAAGAAAAGCTGTAAGTGTGTTGCTGTCACTCACTCCCTTTGTTACACATGAAAACAAGTTTTTTTTGACAATCAACCCTCGCTTTGTCTCAGTCTAACTTTGATTGTCTGGATTGCTGCCATCACTTTGATCACAAATAGGTTTGGAGCCACCGGGTTCATTATCTCTCGTCCTGACATCTGTGATCTCTTTAGTCGTCAAATCCCCAAGGAACACATGCACATGGGCAAGAAGGTCGTTTTTTCCGAACAAACAGAAGAAGGCGTTCGCCTCAGCTTCGCCGACGGTACAGCCGCAGAGGGAGATATCCTGGTCGGAGCAGACGGAGCCTACAGCACGATCCGTCAACAGATGTACGAGCAACTCAAGAAGGAGGACCGCTTGCTCGCCTCCGACGGTGAACCTCTGCCTTTCAGTACCATCTGTCTTGTTGGACAGACCAAGCCCTTGGATCCCAAGGACTTTCCTAGCCTGGCTCTGCCGGAAAGTCAGGTCATGACCATCCTCGGAAAAGGCACTCCTTACGCCGTAAGATGGTCTTTTTTTTCTCAATAACCCCTAGTCGCACGTGACTTGGACCCTTTGATTATTTCCTTGTCCATTTCCTTTTTTTTTCCTACACGATGAACAACGCGTCTGACCGTTCCCTCGTTCTCTCTCTTGAACACTTAGTGGTCAATCTTCACCACCAAGAAAAACACCGTCGCCTGGGCCTTCGGAGAAGTCCTTGGACGAGAATCGAGCAAGGAGGGCGAGAAGAACGAGGAATGGGGTCCCGGTGCCGCTGAGGCCATGTGCGAGCTTTGTCGCGACTTCCCTGTCATTAGCGGAGGCGACAAGCTGGTGACAATGGGAGACCTTATTGACTGGACACCTAAGGAATTGATCACCAAGGCTATGCTGGAAGAGAAGGTCTTTGAGACCTGGTACGATGGACGCGTTGTCCTCCTTGGCGATGGTAAGCGATCCTCGTCTTTTTTGGATCCAATGTGTTCAATTGGCCACATGTGCCGCGTTATTGCGTTTTCATTGATACTTACCAAACATATTTTCTCCTTTCCCTACTTATTTGTTAATCATATTAGCCTGTCACAAGGTAACAGCGGTCTCATCCATCTTTTTACTCTCAAGGACGGAACATGCATCTTGTAGGGGTTTCATCACTAACGCCCTTCATGTTTTCTTGCTTCAAAACTTACAGATCAGTCCTGCAGGAGGTGCAGGAGCAACAAACGCTATCCATGACGCCATCGCAGTTGCCAACTGGATCTATGCCCTCCCTCCATCACCCACAAAGAACGACATTGAAAAGTACTTTGCCGAGTACAAGAAGGAGCGACTCCCTTTGGTCAAAGGGGCTTACGAGTCCAGCCGTATGTTCATGACTATCAGTTCTAAGGTACGCACGCTCTCACCCTTTTTCGCTCCTTCTCGATATGAGTGCTTTCGTCTTGTATAATGGTATGATGGTCCATCTCTAACACGGCTCATTTTATTTTTTATTTACAACGCTCGTTACTGTAGAGCTACTTGGAGTGGGTGGCAGCATTCTGTTTCAAGAACATGCCGGCATGGATGAACCGCAAGTTGCTGGCGGGTATGCTGGCCTACCGTCCCATGGTTGCCTTCTTGCCCGATCCGGAGGATAAAGGAACCGTGCCCCCTTCACCTCAGCATAGTTTGGAGGCGAGAAGGATTGTCAAGGAGAGGATGGAGGCAGCGTCGCGGGCTTGATTTTAATTGATTTAGGATAGGGATGGTACGTTTAACTGTTAATAATAGACAATTATGGGTAGACGCTGAACCATGAAATGATGGTACCTGGTGATCGGTTGGTTGAAAGGGAAGGGTAATAGGCTTGTGTATGTGTGTCTGTATCCGAGAGGGAGGATGCTCACCAGCAGGAAAAATCATTTCTCCCACTCTCTTTTTGCTCTGCCCGTTCCAAATTCGGATGGGGAAGCAATTGGGATCTAGATCCAGCCCATTGACTCGGTCATTTCACTCATGCATGTACATTTTGAAAGTACATGGGAGGGGGAGAGGGAGGGAAGGGAGAGAGACCAAAAAACAATGAAGTGATGGGCACTCGGGTGATAGAATTGACAGACAAGGTTGGGACGACAGAGCAAGAAGAAGGATGAGGATGAGGTCGCCAGCTACAGACTTGGAGCTAATCCTAGGAGAACAATGGGTAAAGTGCCAATACTTTCTTCAATTGCTCTCAGCGGTACTCTTTATCTTCATGAACCATGAACCATGAGCCATGAACCATGACCATGTAATGAACCTTGCGTTAGTCCTGTCCAGTCGTTCATCTTTGCTCTGGCACGATTTTTTGCTGTAAAAATAAGATTGCCCGATTATGTTTGGTTCGGCCAGTTTTCTTGTTTTTGTTTTTGTTTTTGTTTTTGTCGGCATTGTGTGGATGTGGAACGGGTTGGGTGACACAGTGTTCGTGTGTTATTTTGTTTGTTAGCAGGGACGGACAACAGGCATGCATGTACGGAAGGGCGTAAGCATGTGTAACTTGTGTAGGACCCAAAAAAAGATGTGATGAGACCGGGCTCCTGGATGTATTTGTTCCTATCCGACGTTTTTTTCTTTCTTTTTCTTTTGTTACCACTTTTCCTCTTGTTTTCCACTTTCCATTCTCCACGCATCCTTTCACTCATTCACACACACACACACACACACACACCACCCCTCTTTGCATTAGCATCACTCTTCTCTCACACATCGCTCCACTCGTCCATTCAATTTCCTTTACACCACTAGCAAAACACCCACCCTTTCCTTCTCACCTAACCCTCACCCGACACTCCGCCGCGACAATACAACACATATGGCAGAAAGGGAGAAAAACAGAGTTATCATCGTGGGAGCAGGCGTGGGAGGCGTGATGCTCGGGCTACTTCTCCACAAGGCCGGCATCCCCTTTGATATCTACGAACGCGCAGTTACCGTCAAACCCCTCGGTAATCAGCACCCCCCCCCCCAACACACACATACTTTTTCTTTTCTTTTACAATTGTCAGAAAATGGAACAACCACCCTCTGACACCCCTTGTGCTGCAACTCTCACCTCCTCAAAACTAGGCTCGGCACTGAACTTCAATGCGACAACGGCAGGGATATTTCGCCAATGCGGGATTTACGACGAGCTTGTCTCCATGTCCAAACACACCCTTTCCATCCAAGTCGGGAACGAGAACCGCGAGATTGATTTCACTATGGACTTTCGCCGTCAGAAAGAGTTGTAAGTCCCCCCTCTAGACTCGGAAAGCTCGTTTGGTACTCGTACCTGCAGGAGGGTACATTATCGGAGAGGAACCCATTTTTTGACGTACATTGTCTAACACTCCTTTTTTTTTCTTCTCACCTTGCATCTCACGGGTATTGTATATTGTAGGGTGGGATCAACAGGGTTCATGGTGGAGCGGCATCGATTCTACGACTTGTTGTTACGCCAAATCCCCAAGGAGAGGATACACATGAACAAGAAGATGGTCTCGACCATCGAGATGGCGACAGGGATCCGGATAGTCTTTGAGGATGGGTCCATGGCGCAGGGAGATATCCTTGTAGGCGCCGATGGGGCATATAGTACGGTCCGACAGAACTTGTATAGTCGACTCCTGGAAGAGAAAAAGTTATTAGCGTCGGATGATGTGCCGTTGCCGTATAGTTCTGTTGCCTTGGTTGGGAGGACGCGGGCTTTGGATCCGAGTTTGTATCCTAACGTGAGGACGGAGGACTGTCAGTTTATTAATATTTTGGGACGCGACAAGCCTTACTCGGTAAGGAAGCTACTGGCTTGCCGTGTGTGGCGAAGAAGTCTTTATGCTGAAAGGACAATGATTGGTTCTCTAACGATTTTGTTCTGCTACATTTTTACTGTCATTAGTGGGTCTTCGTGACGACGAATGATGGGGTAGTCTGCTGGATGGTCATAAAATACCTCAGCGGACAGATGAGCAAAGAGGTACATGATAGCAAGTACGAGGACTGGGGACCGGATGCTACCAGGACCATGTGCGAGGAGGTCAAGGATTTCCCCATCATTGCCGGTGGCGACACGAAATTGACCATTGGAGATTTAATCGAGTGGTCGCCCAAGGAGTATGTCTCCAAGGTCATGCTGGAGGAGAAGGTGTTTGATACCTGGTATGAGGGACGGACTGTTCTTCTTGGCGATGGTATGTGCACGAACAAGAGATCCTGTTTGCTTTGCCTGCAATGTTATTATGGATGTTGACTGTACGTTAAATTGATTGAATACTAACGGGGGTGTTTTCTTTTTGTTAACATTACTTGCTTTTCCTCCTCCCCTTAGCTTGCCATAAGGTAAGCCCACACCCTCGACCAAGGCCTATTTTTTTTCCTCCGAGCTACAATTCCTATTCCTAATCCCGACATTCCAACGATTTTTTCCCTCACTTTTTTGATAGCTGAACCCTGCAGGAGGAGCTGGAGCAACAAATGCGATTCTGGATGTCATCACCCTCTCCAACTGGATCGTAGCCCTCTCGCCCAAGGCGCCAATTTACGAAATCGAGGATGCGTTTGAAGCTTACAAGACTGAGCGCCACCCGCTCGTCCTCCAGGCAGCCGCATCCAGTCTCGTCTTCAAAACTATGACCGAAACGGTACTACCCACGTTATTGCTATTATTGTTTTGTAGCCTTCATATTGCAAGGAATCCTGGAAAGATGAGGTCTAACCCAGTATTTACTTTTTAATGGTATGAAAACAATAGACGCTGAAGGCGCGATTGATTCGGTTTGTGGCAAAGCACATGCCTCAGTGGCTCAATACCAAGATCCTAACAAGGACACTATCCAACAGGTCACAGGTTTCATTCTTACCCCTCGCGGAGGACAAGGGAACGATTCGACCGCTTTATCAGGCCAGTTATGTCAAGACTTTGAAGATTCTGGAAGAGCGCCGGAAGCAGGAGGCGGAAGAGAAGGGCGCCTCTGGTGGCATTGTTGTAGCCTAGGAGAGGAGACGTGGAAGACCATGGATCAGCTGTGGTGGGACTGTGTGCAAAATAAAATATGTAAATACCCCTTCGATAATGAGATACACACAAAGTCCGAATGTTGCAAAAAGGAGTATATATGGGGGGGAGGTCGGTATTATTATTGTTCCCAAGAGAGGGATTCCTGTTGGGCCAAGAGGTGCCACGGCTGTGCTTGGACGGTTTTATTCAGCCCTGAGGACCTCTAATTTCTAACCGCACTGGCTCTGGTTCTCGGAACTCTGGGTTCCGTTGCCGCGGCGATATTGCGATCGAATCGTCCCTCACAAACTGCGGTCCTCGAGTCACATGGCCATTTCGCTCTACAACTTCAACATGCAACATCGCCCCTCCCGGTCCTGGTCCCGGTCCTGGTCCCGGCACGACAGGGAAATCCACCGGATCCAACCCCAACATCCTCATCCTCGCCTCCAAATCCTTCCTCAACTCCACAACTTCATCGCAACTCCTCTGCAAACTCGCCTTTAATTCCAAACTCTCCTCCCGCCCCTCCGCAAGCGCCTTCAAGAACGACCTCTTATCCTCCTGAGCGACTTCCAATTCCCGTTTCGACACACCAATCGCCATCCTCAGATTCGCCATTTCAGACTCCATACTCGCCAGCGACGACTTTAAATCATCGACGGTTTTGGATTCCCGCTCCTTTTGGGTCTTGAGGTTAGATAGGCGCTGTTCCATCATCCCACGCATATCTTGGGCTCGACTAATTTGCTCTTCGAGTTGTGCGCGTTCAGCCTGCAAGTCCTTGACGGCTTTGATTTCCTGATTGAGCTTGCTACCTATGCTGAGGTCGTCATCTCCGTTTGCCAGTTTTGTCCGCAGGTCCTGATTGCCGTTTGACTGCGCGGCCCTAGTCTTGTTCGTCTGGGGCGACGACGACGACGAGGAGGAGGTTGTCAATGGTAGGTCGATAAAGGCCAATGGTAAAGAGTCGCTAGTCTTGTTACTCTGGGACGAAGAGGACGAAATTGTCAAGGGCAGGTCGAATAGGTCCACTGGCATTGATGGTTGTTGCTTATGCGACAAGGGTCTTGTACTGCGAAAAGGGTCCTCGGCAACGTTTGGTGTAGAGTTACGGGACGGCTTATCATAAGCTATCTCCTGTTCTGTTTGTTTTTTTTTGTTTCAACACCAAGAAAGAAAAAACTGTAATTAAATAACTTGTAGGGCATGAAATTAAGCTGGGTGCCCTCTCTTCTTCTGATCCATTAGACCTCGACAAATCGACTCAACTTACCTTCGCCAGAAAAAAAATCGTCAATCTGAGAAGAGGGTTGGGACAATGCCGCGCGTGCGCGGAACGAAGGAGGGACCAAGGACAAAGGCAAGGTCTTGGGGATGGGGTCGTTTGAGGCGTTCTTCCTGCTGATCAGGAACATTGCAACTGCAAACTCGTCCTTGTTCAAACTACCAGTCTTGGTAATATCGGAGAGATCCCAGATCTGTGCCAAAACGGATTCAGGCAATCTCGATTTCATGAAGAATCTGCCCGCCTCCTCTCCTATTTTTGGTTCAGTAACGAAAAAAAAAAAAAAAAAAAAAAAAAAAAACGAAATGTACAAGTCAACACCGACAGTAATTCAGCATAGAGTCTTTGCAACGGGCGAGAAGTTCACAGCCATGTACCTTCGACAACGCCATCGCCATTTGCGTCCAAATGATCAAAGAAACGATCGAACTTGGCCTTTTCGTCGGGGGTGATTTCCCATGGAATAGAGTCAGCGGAAAGTCCGCCCGTGTTCTGCTTGGCAAGAGGACTGGAGCTCAAACTCATGGACCCAGTCATCTGACGCGTAACGGCAGGGTTCTGAATGCCCAAGCTTCCGCCGGTGACCTGTCGTGCAAGGGTCTGGGCACTCAAAACAGGGGATGACATTAATCCTACGCCGGCAGCAGATCCTGCAGCCGCCTTCAGCACTGATGGAGGAAGGGTTGTTGGGAGTGTGCTGATAGATCCGTCCATGGTCCGCTGAATGTAGAACATGGCGATCGTAAAGTCGGTAAGGTCCAGAGATCCTCGTAACTTGGTGTCAGCAAGACCCCCAGCAGTAATTCAAACGAACACCATCTTATGAGTCGGCATTGTTCTCTAGAAAGAGCTTGAGTGTCATATGTATATATATCAAGGCCCGGGCGTACCAAATCTGACCCAGTTTGTCAACGGGAAGCTTGGACTTTAAAAAGACCTCACGAGCTTTGTCGCCATCCACCAGTCCACCAACGGGTCCGACTGCCATAAAAATGTTGGCGTATTTAGTCCTGTCGCTCTCTGAGATTGTAGGATCCGATCCTGTTGAGTGTGACACGATGGAGGTCGATCCAAAGAGAAGAGAGTTTGTCATGGCAAGGGTAATTCCCTCAAAGTGAGGAGGAGGGGCAACTATGTCGTGGTAGGAGCAGATACAAAATAATGTACGACACGTTAGGTACCACAACCGTCTATTCCTTATGCTAGTATCGACTATACATCCATGGGAAGGTTTTGTTATCCCGTGTTTTCTCTTGACAAGCGGGACGCTGTTTGTAACATAAGCAAGCATATCGTTACCTATATGAATGAGGTCGCGCATAGGGGTCTTGCCGTCCTGGGCATGAGCAATCAACCTTACCGCAACATTGAATCCCCGTTGGCCAAGAACGCCCTTATCGTCCGAGTCCGCCAATAACCAAATCTAAAAGAAGAGCATTTACATAACCAATGTCCAGGGAAAGGTTAACTATCATAACATAAACGGTTGCAGACTATTGCCTTGCGGAATAATTATTCAATGTATTTTGCCTGTGCAAGAGTCTGAGAAGGGAGTCCCGACTTTGCGAACAAGGAGACTGCATCAGTGCCGGTAATGAACCCACACTGGTTCACGTCGGCGGCAGCCCAGAGTTGATCGTACACTTGCTTCTCGCGTGCTGACAGAGCAATGGTATCTAGTACCAAGTAAGAGAAAGAGGAGAGCGTGAGAGGAGGGTGAGAACAAAGGATTATGTCATGTCTTTTCCGGCCTGCATTTGGTACTTAGTCCTATATTGACAGGTGTGCTGTCATTTTCGATTCATAGTCCAGAACATATTAGTGCCCCTTAGCGAGGAAGAAGCTCTGTGGCGGAGCCTGGTTCGCTTCCTGAAGCGTGGTTAACACTTAACACTATCCTGACTCCTAGGCTGGCTGGACTGCTTGTTCAAAATCGAGGGCGGACTTTTTGTTGGTTGGTGTCGGTTGGTCAGACAAAGTGACAGGATAGCACTGGTAGAGAGGTGAAATAGGGTGTACCTGGGCGACGAGGGCTGTTGGTGATGTCTCGAGACATTGTGAGAAGGAGAGAGATGGAATGTGGGCAAAGGAAGAAGAAAGGGAGCAGTGGGAATGGAAGGAATGGAAGGCGGATGGTGATGGGAGGACGTTGGCGTGTGCGAGTGTGTTGAGAATGTGGGTGACGGAGGGAGTAGGATGATGAGTAAAGGTGAGTGAGGGAAGAGGGTCGTGGTCCGTGGCTGACAAGAAGAAAAAGGGTGCCTGTGGCAAAGTCGAAACCCTTTGTGTGTCAGATAACGGCTGTGATTGGTTGTTTGATTGATGGGCACAGTCCACCCTTTCAATATGCGTGTCAATCTTGGGTTCCCAAACTATCCCGCGTCCTCATACCATCCCTCGATCCCATAGGTAAACCCGCGTTGTCATGCCATAATATGCCGCGACTCCATAAGACAACTCGCGACCTCATCATATAAAAATGACGAAATACAACAAGACGAAATGATAAGAACGTCCCACACAAACTGCCTCCACCAGCATATACCAGTGCTAAGGAGGTCATCCGCCACCCAGAGTCATTGCCATGCCGGCCTACCTTAAATAAAAAGGGTGGGCGGAGCATGGCCGAGATGAGGGGAGTGATGGTGACCTGTCTAGGCCCTCTCCCGGCACCCTCTTGGCACTGACGAAGAAAAGATTATCTAGTTAGTAAAAAGTTTGCGCCGCGAAGTTAGTAGGTGATTCATGACGATCAAATAAGGCAAAAGAGGCGGGAGAGTGTGGGGAAACAGAATGTGGAAGAAAGAAAATGAAGGAAAGGGAACGAAACAAGAACAAGGCAGACGCGCATCCCAACAAGGAACACGAGGAAAAGAAGTAGGAGGGGAAGAGAAACAAAGATACGCATGCGCACCCTCCTTCTGTTCTCTGTTTTTTTTTAAAAAAAAGGGAAAGTTATTCTTACCAGGTATCGCTGAAACTGCTAGTGGGGTCCAAACGGCAGAGGCAGGTGCTAAGTGGAAAGCCAGCAGAGAGTGGCGAAGATCATTTACCGTCAGCATGTTTCCTTTCATTTGACTGCACAAACACCGCTGTTACTCTCAACAAGCGGAAGTCGGGACGGACAAGTAAGTTCAGGCGGGAGAACAAGTTCAGAAGACATGACAGCTGTTTTGTTTAACAAGGTGTTCATAATTTAACCATGGTTGTTTATTGAATCCAAACGATAAGAACGACTATGGCGCATGGGAGGAATGAAAGCAAAGGTAATTGGTGCCACCAGAGTAAAGATGTGGACCAGAAATGCACCTGGCAAATGTTCACCTTCTACGACAGAAAAAAAAAACTCTGCCCGACAGCCTTGATGGTAATGGAGGATAGAAGGTGGCTCCTGTCCTGAACATTTATTCCATCTCCACAGTCCACCGCTCCTCCTCAACTCGCCTTTGACTCCTGTAAAGAAAGAGCCCAACGATCAAAACCAACACCATCGCGCCACCAAACGCCCCTCCAGTAATGGCATTGTCCACGGACGACGTAGAGCTCTCGGGTTCTGACGACGGCGGCGGCGACGGTATGATAGGTGAGGGCGGCGAGAGCGAAGAAAAGAGAGATGTCGTTGACATTGGTAGGATGAGTGTTAAAATTGAGAGGGTTGGTGACACAGCGGTTGCGAGTGGCGAGGTTGTGTTTAACGTGTGGATTGAGAGTCCACTACAAATGCAAGTGGAAACGAGGAGCAGGAGTGTGAAGAGGCTGAACGGACTTGTAGAAAGAGGCAAAATAGAAGGTGAGGTATGAAGGAGCCGAGCCATGTTTCAAGAGTTAGGTGACAGAACTGTACAAATGGTGATAGTTGGTGAGTGTTGGGTGGAATGAAGAGAGGGTGGAGAAAAGACGAAGACGAAGAAAAAGGAAAAGAAAAAGTGAATGAAAGATGTGAAATGGCAACATTATATTTTGCATGCCAATCGTCCTACTTCGCCATGTCTTTGCCAGGCATGTAAAAATTCCGCATGCCTATTTATTTTAACTGCGTCAACGCAGTAGCTGACTATCCCAAGAGGTCTCGCCAGTCTCAATAGCAACTACAACTCCAACAACAACCACATAGCAAACAAACAAGAAATAAAAATGTAGGCAGTTCCTTGGGATCGCTCATAAAGAAGCATCGCGCCCAGGTGCTTATTACGCGTCTCGTTTTAGATGTATGGTCATCTCCTGGGTATAGTAGGTGTAAAGGGTGTAGAGGGTGTACTGGCTTGCAATTGTTCGTACTCTCGCCGCAGCCTATCCAGTTCACCCAAATACAACTGCTGCTGTTGTTGAAAAATCTCCGCCTGTTCTTTTTGCTGCTGTTGATAAAGGGCAGCTCGCTGTTGCTCAAGGATCCATTGCCGCCGTAACGTCTCGTCCTCGTTAATGTGCTCTGGAATCGCCATACCGTGTGGATTCCTCCAGGGTTCTCGCAGAGGCGTATCGCTGTATTGAGGGTCCGTCCGTTGAAATCCCTGAAAGTGTACAATGGGTGCATATTCGGGGTTCCGTATTTGATGACCTGGAGGGAAATGGAGCTCCGTTTCCAGGGGTGTAGTCGCCGGATCCCTTCGAATCCTCGTAGATGTCAGAGGATCGACTGGCTCATGAGGGTCGCGCTTTATGGCGTCAAGATCGTATCCTTGTTTCCTGGAATCCTGCCCCTGCGTTTCGTAATCCTGGAGAGAGACTTGATCCTGGAGAGTACGCCACCTGCGGCGCCTGTAGATTATATATCCTGTCATAGCTCCGACAACTACTGCAGCAGCAACGCCGCCTCCAATGATGCCACCCAGATGACTTTTGTCGGAACTCGTACTAGGGCTCTGCCTGCCAGGGGAGAACTGAGTCGTCCATTGTTCGCTGCTGAGGTTGTAAATAATCATGGAGCTCAAGGTGTTATTACCATCCGTTCCTATTATGAATGAAAACGTGTTCGAGAATGTGTCAGTAAACGAGAACACCGCCAACAACTACTGCAATACCCTGTTCATGTCTCTACTTGTTTACCTCCCCAGGCGATAAAGTTGTCCGCTGCGACTGAGCATGCCATAGCTGCACGAAAACCGGAAGAGTCGACCGAAGTACCTTGGCTCCATGTCCATGAAGGGATGTCAAGGATGTAGATGCCTCCTTGTGGAACAATGGTTGCTCCTGTTCCTGTTGACCCGCCAAACACGATCATCTTGTGACCTTCATCTGCCTGAACCATACAGTGGCGGGCAATTTTTCCTGGTGATCCACCCTTAGTTTCCTACCCGTAGAAGTAAACACAAATACAAACATTAGACGAGGTTAGCCTTGGTAATACTATTTTGTGGTCAAGAGATTGAAAGAGAGCGCATGACGATAAAATACATACAATGATGGTCCAGTTCTTTTGTGTTGGATTGTACTCTACGAGTCGATCCGAAAACACTGCTGGTTGCAGGGGCGCCGTTGTAGAGTTGGTTGTAGGGGGCACCTCGTATCTGCCACCATAGACCAGCAAGCTCCCGCGGTATCCACTCCAGACGGTACTATGTCCTGTAAGAACTCGTCCTTCGACCAAGGGGGGCGGCATCGGAGCCGTTGTGGTAGAATTCTCAAAGTCGTTCGATATTGCCGCTTCTGTGGTGTTGAAGACAATCATACCGGTATCCTTCTGATAGACTGCAGGAATGTAAACGAGGTTCGTTCCCGGATCCGTCGCCCCAGACTTTGCGAAGCCAGGGTAAGTCGCAAAAGTACCATTCGCATCACCCGAATCTTGTCGCGCGAGCCATGTCGAACTGGAGAGCTTGTACTCGACTATGCCACTTGATTTGGTAGCGACGTTGTTGCGGTCCACGGAAGACCAGATAATCAGGGATTGACCGGAATCGGCGACGGTCATAAGGTGGTTGGCGGATGAAGGGGCCCCAGTGAAGCCTGCACCGGCGCCAAGAATGGTCCAGGGTGGATTGGAGGTGTTCCAGTTGGGTTGGGTGAGATCCAGGGCGCAGAATTGATTGGCGAAAGGTATTTGCCCTGGGTCGCCTCCTTGGATGTAGAGCGTCTTTTCGTTGACGGTCGCATACGCCATTGAGTGGACGGGGATGGGTGGTCCTGCTGTGACAAGACACAGGATGATGGAAAGGGCAACGATGGCATGGAACATGGTAGGATGGTGATTCAAGACATCCCGATGTCGCATGCGAATGGTTGGAGAAGGAATGAGGCGAAAAGAGGCGTGTGGTGTTGATGGAAAGAACTTGAGAGGAGTGAAGAAAGAAGAGAAATGGAGGCGTGAAAAGGTCAAGAAAGTAACGGAAGGCCCAACAATAACAACAACAATAACAACAACAATAATAACGACAACAGCAAAAGAAGATAAAACAAGAGTAGGTGGACCAATGCGGGTGGTTGATCTATCCCTCCGCCCACACGTTGGATCGCATCGCCCATCGCTCATTGTCTTTTGTTTTTTTTATTTTACGGCCCAATTGTGTGCATGCATGGTCGTGTCCCTTGTCCCTGGAAAATATCCTCTCCGACCCATGTCCGATAGCATGCAAAATGTGTTTGTTTTTTATTTTTCATTTTTGCTCTCAAAAAAAAAAAAAAAAGATAGAGGAGCATGTGGGCCGGTTGCCTTCCTGGCACTCAATGTCCTCCAAGTCGCTCCCACCACTTCATCTCATAAACTGTTCACCCGAAAGATGACATCTTACCACGATGGTCAACTGGGTTGCTGTACGCATATGCCTGAGTTGGAGTATGAGAATGCAGCCAAGGTGAACTTCCAGCGGAACTCATCGAATGAGGGTCTCTAGGCAATTGCTCGTCTGGCGACCACTGCATCGCCGCCTTTACGTCTTGCGGGTCTCGAGAGGAAGCACTCCAGCTCGGCACCTGGTTGTACGTCGTATGAACTGGTTCCCTTGTATGAACCTTTGCTGCTCTGCTCTTTCTGCATTTGAATACAATCCATCCAAGAAGTACACCAATGCAGACGGCAGCGGCAACTCCAACTCCGATAAAGATTCCCAGCTTGTTGTTCGAGTCGACTGCTGTGAAGACATACTGATCTACCCACTGGTTCGACTTTAGGTTGTAGATTAGGGTGGACACATATTGATCCTTTGTGTCGACTCCTAGTGTGGCATTTGATAAACGAGAAGTAGGTTGTCAGTCACCCCATTTCCTTTAACTTTGCATTCAGCTTGTCAACTCTGCAGCACACATACCTCCCCAAACGACAAAATTGTCACCGACGACTGTACAAGCCATGTTGCGACGACCGTTCACTTCTCCTTCGGAAAGAAGGGTCCAGTTCATTGTCTTGACATCAAGTATATATAGCGCACTCGAGTAAATTAAGACTGGATCAGAACCGCCAATGACAGGTTTCCATCCCCCAAACACCACCATCTTTGTTCCATCGTAGGCCGGAACCATGCAATGCGAGGCAAGTTGTCCTTGAACGCCTTCAGTTGGCTGGTGGTAAAATGCCGTAAGGGTGAAAGGAGAGTATGTGAGTATCACAGCCATACCCTCGTCTTTCGCACACATTCTTGGCAAAAAAAACAAGACACACTTACTATCAGCGTCCAATTGTAGGTGGATGGTTGATACTCGAACATGTACTGGTTAAACACGGTGCTATCCTCGACTTGGTTGAATCCGCCAAAGTAAAGGAACGACTTTCGGAGTTCGCTCCACACGAAACTGTTTCCCATGTTCAGGAACGAAAGCATCGTGACGGGGTACATTGGGACGACATCCGTGTTTGCCGTAACAGGGTCATAGACCAGCATCCCTGCTCCCATGTTGACTCTCCCAGGCACATAGATGAGTCCAGTTGTAGGATCGAGGGCTAATGACATCTGTCCACCAAATACATCTGGGTTGAGATGGCCCAGGGTGTTATTAGTCCAGACTGACGTTACATAGTCATAAGTAGAGAGTCCTGTGAATGTGCTCCATACGATCAGCTTCTTGCTGTCCTTGGTGGCGGTCATGGCGTGATAGTAAGTAAAGGGAGCAGAGTAGTTCCCTGCACCAACGGGGAGGACCTTCCAAGGTGGACTAGAGGCGTTCCAGCCGGAGATCGTGAGGTCGAGCGAGTAGAATTGGTTGTTGTAGTTGGAACCTCGTTGTGCAGTTCCTCCTTGGATATACAAGGTTGTTTTATCGACAGTCGTGTAAGCCATACAACATAAGACAGTTGGGGCCTGAGCTGAGGCAAAGGCGAGCAAGTTGACGATTGTCGCTAACAGAATGAGTGATGTCCGCATTAGGATGTGTGCGATGCCGATGCTGGAATCTGTCGAAAGGAGATCGATGAGTAGTTGATGTGGTGACGAGAAGGTTAAAGAGTGAAGAAATGGAGGCGATAAAAGGAAAAAATGCAAAGGGTCAGTCAATGCAAAGTAAAGAAACGCCTCGTCCCTTGTCGACCTGGAAATCATCGCTTCTCTTTCGCCCCTAACCTTAACGAACACGTTGTTCTCAAGATTGTCCGTAGCCCATCGCTCCTCCCTCTCTGAAGGCACACTCAGCCCCTGCTGTCCACATCTATCCCGACAATCCTCGCAGACTAATTGCTAATTCGCGATCTGGGTGTCCGTTTATTACTAATTTGTTAGAATTGGTTCCTGGTTCCTGGCAGGATAAGACACTGCTGTGCTGTCGCGAGGATCAAGACTAATAAGGTTGCTGTCAATAGTGATCAATCAGCTACCTTTGCTTGATCCTAGCGATATAACAGCCTTCCTCTTTCTGTAGTCACTTTCTCATCCAAATATGTGAAATGCTCCCATGAGCGTTTCCTACGCTCAACGACGACATTCTCTCCTTTTTCTTTTAGTTCACGGCGATGAAGGTTGCACAACAGTACTGCAACAAGTCGGGTTCCAAATGCCACGCTTTCCTTTCTCATTTTCTCACACCTCTGAATCTCATCTATTTATTTTTCTTCGTTCATCTCAATCAACCTTCATCACTGATTTCTTTGAATCTCCCATTCAACATTCCTTACTTGCATTGACTCACAACTCGACAACGACTACCTCACTTTTTCACAACAACGATGCCTGACACTCGCAGCAAACCTACCGTGCTCATTGTTGGCGCCGGTCTGGGAGGCCTTATGCTCGGAGCCCTCCTCGAAAGACAGGGTGTCCCATACACAATCCTCGAGCGAGCAGCCGCTGTCAAACCCTTGGGTAGGTTGGCAGCAACGGTTACCCAAGAGCCATAGGCAATAGACAACATGAGAACATCCCACTACTGCTCCCTCTCCTTCCCTGTTGACCGTTAGACTACTTACAACACCTATTCTATTTTTAATGCATAGGATCTGCTATGACTGTGGGACCCGTACTTTTGGCCATCTTTCAGCAGCTCGGTATCTATGATGAGCTGCGCGCTGTTGGCAAGTACATGACACATATCAAGATGCACAACGAGTCCTTACAAGCACTCAAGCCTACCGACTACACCCCTGTGGAAGAGCAGTAAGTCGTCGTGAAAGTGCTTTACTGCGCTGCAGAGATATGACAAGGTTGTGCTTTTTTGTTCACACATACCATTACTTTATCAACCACTAGGACTGGCTATGGGTTCTATGTGGTGGCACGTCCGGTGTTATACGAACTCATCCTCAAACTGGTTCCTCCACGCAATATCCTCTTTGACAAGAAAGTGGTCAGTATTTCCGAAACAGACGAAAAGGTTACAGTCAGGACAGGCGACAATGCCGCGTACGAAGGCGATGTTTTGGTCGGAGCCGATGGGGCTCACAGCACGGTTCGTCAACATATGTACGAAGCATTGGAGAACGAGGGCAAACTACCAAAGTCGGACCAAGAGGACCTTCCCTTCAGCTGTACGTGTCTTGTGGGTCAGACTAGGGTGCTCGATCCTGAAGAGTTTCCTCTGCTCAAGGACCCTGTGTGTCAGTTCCTGTCAGTCATGAGCGATGACAAACCCTACTCTGTAAGTTTATTCGATTGAGCAGGCTGTTTGTTTGTTTGTTTGTTTGTTTGATTGTTGAGATGATTCTGACAACGTTAATGTACTTTTTGTTTGTATTATGAACTAGTGGGCGACCTTCACAACAACAGACAACAAACTGGCGTTCATGGTAGTGAACTACCTCGGGACAAAATCGAGCAAGGCAGCTATAGAGAGGCGACAGGATGCGAGCGAGAGGGAAGAGTGGGGACCATTTGCAGCTCAAGCAATGTGCGAGGAGACATCCGAGTTCCCGGTGCCTATTGGAGATGGGACGATGACCCTCGGCGATGTTTATGAGTTGACGCCCAAGGATATGATCTCCAAGGTCATGTTGGAGGAAAAGGTGTTTGACACCTGGTACTCTGGTCGCATTGTCTTACTGGGCGATTGTAAGTGTACTCTTGAAATATGGAATCATGGTGGTATGACCTTTATTCGAACCCTTGACAAACCAATTCTCACTTTGTCACATCCTCTTAGCTTGCCACAAATTGAACCCTGCTGGCGGACAAGGTAAGCGATGTTCTCTCCACTGTAACAAGGATGCGCAGGACGTAGTATAAGATGTTACTCACCTTATCCTTGCTTTGTTTTTTTTTATATTTCCAGGAGCGGCCAATGCATTCCATGACGCCGTGGCATTAGCCAACCTCCTCTACGCCATGCCCACAACAACCTCCCAGGACATCACACAAATCTTCATAGAGTACCACGCCGAGAGACATCCAGCCGCCAAAGAGTCATTCGAGAACAGTCAACTTTTCAGCAAGATCATGGACCGAGGCATCGGAGGAGCTATTGCATTGTTTTTTGTCACTCATACACCGTTCTGGTTGTGGAAGATCTTACTTGGCAAGACAGTCCGATTCCGTCCTCAAATTGGGTTCATCCAGGTTATTCCGGCAACTGGGTCAATCCCTTCTGCCGTCTCGCCGAGTACTGAGAAAGCCAAGGCTGTGTTTGAGAGACTGCAGCAGCCATCGGGAGTAGCATGAGAATTTTGATGCGGTACCTTTGATAAGGGTATCGTGCTGAAATAAAGATGCAATTCCACCTCACAACTCCGTCCTCCTAGTTATATTGGTTTGTATCCGTGCATGTCGATTTCCTCGTTGTTCAAAGAATACATGCAAAAACCATACCATCCATGCTATGCATGTCACAAAAATAGCTCCTGATCGTAACCACTTACCATGCGATACAAGTACCACGTTCTCACCTTCCTACTCGCTCTCTTACCTTCGTTGTCATGTGTGAGACAGGACTGATGGGAAAGGAAAGAAGGTACATAAGGTTTTTGTGCCTGTGGACAGAATACCCTTTGCTGGATTTGAATATCATACATTGCAGTGCGTAATAATAAAAACGAGCTCAATATACGGGGACATGGTGCCATTGTAATCCTCTCTTTTCATCCATTGTGAATCGCACTAATGGATCGCATTACCGGTTAATCAGATGAATACGGATGCACCTTTCGCTCTCTTTTGGCGCCAATTCCTTTATCTCTTTCTTCTTTCCTTCTTTGTTTCTTTCTTGCGTTCCTCACTCGTTCTCTTCCATTCACACAAAAAAAAACAACGAAAAACTTCAAATCAACCATGACAACAACCAACGAGAGACCACACGTACTCATTGTGGGAGCAGGGCTTGGAGGGCTTTTTCTCGGAGCTCTCCTCGAGAAAGCCAACATTCCCTACACCATATTCGAGCGTGCAACTACTGTGAAGCCTCTAGGTGAGTGATGATCTACCTTTGCCATGCGGAGTAGTACAACGTGCCGGCAGTAGGAACTTACTCGCATATGTACCGTCTCTTTTTCTTTTTTTTTTGTTCACAATAGAGTCGGCGATGTTCATTATGGCACCAATGTTGACTTTGTTCGCCCAACTCGAAATCTTGGACGAGTTTATTGCAATCTCCAAGGAGCTGTCGACGTTCTCTACGAACCGTGAGTCAGAAGGACCCTTCTCCACTCTTGACTACTCCGCCATGGAGGCCATGTAAGATATCTTCTTAATTTTTTTCTCACCCCCTATGTCTGCAACGAAAAGAAAAAAAAATACCAAAGCTAAATTCTCACCATCGATACCATTCATGTATGTCCATTAGTACGGGATACCCAGGCTACATAGTCTCAAGACCCATGTTCTACAACCTCCTTCAAAAGCAGATTCCCGCCACCAAGATCCTCTTTGGAAGGCGAGTCACCAACATTTTGGAAATGGAAAGCAAGGTTATGGTCCAGACCGCAGACAACCGGATGTTTGAGGGTGATATCCTTGTTGGCGCTGATGGTGCTTACAGTACTGTTAGGCAAAGGATGTATGAGACATTGAAGCAACAAGGTCGGTTGCCAAAGACGGATCAGAAGGATTTGCCTTTTAGTTGTTCTTGTCTTGTTGGACAGACACGATCGCTGGATCCGGAAGAGTTCCCGGTCTTGAAGGAGGAGCATAGTCGGTATTTTTTGACACTTGCACACGATCAGCCTTACTCTGTAAGTGTACTTTCACTTTGTTTTTTTTCAACTATGAGGTATGAGAGAGAAAGAGAGAGAGATGAAAAGATACCTCGTGTCTGACACGCTTCTTTTTTCTTGCTGCTCATGAATAGGTCGCGGTGTTCACGACAAAACAAAATACTTTTGCATGGATGATTCTGCACCGCCTCGAAAAATCCACGTCCAAAGCATCCACGGAACAGCAGTTCAAGACAAACGAAAGCACTGAATGGAGCAACCCCCATACTACGACAGTCATGTGCGACAAGACCCGTAACGTTGTTCTCCCCATTGTTCGGGCGGGCGAGGATGGTGGAGACAACAGCAACACGACGCTGACGATCGGAGAACTTTTTGACAGGACGGACAAGGAATTGATTTCAAAGGTCAAGTTGGAGGAAAAGATTTTCACGACTTGGTCGGCTGGGCGCACTGTCCTCCTAGGCGATGGTAAAAACCTTCCTTCCACGTTCTTCTTGTGCTGCTCGTGGATCGATACTCGATATTAACCTATGCCCATTACAACCCTAATTCATTCTGTAGCTTGCCATAAGTTACATCCCGCTGCTGGGCAAGGTGAGTTCAATTGGGCAACACACACCATTGTCCATTCTCCAACAAGCAAATCAACCAGAAAAAAACTAACACATTCTCACGTTCTCTTCACTATCCACAGGCGCGGTGAACACAATACAGGACGCGGTCATCCTCGCCAACCTCATCTACACCCTCCCTTCCATATCGAACTCCTCCATTACGAACATGTTCAAAGCCTATCAAGACGAGCGCATGCCCGCCGTCCAAGCTTCCTACAAATCCAGTCAAATCGGTACCAAGATCATGTCCAAGGGCTTCTCAGGCGCGGTGGCGAGGTTTATATTTGGACATTTGCCAGATTGGTTGTGGAGGCTGCAATTGGGTGCTGCATCGCGATATACTCCTTCTGTTGGATTCTTGAAGAAGCCCGAGAGCAAAAAGGAGGAGCGGGGTGGTGGTTCCGGACATTTCGGAAAGCGCTGATAGGGGGCGAGATAGAGGTTATTTTGAGGAGTACCAGGTTGTGGGGGTATGACACCTCTTTTAACGGGTTTTTTTAAAGAGAGATCTTGAATAAAGCTGCTTGCTCAGTTTGTGGTCTCTTTTCCATTCCCATGAACCAAGATCCAGGCTCAGCCTCAGAAAGAGGAGTAGAAGAGGGATGGGTTGACAATGAACCTTGTGGTTTTCATTACAATATGTATTATGGAGAGAATGCTAGCTCTATTACGCACCACTTTCACTAGCATCAATAGAGGACTACCGGGTATAAGCCTCAGACCTGAGGGCATCCAGCTGCCTCTGATACTCCAACTGCTGCAACTGAATCTCCGCTAACGCTTGCCGTTCCTGATCCACCTCCGCCCTCTGTCTCCTCATCCACTCCTCCTTCGACTCCCTTCTCCCTCCTCCTCCACCCGACCCGACAAGGGTACCAGAGTGATCTGTCGTGGTGGGCGACAACAACTGGACAGTATCCGATTTCTCACTGTTGGATCTCGAGATGCTCTTTTCTTGAGACCTCCGTTCCTGTTCGAAAAGTTGGTGTTGGAGACTCATGACTTCGTGTGGGTCTCTGGGTGGGTTGCCAGTAGCAGGTCCTCCTCCGCGGTTGCTCAGGCGCTTGGATGCACGATTGGGTTTGTTGTTCATGTTGACGTTCTGGATCCGACTGAAACCCGTGCCGCCGTTGTTATGCCTGCGTCTGCGGAGACAGATGAAAATACATGCGCCGAGGAATAAAAGGCCAAGAGATGATGCTACGCCGGCAATGATGGAGATTGTCCTCCTATGAGCGTTGCTGGTACTGTTTTCACTGTTGGTGTTGTCGTCGCCGGTATTGGTGGGTGTGGGGCTCTCTACTGGAGTGGTGGATATGGGTGTTGGTGTATCCAGCAAGAACTGATTTGTCCACTGGTTGCTCCTGAGATCAAACACTGCAGTGTCCAAGAATGTGTAATTAAACGATTGTCCTATTCAAGCCCAAGGACACAAAATTCGTGTCAGTAAATAATAATATCACAAGGAGTCATACAATAGGCCAAAAAAAAGGGGGGGAGAATGTACCTCCCCAGACGACAAAGTTGTTTCCAGCGGCTGTGCACGCCATGTTTCGACGGAACTGAGAGTTGCCTGGTGGCGGAGGACCCTTAGTCCAGGTCAGTGTGGCGATGTCGAGAATATAAACATCTCCCTGAAGTGTACTATTGACGTCGACGAGTGTTCCTCCGTACAGCACCATCTTGCTGCCTCCTTGAGCCGCAACCATACAGTGCTCCGTCAATGTAGGTGGTCGCTGACCCTTTGTCGTCTATTTGAAAGCAAAACAGGCATTAGTCAGATGCAGAAGGACAGCTGCAACAGTTGCACAAAATATTTTCAAAAGAAGGGACGTACTAATCTCCGCCATTTGGATGTGGTGGGCAAGAACTCGAGAAGGTTGGGGTTGGCAAAGGGCTTCGTTATATTCCGATAGTTGGCACCTCCATGGAGCAACATACTCTGTCTGACCCCATTCCATGCCCATGCATACTGTCCCACTGGCAATTTCAACAACTTGACCGAAGGCATAGGCGTCGAAGTCGTAGCTCCCGTCACAAAGTTGTACACCATCATCCTCGTGAAGTTGTTCATCGCACTCGGGATATACACCAACCCCGTGTTAGGGTCCGTCGCAGCATGGTACCCAAAGAACCCTATCCTCACCCCTGCCGCAACTCCCTTGCCTGCCCAAACACCCGTGCCGATGTCATACGTGGCTAGCCCAGTCCGCATCCCCCACTCCATCAACTTGGTATCGTCCTTCGAAATTGCCATCGCCAATCCTTCATCAACAGGTGAAGAACCTGAATTCCCCGCACCGACCGAAAGCGGTTTCCAGGGCGGCACGGTAGTGTTCCAAGGTTGTGAAAGGTCGAGAGAAAAGAATTGATTATTCTCGTGGCTATGAGCGCCAGCCCCGCCTTGGATGAAAAAGGTCTTTTGGTCGTGAGTTGTTGCGTAGGCCATACAGCAGAGGGGGACAGGGATCTGAGCGGAGACGAGGGGTGTTAGGTGTAGGGTGGAGAGTGATGCTACAGCGAGGGAGATTAGGAGGGTGGTATGGAAGGGCGACATCTTGGTACGGCGGTGGGAGGGGGTGGATCTGCGAGAGGAGTAAGTGGAGGAGTAAGTGGAGGAGGTCATGACTGCATGCGAGGGATCTTGTGAGAAGAGAGATGAGAAAAGAGAGTGAGAGAGAGAGTGAGTGGAGTAAAGGTGAAAGAAGATGAGGCAGTGGTGGTGTGGGCTTAGAGGAGAAGAAGAAGAGAGAGAGAGAGGAAAGGGTCGAAAAAAAATAATGTTGCAAACGCAAACAAAGGAAGCAACCCTGCCTCACATCGTCGCACCGCCACATGGTCGTATTGCCTTTTGGGACAATTGGACGATCTGGACACACTCTTTGTCGACTTTTTAGTTCTGTAAGCAGAGCTCTCATTTGGAAACAGCAGCAAAAACACACGCCGTCCTTTTTTGCATTTTTTACATGTGTCTAGTATTCGCGTTATTGAGATTCTCTAATCGTTGGTACTCTATCCTCAACCGATCGAGTTCATCCAAGTATAGCTGTTGTTTTGCTGCAAGAGACAATGGTTGATATTGCTGAAGTTGCAGCAATTTTTGTTGTTGTTGTTGTTGTTGTTGTTGTTGTTGTTGTTGTTGTTGTTGTTGTTGTTGTTGCAACTGTATCATCCGTGCCTGTGCCTGTGCCTGTGGACTGACAACCACCATCCTTTGGTTAACATTATAGTTCTGTGGTTGACTATGCCGCACATACGCATCCTCCTGAGGCGCACCCATCCGAAACTGAGGACCCCTCGGTTGCTCTGAAGCAGGTATTGCCTCGTAAAGCAATCGAAGGCCAAACTGGGGGTTGTTGTTTTCTCGTGTTGCATTGTTCTGTAGGTAGAATAAGTCGTTTTGAACCTGTGGGGTGATATACTCTGGATGTCTGGGTTCCGGTGAGTACTTGAGCGATTCTAGTGTAATGGCCTGAGGGTTGTGCTCGTCTGGTTCCGAGGGTGGCTGTTTGAGTCGGTACTCCTTTTCCCGTCCTTTCGTGTTTCGCCGTCGGTGGATAACTACACCTACAAGGCCAAGTACCACAAGAGCAGCGGCAACTCCTCCGATGATTGCACCAGTGTTGTTGCCATGAAGGACGAAAGTGTCTGTCCAAACGTTATCTTTGATGTTGAAAATAACTGTCGAGTCCAGCATATCCGCCTCGTTTTACCTATGCATGCAAATCGTCGGTTACCATGCTCTACTCTATTGTAAAACATAAACTACCGCTCCTCTTCATAGATTCAACCCGCGCTTACCACCCCAGACAACAAAGTTATCACCGGCGACAGTGCAGGCAGCACTTGAACGGCTCAGAGGGTTATCAATATCGGGACCTTGCGTCCAGGTCAGAGTCGGGACATCCAAGATAACGATAGAGCCTCGAGGATGCTCCAGATAGAGCTCGCCACCAAATACGACCATCTTCCCACCATATGCTATCAGGGGTAAAGTAAGCGTGTTTGTGTCAGTTACAAGTGCGAAGAAAGGTTTGTTTGCAGCCAGCAGAGTAAAGGAAAATGAATGGGGTTTCTTGCGCACCTGATGCCATGCAGTGGTAAATGACGGGTCCGGGCGATGGTCCTGACGTTGTCTAAACCACACAAGAGAGACACAGGCAACACTGGTTAATTTTTGCTTGGAGCGAGATCTTTGACAATCGGGCGGTCTTAAAAGAGTGAGCTTACCAGACGGGCCCAATTGTTGGTCAGGGATGAGTACTCGATCAGGTAAGGGTTGCTGTATTTGACCGGTTTATTATCACGGTCGGGGTCTGCATCGTCACCGCCGTAAAGAAGCATACTCTTCCTGTGAGCACACCACTGGAACGAGTATCCGCTGATAGTGCCATTGATGACAGACTGTGCTGGCATAGTCAGGTACGTAGGAGAGTTGGTTGTAGGATTGTACACAAACATGCTGGTTCCATTGGCAGACCCGCTTGGAGAGTATATTAACCCTGTGGACGGATCTGTAGCAGACTGCAAGATTTCCTTGCGGTACTTGGAGGTGATTTCTGGGAGTGGTCGCTCTGTGAGCCAGAGCGCCGATGGGACGTCGTAGGTAAAGATGGTCCGGTTCTGCTGAACCCAAAAGGTCAGTCGCTGTCCGTCTGGAGAGACGGTCATGGAGTGATAGGCTGCTGAGGGGGCGACGGCGAAACCACTGCCCCCCCGAAAGGGGTACGTAGGGGGGATCGGAGGTCTTCCAGCCAGAGATGGTGAGGTCCAACGAGAAGAACCGAGGAAGGCCTGTTCCTTGGGAGGCGCCACCTCCTTCGACGTAAAAGATTTTCTCGTTAAAGGTGGCAAAGGCTGCACAGCAGTAGGCGTTGGGAGACCATGCGAGGGTAAAAGTTGGGAGGAGTAATGAGGGAAAGAGGAGTAAGAGAGTGAGAGGGATGAGTGTGGTGACGGCAGTTGTTGATGGTCCCATGCGCTGCCGCTGCATGGTCGAGTGATGGTGGATGAGGATGGATGGCAGAGGCGGAACTAGGAGATTGAAAAAATAAAAATGCTTCGAGTTGATTTGGCGAGATACCTGTTTTGCATTGCTCTTTTTTTTACACTTGAACACAAAGGTAAAAAATGAAAGAAAACGGGCTTGGGATGTGCATGTTGGTGACCCTCGGGATAGACGAGTGATCTTTCGCGAGAGAATGGTGGCGCGATCGATCAGTGTTGGTTCTTGGAGGACGAAGCGCGTCCCTCTTTTTTGTTCCTGAGACGGTATGTTGAACATCAATTACATCATAATTCATCATTTCAACGCGAAAAAAGAATTGCCCAATGGTCACGTGTATTGATCAGACGGAAAGCAAGCTTCCGGCAAAGCACCCTTTTGAACATTCAACCCTTCCTCCCTGTTTCCTTGTTTCCAAGATCACAACGAAAACGACATGTTCTCTCCAGCAAGGATCGCATCCGCAACACTCTCGACAGCGGCTCGTTCAGCTCGATCACTCTCTGGACGCACAACTCTCACCGCTGCATGCACCCGACATGCTGCATGGCAGTCCAAAGCACCAGCCACTGTCGGCACTAGCACTCGCGCCTACTCCAGTGCCCAAGGAAGAAGAGGTATCCGGAACCTCCCTCTTGCCGCCGTGGCTCTTATCCTTGGAGGCTTGACATTGACAGGTGCAGGACTCTGGCAGTTCTACACGTCGGGCGTCAATGCCTTTCCCGAGGACATCAGGAACGATCTTCGCAAGGCGCTCTACTACCAGAACTATGGCGATGATCGCGACAAGGCTGTTGGATACTACCGTTCGGCACTCAATGCGGCTATGCAGCATCCAGACTTGAAAGTGGACGGACCCGAGGTTACGGGAATTATGATTCAGCTCGGTACAATGTTTCAGGATATGGGACGTACGCAGGAGGCGATTGATGTGTTGGTCATGGCGTTTGAGGTTCTGGTCCACGGACGGACCTTGGGGACTAGCAACGAGAGCACCACTGCGAGAAACGCACAGCAGCAGCAAGAAAGCGGTGTCGGCGGCGGATTTGACAACGACGGCGAGCAGCAGCATCTGAGCCAGGAACACGATCAATCATCCTCGTCGTCAGTACATGCACACGGACCTCATGTTATGGATGGACCTACGCGTCTCAAGACCGTCGGAATCGCTCAAAAGCTCGGAGATCTGTACCATGCCCTCAAAAAGGATCAGCAAGCAGAGCGGTACTATCTCTGGTCGGTCGAGCAGCTGATGAAAAACCACGATCAGATCCTGGCACGGTCACCAACTCACAGCTCGGACGAAGAGCGGTTGCAGAATGCTAGGGATCGAGAAGCGATGCGGAAGCAGTTCAGCTTTGATAACTTACCTTCGTGGATGACCAAGACTGATCTTGGAGCGAGTCTTGAAGCCTTGGGAGGTTTCTATACCAGCAAGGGCGTCTACTCGTACGTGTTGCACATCATATTTTTCAATTGTTCGTGCAAACCCGTCGCTTATTATTTGCGTTATTCATGGTTGTCGCTTGTTTTGGTTGTTTCTTCTAGGAATGCTCTTCCACTCTACATGCGCGCATTGTCATTGATCGACCCCAACTCCTGCCACGCCGCTGTGTTGATGTAAGTTCTTCCTATGTATATTTGTGTTTACTTTACAGTTAATAAGGAACCAAAGATACAAGGTTTATTAAACAGGCCTGTACGATTGTCTTATTAGGTGTAATATCTCGGATGCGTTTGCTGGACTCGGAAACATCGAGGATGCAACGGGATGGGCTGAACGTGGATTGAAGGTCGGAAATGCGCAGAGCGGACAGGAGTGCGACGAGGGCTGTGGTGTTATCCTTTACAACCTTGGCATGCTTCACGAGGTAATACGTCTATTCAACCCGGATCGAAAAAAGTCGACGATTGATATTTCCACATACTGACATATCCGTGTTCTTTCCTCCTTCCCCTTTTGTGGCTATAGATGAAGGGTGATGTGATGAAGGCTAAGGATTACTACAAGCAGTCGAAGCAGCATGGGTTGAAGACAGGGTTCGACCAGTGCATTGTTGAGTCGAACAAGGCTCTGAAGCGGATGAGGGAGGCCAACGAGGGTTCTCAAGCGTAGATTTTTTTGATGTATTCAATACAATAATACAATGTCGTTGTTTACTACTGTATGGAATGGGGTTTGGTGTGCGCAATAACAATAGAAAAGGGGGGTTAGGAGATGTGTTGTTATCGATGAGTGCATCTACGGTGTTTGTGGGAGAGTGAATATGGGCTGTTGTGTTTGTTTGTATGATTACTACAACTGCTACTTTGCGCTCATATTTCAGCGTTTACACCTTCGAAGAGAAGAGAGATGGCGTATCGTTCAACCGGCCGCGGTCTCGTTCGAAGTGGAACCTTGAATTTTCTTTTCTCTTCCTTCTCTCTCCTTTCCCTTTCCCCATCTCCTTCGTTCTTCACATCACACCCATACCTTCAATCGACTTTTTATTCTTCTTCTTCTTCCCCTTCCTCTTCACACCTCCTTCACCCTTACTCCCTTCTTCGTACATTCTGACCCTCCTCTCCTTCTCAATCACTCCCATCACACCACCTCCCTATCATCCTCAGCCCTCCCCTTCATACTCTTCTTACTCTTCACCACTCATACCCTTTCCCGCCCTTTTCCCTCTTCCCTAACCACACGTCACACCCTCCAACAAATCTCTCACAACCACACCTACCCATGGCTTCATTCGGAGGTCCCATCACTCGCGACAACACCGGCACCGTTCGCCGTCGTGGTATGTCTCCTCTCTTTTCTCTTCAAGCATCACCAACAGGAAATATGAACAGTCGGCTTGGTTGAAATAGAACGTTCCAGGACACACGTCATACAAAAGTCGACCACAAACGGGTTATCTTCGCTCTCTCCCACACTGAGCAGAGCTCTGTCTGCCACTCTTTCCATCACCCACCTTTCATGATACAGCAAATACAACACAACAACAGCAGCGACATCCGACAATAACAGAACCCTAATGGCAAGAAGGAGGCGCAAGAAAAGAAAAAACCTCAAAGCCATTCGAGTGCATTAGCAAAAGACAGGGTAACTGACGTGTACTTTGCTCCTTCTACTAGAAATCACCTTGACGACACGCGAAAAGCAGTTGTATGGTCAACTCTGGGCTGCCGCCGATACTGACCAGAGCGGTTTTATTACTGGTGCAGACGCAGTGCCCTTCTTTGCAAAGTCGGGTCTCTCTCCTCAAATACTTGGACAGGTAAAATTCGCTAATGCTAATGCTAATGCATACAGTTCAGGAGTTCTATTATAACACTCAAAGGCAGGACAAGACATACCAAAAGGGCGAGGCTCTCAAACGAATGGCCACTGATGCACCCAACATCCAGCTCAGTACGGCTGTGATCGCACACCCTCAAGGAAGAGACGCCAGGAAAGCTTGAGAACATAGCCAACACAAAACAAAAAACACTGTGTTGGGTTGCACTTGGTCATCCTTGGAGCGGCATTGAGGCAGACGTCGTGTGCGCCAGTGCGATATGAGCGTCAGCACACTGAGGGAGACCGAATCGTCGGCTCTCATGTCTATTTCAATAATTGCCCTTTTACCAGATATAATTATCAAACAGCTCCAGTGCAAGCCAGGCTCAGTCAGGTACCATTCAAGAAGTTATTAACCTCCCCTAGAAACCTTGGTTGTCCAATTGTTCTTTTTAGATTTGGGTATTGGCTGACACCGACAACAAGGGAGTCCTTGGCCAACAGGGATTCAGTGTTGCCGTCAAGTTGATTGCTCACGCCCAGAACGGCAAGACCCCGTCGATCGCCCTTATTAACGCAGGTAAACATCATGTTGCCTTTCTCAGCTTTCTCAAGTGGACAAGAGGAATATAAGGACAACAGTAGCTACACCAGACATGCCAGGAGAACATACAGGATGACAGGATGACACGCAAGCAGTAGTCGGTTGCGCTCTCGACTATTCCCCTCGAGTTTTGAATACCCGAGAGCAAAGGCGGAAGAAAAGAAGAAGTACGAGACATTCAGAGCAAGCAACGACAATAGCGACAGCATCGATAACGGTCGGTCCTCAGGAGACAAATTACAGTCATCAACGTTACCGCAAACCATTATAAACAACTCACAAAGAGAACAACGACTGAAGACATACAAACGGTGAAAACACACCTCGGTGTCTTGTTACCGCACATCATGGAAACTAAGCAACGAATGCCTAACATTCATACATTTATTTGTCCATTCGCCATTGTCACAGACGCCCCTCTCCCTCACTTTGATGGAGTTACCCCTGCCAAGACGGACTCCCCTCTCTCTGGATCGACTCCCGTTGTATCACACTCAACAGGATCGGATCCTACAATCTCAGAGAGCGACAGGACTAAATATGCCAACATGTTTATGGCAGTCGGACCTGTTGGTGGACTGCTGGATGGCGACAAGGCTCGTGAGGTCTTTTTAAAGTCCAAGCTTCCCGTTGACAAGCTGAGTCAGATTTGGTATGTCTGAGCCTTGATATGTATACATATGAAACTCACATTCTTTCCTGAGAACAATGTCGACTCATACTATGATGCTCGTTTGAATTACTGCTAGGGGTCTTGCTGACACCAAGTTACGAGGATCTCTGGACCTTACCGACTTTACGATCGCCATGTTCTACATTCAGCGGACCATGGACGGATCTATCAGCACACTCCCAACAACCCTTCCTCCATCAGTGCTGAAGGCGGCTGCAGGATCTGCTGCCGGCGTAGGATTAATGTCATCCCCTGTTTTGAGTGCCCAGACCCTTGCACGACAGGTCACCGGCGGAAGCTTGGGCATTCAGAACCCTGCCGTTACGCGTCAGATGACTGGATCCATGAGCTTGAGCTCCAGTCCTCTTGCCAAGCAGAACACGGGCGGACTTTCCGCTGACTCTATTCCATGGGAAATCACCCCCGACGAAAAGGCCAAGTTCGATCGTTTCTTTGACCAATTGGATGCAAATGGCGATGGCTTTATCGAAGGTACATGGCTGTGATTTTCTCACCCGTTGCAAAAACTCTATACTGAATTGCTGTCGGTATTGACGTGCGCATTTTTTTTTTCGTTACTGAACCAAAATAGGAGAGGAGGCGGGCAGATTCTTCATGAACTCGAGATTGCCTGAATCCGTTTTGGCACAGATCTGGGATCTCTCCGATATTACCAAGACTGGTAGTTTGAATAAGGACGAGTTTGCAGTTGCAATGTTGCTGATCAACAGGAAGAACGCCTCAAACGCCCCCATTCCCAAGACCTTGCCTTTGTCCTTGGTCCCTCCTTCGCTCCGCAACCGCGTCACCGCCTCCCTTTCCGCTCCTTTGCCTTTTGGCTCAGATATTACACGCGGTAAGTACAGCATACAAATACTCTACCTTATTTTTACTTGTTGGCGTGTCTTGGATTGTCGCCGCATTTGATACTAGCGCTAACGTACATACGTCTCTATATCCCGCTTCCAGGTACAACGATGCCTGTGGCTTCGCAGCATTTCCGCCGTCAGTCGTTTGATTTGCTTGGCGATGGCCCTACATTGGCCTCGTCTGTCAGCAGTAGTGGACTTGGACATGCGGACAAGGACTTGATGGGTGCAGAGGACTTGACGAGCAAGATTACCTCTGAAACTGGCGAGTTGGCCTCGATGCAAAACCAGATCAACAACTTGAGTAACGTTACCGGAGATTTGGCTAACAAGCGCGCGTTCCTGGAGAAGAACTTGTCGGTGTTGTCGGCCCAAAAGCAGGATATCAGTATTCGTCTCAACCAGATTAAAACCCTGCACGAGAACGAGACAAAGTCGATAAAGGACATGGAGAACACTCTGTCCTCGATCCAGCCACAGCTGATCAAGTTGCGAGAGGAATTTGAGGTCTCTGAGCGCGAACTCCGCGTTGCTCAGACCAACAAGACTGAGTTTTTGATGACGTTGGCCAAGGACCAGGAGGAGAGCAATATGATCAGGGCTCGCTTGCGCCAGAATCACGATGAGACTATCAAGCTGAGAGAAGAACTGGAGGCCAAAAAGAAGGACACTGGTCGTCAGAAGAGTCTTCTCGAGATTGCTCGTCGCCAGCTGGCCACCAGTGATGCAGACAAGCAAAAGCTGGTCAATGAGATTGCCCAGGAGTCTGAAAAGGCTGCCCATATTGCCAGGGACATTCAGGCCTTGAGCTCATCATCGCCAGCACCTTCTTCACCAGCACACTCAGTATCGTCGTCAAGTGCTGCACCTCCACCCCCTGCTCCCCGTGGATCTAGAAAGGAGCCCCCACCACCTCCTGCCAGTCGCGGTACTGCCTCACCATTTGCTTCTCGTGTCACCCCTGAGGCCGAGGAAGCCTTTGGTATCCCACCAGCGCTTCGCAGCCCTACTGGCAGCTTCCACAGTGTCCACTCTCCTCGCATGAGCGCAGCCGCTGTCATTAGCCGTCAGTCGACTGGCTCTACTCCCTTTGAGTCAGTTCCAAGACAGGCCACTGGTTCTTCGCCCATTAACGCCATCTCTCGTCAGGGTACCGGTATGAGCGGCACGGCAGCCTCCATCACCAGCACTGGTGAGACCAACACCACCAGTTCCGCGTTCTTGTCGTCCATCACCGCTGGCGCTGGTCCTCAGGATAACCCTTGGTCTCCTATGACCCATGCTGCCCACGCTATGGTGACTCAGCAGGCAGAGGTGACTCAGTCTCCTGATCCCGAGACCCCTCAGGTCCAGTCAGAGTCACTGACGGCCTTTGCAGCAGCAGCTAGCCAGCCTCTTCCTACTTCCCCTCCCGTCTCGGACCCATTTGCTGCAATGGCCTTCCCCGCCATGGACACGCCTCCAGTGACCAAGATGGACTTTGATTCAGCTTTTAACGGCTTCTCTGCTCCTAAGCCTTCGTCCAAGAGCACTGTCGATCCAGTGGAGCCGGAGAAGGCTTTTGCTGAGGCTTTCCCCGATATTGACGCTGTGAGTGTTTCTGATGACAATAAGTCGAAGCGCGTGAGTGCTTTTGGATTCGAGGACGATTTTAGCGCTGGCTCGCCCTTCCAACAGAGTTTCGAGAAGACCAAGGAGGAGGATGAGTTCCCACCCATTGTCGAGGTTCACCACAACGACGAGGATTCGAGTGACTCTGACGATGACAATGAGGATGCCTTTGTTCAAGCCAAGAGCTCGATCGCCTCGCCTGACCCCGTCGCCGCCGCAGCCACTCCAGTCCCTGTTGTTCCTGTTGCAGCGGCAACCCCCCAAGTTGAGGACGATTCCTCGTCACCCTTCTTGTCGGCCGAGTCGTCTGCTGTGACCCCCAACGTGACAGGATCGACTGCTGCTCCCATCACAACCCCTGCCGCTTCGGCGCCTTTGTCCTCAGGCACCAAGAAGTTGACGACCGCCGACTTTTCCGAGTTTGAGACGTCGTTTGGAGGATCTGGAGCGGACGATTTCGATTCGGCGTTCAAGGGCGTTGAGTTGGCAGCACCCAAGGTCAGCAGCGGAGCTGGAGGCAACATGTCAGGATTTGACGATGGTTTCGATTTCAACTCTTCGTTCGATGATGCATTTGGATCGACACCATTCTCTGCACCACAGGCACCTGGATCGAGCACAGGCGCGTTTGGTGCCAGCATCCCCCCAGCTAGCAACAACCGTCAGGATTCGTTTGGAGGGTTTGAGATGAACACGACTGGCAACAACAACAAGGGAGGAGCTGCGATTGACTTGGATGAGGCGTTTGGCGGATTTTCAGTGTCGAGCTCAACACCTGCAGGAGGAGCAGCAGGAGCAGGAGGAGCAAGCAATGGGTTCGGTAGCAGCGGCTTCGATGACTTTGAAGCCGAGTTTGCATCCCCAGCGCCACCAACCTCTCGGCCTGTGCCGTCTGCTCCAGCTACACAGTCTGCATCAGCACCGACCGGTGATTCTACTACCACCACAGCCAACAGCGCATCGACGGGACCAGTACCACCCAAGGTTGACCTTCCTGGAGCAGATGAGTTGGTGGGCATGGGCTTTACTCGACAGCAAGCGAACGATGCTCTTTCACGGTATGACACTGTGGAGCGGGCAGCCAACTTTTTGCTTGAGGGTGGACAGTAAATGGAGTCTGAGGCGAGCACCACTAGAAGATTAAAGCAAGCTACGGTCGCGACTATGAGCAATAACAACATCAACGACATCTACGAAACAACAAGAACAATATCACCGACACGACTAAACACCTGCTGCCAACAACAGCAGGAAACGAACAAACAAAGTAAACGCAAGGACACACAAGGGAGGAAGAACAGACCTAATTAGCAGCAGTGGTCCCAAGAGATTGGAGTCCTGTATTCTTTCCTTCGTTCCTTTGTTTCTTCCTTCCTTCCCCTTTTTACAATATTTTTATGACCCTCTCACGTTATCCTTTTTTTTTTTCTTTTTTTTCAAATGAATGAAGGCACAGTTGCCTCGTTGTATGAACCCGAATATCTTTATGACACTGCTACATGAATATGTGTGTCGGAGTAATGTGGTGAAGAAGGAAGAAAGCGCCAGTGCCAACGAGTGCTATTTTTATCACGGAGGATGGCGCATGGATAAAAGATGAACGAGGGTCTCGCCCCCTGCCCTGCACCAGTGAACGAGTTGGAGATATATTTGCATGTACGCCGCCGAATCACTTTCTCGTTCATCCTGAGCCACGCCCTTATCGATTCGCCTTCACTCTATCGTCTTTTCTTCTTTCCTTGTCCTTTTCCCTACTTTTTCTTTTTGTAATCTTCCGCTCTCTGATTACAATACCGTTTCCTTCATTTTCTTCTCATCACCTTTTTTTCTCCCTCTCCTCTCCTCTCCTCATCACTACCGCCAACTCCCCTGTCTTTACCCGTCACTCTTGACGCCCTCTACTCCCCCTACCCCCCCCCCCCCCCCCCCCCCCCCCTCCCCCTCCTCGTCCTCAGCAAGTACTCATTTCGATTCCAACAACAAGGGATTTCATCAACTTCTACTTTCATCACTTCTCATCTCCAACCCTCGACCTCGACAAACACCCCAATCCAGAAAAAAAAAAAAAGGCCAACAAAAAATGCGACGATTCGTCACAAACATATCCATCCTCCTAGGAACAACCGCGCTCATCCTCCAAACCCAAGCCTTCTACCTCCCAGGAGTAGCCCCACATGAATACCACGCCGGCGATAATGTGCCGCTCATGGTCAATGCCCTCACCCCAGGCTCGGATACTCAGGAATTGAAGTCTGTGATTCCGTTTGATTATTATGAGAAGGATTTTGGGTTCTGTCAGCCAAAGGAGTTGAAGAGTCAGGCGGAGAGTTTGGGGAGTATCTTGTTTGGCGACCGGATCTGGAGTTCTGCTTATGAGGTAAGAGAAAGAAAAAAAAAACAGGGGGACTATTGATGTCGAGGATAGCTGGCGGACAAATGGCAGGGAAGCAGGAAGTTTTGGGAAGATGACCGGAAAAAGGCTGAAGAGAGAGGACCTTGCGCCGTTCTTTTTTTGTGGCCGCGGCGCGCGCGGGATGCAAAAGGAGAGAAGTTGCCATGAGGAGGATAGCAAATTGGACAATTGAGTTGTTTGTGGACAGGTGGACAATTGTAATTGGGCTGTAGCACCACGTTGGCCCAGCATCAACTCACACCTTTTTTTTTGTTCTCGCTTTCAATGGATGATAGATCGAGATGGCGAAGGCTGTGAGCTGCAAGCAGCTGTGTGTGGCACCAGTGACCAAGGATCAAGCCAAGTTTATCAATGCCAGGATCCGGGAGAACTACAACATCAACTGGCTGGTCGATGGTCTCCCCGCAGGACATGTCCGTGCAGGAGGAGAGGCCAACACCGAGGTGTATTCGATTGGGTTCCCGTTGGGCAGTGATGTTGAGGCGAGGAAGGTACCCAAGTTGCATAACCACTATGAGATCTCGATCGATTATCACCATAATGAGGTGAGGGACAGTCTGCGAGTTGTTGGCATTATTGTTCGTCCCGTCAGGTATGTCCTTTTTATGGTTTAGATTTTGTTGTTGTTGTTGTTGTTGTTGTCGAATGTTCACTGCGTGCATGGTATGGAAGACTATGCCCTTTTGTTTACTGCTGGACAGGAAAGAGTTGAAACGAGAAGAAACGCTATAGCCACACTACAGGATAAATCTGGATCAATCTGGAGTCACACAGCAACATACACACAGAGGAACAGAACAAAAGGACAAAGGGACAAAGGGATAAAACGACAAAGGCTCATCATCTAAAGTGCGGACAAATGCAGGGCCTAGACTCATCGTCACTTGAAAGCCCTGAAAGGATGAACGTAACAATCAAGTCTAAAGCTTTGGATCTGCAAACTAACGATATCCCTCTATTTCAACTACGTAGTATCGCAACACCCTCTCTGGGCCAGGATGAGTGTGGTTACGATGGGCCCGAGGACACCCCTGCATTTTTCCTGGACGAAACCAAAGATAACTCTGTCACTTACACCTATTCTGTCCACTGGAACGTAAGGCGGCTTTGCATCATTATAATACTGGTCTGTTATGTCTGTTGCCTGGTTTGATTGCTTATACGTTTTCCGTTTTTGTATTTCTATGCGATGATAGATTGCGGACACGGCCTGGGCAACGAGATGGGATAAGTACTTGCTGGTGGGTGAGCCCAGGATTCACTGGTTCAGTTTGGTCAACTCGATCATCATTGTTCTCTTCCTGACCGGTATGGTCGCCATGATCCTGCTCCGCGCCCTGCACAAGGATATTTCTCGTTACAACCAACTCGAGGCCCAGGAGGACTTTCAGGAGGATTTCGGATGGAAGTTAGTTCATGGAGATGTCTTCCGCACCCCTGCCTACCCAATGTTGCTCTCGATCATTGTCGGCAATGGATCCCAGATGTTCTTGATGGCCTCGGTAACGATCATCTTTGCCGCCCTTGGATTCTTGTCCCCCTCGAATCGTGGGTCTCTGGCAACCATTATGATTGTGTTTTACATGTTCTTTGGCATCGTCGCTGGATTCGTCTCTGCCAGGATGTACAAGATGTTTGGTGGTGAGGCCTGGAAGTCCAACGTCCTCGGCACCGCCTTCCTTTTCCCCTCGTGAGTTCATTTTCTTGTTGCTACCTGTATGTTTAATGTGTTGTGAGTGAGGATGGTGTCCAATGTTGCTAACCAAACGGAATGTTTATCCAACGATATAAAATAGAGTGATATTTGGGGCGTTTTTGGCGTTGAACTTTTTCTTGATTAATGCGAGCTCCTCGGGAGCAGTTCCATTCGGAACGATGTTGGGCGTCGTCGCACTTTGGTTCCTTGTCTCGACTCCCCTATCTGTGATCGGATCTTATCTTGGATTCCAGCGTCCCAAGGTCGAGCATCCAGTCCGTGCCAACCAGATCCCTCGCCAGATCCCCGACCAGGTCTTCTACCTCCGCACGATTCCCTCGATGATGATTGGCGGTATCTTACCCTTTGGCGCCATCTTTATCGAGCTCTATTTCATCCTGAACTCGATCTGGTTCCACAAGATCTACTATGTCTTTGGGTTCCTTTTCTTGGTCTTTGGGATCCTGATCGTGACTTGCGCCGAGGTGACGATCCTGATGTGCTATTTCCACTTGTGCTCTGAGGATTATCATTGGTGGTGGAGGGCGTTCTTGACATCGGGCGCGTCGGCAGTGTATATTTTCTTGTACTCGATCATGTATTACTTTTCGACGTTGCAGATCAAGAGTTTCACGTCGATGGTGTTGTATTTTGGGTGGATGGCAATCATGAGTTTGATGTTCTTTGTTCTTTCGGGGGCTATTGGGTTCTTTTCGACCATGGCTTTTGTCAGGAAGATCTATGGCAGCATCAAAATCGACTAGATCTCCTTTCATTCCCCCCCTCTCCTTTTTTTCTCTATCATCTTTGGCTTCGTTAGCCTGAGTGAAAATGCATGCGGAGTAAATTATTAATTTTTCGTCAAAATAAAACAATACGTGTGTGGTTTCTAGACAAGTACCCATTATTATTATTTTTTCGCATCGTTTTGACATTGGTTCGTGTTCAATTGTGTGTCTTTTTGTAACAAAAGGAGAACGAACGGCAAATATTACTTTGCGCTTTGTTAACACACTTATGCTCCTCGTTATGCATTGTTTTGTCGTTCGTTTGTACCTGGAAAAATAATAATATTTAGTTTCGGACAGTAATGTATTCCTGTTCTGTTGTGTCCTACTGTACCATTGAGTTGAGCCCCTCCCCCTCTCATTTGGTTCTTGCCCTTTTAGCTTGTCGACAAACAATGATTGCACAAAACGAAAAGGCACCAGGGTTTGTTTGTGAAACGAACGACGGTTTTATTCCCCGTTCGTCGTTTCGTCACTTTTGAGGTGTCGACTGTGTCGATGGGAGGGGGGCTACTGAGATTAATCTCGATTGTGGCCCCTTTTGTGGCGTATGGGAAAGAAAGGGAGAGGGCGAAAGGAAGGAGGGAGGGGGGGAACGAAGAATGAAAAGAAAAGTGGGAGGAAAGTAGATTCCACGGAGACGGAGGGGCACGCACACGGACGCAGACACAGGGGTGTTGCCCTTATTCATTACTTGATTCATATAGTTTGTTTGTGTTTATGGTTGTGTTTGTGCTCCTCAGGTTTTTGTTAAGGCAATTAAGGTGCAATTAGACATGAGGGACATGAGGGGGGAGGGAGGGTAGAGCAGGCAGGGGGTGGTGTTGGTTGAGCGAGTAGAGGGGGAGATAGAGTGAATGAATGAAAGGGAGGGGGGTTGAGAGCCCAGCCGTTTGATGGATCATTTGAAAGAAGAACATGTCAACGGTTCTGTATTCTGTACAAAAACTAAAGTAAAATGCTCTCTCTCTCTCTCTCTCTGTTGAATAAAAAAGTGCTCATTGTGAGGTGTAAAGTTGTATGGATGTTGTGCGGCTCTCGGTGTTTTTTTTATTTTCGTATAGAAAGTGCGTGTGTAAGATGAGGATGAGCATGGGGAAAGAGGAAAGACCATTAGGATATGACATGATGTGATGAATAATAATATCTGGTGTAGAGAGAGAAGGAAGATGTTCGATTGAAAGGGGGTTGTTGGGCTAGTTCAGGAAGTGAGGGGGCTGGAGGTAGGATAGGGAGATATGCCTGAACGATGGATGGCCATTGGTCAGCCTAGGACAGTTGGCTTGATTGAACCTGGTTCCCCAAAAAGGGGGCTTTCTGGTTCTCGGTCCTTCATTTCCCTCGTCGCTCCTGTTGTCGCACGCTGTTTGTTCGAAGGAAGGTTTCCTCGTTGCTGTTGGACCGAGTGAAGGGAAGGAAGGCTAGCAGGCGAGAAGGCTAAAGAAGGACGACCACTCGTTTCTTTATTTCTTTTCATGGTCCTGTTCTTCCTTGTCATCATCCCTCTTCTCCTTCTCCTCTTCTTTTCTCCTCTCCCCATCCATTGTCATCCTTTCGCCTTCTCTCCCCTCCTCCCTTCACTCTTCTCCTTCTCCATCATCATCCCGCCTCCCTTTGTTATTATTACTCCTGTATTACATTACATTCACACCGACCCCCTTTCCGTTCTTGTTATTCCATCCACTCCTTTCCACCTTTGCCCTCGAACAACACCTATCACAGCCACTGGACACACTTCATAACCCTCCCTTTCTTTTCATCCCACACTAGTCCATCACCACATACCCCCACACATAGACAAACGGACCATAGCCAACTCTTATACCTACTACGATGGCTGGTCTGTTCTCATCCAAAAAGTCCAAAAAGGAAAAGGAGGAAAAGGCCGCTGCCGCCAAAAATGCTGCCGCCATAGCCGCTGTCTCTTCCGCTACTTCTAACCATGCGCCCTCGGTGACCACAACAACCTCTGGAGGAAACGGGTCTATTGCTTCCTCAACCACCATGGCACCCCCACCAAACAGCGTAGGCAAGCAACAACAACAACAGACGAACAATAATGCCATCAACCCTAACAACAACTCTACAGTGCTGACAAGTACGACACTTTCAATGACCCCGGCTTCGTCTTCGACTTCCTCTGTACCAGTGCACCTGCGTGAAAACTCGTCCGCCAGCCTAGACTATTCTCCCCAACAGCACCAACAACAAAAATTGAACAACAAGTCGTCCGTTGACAGCGACAAGAGGATGTATCACATCCAACAGCAGCAACACCAATACCAGCTCCAACAGCATTCAACTCTTCAACAACCACAGACAAACAGCAATGGAGGTAGCACTGGAAGCAACTTGGTGTCGGCTTCGTCGATTTCGACCCACGACTCGTTTGCACATTTGTCGTCAAGCAACGGACCCTGGATCTCGGCCCAAGTGATGTCGCCCAGCCCTTTCCCCCGGTTCTCTCATACGGCGTCCTATGTCCAGACGGGAACCGATATTTATGTCTTCGGTGGAGTTGTCAAGGGTTCTGCTCAGCGGGACATGCATGTCATTGACTCTCGTAAGTTGTCATCATCTCTTTCCCCTTCTCTTTTTTTTCAACGATGCACATATATTCGCACTCTTTTCGCCACGGGGACCCTGGTTTGTTCGTGACAATAGTTCCATCGATAACTGTATCTTTTTTCGTTACTCGTGGATGAGAAAAAGGGGCACCAAGCGGAAAGTACAAAAGTTCAACAGTACAAGAGTCCTCGACGAGAGACAAGACAGACATACGCTCAACAGGAACTCGCACATAACGAGACAGTCAACTGAGAAATAACCGAAGGGGGTGGACGGATAATGTAACGAACGACAAGTCAAGCAAGGAGCAGGAACAAGCATGCAAGCATGGAACGACAATGCAATGAAGCAATATCAACGGGATACCGAATTAGCTAACCTGACCCCATCATCCTCGATCGCATACATGCCTTCATGCTTGCTTACTTACCCTTATCCTTTACTCCTTGTTTGCGATTACTAGAATCCCTTCATAGCCAGCTCCTCCCTGTCGGAGGAGGTGACTCTCCACCTTCCACCTCAGGACACACCGCCGTCACCCTGGGTCACTACATCATGTGTAAGCAAACCTCCTTCACACCTTCCCCCTTTCTCTCACTCCTCATTGCCATATTTCCCTCCCCTTGCTCCCATTTCGCATTACTCGCCTCCTTCCTCTCCTTTTTTTGTAGTTGGACATCAATTGTCTCGTGCAAGAAGAGGACAGAGCAGCAGCATGGCTCGGTGAACACCAATAATGGGTCCGTGATCGCTATTGTTTCTTTCACTCCTGGAGACTAATCCCGAGGAAAAACAACCTTTCCCCTCTCTGTCTGTTTCCTGAACAATAGATTTTGGCGGCAAGGATGCAAAGAACAAGTGCAGTGACGCCCTCTATGTCCTCCACACCATTCGCAAGGAGTGGAACAAGCCCACTATCCTCGGTCTCTTGCCTGCACCTCGCCATTCGCATGCCGCCTGTGTGATCGGAACAACGCTCTACGTCTTTGGAGGACAGTTCAACGGATACTACCTCAACGACGTTGCCTGCTTCGACATGAAGTCCCGTAAGTGATAACAGCATCAACAGTGACAACGACCGTTAAGAGCGTCCAACAGGTCTTGTGTCTTATGTTGCATTTCCTCGTGCATTCATGTCTCACCCTCCCGTCGTACTCTCCCCATATATGCCCCTCTTCGTTTTCGGTGTTTTTGTGTTTGGATATGGTTATGTATGTTTCTAGAGTATCATTTTTTTTGCCTCCTTCCAACGGTCTTCGGTTGCTAACATCCATTTCACATTTCTGCTCTTATTATTTTCTCCTTGGTCATCTTCTTCATTGTGCTCCTTGAATACTTTGGACACTATTGAATCTATATTGCTCTTACCCATTCATTTCCACAACAACAACAACCGTTTGAATAGTAAACACTTCGAACCCAAGGTGGAATCGATTGGAGCCCGCATCTGAGCTACCCCCTGCACGTGCTGGCCATTGTGCGGCGGCCCACGATGGCAAGGTGTACATGTAAGTATCTTATTTTCTCCTGCTCACTTGCTCCCTCGTTCGCATTGGCACTTATCGTTCTTTATTTTCTTTCATTTTGCTACTTGTTATTTTGCAATGAGATGTTGCTGTTATGTGAAGAGTGGAAGATCATGTGTGCCTCGACCGTTTGTGGCTATGTGTAATGGCCATCATCCGTTATTTGTTGTCTCCCTCTCCTTTTCTTTGTTTGTTTTGTGCGCACATGGATTCATCTTTACTACCCTCCTTTTGAAGAAACCATCTCAGACGACTTATCTATCTCCTTCCCTTCTTATGGCTAATCTAACGATAGTTTCGGAGGAGCAGACGACCAATTCTTCTACAACGACATTTGGTGCTACGACCCACAGACCAACAAGTGGGAGGCTGTACCAGCGTTTGGTGTCTTGCCAACAAGTCGCCAGGGACATGCTGCCAGTGTTGTTGACGATACCATGTACATCTACGGAGGCATGAACCATGAAGACCAGCTCCTCGGCGACCTCTCCGCTTTCAAGTTCAACGGTAAGTTGGTTTGTTATTTTATTTGGCGGTGTTTTCTTTATTTCGAGATGAGATCTACGTATCAGTTGACAGCATACTAATACGTGTTTAATTCACACCCTTGCACAAAAATAGATCGTCGGTGGTTGACATTCCCGGACACTGTAGATTCGGCACCCCCCAGGACAGAGCATGCAATGTGCAGTGTTGGAGACAGGATCTATATTCTTGGTGGGCAGCTGGAACTGAACACTGAGGAGGATGGATCCATATACATCCTTGACACCAGTAAGTTTACGTGGTTACGACGACGATAGATTTCCTCCGACCAGCGTGGAGACAGTCAGTCCCCTCTGTTTTTATTTCCTCGCATATGCACCAATGCCGCATGGGCACGGAGACCCGATCCACTAACCCAAAAGAAAATTCTCGAATTATTTCCCGCCATTTTTTTTTCTTAATTTGTTACTCCGACCAATCACAGCCAAGATTAGATATCACGAACCCTCATTGGGTCCTCGGTCTGGTTACGACAACGATAGCGGCCTGCGCGTCGATGCCGCACTCGACGACTCCAACTCCTCCTTTCCACGACCTACTCCCTCCCCCGACTCTATCCGCCACTCTAATGATGTCAACAACAACAACCAAGACTCTCGTCGTGCCCCTCAACAACAGCAACAGCAGACCATAATCAACTCAGACGAGCAGTACATCCAACAACAAAATGGCAATGCCTCTGCTCGCTTTGCAGATGATTCCAACGTTGTATCGTCTCCTCCCCAGTCACAGACCCGCGTTAGCTTGGATGCCGCTGATGGCCAGGTCTTTAGACGACGCACGGTAGGCAAGACTGGCAGCTACACCATCCATGAGGTCGAGCCTCGAGGTACTCAATCGATTGACGAGACTCGCCGTCCCAGCATGACCGATCAAGATTACTACGAGCGGGATTCTCCTCGGTCACAGAACCAGCGGCCACTCCAGCCCCTTCAGTACAACAGCGCCCAGTATGCCAATCTCCAGCAATCACAGTCGCAACAACAGTCACAGGATGTTGGACGTAGGCGCTCTTTGACAGACAACAAGAACCGTGGATCGCTCAACCCACCTCCTCGTGCATCTCTTGAGCAATCGCGTGCGTCCTCCCAACCCAGTCAGGATTCCACCTCGCCCTTGTCATCTCAGGAAATCCAATACAACTCCAAGGATGCGGAGATCCGCGATCTCAAGCAGCGTGAGCAGTGGCTCTTGGCTGAGGTTGCAATGACTCGCAAGAAGACGGGTGAGCGCCCCCTCAGTATGACTTTGGCCCTTAAGGATAGCCTGGGCTTGTTCGAGGCAGACCGGGACTCGGAAAAGTACAAGATTATGCAGGCGCTGTTGAGCTGCAAGGCGGAGCTGGAGCGTTCCAAGAGCTCGATTGTGGCTCAGGCCCAAGTCGCGTCCAACAAACTGCGGGAAGCCGAGAGGATTCGTACCGCGGCTCTGCAGGAGGCTGCTTACCTCAAGGCCAAAGTCTCTGCTCTCCAGTCTGGCGAGGTCTCTGCTTTGGTATCGACCGAGACTGCCCGTGCGGTTGATCTTGAGAAGCGGTTGACAACTGCTTTGGGACAGGTCGATAGGCTGCAGTCGCAGCAGGCCCAGCATGAGGCGCTTTTGGAACGGGAGCGTCATGGACGTGAGACTGCTCAGGAGAGAGCTCGCCAGGCGTCGGCGGCTGCGGAGGAGGCCCAGCAGGCACGGACTCGATCCTTGACAGATATGACATCGCTCCATGAGCGTGCTTCAGTCGCCGAGGGTAGTTTGAGAGAGGTTGAGGCTAAGCATGCATCAAGCGAGGCCCGTCTTTCGAGCTACCAACAACAATCGACGGCCTTGTTCTCTCAAATCTCGGGACTCAAGACGACTGTGGACCACCAGAAAAAGTCGTTGGAGAAGGCCAAGTTGGCTTACTCTGTCGCGAACGACCGAGCGGAGCATGCGGATCGTCTCTGGACTCAGGCTCGTCAGGAGATTGACCATACCCAGATGGAGTTTGCTAGTGCGCGCGCAGACTTTGAGCGTGCCCAGCGTGAGGCTGACCATTGGAAGACCAAGGCCCAGGAGACGGATCTGCTGTGGCAAAAGGCCAAGAGCGAGAACGAGGCGATGAGGACTTTGTTGGAGGAGGACATGAATGCTTCGTACAGCCCTGGCGCCAACGCCCGCAAGCACGACAGCATCATGGCGATCACTTCGGCGTCACGTGTTGCAGAGTTAGAGCATGAGCTCGGCACATTGAGACACTTGTTGAAAGAGTCCCAGGCTGCAGCCGCTCAGGCCAACAAGGATCTTGGAGAGTCGATGCTCAGGATCTCGCAGTTGGAGTCGACGTCGATGTCGGCTAGGACCGAGGCTGGGGAGGCTCAGCGTCAGCTGTCGACTGCTGAAGACAGGGTTGCGTCATTGGAGGCTCAGGTCAACCAGAAGGAGGAGGCTCTGGAGGAGATGGCCAAGGAGCAGGAAAACAACGAGGTCCAATTGGGTGTTCTTCGCGGTGTTATGCGCGAGAACGGCTTGCTGGCCGACGATCTGATCTTGGATGCCTTGAGCCAGGGACTCACTGGCCAGTCTTCTGCTAATGGAGCTGTGACGATGACTGGATTGAAGACCAAGGTTCAGGAGGCCGAGAGGATTGCCCAAGAGTCAAGACAGCAGCTGGAAGAGATGTCAGTTCTCAAGATGCACCAAGAGGAGCGCATTCAGCAGTTGCAGGCCGATTACCAGACCGCCGTCCACTATGTCCAGGGATCAGAGACCATGGTTAAGAGACTCCGTGATGAGGCCCAGGCTGCCAAGGCTGAGAAGGAGGTGATTCAGAAGGCCTTGCAGGAGATGGAGGCTGCTCATGGTCAGGCGCGCGAGGTTCAAGCCTCCGCTGGCCAGGCCGCCGTGGCTGCTACCACCCAGTTGGAGGAAGAGGTGACGGAGCTTCACCGCCAGTTGCATGACTCGATGGGTCGGTCGATGGAGTTGGAGCAAAAGATGGAGGAGATGACGAGGGCACTTCAGAATTCCGAGAGTCAGGTCGAGGTCACCCAGGCCGAGTTGAAGACGTTGAAGTCGAAGCACCATGAGCACAAGAAGCAGGGTGCTATCTCGACCGAGACCTTTAAGGCCAAGGTTGAGGAGTTGGAAAATGCTTTGGAGGAGACACAAGCTTCGTTGGCCGAGACGAGACATCAGCTCGAGTTGACACAGTACGAGTTGGAGCAGTCTCATGCGTTGAACACTAGCACCGGTCGCGAGTTGGAGGATGCGTTGACGGCTGTCAAGTCGCACCAGGAGGCGTTGGCTGCCCAACAGGCCGTCGCTGCTGCTGCTCAGGGTCACTCGGAGACGAAGAGCGAGGAGGCATTGGACTCTGACAGGAAGCGTGCTCAGGCTTTGGCTGCCCACCAGGAGGAGCTCGAGTTGGTGATCGAGAATGCTCACAAGACCATCCAGGAGCTTCAGTCGACCAACATTGATCTGGAGCAGCAGTTGAAGGCCTCGGAAAACAAGATTGCGATTCTCCTGGACAACTTTCAGGGACCGGAGTCTGTCCGCAACAGCATGGCCAGTCTGAACGGAAACGATGACTTGATCCAACGGTTGATGGAGGCTAACCATCATACTGGAGTTGGCTCAGGGCGGTCGTATCTGACACCCATGTCGCATGGATCTCATTCGACTGATCGGTCCTCGGCTGATTCGTTGGCCAACGAGTTGGAACTGTTGAGGTCGAACTGGGGCCAGGCCCAGGTGAACGGTAGCCCTTACCGTCCCCCTGCTATCGCCACTGGCGGCTCGCCACCAGCACCAGCACCAGCACCAGCGCCAGTAGTAGCCGAGGACGATCATGATGCTGTCGAGATTGTACATGCAGTTTCGGTAGTACCAGCAACCGCCACTGCTACTACTACCACAGCAGCAGCCGCAGCAGCATCACTGCTGTCACCCACTTCTGCACCCTCGTCTCCTATTGCCCTCAAGTCGCCCGTTGTGGATAACAAGAGCAGTAGCAATAGTCCTACCGTCGCCAACTTCCCCACCGCCCCTACCGCCACTGCCTCCTCACCCACTGCCGCTGCACCTGCCAGCAGCAGTAGCACATCTGCACAAAAGTTGGAGGAGTACGAGCGAATGATTGAGGATATGGCTCATCAGCGGCGACAGTATGAGGAGTAAGATCCCGGACCGCCAGTTGCAGTAATGTCTTTTTTTTCCCCTTCGTATCTAGGAAAGAATGCCCTTTTATTTATTTTTGTTACCCCCACCCCATCATTTCACTCCTAATGACACGTTCTACCCCTTACACTCACTCATCTCACCACTTCACATTTTCGACAATGCTTTCACCACGACAAACTCTCCTACTCACCATACCATCATCGTCACCGTCACCCCAAAAAGCAATGAGTAAATAATAAATATGAATTTGTAATATCAATTCCAAGCTCGCCTTTTTTTTTTTTTTTTTTTTCTTGACACCAAAGGAGGGTCATTCTTTATCATTGTCGCCGTTCGAGTGGTTAAAACGTCTGGCAAAGAAAAAAAAAAACGACTCGTTAAACCAATCGACGCGTCGCGTTCGCGTTCGCGTTTTGATCAGTATGATTTCGAATCTGGCAGTCGCAAATTGGGCGTAGCAAAAAGAGTTAACAAAACGTAAATACAAGTGTCGAGTAGGTCATTTGTCCATACGCCTGTTGCATGAGGTTCTTGTGTCATTTCATAGCCCGCCTGTTTTTTTTTGGTGCTATGCGCAGCACGGTGTCGTCGGTATCGATCGGCGTCGGTAAGGGCAAAAAAATCATCTCCGTTTCCCTATTTTCACCTTCTGTTAAGCGTTTATTGTACTGTTAAAAGGTTAGAGTTAAGAATTCAAGGACTCCATCGACGCGAATCATGTATGTCAAATCTTCCTCGCATTTTTTTTTTTTTTTTTAATTACATTGAAATATTATTTTTTCCGACATTCCATTTCTATCTTCACTCCTTCCTCTCTTTTTCTTCCCATCTCTCATCCATCACTACCCACCGCATCAACTCACCAACGACCGCCCTTCCTCCAGTCTGTCGTCCCTTACTATTTCTCAACCCATTCATTCAGCCGCGAAAAAGGACGGCGTCAACAACAACACACTCTCTCCTCGTTTGGTATTCCTCAGGACTAACACGTCAAAAGGCGACAACCGACAACCAAAAAAAAAAAAAAAAAAGCATGGATGAACACTGATCTCATAGGCGAGTCGGGTATGTGGTCGCTATTTTTTTTTTTGGCACTCCTCCCCTTCCCCCCCCCTTTTTTTTTGGACTTGCAAACTTTTCCTACACCCATAACCGACCGGTTTGCCACTTTTTTTTCTATGCAGGAACAGAACAAATAAAACAACACAATACTCGCACCCGTAAGAGAAAGAAAAGAAGACAAATGCAACGGACACCAATGCCTATGGGTTCCGAAAACTGACTTCAGAACTCATAGGATGACCAACCAGGTCTTACCGTTCGTCAAACAAACAATCCTTAGCTTCACCCTCCCACTGCTGCTGCTGAGGAAGAGGCTACTGTTGCTGTTAAGCGGACTGTGGCTGACTGCTCGGAATCCGCAAGAGCCACATTGGTGCCACAGCAGCATCGCCTATTGCTATTGGTACAACCAGCGATCAAGTCGAGGCACTTCAGCGACAGATCAAAGCTACGCGGATCGAGATGAGCAAGATGCAAACCAAGGCTGGACTCGTAATTTTTTTTTTCTTTTTTTGCATACTGCACACACTTTTAATACAACTTTTTCTTGAATAAAACATGAACCATTACTATTTGATCTTATCGTTACTGTCACATTTAGGCATATTTTTTTTTTTTAGCTGGAGGTCCGGAGACTCAAACTGGGCTGCGGTGCGGCCTTGACAGAACCAGTATCCTCGATCTGCGGTAACCAGTAGAGTTGAGGTCTGTTGATGGTCATCCGGATAGCGTTCTTGCGTTGCAGCCATTCTGGCATGTTTCTCGTAAATGCGCGTAGCAACGCACCTGCAATCGTCTACGAAAAGAAAACGAGTTTTACATAATTAGTCACCAAAAAAAAATATTCTGACAATAGAGTAACGAAAAAAAAAAAAAAAAAAAAACACGATCTACATACCCTGGTGGTCATGGTTTTGAAGATCTTGCTGTTACCAAATGCATCTAGGACCCATGGCATGCGCTCATCCTGGTACGCTTGAAATGACTTTTCGATATCCTCAGCAGTCGCGTTGTTGGGAAGAGCGTGTATGTAGTTCGCCAGGACGACTGCATCATGGATCGCGTTCGATGCTCCAGCTCCTCCTGCCGGACTGAACTATTATGTTGCAGAACAAATGTGCCCAGTTAGTACGGCAATCCACGATATGTCTAATCTCATCCTGTCCTCTGGTGTTGCCACTGAATTCGTGCAGCCATAAGCATACGTACCTTGTGGCAAGCTAAGGAGTGAAGCCAGCGGAGGAAAAAAAAGGTGGCCGAATGAATCAGCTGACCAAATCGACACGTCTTTGACCCTAATATCCTTCCAGCATGAACATCCCCAAAAACTTACCATCACCAAGGAGAACAGTCCGTCCACCAAACCAAGTCTGGAAGACCTTCTCCTCCAGCATAACCTTGGAGATATATTCCTTGGGCGTCAAGTCGATCAGATCTCCAATCGTCAAGACCTTGTCGCCTCCGCTCACAACTGGGAAATCACGGACTTCATCGCACATTGCTTCCGCTGCCTCGGGTCCCCATTCCTCATTAAGAAATGTGTTATCGTCTTTGCTAAGTTCTTCGCCCAGGTAGCGGACCACGCCAAACGAGATTCTGCCCTGAATTGTGGTTTGCGTTACCCACTAAAGAATAGCGTTCAGAAGAGTAAGAAAAAAAAAGATATGAACATCAAAAAAAAAAAGGATAGAGATATTGTCGGCCCTTTTACAAGAATGCCCCTTCATCCCAATTGAATGTCTTTTCTTACCGAGTAGGGCTTGCCATCACCAACAACTTGAATGAACTGGCAAGTCTCCTTGGCAAGATCTGGGAACTCGGTAACATCCAGAGGCCGAGTCAGTCCTCCAACTCGAACAGTGCTGAATGGCAGGGGCAATGCGTCCGTATCTGGCAACCTGTTGGTTTCCTTCAGTTCCTTGTACAGACTTTGCCTGACAGCACTGTAGGCGCCATCGGCGCCGACAAGTATGTCTCCCTTGTACTCTGTCCCGTCGCTGCATCTGATAAGCACGCCATCCTTGTCCTGTTGTGTCGAGATGATTTTTTTTCCGAGATGGACACGATCCTTGGGGACTTGTCGGAAAAGAAAGTCATAGAATGCTGGACGACTATAATAATGATTCTGCGCGCCGAACCTACATGCCAACAATACGAGAAAATAATAAAGGGTTAATTGATCCATATTATGAAGCTGGTGCGACTACGACAACCACAAAAAAAAACATACTGCTCGGTTTGGTCGCGGAACTCCATTGTGTACTGGAGTTGGCGCTGCTCGTTAAACACTTGGAACTCATTGTTGGGTTTTCCCTCAGCAACAAGGTCGTCATAGATTCCGAGTTGTTTGAACAGAGGCGCGACGTTTGCTGACAGAATCAGCCCAGAACCTAAAGGAAAAAGCAAAATGCACGAATTAGAGTTCAATGATGCAGTAGTTACGATGACAAGGAGGACGAGAGAGGATCAACAATGTGAGAAGCAATGCGCACTGTACCAAGTGGCTTTATCTCGGGGGCTCGCTCAAAGATCTCGTAGGGTATGTCCGACTTTTGTAATATGGCACCCAGAGTGAGACCCCCAACACCTGCTCCGGCTATAAGAACCTTTGGCAACCTGGCATTAGTGTTGTTGTTGTTTGCGGGTGTGAATGCAGGGTTGATGTCCATCATTGGAATGAGTGGAATGTAGGAGAGATGTGGAAGAGAGGGATGAGAGATGAGTGTGAGCGATGCAGAAAGGAAAAGAAGAAAAGTTGCGGGTAAACCTCTCCACAACTTATCTACACACTGCCGCATTTGAGTTGGAGTAATGGAGCATATTTTACATTGGTTGTTAGTTCGGTGTGTCTTGTTTGCGTCATGCCTTCACCACTTAAGCCTATGTGTGCTTCTCGTAGATCAATTGTCTTCGCGACTGTCGCCGCTATCCATCTTCTCTTACTTTTTTTTAACTTCGTTTTCGCTCACCACCGATAAATTCATGTACCTTTTTTTCCTGCCCTTCCCGGTCCATTGTGTAGCCTTCCTCTCCCCTGCCGCCTTAATAAAAACCTGGTGTATCTTTTTTTCCGTCTCACCTTGACATGAGTAGTGCGGAAACATACCCTCTGCCTGCCCAACATATGAACTCCACTAGATCCCACACATTTACGATGCCTCAAATTACGGATTGTGGACGTTTTGCGTCCTTTATTCTCTTTTTGAACGAGGTAATAAGCTGGGAGTAAAATGCGACATGGATCGATTAGATCCATGATGTGAATGGTTTAATATGGTAGATAGTGGGATGATGATATTGAAAGTCAGAGACTTAAGACATGCCTACAGAGCGTCTTTACAGTCCAAATAGCGAGTTTTGTCGTAAATCTCATTTTAGACTCGATATCCTTGGCCCGTAGGAGATGATAGACTGCCAACTTATACAGGATTTCACTTCTTTCAGTTCTGTGCCCGGCGTGGGTATTCACTGGTAGAATATCTACGGGCCAGCCGTCGTACTGAAGCAGTGTCAATGAACAAGGGTTACCTAGAGTTTTCCGCTTGCTGTCCGATAGAAAGAGAGAAACACACACCTGCATCAGCGCGCTCTCGATAAGGGAATGCCATGGCTCTGAAATTGTTGTCTTCGACGTTGCACATTTGGCGAACCCGTAAGTCTTCTGTGAAATCCAGCCGCGCTTTATCACAGTACGGGTAGCGGGTGACGGCATTGAAGCTGCCGTCATATCTTTTGACTTCCCAGACACTATGCATGTGAAGATAAATAATTACATATTAATTAGTCCGATATGCTTTGTTGCGATGACTGTATCTCACGAACTGCATTGGAATCTACATTGTACTCGGCAGCTGTTGTTGCAGTTATGCCGCGGGGCATGCGTGATAGTCGATGACGCTGCGGCTAAAAGTGAGTCCCGACAGAACAAGCCAGAAAAATAATTAAAGGCAGTATCTATGGGATTAGGAGTGCAGGTCAAATGTAATGTAACGGGCACAACCTCGCATATAATAGCGAAGAGCTCCATCCTGAAGATGTATTAGAAAAGCGTACTTGTAGAGCACTGCCCCCCCCCCCCCCCCCACTGGAGCTGAACTCTTGTGGATTCCTATTTCAAAGGAGACCCATAGAAAGAACAATGTAATTAACATAAAAGATTCGCATTTCAAACACATAATGAAGTCTTTCCTCAATTTACTTCGATATTTCTGTGCTAGCTGTATTAGTTCCTGTTCAGATCGTCGAACACTCGATTCCGATAGTAAGCATCCAAATGTTCAGGTAAAGATGCTCGTCGTGGCGACACATCAATTTTTATCTAATTAAAGTGGAGCTGTCTAGCTCACTCAGTGAAGTATCCTAAATCTTACAGCGCACATGAAGATTGTGTAGCCCGTCCTCGCCTGGTCGACGCGCTCGAGTCCGGACGACCCTTGTTGCTTTGTGGGATGCGTTCAAAGGATCTAGTTGTGCTCCTCCTCCAACTCCTTGATGACTATGCTTTCTCTCCTTTCCATAATATCCATGCGCCTCAGGCCCAACAGGGTGTCGATGACAGCTCGAACAGCCACTCGAGTATCGCTCTGCTCGCCTGGGCACCGCTGCTCCCTATGTTCTGCTACGGCTCGTCTGCAAAGGCACTCGTTCTCTCGGAGTTTCCACCCATAGGTATGTTGCCACCTGTAAATATCTGTCCACTGTGCCCTCTGGTCCTTGGTTGTGCGTGTGCGATTCATGCTGCCCGGTGATATTGTTTTTTTTCTCCCACCTGATGGCCCTCTCACAGTGTGACTTTCATAACTGCTCCCTGGTTTCATTCTCCACATATCGGCAAAAAAAGACGGCTCATGTCCTGGATAATGCTCTCTGGTACGTCCTGGAACATTTTGTCCCTACGTAGCTAGGGCTTTCGTTCGGCACCAAACCTCGTTAGATGTGACTGACTGTCCACGCGCCCGGGCTCTGTTCCTCCTCACCAGGCCGTTTGATCACGGGGCACAGCACCTTGCGGAGTAAGCATCCAATTGTTCAATGCGCATAGATGGAGAAAGACTTGCGGTAAACTTCGCGTGTTCATAAAGGCGCCAATTCTTGCCGATCTCAGTGATATCGTCGAGCATCGTATATTGAGATCATAAGATTAAAGGAAAATGGCCATACATCAGTAGAGTGACAAAGAGATTGAGATAATTCACATCGAAGCAATAAGCAAATGTACACAGATTGGATATAGATAATATTCTGGTAAACATGAGTGCCCACGTCGATATCAGTCGCATATGTCAAGGTGCTCTATCCAGGATAATAACACCTCGGTAGGATCATTGATATGTGACCCACAGGGTTCACATTCCCCACTTCACCAGTCGCAACCATCAACCCATTAACTTCAAGTAGTCACGTAGGTTGGTAGGATCATTGATGGACATATAGATGGCATCGAAAAAAACGGCCTATATGTCGGCCAATGGCCGCGAGACTAACCCATACATCTACGACACCGAAATCAATCCGGTAATCAAGACCGGCGACACACCGATCACTGAGAAACGAAAGCCGGTGGGCAAAGAGGGCAGGCGAAGGGAGGCAGAGGTCGACAATTACATTGCACAACAACATTACCTTTGAGAGTTTCGAAGTATGTGTGTGTGAGAGTGTGTGAGAGTGTGTGTGTGTATGAGAGAAAGAGAAAAGAAAAGATAATGGACGAAAGCAAGCAATGGAGAAGGTCAAAGAGAATGGAAATGGGTGCATGATCGTTTTTTTTTCCCCTCGTGCAACGTCATCATGTGACAATGTCCAATATCACCTTTATTACGCCCTGTGCGAAGCTCACGCGCTACAAGGAGCCTTAGATAGTCTTGGCAGGAGCCTCCACTTCTTCCTCCACTGGAGCCCTGAGATTCAAACTACGTTGATGGGTAGGCTTTACCGACGCCGGCGTCTCGTCCAATGGCAGAAAGGCCACCTGGGGTCTGGAACTATACATCTGCTCTGCTGCCCGACGCTTCATGAACTCTGGCATGTTCTTCATCATGAACCGCACAAGCATCGGTTTGATACCCTGAGTAGCACAGTTTTCCGAAAAAAGCGTAAAGGTGTTAGCCTCGCACATCAACAAGTTCAATCCTTACTAGTGTACATCTACCATCCTTTCATTTTACCTTGTCGACAACACTTTGGAGCATCTTGCTGGTGGCATACGCCTTCTCACACCACTCGATACGATCAGTCTTGTATGCTTCGAATGCTGCTTCAATCTCCTCCACGACTGGGTGCAATGGGAGGGCATTGATGTAGTTGGCCAACACAACAGCATCTTGGAGGGCGTTTCCTGCTCCTGCTCCTCCTGCAGGGCTCAGTTTGTGGCATGCTAGTATTTCGTGGATGAAAAGGGAGAGATGTGAATACATGGGCACAAGTAACAAAAATGAATGGAACCTTATACCATTGACTGAAGAGTTGCTTACCATCGCCCATCAAGACAGTACGACCGCCGTACCAGGTCTGGAAGACCTTCTCCTCCAGCATAACCTTCGAGATGTACTCCTTGGGTGTCAAATCGATCAAATCCCCAATGGTCGTAATCTTATCGCCGCCAGAGATAACAGGGAAGTGACGCACCTCGTCACACATAGCACCAGCAGCTTCAGGTCCCCACTCGGAGTTGCGGAAAGAGTCATGCAGTTTAGACGATTCTTCGTCAAGAAACTGGACAACCGAATAACAAATTCGCTGCTGCTTGGTTGTGAATGTTGACCAAGCAAAAGGTTTGTCATTTCCAACAATACGAACGAATTGACACTCTTCCTTCTTGAGAAAGGGAAACTCTTCCGTCGTCAAGGGTCGCGTTTGTCCAACAAGACTAATGGTGTTGAAAGGAAGGGCGGCATCGTCCGAGGGGATTAGCTTGTTCTGAGATTTGAGCTCAGCATACAAGTTCTGTCGAATAGCACTATGTGCTCCATCCGCTCCTACAAGAATATCGCCCTCATATTCGGTGCCGTCGCTACAGCGGATAAGGATCCCGTTCCCGCCTTGCTTTGTTGTAAGGACCTTCTTGGACATGTGGAGGCGCTCCTTGGGGACCTGCTTCAAGAAGAGGTCGTACAATGCCGGTCGAGAGATAACACGGCTCTCTGCGCCAAATCTGCAAAAGCGAGCCACCGGACAAGGAGCATATGGTTAATATCCCTCCCTACTGCAATTAAATTCCAACACCGTTAAGATGGGCCGTGGGATGTATTTTTTTTCTTTTTTTTTGGCTGTTACCTCTCTGTCGCTTCCTCAAAGTAGGCGGTCATAGCGAACTCGACTTCCCGGTTTTCGTTTCCAATCTGGATGGATGGGATGACCTTGGTCATCGCCACGAACTCATCATAGATTCCGAGTTGTCGCATCAATGGGGCAACGGTCGCGTTGAGAGCGACACAAGAACCTGTCCAAACACAAATGTAAGTGTCAGAAAGTTGCTGTGCTCAACACAATTGAAAGAGAAATTAAAACATAAAACGGCAAGGGCATCCAGTGGTGTGAATTACCAAGCGGCTTGACCTGAGAGGCTCGCTCAAAGATCTCGTAGGGGATGTCCGACTTTTGCAAGATGGCTCCGAGGGTAAGACCACCTAGTCCGGCCCCAACGATGAGCACCTTGGGTCGTTTGGCGTGCATCACCTTTCGGTCATGCTGGAAAGTAATGGCAGGGTTGATCTCCATGTCGGTGATTGATGAGTGATGCTGATGAACGCAACGCAAAAAAAAAAAAGAGGTGGAATGAGGGAGAGTAAGAGAGAAAGAGAGGAGGGTAGAGACAACGGAAAGAGGAAAAGTAAAGTAGGTGGTCCTTTGTCGAAAGAGACCAATGGAGACGAGACCACACCCCCACCATTTCCCCTCTCTTCTTCTTTCCTTCCTTCCTACTCAATTTGCATGTTCACGTACCTTCATCTTGTACTGTTATCTTTTCTCATTTGATTGTGCGACATGGATGTATCTTTGACCATTGCCTCCGAAACATGCGTGGGTACACACTCCGCAATGGGAAAAAGTACGGCGTGGTCTGGTTGTTTATTTCTAGTCACCAACAAAAAAAAAAAGGCTGTTGGTGCGCATGATTGCTATCAATGGGTAGCGATTTGATGGGGCCAGCGAGAAAAGACGAGTAGTGATCTTCCCTCGTTGTGTCACACATGCCACTGATAAACAGTCCCGGTTCCGAACCCGTTACGATCATCGATCAGAGACCATTTAAGTTATCAGTGCCAGCGAATCTCCCCGCACTACATCCTCATGAGTGCACGGACGGAGGAGAAGAATGGGGGTTGAGGGTTGAGGGTTACGAAAAGACGAAAAGACGAAAGGACGAAAGGACGAAAGGACGAGAGAGAAGGAAAGAAATGAAAGAAGGCATGGACAGCAGCGAAGGGAGGCCTACGAGTCCCCTGCTCTTGATCTTTCTCTTCAATTTTCTTTGGCTTGTGCGATTGAGAGCAATTTTGGTTCTTTTTACTTCGGAGCCCCATCCCATGACGATTCAACACCGCTTTATTGCAGTGGCATGAGTGTTCTGTTGAAGAATGGACATTGCACACTCTCATTCTCAATATCTTTCTCTGTGGTAAAGTCAACGAAGTCAAGAAGAGTAAAGTCGCTCACCTATATCCCTCCCTAGAGAAAAGTAATTAGCTGCTCATTTTTGAGCTGATAACCTAAATCTTTTTGAACATGGTCCCCTTCTCGTTCCTCAATTGCCACCAGATCCATCCGCACTCGAGACAATTGACATCACTTTTTATATAATCCACCATTCAAGCACATCTTGGTGTTCACACGCTCTGTGCAGGTTGCTCCTGATCATTCACCTCCTGTGCTGGCGCTTTGGCTTTCAAACTAGGTTGGTATGCAGGCTTGACCAGCGCTGGTGTCTCGTCCAACGGCAAGAAAGCCAGTTGAGGTCTACAGCTGTACATCTGCTCCGCCGCACGTCGCTTCAAGAACTCGGGCATGTTCTTCATCATGAATCGCACCAGCATCGGCTTCAGACCCTATGTAAAGAAACGACGCAAGAACAATTGATGAAGATGAGTGTTCTGCGCGATATTTCGTCTCAAACCAACGCATGCCCAATCGGACCTTCTCTCTTACCTTGGCGACCAAGGCCTGCAGCATTTGACTGGTGTTGAAAGCCCTCTCGACCCACTCGATACGCTCAGCTCTGTATGATTCAAACGCACTCTCGATCTCGTCAACTACAGGGTGCAATGGCAAGGCATTGATGTAGTTTGCCAGCACCGCGGCGTCGTGCATCGCGTTCACTGCTCCTGCTCCTCCTGAGGGGTTCAGTTTGTGGCATGCTATTTTGTCAGTGAAAGAAATGCATGGGTGAGGAGTCATCATCAGTAAATAGATACATCGCGTTTTCACATATCAAAGAAAAAACTGGACGCACTATACCACGTCATTCTCACTTACCATCACCCATCAGGACAGTACGGCAACCATACCAGGTCCTAAACACCTTCTCTTCCAACATGACTTTCGAGATATACTCCTTGGGCGACCAGTCAATCAAGTCTCCAATCGTCAGTTTCTTGTCTCCTCCAGCGATAATGGGGAAATCTCGGACCTCCTCACACATTGCCTCGGCTGCCTCAGGTCCCCACTCAGAGTTACGGAAGGAGTCATTCAATTTGGACGATTCCTCATCGAGAAACCTCACAATCGACCAACACACAGTGCTCTGGGTGGTCGTGAACGTATTCCAAGCATAGGGCTTGTCCTCTCCAACGATTCGAACAACCTGACACTTATCAGCAGCCAACAAAGGGATATCTTCTGGCGTCAACGGCTTTGTTTGCCCAACCAAACACACCGTACTGAACGGAAGCGGCACGTCGTCCGAGGATGGCAACTTTCTGTCTTTCTTCAGCTGCTCATATAGGGTCTGGCGAATGGCACTGTGTGCCCCATCTGCTCCTACCAGGATATCGCCCTCGTACTCTGTCCCGTCGCTGCAACGGATAAGGATCCCGTTCCCGCCTTGTGTCGTTGAGAGGATCTTCTTCGACATATGGATGCGCTCTGTGGGGACCTGTCGAAGGAAGAGTTCGTACAGTTTTGGTCGAGCGAGGAGTCTAGTGTCCGCTCCAAATCTATTACGAAAAAAAGAGCGCATGGGTTAAAAGTCCATTTCGCATTTCCCGCATGGGCTCCCTGTAGCTAACTGAATGATGGAACAGGGCTGATGCTTTTGTGGTAGTGTACTTTGTTGTTGCCTCGTCAAAGTAGTTTGAAAACGAGAACTGAATCTCACGATTCTCGTTTCCGACTTGGACAGCGGGGACGACGTGACTCATGGCAACGAATTCGTCATAGATCCCGAGTTGGCGCATCAGTGGTGCCACGGTCGCATTGAGCGTAATACCCGAACCTGCAAGAGGAATATTAGCCGTTAGAGAGTGGTGTAGGGTTATGAATAAAAAAGAGAGATAACAGTCGACAATTGATGGAGTAACGGTTGTAAGGCACTAGTGTCACCCACCAAGAGGCTTAACCACGGCTGCTCGTTCAAAAATCTCATAGGGGATGTCAGTTTTTTGAAGGATAGCTCCAAGAGTGAGACCTCCTAAACCAGCACCGACGATGAGCACCTTGGGTCTTCTGGTATGCATCACCTTTCGGTCATGCTGGAAATTGACGGCAGGGTTGATCTCCATGTGAGTTGAATGAGAGAGTGATGTCGAATGAATGCAGAGGGAGGGAGAATAAAAATGTGGGATGAGAGTGGATGATCAGGACGAAAGTAAGAATTGAGGAGAGAAGCGTAAAACAAAAAAAGAGGAGCCAGCGGGCACGACCGACCGTTGGCCTCTTTGATATACGAAAGGTACAAGCATCATTTTAAAATTTCTCTAGTCCATCAACTCCATGAAAAAAAATAGCTGCGGATGTTGATTTCATTCGATCGTTTTTTTTTTTTTTTTTTTTTTTTTCGCGCCACGTAAAGATATCCTTTGAATTGGAGCTCACGACTCCGACTCCCGTACCACGTGCAACTTTTGTCACAGCATGAATTTTTCGAATAGGGTAGGTAGTTCTTTCATTGCTTGCTATCGTCTATACTGGTCAATTGACGAACATCCATGCCATCGATGTCTTCATTCAATCAACAAAGAGCATTTGGTCCTTTGTCAATCGGATGGGTGTACGTTCCTTTTGGCGAAAAAGGTACACCTGGACCCTTTTCTTTCCAGTCCACGAGGGTAAATCTTCCACGCAAACATACCGCCTCAAAAGAGAACTCAAAAAAGCCATCACTGATGCGGTCAAAATAACTTTATTTGTCTCTCCGCCATCGACCTTCACGCGCCACGTCTCACTCTAGCCTTGATCACAATCACCTTATTCACGGAGTAGTTAGAAAGTCTCGCCAAGAGCACCCCCTCATCGTTGACAAGAATGTTTCAACTGAAGAAGCGAAGAAAGTGGGCAGTCCTCATTAAGTCAGGAAAAAGGGGGACCACATGCTCTCTTTTGACCATCGACCTAACGTACTCTTAGCATCATGCAATCTGATTATCAAGACGAATAAATGAGAGCTATTTCTTTTTCTTCTTCTTGCAGACACGGCGAAGGGAGGGGGCGGGGCGGGGTAAACCTTGGGGGAATAGAACAACGGCTCCAAACAAACAAAACATAGCATGGGCATGGAAGATTTTTTGCAAGCAGACACTTGTCCGGAAAAATCGTCGAACGCAACTTGTTGAAGTGGGCGTGCTCGACACGTTTAAGCGTATGAGGAAAGGACAAATATACGATCGATCAGTCTTTTGTGTCATGCATAAAAAAGCCTGTATTATTTCGTTTACTGGGTATAGGAGCATCTCTCTAAACAGCCTGCGCAGGCGTTACATCCTCCTGTTCATCAGCTGGGGTCATAGCGCTCAAACTTGTTTGAGGAGCAGGTCTCTCCAGTCCCTTGTCCTCAGCCTTGGGGAGGAATGCAATCTGTGGCCGGTTAGCGTTCATTCGAATCGCCGACTTTTTCTGCATTGAAGCAGGCATATACTTCGCGCAAAACCGGATGATCTTGCCCAAAATTGTCTATCACGATTTGTTCATGAAGCACCCAAAAAAAAATATTCGCGTTCGTTAGAATAGTAAATTGGTTGAGGTCGTTGTGTCGCTCACATACGCTAATGACAGGGGTTAACCTACCTTGGATGCCATGACGCGAAAGATTTTGCTTGTGTCGAATGCCTCTTGGACCCAAGGGATGCGCTCCTCGCGATAGGCCTTGAACGCTTCCGTGATTTCCTCTGCTGTTGGGTGATGGGGCAATGCGTTGATGTAGTTACCCAAGGTGATGGCATCGTGCATAGCGTTGATCGCACCAGCGCCTCCTGCAGGGTTGAACTATTGGGAAACGAAGCATAGATTCGTGAGTACGTTGGTGTGGGGAAGTGAGAGATAGAAAACTAGATCAGCACGGGCGAGCATAAAATGCAACTCCTACCTTATGGCATGCTAAAAGAGAGTGATACCAATGGCGAGGAAAAGGATGAATATAATTAGCTTGTGATTTTCCACGCTGCTTGACATCGCCTTACTGTATTCAAGTCTTGTCACCAGCGCGTTATTCTTACCATCACCAAGCAAGACAGTACGGCAATCGTACCAGGTCTCGAAAACCTTCTCCTCGAGCATAACTTTAGAAATCAGCTCTTTAGGTGTCCAATTGATCAAGTCCTGAAACGTCAGCTTCTTGACGCCTCCACTGACAACAGGAAAATCCTTGACCTGCTCGCACATCGCAGAGGCTGCCTCCGGTCCCCACTCAGAGTTGCGGAAGGAATCGTGTAGTTTCGACGATGATTTATCGAGGTAAAGCACAACACCCCAACATACAGTGTTTTGTCTTGTTGTAAACGTCGACCACTAGAAACGAGGAAGAATACGGTTAAAGGACATGCCAATACTTAATTTAGTTAAAACGACAGCTCCAAAAAAAAACAGCGTTATCAAGTACAAAGCGGCAACTTACCGAGTAAGGTCTGTCGCCACCAAGGGTGTTAATGAACTGACAGTTCTCCTTGGCGATATCTGGGAACTCTTCAGCAGTCAAACATCTCGTCTGTCCAACCAGACAGACAGTACTGAAGGGCAATGGCAAAGCATCGTCCGCAGGCAACCTATCTGCCTTTTTCAGTTCCGCATACAGGTTTTGTCGCACGGCACTGTATGCACCGTCAGCACCGACCAGGATATCACCCTCATATTCTGTCCCGTCGCTGCATCGAAGTATAATCCCGTTCCCGCCTTGTTTAGTCGAAAGAACTTTTTTGTTCATGTGGATACGATCCGTGGGCACCTGTCGAAGCATCAGGTCGTACAACAAAGGGCGAGCGACGATGAATCCGTCTGCTCCGAACCTTGACACGTTCAGAGCGCAAAGATAGGCGTTAGTGCTACGAAAAAAATGGATACAAGACGTGGATGAAAGGCTCAAGGTCATCATAACAAGAGGTGACAACTTACAACTTGCTTGAGAAACTCTCGTCAGGAAAGTTAGGGAACTCCATTTTGTACACCGTCTGTCGCTTTTCGTTGGAGAAGTGAATGGAGTCGTTGAACTTGGCCAGCGCAACGAACTCGTCATAGATCCCGAGCTGCTTGAACATTGGAGCTGTCGCCGCTCCAAATGCCATCGCCGAACCTAGAAAGACAAGACGACAGAAGGGGACGAAAAGATAAATAAGTTAGGATGCCTCTACTTCCAAAAGGGCAATCATACAAAGCCTGGGTCCTATAAGTAATCGAGCCTTACCAAGAGGCTTGACCTGAGGGGCTCGTTCAAAGATCTCGTAGGGGATGTCTGACTTTTGCAGGATGGCTCCGAGGGTAAGACCACCCAGTCCGGCTCCGACGATGAGTACCTTGGGTCGTTTGGCGAACATGAGTTTTCGGCCATGCTTGAATGTCACTGCTGGGTTGATCTCCATGGTGTCCAGTGATGGCGGATGTCGTGATGATGAGGAATGGGGGGTGATGAGGAACTCAAAAAAAAATAAAAGGCGAGTGGGAAGACAAGGGGGAATAATACAAAAGTAGGAACAGGCGCCGTCTCCTGTTTACTAAGCGCCATTCGAGTCTGTTGTGCTTGTGCGACGGTGAGCATGCCACTTGTGTTTTCCGTTGAAGATGCATGCGATCGATTGTTAATATGCAGAGATGCCACCGGTCCAAAAAAACAGCCTTTCGCGAATCGATCTGAGAACGACACAGTACGCACTATTGGTATGTATGGCAACTGGAGGGTACATCAAGAAGAATGTTCAAAAGTTCTCATTCTTTCATACTTCTCCTTTATCCCATCATCAATACTCGATGGTCGGTGCATTGGTCATGCTGTAGCCTTCCTTTTCAGCTCACAACAGCCAGGAACGAACGGTTGTGAGCATGGCGTCGTTGAAAGAAAAATAAATGAGAGCAAATTTTTGCATGGGAGAGCAGCTGGGCAGTGCCAGCCTGCACTTGCTGCTGGTGTGCTTACACCCCAAGGAGCGCCAACCAATGCCTAACAGGTCGGAAGCAAAAAGGTCATCGACATGAGGGATGGAGTCACTACTCTACTCCTAGGATCTAGCATTCAAAAATGAAAACAACTACTCAAACGGTTGCCTCCGTTCCTCGTCTGATTTTTCCTAATTTTCGTTGCAGCACCAGCCAACAAACCTTCCTAGTCACGCATGAAGTGGCCAGATTCATCTCCACTATACCAAGAGTCAAGTCCATCGAAAGAAAGAAATGTCAGGAGTAAAGATTGCCAACGACACACACACACCCTCTCTCGATTTCCCTCATCCATCACTTTTGACGCCATCGTCCAATCACACGCCGCGATAACCTTAATTTATCTCAGTGCCTGCCCTTTGATAATTCGTTTGCTGACTCCATCTCCCAGCGCAAAGCAACTCGCTTGCCTCCAAGAAAATCAAACCCTGGTTCGATTCATATGTGATAACATAAGATATGCACATACGATGTCGTATGGCTTTCGTGATTGAGGAACGAGTATGGATATTGAAGGGATGCCAGGCTTTGTCCTAGACTACAGTGTCAACTATGACTTTTTTTCTTGGGCAACCCGTTCATGTGCTTGCGCTTTAGCGTGCAGACTGGGCTGGTAGATCGCCTTCACCAAAGGGTCGGCCTTATCTGGGGGTAGGAAGGCTGCCTGTGACTTGTAGGAGGCCTGTCGCTCATTTCTGGACTTCATCACTGCAGCTGGCGCGTACTTGAGAATGAAACGGATGATGGTAGCCTTGATACCCTGTTGATCCCGATTAACATAATCGATTCCGGACAAAAAGAAGGCAAAGGAAGAGGCAATGTTAGCAACAAATACATGCAATCAGGACACATGCGTTCAATGAACAATCTACTGTAGCTTACCTTGTCAACCATGCTCCTGAACAATTTGCTCTGTTCGAAGACATCCTCAACCCACTCGATGCGATCGCCCTTGTAGGAAAGGAATGCCTTTTCAATGTCATCTGTGGTGGGATGATCGGGAAGAGCATCAATGTAGTTTGCAAGGATCACCGCATCGTGCATAGCGTTTGTCGCTCCAGCTCCGCCAGATGGATTGAATTTGTGACACGCTGTTGTACATGCGGATGAGAAAAGGTATGAGTAGGATTAACGAACGCTATGGTTTTCTTGCCTTTACCTTTTTGCCTTGTCATCACACTCACACTCGAAAGAATAAAAACGTACCATCTCCCAATAGGACAGTGCGGCAGCTACTCCAGGTTTGGAAGACTTTCTCCTCGAGCATGACCTTGGAGATGTACTCCTTGGGTGTCCAGTCAATAAGGTCACCAACCGTGAACTTTTTGTCTCCACCTGCGATGATGGGGAAATCTCGAACCTGTTCGCACATCACAGCAGTTGCCTCCGGCCCCCATTCGGAGTCACAGAATGTCTCATCGTTCTTGCTTGTTTCCATGGGCAAAAATTCGACCAAACTGTAAGCCACTGTCCGTTGGGCGGTCGTAAATGTTCCCCACTACGATATAGAAGTAAGAGTCGCGAAAAGGATGTCAATGGACACGAGAATCAATATGAGGATTAGAGAACCAAAATCTAGTGAATTCATATGTGGTAGCATCCTTCAAGTACTTACAGCATAGGGCTTGTTCTCACCGACGACACGGTTGAACTGACACTCCTCCAGCTCAATGTCCGCGAATTCTTCAACAGTTAGCGGTCTCGTCTGTCCCACTAGGCAAACATTGATGAACGGAAGAGCCTCACCGTCCAGTGGAGGCAACTTGTTCTGTTCCTTGAGCTCTGCGTAAAGATTTTGACGAACAGCGCTGTGAGCGCCATCCGCTCCTGCCAAAATGTCTCCCTCATACTCAGTCCCGTCACTGCAGCGGATAAGGACGCCGTTGCCTCCTTGCTTGGTGGTGAGGATCTTTTTACCGAAGTGCACACGTTCCTTGGGGATCTGGCGCAGGAAGAGGTCATAGAGCACTGGACGAGTAATAAGTCGAGTCTCGCCTCCAAACCTATTAGGACACCGTTAAGGCATTACAGCTGTTAGTTTATCTCCTTTGAGTGATTGAAAAAATGGTGTTTATACCAAAGGCGTTGGCTTGTTACCTCTCCATGGCGCCCTTGCTCCCCACAGTGATCTGAAAATCAATTTGGCGATTCTCTTTCCCCACGTTAATAGTAGTTAGGACCTTGCTCAGAGAATTAAACTCCTCCTCTAGTCCAAGTTGTCGAATCAACGGCCACGTCTGCGATGTTAACACAGTACCAGAACCTATTTTCAAGATCAAACAAGTATCCTCGTCAGATAGATATTGTAAGTCGCAAAGAAAGACAAAACAAATAAAAACGATCAGCATGTTGCTGTTACCTAGGGGTTTGCTTTCCTGTGCACGCTCAAAGACTTCATAGGGGATGTTGGCTTTATGGAGGAGCATGGCGAGAGTAAGTCCTGCCAGACCTGCTCCGACGATAAGGACTTTGGGTCGTTTGGCGGGGTTGACTGTGCTGTCGTGCTTGGCGTTGCTGGTGGGACTGATCTCCATGTCTTGGCAGGATGAAGGATGTCGGATGTCGGACGGAGAGGAATGAATGTGGAATGCGGATGAGGAAAAGTGATGAGGGACGAAAAGTCAAGTCGAGGAGAGCCTTCTATCCTTTCTCCTCTTCTTTGCATTTCGTGTTCCGTTTGTGCAATTGTGTGTTCTTTTTCCCTTTGAATGATTGTGCGACTAAGAGAGCATGTTTACAATGATGGGTACCATGGGGAAACAAGGATGCTCCGCAAGACGAGGCATCGTGATCATTTTTTATGTTGTTACGTTGCGAGCGTATCCTCTATTTACGTGGGGAGCCTTGATTACCTTTCAATGAACGAAGGTGTTGGTCAAGGCGACCCTTCTCTCTCCCTCTGCCACTCGTCATCCAAGAGCAGGGTCTAGAGCTGTGTGAAAGTGGATTCGTCTGTGTGCGAGAGGAAATGGTGGATCAACACAAACGGACCAATTATTTTTTGTCTGTGTTATCGAACTTTAATCGCTGGTGGTTCACAAGGCGGAAAATTATCCCTCACCTCTCTCTCTTGGCCGTTGAGAGAGGGGATGTTGGCCTTGCAAAAAAAAGCGCCTATTATACTTTCGGTCTTCTTCCGAGTCTGTCGCGACAGAATGGAGCATTCTTCCCTCTGTCCCCACTTTCTAACTTGATTTAATGTTGTACCTGTAAGAGTACTGTTTCCTTCTGCGCTTTGCGCTTCCAGTGAACGTCTTGCCCTTGACTGCCTGCTTATTGATAGGTCGTTCTCGTTCACATTCTCATTGGCAGGGTTTCATTTCGCCCTGCAGTGCTAACGCTAACACATGGATTAATCACTCGTATTATTTGCGTTGTGAAGGGTGTACCGCGCGATTGGATCAATGGCTGACCCGAAGGACAGAAAGGCCAGCACGAGCAACGGCTCTTTTTTTTGTAGAGCATGGAGAGAAGAACTAAGCAGCATCAGCCTGCCGGATCAGAACACACCAGTCAGAGGAATGAGTGTTACTCTCCTCCAGGTGCCAACGAGCTCTGTTTGCTCTTACTTCTCCTCTCCTTTCCCTCTTCTTTTTCCTTTCTCCTTCTCCTTCACCAACTCAAACTCAGCAAACCGCAACACTTTCCAAACTCATTTCATGGGTCACAACTCAACACTCTGCCTCCCTCTCTCTGTCTCACCATCGTCACGCAACAAAGTTAAATCCTTTCTCCTCAAGGCTCTTCATCTCTCCATGACTCCCCTTTTCAGTTGCCAAAAGATGCACTGCCACAAAATCATCCACCACTTGTTTATTTTTCCTTCCGGCTTCCCTGCTCTCTCACTCTCTCACCCCCTCCTTCTCGCTCCTTTCAAAGAGTTGATGTTTGCTCACATCCCCTTCTCGCATCCCCTTTCCACACCCCCCTTCTTCACATCTGATCAATACGACACACATTCAACAGAATCGCAGACAAGAAAAAGAAGGCGAGGGTTGGATGAGAAATTGGTAGCGAGATCCTGGGTTGAAGTGGACAGTGAAAACCACTGTCCTAGAGTCCACAATAGATCCGGTACCTTTCCTTCAGGGAGATTCCCTAACAGATAAGCCATACAAGGTCAAGACTCCAATTGAGAAGGTGTCCTTCGTTGTTTGTTACATTGCCTGTTTTGAAAAAGAGAAAAAGGACTGACTCAATACAGGATGTGTGACCTGGTGGTCCATGCATCTTGTATCATCATACATGTGCTGTGGGAGAACATATTCGCGGAAAAATGGTGTGAGTGTGCGCCTGGATTTCATAATGAGCCCCATTTGATCAACCTTGGGTCTCGGCACACATACATGCCATCGCCAAGGATGGTGCAGTTGGGTCATAAAGCAATTCAGATAACCATCACTCAAGTTGCTAATGATCCCGGAAATAAAAAAAGGGACAGGCCATCAAAGACGAGCATGGCCCAATTTTCGGTGTCCTTTTCCTTACGGAAGGAGTGCATTGTCGCAAACTTAATTTGCTTTTTGCCTTTTCACATTTTCCAAATCGTCTCCTTCTTCTCACATACACACTTCAAATGTTGTCCTTTTGTGTTTTGTGAGTTGACCATTGCCTTTTTTTCTTCCCCAGCTTTTCTTCCGCCTTAGATAGCTCAACTTCTTCTGTACACTCCTCCTCTGTCTCGGCATTTTCTCATCCATTTCAAGTGTCTCTCTTCGCCCTCCTTTATCTTCTTTTCCTTGCATCTCTTACTTCTCAAGTCTCCCCCTTTCTTCACATTCTCCCCTCTCCTTTATTTTCACCTATTTTTCATCTTCACACCCTCTTCACGATACCGATTCCCTCCTTCTCCCTCGCCCTTGTACATATTTTCCTTAACTATCCACCCGTCCTTCTCACTATATCAGCACGATTACACATACCATGCGGATACGACAGATCCAAGCAGCGGTACTACTGTGCCTAATCGTCGCGCTCCCTATCCGAACACCAGCACTCCCAGCATTCTACTTCCCCCCAAAACTAACAGCCACAACCACAATCACCGCCTACACCTCACACGACCTTCATGTCAGACAAGATCCAGGAACTTTTACTTCAACAACGCCGACTTTCTCAGCGATAATCACCAGTATTGAGACAATGTCACCAGATCTGAGGACTTCAACGACAGATGTCCCTACAACTACACTAACGACATATATTTCACCTACGTCAGATGTCCCTCCAACCACACCTACGACAGATGTCCCTGCAACTACACCAGCGACAGATATTCCTTCACCTGCACCAGCGACAGATACCCCAACAACTGCATCAACTACAGATATTCCTTCAGCTGCACCGACAATAGATGTTACAACAACTGTCCCAATAACAGGCGAGCCATCGACAAGATTTTCACCAACACTCCTCCCACCAATCACCCATCTACCTGAACAAACTACTCCGCCTACTCCAGCGACATTAACAACCTCGCCATCGTCCAATCCAAGTCAGACCCCTACGTCGACATTATCCAGTCCAAGTCAGACCCCTACATCGACATCAATTACTGGCACAACCACCAGCTCCGGGATTTTATCCTCAACAGGGATATCGTCTGTCACCGCAACTATTTCGGGACCGGAAACTTTCGTCTCAGTTACACCTGACCCGTCAGGCACCGCCACTGCAACACCAGGGCCAGAGTCACCCTTGACCAGCGGCAACAGCAGGATTTGGATCATTGTCGGAGGGGCCGCAGCAGCTGTGTTACTCCTGGCGCTCATATGCTTTTTCGCCTTCCAGCGCCGAAGACAGAAACGGGAAAAACGACGACTCTTTAATATCAATGGTGGACTTGACAGTCTGACCAGTATCAACCGCGCCAGCGTAGGGGGCGACGACCAGGATGGCAGAGACGACGACGACGACGACGATCTCGACAGCGAAAAGGCATTCTTCATGGCCAACCCACCCGCTCGCGTCCGCAGCCCCCAATCCCCGCACCCAGACAACCACGACCTCAACATCAAGACACCCCTAGACCAGTATGAGGCACAAAAATTCAATTGGCCGACCCCCATCGTCGTCACGGATAAACACCCACAGGACCATATCCGACAACACCATCTACAGAGGCTTCTGGAACTGCAGCAGGAGCAGTTAGTGAAACTGAACGCGCTTGTGGAGCGGTATAGGGTGACGTATTCCCGACCGCAGTCGCCGCATTCGCCGGTGTTGACTGAGACACGTTTGTCAACGCGGTTGTCATATTTTGGTGTTGATGACCAACTAGAGTTTGAGGATGAGGAGCAACTGACGAGCGAGGAGATTCGGAGGCTAGAGTTAAAGGGCGATGAGCGATTAGAAGATGTGCCGTTGGAGGAAGGACCATTCCGGGATAAAGGAGAGATCGACGACGGCGATGTCGAGTTGCAAAGATTGGAAGTCAGTCATTACTACCATGGACCATTCGCAGACCAGGATGAGCAGACATCAGCGCCCTTGATAAATGTGTTTGATGATCCGAACGCGGTGTTTGAGGCTGACTTTGAGGTGGCGTCGATTATTATCCGGAGCGGAAGCGTCAGCCTGCTGAGCGACAGTCTCGAGTTACCGGATGAGCGGGAACAGCGACATTACGACAAGGGCAAGGGTATTACTAGCAGCATACGAGATAGTGACAGCTTCCTAGGATTACCCTTGTCGACAACGGCATCGACAGACGATCTCCGAGCTGAGTTCGGTAGTTATCGAGATAGCAACAGCACCTTGGCGGCCTCATCGACTGTGCGGGAAAGGCATTCTGACATATCAATGGATGGGTCGTCAATCGAGTACACTAGCAGCCTTGGCAGTAGCTCTGGTAGTGGGAGTGGCGGCGGGGGAGGATCCAGTCATGGCTCAGGATCGGGATCGCGAACGGGAACTACTATTGCAGTCGCAGCACCGACGTCAGAAAAGTGCGACCGGCCGATGCCGACGGGGATTCAAACTGGAGTATCCAGCCTTGATCGACAGCGGGAGCGAGAACAGAATGAGATCTTGTTGAAGGCGATTGAGCAAGTAAAAGCCCAGTACGCAGAGCAGCAGTATCGACAGATCCATGAAGATCTTGCAAACCTCCAGTTAGAGTGAAATATAACCTGAGAACGATTTTCGCGAGGGTTATGTGTTTGCAAATGTGCTTATTTTCTTGATTCTTGTACGGCTCATGGCAAAGCATGGAAAGTCATGGCAAAGTCAGTGGTATGAACAAACAAACAAACAATTAATTAAAAAAAAAAAACAGGCCTCCAAGCAAACAAACACACAAACCACCATGGAATCAGAAAGTCAAGTGCCATCTGCTTCGCTATTTTTTTTTCTCGCTTTGCCTCGCAATCTAGAGGCTCGGCGTGAATCCACCACTGGTGGATGGTTTCCCCCTCTTTTTTTTTGCCTTGACCTCTCTCCACGCATTGAAACCAACTTCGCCATCGTCATTTTCGTTCACTCTGTCTACATTGCGATCTATCGTCTCTGTTCAACGCTTTTCTTGCTCCACTGACATTTGATGGAAAATGGGCAAGAGACAATCGGATAAATGTGTCGTGTAGAAGAGTGATTGAACGTCCTACAGATATTTGTTTTTCACAACGAACAAAAAAAAAAGGCTCGTACATTACTAAACATTCGACAGAACCCACATAAGAAGGTCGTTCCTCCGTCTTCTCGGGCAACGCAAAATGGTATAGTCTACTCAAGGACATAGCAAAGGGATGTTTATGTATTGCGTGTTGCCCTTTCAGCCTGGTCGATCGATGACACACTGACAGTGCCAATGAAAACAAAGAGAGGTGTGCTTTATTGCATGGACCGTTACTTTTGCTACTCGTTGCTTGGCTGAGGATCGCTCGCCTTCATCTTCTTGGATGATTCAAGCTCCTCCTCATCTGAGCGGCGCTTGGGTCGCTTCAGCGTGTCCAGAAACTCGACATGACGGCGTGGAAAGATCTTGGGAAGTTCCTGTCGTCGATCCCAATCGACACGCGCTGAAGGCCCTCAAGCTCGGGCTTGGGATCGGGACGAACGACTTGAAAGTTGACAACCTCGGCAGGGTAGGCGATCACCATGCTGATATAAGATCCAGAGGGACAGAAGTCCTGCAGTTGCGGCGCTTGAACTTACTTTTTCTTCTGCTCCTTTCCATTTTTTTCTTGCACGGCATGCCTGCTTACCGTGGCAAGTGCCTTTTCGACATCACTCGCTTCAAGGACTTGTCGCAATTTGAGCTGTGGAGGGAAGGAAAAAAAAAAAAAAAAGAGAAAGCGAGAGTGGAAAAAAGAGTGGTGCTAGAGTAACAGACGTCATAATTTTAAATTTTTAAAGCGCATCTAATCGAATTTATTCGAATTCACTATGATTTGCATTGGGTTTGTGCGTATTTTAATCGAAATAAAATTTCGAACTGGATTCGATTTGGCCATACTTAAGTTTTGGCCTCCGTTCCATGCAACTTACTTGAACGAAGCACGGAGAGACTTTTCCATTGATCCTGATGAAAAAATGATGTCAGGTCCTGAAACATGTGGTGCTGGGACGTAGAATGGTGGGACATCTTGACCATCTTGTTTTGAGTTGTTCTCAACATGCGCCTTCATGAACTCCTGTGTTGTGATGTTTCGGTGCGATATGGCGAGTTTTGGTTGACATTCGTGATGGCCAACAGTGGTTACGTCTCCAACGAACTGATCGGGAAGAGACATGTTGTTCAGCAAAGGCCATGTCGACAGTGGTCGTGTCTTCAGAGCCTCGACAAAGACTGGTGGCATCATTGATTCCCACATAGACCCTTGTACTGAGGCGTGGGTAGAATGCAGCATTGCACGCTTTGCTGCCGAGATGAACGAAGGATCCTTCTCATGGAGAAGTTCTCGGTAGCCTTCAAGACCAAGGGCCTATCGAGAACTGTTCTTGCGGAACCTCCAAAGAGGTTGATACGACCAAATGCTGCCTCAAACAGCTGCATGTCATTCTTAATCATAGTTGAAGGAGCATCCAGGAGACGATGGCGATAAAGGAAAAGCCCAAGTGACTCCTTGATGGAAGAGCATGAAGTGAAGAGTTCGGGATTTTTGGCGATCTTGTCCTCCAAGCTAGAACAAGGACCGTTTAAAAAATGTAGTTAGTAAATGTAAATTGAAGAAATCAATAATTATGAGATAAAGGGCAAATCAACAGAATTGTTGGCGAGAAAGCTTACCGGATGAATTCTCCGCACATGTTGCCTCGGCGGTGCCGATCCTTCTAAGAGGTGATCATGATTTCAGTGTTGTCGATGGCAGTCTCCCACTCGTCAGTCTCAAGAATGCCTTCGAATAGCCGTGACAATAGGTCTGAATCGAGGCTTTATTCTCCTGTGCAACATCTCCATGGCTTCGGAAGGGATAAGAGTGTCCACCGTCTTTTCGACTTATCATCCAATAGCTGCTCTTTGAGGCGGTCAACATACGATTGTATCGAGTGCGCACAAGTCCATCCTGGAAATTCAATGTCTGGATGAGGAAGTAGAAGCATAAAAAGAAAAATATGATGCTTAGCATCCAGTCTTATAGACCATTGTTTGGAAACCATAAAGTCATCGCCCTTACTTACATGGAAAGGTGTTGGAGCCATACCTCTTGATGTCATCGCCGCTGCTCATGGCCCAATGGAGGGTTCGGATTGACAATCCTGTACCGCAATAGATGATCTTGAGCCAACCGACCCAAAACCATGGAGGAAGGGGCTTAACCTTCAGATGAATGTGGGGAGGAGGGAAGGAGAGAAATGGGTAAGCTCTTCTGAAAAGGGAGAGGAAAGAAAATTTTCATCATGGGGACAAGGACTGGTTGCGGGATAACCTCAGAACGCAGTACTTACATTGGTCTTGGATCACCTTGTGTAAATGACGACGCGAACGATGTTGGGCTCTTGTCGCTCAAGAGCTGGGCCTCATCGATGACCAACCGAAGCTTGGAGTCACTTGAAAAGTTAGGATAATCAAGGGCAGCAGGCTTGTCTTGCAACAGCTCAAACTCATCGCGGACAATGGACGCAAGGTGTGATTCGAGGAGTGCCCGTCCTTTCATCAGATCGCGCAGCTTGATGAAAAGATGCATGAACACATCCTTGAACATGTGGGGACAAACTTGGAGCAAGGCCCATCTTGCACTCGAAAACGTCTGGCGACAGCCTGAGACCTTCAGACAGTAGCTGAGAATCATGAGACGAGAGAGGAGAAGCAAAAGAGTAGCACTTTTGGCAAAGTGGGTGTTGATGCTTGCTGAATCGTCTAATGTGTTGCCGTCAATGAATTCGGCCAGGCGGAAGAGATCGTCCGACCCAAGATCCTTGCTTGACGCGTTGAAATAGAATCCCCACTGAAGGTAGAGCATCGCAATCATAGTTCTGGTCTTGCCGGCACCCGCTAAAGTACAGAGGGAGCAACAGGACATGTGAGGCGATGCAATGTAGCAGGATATAGACTGCCGTATGTAATCCAGAGTTGGAAACTCACCTGACACCAAAAACGGTAGATCTTGCGCTTCTCCAGCACGCCCAGAAGAATGTTGGACTTGAACCTTTCGGGGACGGGATCGCCAGCACTGGTTGGAGGATCAGGTAGGTTCTCGGCTTTGCTCCCTCTGATTCGACCGCGCCTCGGCGCATGACCTTGAGTAAGCCGCATATGCCATGTGCAGTGACTGGTAATGAGTATTGTCCCTGAACATAGCTGTCGAAAAACTTGGCGTGCTTTGATCCTCCAGCGAAAAAGTAGTCCCTGATCCTTTTGATGTCTGCATGGAGGTCGCGTATTTGCATGAGAAAAAAGGTACAATGTTAGAAAACCACACACACAAAAAAACAATGACAGAGACACAAAGACACGAGAGAATGCATACCAGACAGCGGTGTGCCAGAATGAGAGTCGTCCGATTGGTAGCCAGGAAGTGGAGTCAATGAGTGAGAAGGAACAGGTGCATGGACTATTTGAGATCAATTGCACGCGAGAAATAAAGTTAGCGGGGTAAACAAGCTCTTGTTCCAAACAACAATCAACAAAACGTGTCTCATTACCTTGGAGAGGAGGGCACTGGACAACGATGCGGATTGTTTTCTTGGGAGGTGTCTCGGCAAACACGTATGCAATGTCGTCGATCGGGTGGAACTCCGTGGAGAACCAATCGCGCTCAAGAGAACAGGAGTGTGTTTGTTGGCCGCAATGACGGGGTGGGAGACGCGCCAGAGAGTGAGCTCATCAGTCGCAACATCGTCAAATCGAGGAGCCTTCTTGGTCTTGATGAGATCCTTGAGCTCTCCAGCTGTCGTTGTGGTTAATGGTGAGACTGGGAGGCGTTAGAGGTAGCCTCTCCATCAACAAGACAGAAGAAGTCAGACTGTTGGTGGACATATGAAGCATTGAATGGAAAGGAAGGAGAAGGTAAAGATTGTGAGAGATGGGAAGAAAGAGGAGGCAAAGAGGGATGAATGTGAAGAGATGTAAGAAAGAAGTGGCAAAGGTAGTGGAAGAGAAGAGTGGGATGACATGGGAAACAGTGGCTGGACAATGCTGTCAAATGAGGTTCTGCATCTGGAGCGGTGTGCTCAACTGTCCACTCCATTCCATAATCCTACTTGGTTGCTGACCATTCCACGGCACAATCTGGCACACCTATACAAATATCTGAGAGAAATAAAAGAGTAATGGTTAGAACCTAAGAAACAAGCACAACCGTACAACTCCCTTGATGCCATTACCCCGCAGTGGCCCCAGTCACCCAGTGGTGAAAACAGCCGCAGCTGGGCGGAGACTCACGGTCACCATGGCTATCTCGGCGAGACAGCTCCAATTGCAGCACCACCAACACCAAGGTGGCAAGCACTATGGCATGGAGAGGTCATATGGAGAGACAGGCAGTGCCAACGCTTAACCTATGCGCCTCTCATGGACCCAAGGAGCAACCAGATGCAACAACTCAAAGCCAACAGCACCACCAACACCAAAGCGACAAGCATTTTGGTGTGGAGAGGTCATATGGAGAGACAGGCAGTGCCAACGCTTAACCTATGTGCCTCTCATGGACCCACGGAGTTAGCCCCTTGCTGAAGCGACATGGATCTCAGCTCTTCCCAACGAGGAGTGAACCTAAGAAAGGATGAGGTCATATGGAAGGAATATTGTCCATTCGCTGCCAAAGAGGACCCTGCTTGCATCCAGTCTCAAAATCCGTACACAACGCGATGCTCCCTCCCAGATACTACCATTACCGTGACACGTTGGGAAGCTGAAATGATTGTGTGGAGATGATTGATGATGGCGGTAAAAGAGTGAGTGTGTAAGGGAAAGCTGCAAATCGCAAGTGAAAGCAGTGCGACAAGTCAGGACAATGGGCGCGTCAATTACGTCACCGTAATTGATGACGTAATAGATGCGCCCATAGTCCTGAAACCTGATGATAATAATGGTGGGTCATCGCGCACATGGGTTCATTATTATTCTCTTGCTCATTCAGGTACGGACGCACATCACCTCGGAAGTGGATGAAAGTCAGCAGGAAATCTCTATGGTTGGCAAAGCGGCGGCGCAATCATGTCGCCATCAAGATTGAGATGCCCTCGGCTATTTGGATAGGACTTGAGCACATCAGGATTTTGTGCCGTTGTGTTTTAGAATTTGATTGCTGTTATCTAATCTGACGTGATCCACTCTGATAGGCTTGTTGGTTGATTGCAACTACTGTATGTCGAAACGATCATCTGGCGACTGCAAGGAGAACCACTCTGAGCCGGAAGGGCTAGCACTTGAGGAGATCAATGCGGAGACAAGGGTAAGTACCTTGAACTAACTCTGGACTCATTGAATGATGGCGTACCATCTCACCTCGATTTATGAATATAACATTGTCCCCAATAGGACAAGGCTTTCGCTAAGATCATAACCGACAAAGCGTTCGGCACCCGCCCTACCTGTATCGAAGAGTGGGGTGTACAATATATCGCTCAAATGCGCTTGAATCCTCAACCGACTGTTGAAGGGCTCCTGGCTCATATCCGAATCAAGCACCCTCGAGCAAAGGCTAAGACTGCTCTTATGTGGAGTAAGCTCAAGAGCGTCTTCTGCTCCTGTGACGAACCAACACTCTTGACTATGGAGAAGGTGACCGACGTTCAGGCGTTTATTGAAGCCTTCCAGGCGGAATCTTCCGACCAGGATGACCAGAATGGCCCAGTTGGAGCTAGTACTGCGGTTGTACAAGCTAGCTCGGCCCTCGGTTCAAGCTCCACCTCCAAGCCCAGCACAAGTAGTAGCAGCGTCAGCAACAGCAGTGCATTATCTGCTGGCACGATCCTGAAGATGAACTCCGAGTTCGATCATAACTTTGCTGCCTTTGTGGGCGAGGCATGGATGCTCCCGTCAGGCGCCTGCGCCGACGAAGTGGTTGCACAATACGTGCGCACTTTGTCGAAAGAATCGGCATTACACTCTTTCGTCGTGGACATGCCCTCTACCATCATTGACCTTTTCAACGACCATAAGGACAAGGCGGCATTAAGCGAGGTCCTCGTGACGCGAGCTGGAGAACGCCAAAAAGTTATTAGCACAGCAGAGGAAGAGCATCTTCGCCTTTACGATGAGGAGCCGGACAAGGTGGAGGAGAAACTGTCCCAGGGCTGGCAAAGCGTCAGCGCACCGGAGGACCAGGTCCTGGAAAAACATCACCGAGGGTCAATTCATTTGGCCTTACACCTCATCTTCTTGGTGTATCAAAGACACCATTTCGAATTGCCTCAGTCGGCCTCCGAGTCATTTTACCTTCAAATTCTTTGGGGGGTTTTCCCGACTCTCATTCTGAGTGATAGAACACTCCATTACCGGCCAGCCGAAGTACACTCGCAAGCCTCCTCCCTCCGGAAGAACAGGAACCGCAAAGCAGAAGGGACGGTCAAGCAAGCCGTGGGCCGAAAGGCCGACGGCCTTATTGTGTCCTCTTCTACAATGCTGGAGTTGTGCATGATCGAGGCTGCGAACAAGGATGTCGGTCTGAACGGCACAAAAGCACTTCATGACACTCGAAAAATGGCTAAAGTACTCAAGGACACCTTCGACGGTGTTTGTGCCAAAACTAATAAGGACGTTATCGACCAACTAGTCGTCTTTGGCGCCCGTATTGCCGGATCATCGATGACCTTTTACAGTATGAGGAAGCGCCAGGGACGATTTTATCAGCTGGCTGACGACGGCACGGTGACTTTCCCTTCGCAGTGGGACCGAAGCACAACCATGAACATATTGACCATTATCGCGTCGGTGCTGGCTCTCAGGAAGCGTGTTACGGAAATGGCCAAGCAAGTGACTGCATGGACCACATTGTCATTTGAACCTCTTGACACATCCAGCCATCCCAACATGCCTGTAACGCTGACAACCCCCCCTGGTTCACCTCGTCTCTCACCACGGCAATGACCATCTTTCACCGCAAGGTTTAAACTATTGAGCCTTGAAAGACGATTCCTTACTCCTCTTTTCCTTGTTTCGTGGTAGTGTACTTGAAATGTACGATAAACTTGTCTGTTGAGCTCGTAAAGATAAAATGCGGAGATTCATTTCAGGCACACATTTTTACAACGCGATAAAATGGAGACACTTGAATCAGCAATTAGCTGACAATCATCTCAGTGATTATTTAAGGTACAACAAACAAACAAACAAACCATATCAACTGCAGGCGCAACGATCGCCTGTTCAACCATTATCGGACCTCCTGAATTCGCAACAAGAGGAAGATTGACACAAAATGAAAAAGAGAAAAAAGATGCAGCGGGCATCGAACTTGATGGACACAGGAGGGTGGGTGTGCTCACATTTGCCTCAAAAGGGACCAATGGTATATACCGGGGATCCAAGAGGAAAGAAAAATGAACATCGAATGCTGCATCCAAAAATCACGAAGGGAAGAAAACGGACGGCGTGCATGGCAAGCACCTTTCCCTTCCACCAGTACAAAAAGAGAGGTAAGGTACCCTTTCCACATTCTTTTCTACTTTTCATCTCTTTCTTCCCCATCTCATTTCCTCCATTAACACCTCTTCCCTCTTACTCCTCTTCCTTCTTACTCCTCTTCCCCCTTAATCCTCCCTCATATCTCGACAAAACACCCACGAACATACGGGCATGGCAGCAGCAGAAAAGCCAACAGTGTTAATTGTTGGAGCAGGTCTAGGAGGACTCATGCTCGGAGCCCTGCTGGAGAAAATCAATGTGCCCTACTTCATCTTTGAGCGCACTTCCGCCATCAAGTCCTTGGGTACCACCCTCTCTCTCTCTTACTCACTTCTTTGATCCAGGCCCTCAAAAAACTCAACCGTTTTGACCATTGACCCCCTTTTCCTCTCTACGTACTTGATACCTCCTTTATTGTCTGTGCACAGGTTCGGCAATCTCAATCGGATCTCCAGTTCTCGCCTTGTTTCAACAGCTTGGCATTTATGAGGAACTTGTCAGCGTCGGTCTTCGGTACACTGGCATTGCTGCTCACAAAGAAAACTTGGAACCTTATCCTCTCCAAGACTTTACACCCCTTGATGAGCTGTACGTAAGAGGAAGAAAAGCAAGGGAGCTGATGGTAAAAACGAGATTGACATTTTCAGTATTTTTTACCTCATGTTAACGGTTTTCATATCTTTGGTTGATAGGACTGGATACTCGCAGTACATTGTGTCAAGACCAGTCCTGTATGGTCTTCTTCTGAAGCAGGTCCCAGCACACAGAGTCTTACTCAAGAAGCGGATCCTAACCATCTCTGAAGAAGACGACAAGGTGACCATCCAGGCTGCCGACAACACTGTCTACGAGGGAGATCTCCTCGTCGGAGCAGATGGAGCATACAGTGCTGTCCGCCAACGACTCTACGAGAAACTGAAAATCAAGGGATTGCTTCCTGAGACAGACGACGAGGAGCTCCCATTCAACTGTACATGCCTTGTGGGTCAGACTGAGCCTTTGGACATTGAAGAGTTCCCTATCCTGAAGAACACGTTCAGTCAGTTCCTTACTGTTCGTGGAATTGATATCCCCTACACGGTATGCCTCAAAACGCGCTCTTTTTTTCACACATGTAACTCTACGCTGTGAAAGAAAAAAAAGTCACTAACACCATGTCCGCCTTCCTTTCTTCGTTCATTCCGTGACAAAAAAGTGGGTAGTATTTACGACCGCCCAGCGCCAAATCTGCTGGATGATCATTCACCACCTCACCAAAACCACAAGTAAGGCAGCAATTGACCAACGGTTCAGGAATAACGATAACTCAGAGTGGGGGCCTCATGCCGCCAAACAGATGTGTGACGAGACCCGAGATTTCAAGACTCCAATTAGGGATGGTGATAGGTTCTTGACCCTGGGCGATTTGTATGAGAGGACCCCGCAGGATCTGATTTCAAAGGTCATGCTAGAGGAGAAGGTGTTTGAGACTTGGTACCATGGGCGCACTGTTCTCATTGGCGATGGTAATGTATTTTGTTGCTCTGTTCCTTTTGAGCAATTGTAAATTTAAAAAGCCATCGCTACCAATCCGCCCTTGCGTGATCGAGAAGGAGTGCTCCTCCCTCTCCATTATGCATCTCTTGTTGCCACACACACACTGCATACTCACTCGCCACCTTGTATTTCTTCTTTATTACTCGACAGCGTGCCACAAAATCAACCCTGCTGGTGGTCAAGGCAAGAACAAGAACAAGTCGACTTGATGCCACATCGCTGCATGTAACATTGACCGAGAGTCATACTTACTCGTCTCTGTTCTCATTACTTCGATCAATTAGGTGCTGTTGCCGCAATGCATGATGCATTGGCGCTCACAAACTTGTTATACGCCCTCCCCAGCAAGACATCTGCAGAAATTCAGCAGATCCTCTCCGAGTACCAGGAAGAACGTCGCCCCTTAGCCCTAGCAACCTTCAAGAGTAGTCGCATGCTCAGTCAGGTTCTGAGAAAGGACTTTGTAGGCTGGATCGCACGATTGATATCGACCAACATGCCAGCGTGGTTGTGGAGAATCTTTTTGGGTAGGGCATTTGCGAACCGTCCTCAGGCGGGGTTCATGGAGAGGGTTGAGACTAAGGGGTCGGCGCCTCCGAACCCCTCGCCTAGTATGGATAAGGCAAGGGCTGTATTTGAGGAAAGGAAGCGGGATGCTGTCTTGGTTTGATTGGCCACGCGACGTTAATAAATGAATGGAGCAGCATGCGTGCGTGTCTGTTGGTCACACCGTGACACCGAAACACCTCGCGTTACCGGTACGATTTGTTGTATAGGAGTACAGAATGGATACCCTCTCCCACTTTGTTAAGGCATGCTTTATGGCGACGATGCCCCATGTAATAGTCACATTATGCAAAATCATTCCTCCTATCTCCCGGCCTGGGCACACATGCAAGAAACAAAAAAAAGTTAGACATTCGATGCAAAGGAAAAGAAAAAACAAAAATGAGGGGAGATGGAAGGCGGACATTAAATCTCTGCGGGAGATTGGGGAAAGGAAGGAAGGCTAACGGTTTCTTTTTTCTTTTGAGCTCACATCATGTCCCAACAGACCAATGGTACTTTTCGTGCCCAAGGATATCCAAAAGAAATAAATGAGCATCGAACGGAGCGGAAGGATGAGAGATTGAACAAACAAACAAACAAACAAACAAACAAACAAACAGGAACAAAAAAAAAGAGGGATTGAAGCGGTCTACAGTGCACGCATGACGAAGAGAGCTACAGTACTTTGTGCTCCTGTGTGTCCAAGCTGCATAAAGAAACCGATGGTTCCGCATCATTCGACACTTTTTATTCTTCTCTTTCTAATTCACTCTTCTCTTCGTATCACCTCTTCTTTTTTTGCTACCTTTTCTCCACTCCCTTTCAACTTGCATATTACACACACATGATGACAAAAGGGAAACCGACAGTTTTGATCGTGGGCGCAGGACTGGGAGGACTCATGCTCGGTGCCCTTCTGGAGAAAATCGACATCCCTTATGTTATCTTTGAGCGTACCTCATCCATCAAATCCTTGGGTAATGTACCACTCATGTATTTTGAGTCCGTTCAACCTCATCATTACATTGACAAACCTGTCGCCTAATCCCTTGTATTAGTCTGTGTTTTTATTAACCGCACTTTCTTTTCCTCCACAGGTTCTGCGATCTCAATCGGCTCCCCACTGCTGGCTCTATTCCAACAGCTGGGTATCTATGACGAACTAGTGAGACTTGGACTTCGCTACACAGCTATCGCCGCTCACAAGGAGAATCTAGAACCGTATCCACTCCAGGACTTTACACCACTCGAAGAAATGTACATCCCTGTGGCATTACAGTGACACAGCTACTAAGCAATATACAAGATCTTGTCTATTAACAACTCACGGATGCTCATTGTTTTTTCTCCTTCGTCCCGTGTTTTTGATAGGACTGGTTATGCACAGTACATCATTGCGCGCCCAATCCTCTACGACCTCCTTCAACGTCAGATTCCAGAACACAAAATCTTGCTCAAGAAGCGGATCCTCACCATTTCCGAAGAGGACGACAAGGTGACCATCCAGGCTGCGGACAATACCGCCTATGAGGGCGACCTTCTTGTAGGTGCAGATGGGGCGTACAGTGCGGTTCGTCAGAGGCTGTATGAGAAACTAAAGGTCAAGGGTCTGTTGCCTAAGGTCGATGATGAGGAGTTGCCGTTTAATTGTACTTGTCTTGTGGGTCAGACGACGTACATGGATCCAGAGGAGTTCCCGGTCTTGAAAAATCCTTGTAGTCAGGTCTTGACTGTTCGCGGAATTGAGCTTCCTTACACGTAATCCTTGTGGATATCGGTCTGCTTCTGTTTTGCTGTGGGTGATCATAAGCGTCCTAACTAACCGCAACGGTATCTTTCTCAATTAAATAGTTGGCTGGTGTTCACAACAGCCCAGAACACATGCTGTTGGATGATCATTCACCACCTCACAAAAACGACGAACAAGGCAGCCATGGAGCAGCGGTTCAGGAACAATGACAACTCTGAATGGGGACCCCATGCTGCAAAACAAATGTGCGACGAGACCCGTCATCTCCAGACACCAGTCAAGGTTGGCGACAAGTATATGACGCTGGGTGACTTTTATGACAGGACCCCACAGGAACTCATTTCCAAGGTTATGTTGGAGGAGAAGGTCTTTGAGACGTGGTATCATGGTCGTACTGTCTTGCTTGGTGACGGTATGTGACTGAGCATTTTTTTTTATGGTACTTGATAGAGACGCGGACGTTCACTTGATGGAGAAATATCACATCCTCACACTTCTGCTCTGTTTGTATTATTTTCTCATCACTACTAGCTTGCCACAAAATCAACCCCACAGGGGGACAAGGTAATCATGCGGTTTTTGTCGGTTTTGTTTTCCATGCGCAACAGTATCAGATACTCAAAACTAACGTCTTCATATTTTCATACATTTAATTAGGCGCCGTAGCTGCCATGCACGATGCCCTAGCGCTCACAAACTTACTCTACGCCCTCCCCAACAGGACTGCCTCCGATATTGAACAACTCCTCTCGGAGTACCAGGAAGAACGCCGCCCCAAAGCCTTAGCAACCTACAAGAACAGCCGGATGCTCAGTCACGTCCTTCGCAAGGATACTGTCGGCATAATTGCACGTTTGGTCTCGACCAACATGCCAACTTGGCTTTGGAGGATATTCTTGGCAAAGGCGTTTGGGAATCGACCACAGGCTGGGTTTATGGAGAAGGTGGAGGCGAGGGGGACGGCGCCGGCGAATGTATCGAACAGTATGGATAAGGCGAGGGCTGTCTTTGAGGAGAGGAAGCGAGCTGCTGCTCAGGCTGTGTGATACTAGCTCACTGGTATAGGTCCACCTTTTACGAAGCAAGTAAAAGTAGAAATGAATAAAGGGAGGAGTCTTCAACGATATGCTCATTTGAGGGTGTAGAGGAACGCAATAGCAATGGTTTGCTCGATAATCAAGGGATATTTTCTCCCAGTGTTGCGTCTGGGCGCCTCTCGCGCCAAGCCACATTCTATAGCTGTAAGCTAGTCGTTTCCTAACTTAAACCCACCGACGGTCGTCCGCCAAGACTATTGGCACCCGTTACCTATGACCCTTTCGACTCTGCTTACAAAGGCCTTATCCCTAGGCTCAAGACTCGTATAAATAACAGCCAATAGCATTAGTATTTCTCCTCGATTCCTTTTCTCGATCTTTTCTGTCATAAAGTCATCCTTTCATTATATCTTTCTTCCCTTCCCTTGTGTCTATCGTCTACTGGACGTTCCTTTACTTGAGTCTCTTATTTACTCTCCACTTTCTCGAGCTATCCTTCGACGGTACCTCTCTGCCTTCTGCTTGTCCCCCTCATCCTCATCTTCTTACTCGCTTGTGCTGCATTTTCTCAAATGACAGTCACTCCACCTTCAACCAATCACCATGTGGTGATTTGGAGTGGCTTAGCTTCTGGTGACCTTTTCGCGCTTGCCTGCGTGTCTGGAAAAGCACCTTTCTTCCACGATACGAGCAGGTAGGCACTATGCCCTTTGACCATTGGTAGCAATATTAATCTTGGAGAATAGCTATTGACATAAAACACCTTTCTTCCACAATACGAGCAGGTCTTGAGAGTTAATGTCTTTATTCGCGATATTGAGAGGGAGCACATACACACACACATCACACACATATATACATACATCCTTTTCCTCGTCTGCCGCTATTCGAGTTATGCCCGCTGACCCCGAAGATACTCCTTTGGATACAGGAGTTGCCGAGAGAAACTCCACTCTCCCTTCTCCCTCTCCCTCGACAAGTGACCCTGTTCAACCATGCACTGACGCCAGCGACTCGGCCAGCCAAGGGCAACTCCCTCCAAGACCCCCACAACCAGGAAGTCACGGGGTCGAGACGAAGGGAAGAAAGGCGACAGGAAGGACCGCTATTGCCTTTTCATCTACGATAACGGCAGCGCGTTGTCATCACCTAGATGAAAAAGTGTAAATACCCTCTCTCCCTCACATTTTTATTCTTCTTCGTCCTTCTTTTTTACATTTTTTTCTGCTTTCACCCCTTTCTTTCCTTCTTTCATTCCTTTTTCTTTCTTTTGTCGCACTCATGGCGCTATTGTTGGTGTAGGGCAAAGACAGGTTGTTTGTTAAGAAAGCAGCGGAAGTGATGGCCTTGCAGAAGTTGAAAATATGGAAAGGCACAGACAGGGCACTTTATGGAGAGGGCAGTAGAGAAGGCGGCGCATCCTTGGGGTGACCATCTTGGTGAAAGAAAAAAGAAGGGAATACTGATAGAACGATAGTCGCAAGACCCTGGATTCTTGTAACGAAGAGCAAGGAGGACGATAAGAGTAAGGTTGCACGAGAAGACGGGATCTACGTTGAGGACGACTGCTATGTGAGGTACAAAATGACCAAAATCAATAAACTGTGACAAATGGTGAGATCTTTGGAACACGTATCAACATCAACGCCACTTGAAGAAAAAATAGGTCCGAGGCATGGGGTATGTTTTATTATGAGCCAATGATGGCCTGTATACGACTCAGTTCTGCCTGCAACGCCTGAACTTGACGTTGCAACTCCTCATTACTCGTGCCTCCGGTCGTACTTTTGCCATTGCTACTGCTGCCTTGCACGACAGGGTTGCCAGCGCCCTGCGGACTCCTTGCGACATCTTTGGGGGCTGTGAATCCACCACTGCCGCCAGAAACAACAGGAGGTGGGGGAGGGTGGTACTGAGGGCGGAGACCACTATTCCGACGGACGAGTTTTTCCTTGCGCGCTGCGAGTTGGTGTTGTAATTCTTCGACTTGTTGATCGTGGATGGCGTAACCGCCACTGTCGCTACTGCTACTTTCATTGTTGTTGATGTGATTGTCGTGGTTGTCGCTGTTGAATGTATGTACAGGTATTGATCCGATCATCTCCTCTTTCTTGATTGGAGCGACAGGTACGGGTATCGGTTCCGTTATCGCTTCTTTCCTGAAGACCACAACCGGCGAACGGGTAACAAATGCTGGGTAAGGAGGTGGGGGTGCGGATGGAGAGATTGGAGGGGGAGGTGCTGAAGGAGAGTTGGAAGGAGGGTTCATAGACGCCCATGAGGGTGATGACGAAGGTGAGGATGAAGGTGAGGATGAAATTGGTTGAAGGTGGTGGGGTAGATAGGATGGTTGTGGAGATGATGGCCAGGATGGATTTTGGGGAGGTGTTGGCCAGGATGGGTTTGTAGGCGGTACTGTAGAGATGGGTTGGAGGGGTAGTGGTGGTGAGTTTAGGTTGTTGTCGGTACTGTGGGCGTGGGTGTTGTAGCTGCTGTCAATGCTGTTGGCGTTGTAGCTGCTGCTGTTATTGTGATTATAGTTGTTGCTTGGATAATTGTTGTTGCCGTTGGCTTGATGGCCAGTAAGAGCTATGGGCTGAGAATTAGAATGAGATCCATGAAGCCGCTGCCGACCACGGTTCAGCTCCGTGATGTTTCCTTGCCCAGATGATCCTGATCCAGGAAGTGGAGGCGGCGAGATAATATGAGTAAGACTCACATCGCTCCCAGGCATCTGCAAGAACTGGCCACCATTCCTCAAAGCCCTCTGCCGCTTCTTCCTCCTGTAGAACAAGAACCCGACGAATGCCACCACAACCACGCTCCCAACTATCGCACCTCCAACATTGACCGAAGAAGACGTCGTAGTCTCGTATCCTGAACCTCCTCGGGCAGCTTCTGTATTCCGTGCAGTCAAAGACCCGGTGGGTGTGAAACTCGTCCCGCGAACGAATTGAGTCGTCCATTGGTTGGTGTTGATGTTGTAGATGAGCGGTGTTCCTGACATGATTGCTCCTGCCGATGATTGTCCTAAAAATAGAAATTCAGAGTCGAGTAAGAGTGCCACAGCCCGGTCGAGTTAATTGCGCGCTTTTGGAGAAACGCCGTCCTGCCATGAAATTTCGGTAACTGTAAAGGAAAGATGTAAATTACCACCCCAGATAATGAAATTGTCGCCAGAGACTGAGCAGGCCATGCTATGCCGACTCTGACTTGAGGGGACGGTCTGGGTGAGATTCCACGTCATTGACTCCATGTCGAGGGTATAGAGTTCCCCGGGTGTAGTGCCATGACTTGTTTGTCCGCCAAACAGGATCATCTTTGTTCCGTTGTATGCTATCGAGTAGAAGGAGGGAGGGAAAAGTACCGATTATTAGTAAGACAAGCATGGCTGGCGTAAATGGTTTTGTCTTGGTGAATGTACGCCCGTCTCTTACCAGGTATAAGGCATGCATTCTTCACACGTGGAGGTATATATCCATGAAGTCCCTGCAATTCCTATGTATCAAAAGCAACAACAAAAAAGAACGTTATCAGTCCTCCCTCGCTTTTTTTCTTAAAACTAGACAATACAAACGGCTCATTCCCATTTCCTCCCTTCCCAAAAACGTACCAGCCCAGTCCAGTCGTTGTCAGAAACATTGAACTCATAAAAGTACGATCCCACATCCCCGCCACCTCCAAAAATCAAGAACGAATTCCTATAGCTGCTCCAGACGAACGAGTACCCGTACCATTGAAGCGCATTGCTGGACTCCCTGGGTGGCATCGGAGCCCACGTTGTTATCGTGGTCAACAGGTCATAGATCAACATATCACCGTCGGCATTATTTCTTCCGCTTGGTATATACACCAGTCCAGAGGTTGGATGCGACACTGCTTGGAGTCCTGGTTGCGTTGTCAGTTCCATAGGTCGATCTCCGATCTTGATCCACTTTTTGGCATCCAGACTATAACCCATGATCGAGGAGTTGGTCCCGCTCGGGTCCCAGACTGAGATATTTCGACCCCTGGGTGCGAATGACAGAAAGTGCCCAAAGGCCGCGGGTCCTGAATCGCCATCGGCGTTGAGTTGCGTCCAGGGGAGTGTTGTTGATATTGTGTTCCAGGTGGTGGGTCTTGTAAGATCGAGGGAGAAGAACTGCTTTGACTTGCGAGCTGAGGAGGTCTTGTTGGTGTCGGATGGATCTATCCCGCCTTGGATGTAGAGTGTGTTCTCGTCGATGGTGGTGTATGCCATGGAGCTGACAGGCGCTGGTGGGAGGGCGGACACTGTTGAGGAGAGGACGAGGAGGGAGAGACATAGCGAAGTGATGATGCCTATTCGATGAGAGGAAGGATGGTAATGTTGGTGCGAAGCATGCATTGGTGTTTGTCGGGGTATATATGAAGTAAAAGAGAAGGAGCGGGAAGATTAAGGCGTAGTCGATGCTGGCGTTAAGAAAGGGGAGGCGAGGATTCAGAAGTGGGCTGATGGTGGCTATAAGTACTGGGTGTTAAAGTAAGGGTGGAATAGGGAGAGATGAATGACGGCCTGGAATTGAGATCGTGAGTGTAAGGGGGTGCGGAGGGAGGACGAGAGTCGAAGAAAGAAGAAAAGGAAAGAACGGAAAGAGGAGAGAGAAAAGAAACACACCGCATCCACCTCCTTTGTCCCTCATCCTTCAAACAAACTACAATACAGCCCTTTTTACGCCCACGCTTGATTTGATTTGCTTGGCCATCGAGAGAACGAAGTACTGTAATCCACATCGGGAGTGGAAAACAAATGATCTCCGCCACAATTAAAGGGGACGTGGCTGCATGGAGACCAGGCAACGAGAGACCCACAACCCAAAATAAAATCTTTTGCTCTCAAATAGAAGTCTCTCACCTTCATGTACCTCTATCGATATACCGTCTCTAGTCAATTAAGCCAGCACCCTCTCTCCTTTTACCATAGCAACTCAATCCCCAGCTCCTCTTGAGTGAACAGAAACCCTCCATTCCCTTCAACTGCATTGATGACACATCCCCTCTCTTCCACACCGTCGATGATGTCAGACAGAGGAGAAATAAGGATTTTGGGCTGTGCTTTTTGATTAACGGCAGGTAAAATCTTTGTTTTATGCGTCCAACGGGGAAAAAGCTCACAATGCCTTCCTACAGCGTGCCAAACTGCACCCATGAATCGACGTTTCCTTTCCTTCTCACTTTTCCCTCCCTTCCTTCCAATCGCACCTCGCTTTTCACTCCAGCCCCTCTACCCTCAGTGACATCGATCTGCCACGTGGTACATCACATTCTTGGCAACACACATAACGCAGAACACAAGCGTCCAGTTGCTCAACAAGGCGGAAGTGCACACAATCTTCTCTTTTCTTTCCTTCCAATCTCTTATTTTTTTGTCTCCTTTTTTTTTGGCCGTTGTCGCCCACATACAAAAATAGAAACAATGCCACCAAGTGATTGTTCATGCTACATTCTCTCCTGTCAAGCACCCTTCGCCAGCGCTAAATGCATCTCGTTTTGATGTTCCGGCCTATACGTTTCCTGCATTATAATATTGTCATGCCATCGCCCTTTTCCTCATTCTTTAGTCCTTTTTCGCATTTCGAATGTGTTTTTTTGTAACGTCAACAAGCCAATATTTTTTTTTTACTCTAATCCTTCATACATCACCGACATCCACATCATCATCAACGTCGCTACCACAGGGAGAACAGGCAGGTTCCAAAGGAGATGACGCAACAACTACATTGCAGTTGAACTCTGCTTGGGGCTTCTCGTACATCCAAGAATCGTCTGTCTCGCCATCAACATCGTCCTCCTCCTCATCATCATCCACCTTGGACATCTGGAGTTTCCTGTACTGCTCAATTGTAGCACGTATCGCAGCCTAACATACAAGTAGAAAATACAAATGGTTGCATGGCAATTAACACACTCTGAAATCTAGCAATGAAGGTATACGTGCTCATGTTTGCAAGATCCTGACCAAACTTTGGAACTAGCATTGAAGACCATCCATTTCTGCTGGACGAACATACAGAGGTGACCGCTGCATCAGAGACACATACGAGGTGCTGTCCGCCGGCCGCAACTGAAAGGGTCTCTGTCAAAAAATAATCGAACGCGAGAAAGGGCGAGAGAAATCGTGGAAAGGAATAAAAGAGGGGTGCGTGGACAAGGCAAAGCAAAAAGAAAGTGGATGAGAGGGATCGATAACACACACAGAGAGAGAAAAACAGTCGCAGTACAAAATGCCGTCTCACTTCTTATTCTGTTCCGACTTGTTCTGTACAAAGAGTGCCATATCTTGTCCCTCCCTCTCTCGCTCATCTTTCTCATCAACATCAGCTTCCTTGTGTACTCTCGTTTGGTGGTATCCTAACTAATTAACAGAGAAACGCGAGCAGTATTTTTTTTTTTGAACCAAGAGGCAGAAGCTTTTACACCTTCCTCCTGGTTCTTGCTTTTTTATTTTTCACATTTTTTTTTTTTTTGGTTATTAGGTTAGAGAAATATTGCTATCAGGCCCCTCGAACGCCTCAAGATGACCTGCGCGACTTTTTTTAACAGATTAAGATTATGAATAAACGATGTGTCCGGAACTGGCGGGCAAAATTACTTCATCGTCCCTTCCACTCGTCACCGTCGCTCGGCCCCTTCCGATCATCGTCCGGCTTTGGATCCTCTTCGATAGAAGCGGCTTCCTTGGATCCAACACCCCTGGCGTCCTGGGGGTTACGACCGGTTGTGGCAGAGGCTTCGTAGCCTCCTTGCGGTGAAAGAGAAGGACTTGCAGCAAGTGTACTGTTTACAGGCGCGCCGGCGGTATGAATGACAGGACGTGTGGCAAGCGTGTTGGTAGGAGGAGCGACAGTACGAGCGTCGTAATGTCTGGGTGCACCAACTACAACAGGACCTCCGCGAGGTGACGGACAATGGTTGTCTCGGCATGAGACTCAGAGGTGACTGCAGCATTCAGTCCTTTTCGTCGAAGGAGGGGGCGACCGATGTTGCTAATGGGGGTGGCAACGGCGCCAGGCGGCAATCGTTGACCCGACGACGTGAAGATTGTGGTGTTTAAAGCCTTTTGAGGATCAGATTGCTGGGCAACGGCGGTGGTAGTGGTAGTAGTGGTTTTGCTGTTGTCATTTTCCTGAGTTGACTTGGACGGAGCATTTTCCTTGTTTTGTTGTCGGGAAGCATGTTTGATTTTACGCTTATGAGAATAAGTGAGATTTTCTGGTTTTTCGGGTACTGTGGGCGGAGTGTTGGTGAAAGGCTTGGGTCTGGGATGTGTTGGCTGTTTGGTGAATGGAGTGCTCGAGCTGGAAGGTGTAATTTCTTCTTTGTGACATAATCCTCCAGAATGGTCAGATATATGGCTAGGTAGTTCAGGGACAGAAAAAGGGACTTGGTCGACTGAAGGAGCCAACAAGTCCGAAGAAGAGCTATAATCGGCTGCAAGGGGGTGCACAATATCCGCTCGGCGATTTGACCTTGTGTCAGTGGGGGGCGTGTAGTTGTGAGGGTTAGGCTGTGTTGGATCGGAGGGCGACACTGTGGGGTGGACGCTACTGGACGAAACGGTCTCCTGGCTGGCCCGAGACGAAGAAAGCGATTGTTGGGATAGATATTGAGCTGGGAACGACGGTACAGGAGGAGGTAAAGGGGAGGTTGGACGTGAGTCGGTGTTGTTAAGTGTCGTCGTATTTGAAAAGGTCGAACTCCGATGTAACTCTCGGAGCTCGTGCTCGTCCTTAGATGAATATCCAGAGAATAACTCGGATTCTCCCGCGAGGGCGATGGCTGAGGCGAGATGGACTGATTCTGAGAAGAAAGAGCAGTACTGAGGGTGTCCGCCGTTGGAGGATCCTGTGGAGAGTCCACTAACCATGGATGCTGCGGGTAACGATTTGGTGGTGTCGGAGGGCTGGGTGGTTCGTAAGGATTTTCGTTGTTGACGAGTACAGGACTGCTGGGCTGTGACTGAATTTGGACTGAGGAAGGGTCGACAGGAGAAGGATCGACAAGGGATGGGTCGACAGGGGAAGGATCGACAGGGGAAGGATCGACAGGGTAAGGATCGACAGGGGAGGGATTGACAGGGGAAGGATCGCCTGTATCAGGTCTCTTGCCACAGCAGATAAGATGGCGAAGAAGATGAGACTGTTTGACGTAAATGTAACCCAACGCCAACATTGCGACAAACACCACCGCTCCCACGGTACTACCCGCAATAGCGCTTACATTACTGCTTTTCTCAGGCGCTGGCGTGCTCTCGGGTATTGGTGGAGAAACTGAGGTCGGAGGTGAGGCAGGTGGATGGATGTAATGGGTTCCACGTTCGAAACGGGCGACCCACTTCGAAGAAAAAAAGTTGTAGATCACTAGAGTTGCGTTCGGCATTGTGGAGTTATTTTGGCTCAAACATTGGAGACCTATGAAAAAAATGGAGAAATGAGTATGTTTAACAAACGCATCGATAGGACTCACCACCCCATGCCACAAAGTTCTCTCCTGAGACGGTACAGGCGTGGAAAGATCGGGACAGTGCAGGTTCTAGGCTTGTGTCTTTAGTCCATATTAACGTAGGAACATCCAGGATGTAGATGGTGGGCGTGGATTCCTCTGTTGTTGGCAATGTAACTCCGTTTTGCGTAGCACGTAATATCTTACAGCAAGCAACCACCTTCTTTACTCTCCCCTCCTCATCTGATATCCCGGAAAAATAAAAGGGTCAGGGCACAAACAAAAGTGGCGTAGGCAGAAAGCCCGAAAGAGCAGAAATGAGATTGCAAGTAAACGGAATGGTATTGCAATTTGCAAAGGACGCCTGAAGAACAACAAGAAAAATGCTCACTGATGTAAACTGTTTAGGGTTTACCCGCTGCCTTTTCAATGTATCTCCTCCTTTCCTTCAAGACTTTCTCGGTATGCGCAACATCATCGTTTCCATGTTCAAATGCAACACGGTTGAGGGAGAAAAGTGGATGACCAGGAAAAAAAGAAAAAAAAACAGCCACCGCAGGCCAAGGATCAAGTGTTAAGTAGGTCAATGCTATTCATTAGCATAGTTTAATGATCGGAATGACAACGATAAGAAGGATGGGTTGATTCGATTGATCACAATGTTTATTAATCTCGGAAAAATGACGAGGGGCGCACGTCAAGGGGAAGAAGGAGATGAAGGGAGGAAGAAAGGAGAGTGATCGGCATTGTCGAAAAAAGGAGGCGCAACCACAATTCTACGAACGGGAACGTGGTTGCGCTAACAGGTGAGAGGAAAGTACGGACACAGAGAGAACGAGAAAGTCAGATCAAACAAGAAAGGTGTGGTGCGATATACGAAGGGAAAGTGGACGCCATTGCCGCCGGTGCGGGGTCGGACGAGACCCGGCTCGAAGTTCAAAAGGCAATTGCCGTTTCTCTCCACACACCTTATCTACTTGTCCAGCGCCCGTCGACCGAAATAAAAAGACTAATAAATTGCCTGTACAGTGCTCTAAAGTCGGGAGGGGTCACTCCAGCCGTGCCAGCACTATCCCTCTTCATTCTTTCAACCGAACCATTTTTTTTCTTTTCCTTCATTGTTTTGCATCGAATGCACATCCCTCGCATCCATTCCAGAATCGTTTGCACATGTTCAGATGTATTTCTTGTGGAAGATTGCGATGGCAAGGGATTTCCCCGGTAAGTTACTGCACCTAGCTCAAGAAAGAAGACAAAAGGAAGGAGAGAAAAATAAGAGCCCATGCAATTTCGTTTTTGCCACGGGAGAAAAGGAGCAAATGAAGTTTGTCGAAGTCTATTTTGCCATTGTCCAATAGGCGCGGTGAAGACATCCTCGCCGTCTTTGTCTGCTCCTGCAAGGACAACAGCAGCCTTTACCTTCTTTATTAGAATGGCACCATCCGTCCTTTCCTCCGCTACCTCGCGCTCTTCCTCATCCTTCCTCATCCTGTATGCCCTTGGCACAACTCGACCCCTGCTCACTTTTTTTTTCCTTGAAAGAACATTTTACATGTGTTTTTGCCCGGATACTTCGCCAGCTTAATCGAAAGGTTCGCGCCAAGAGCAAGGTGTAAACAGAAACCATTCCCACAAGCTTCGCACTCACTCTTATTGACCGGAAAGCAGAAGAAAAAAAAGGAGTACACAAACATTTCCCAATCCCTTGGATACACGTGCCACACATGTTCTCCTCTCTCATTGTTCTCGTTGAAAAAATTAGTATTGGTAAAAATACAAGTACGCGAAACAAAGTACACCTACGACTCCAGACTGGCTTGCAGTCTACCCATTTCAGAGTTAATTGCAAAGAGCTGTTCATGGAGCAGATCCAACTGCCCCGTAGTCGTCAGGGTCCGCTCTTCATTTGCCCGCGTTGGGTCACTATGGTCCTGTGGTCTGTGTAGAGACATCCTTGTCGCCTGCGAGCCACCTCTCTCAACCGTGTCGTTCATATGACGATTTTTCAGACGAGAGGGGTCGGTTTGTTGGTGTTGCTGTATTTGTAGTGGCTGGGTATGGTATCCTGAGCTTGAGTGGACAGGACGTGAGGATGACGGTGACGAGGTTGAATAGACTGAAGGGACTGGATAGAGTGAATAGTTGGTGGAGACTGACATGGAGGTATTAGGAGACGACAACTGATATTCCATCGTATGTGGGGCTGGCGGTATCCGATGTGAAGTCGAGAATGACTCGAGGTGGTTTGGCCCCGGTGTGGAAGTGTCAGGTGGTAGAGGTGGGTTCCCATCAGAGATCTCCTGAGGCGAGTTGAGGAGGACGGACTCCTTGTTGTTAAATCGACTGTCATTATTGGCGTCGATATTCTCCTGGGATGGATCTCTCTCTGGCCCTCGTATGGATGCCTGACCCTGCTGTTTCCGACGACGATTTCGCCTGCAGACAATCAGACCAACTACTACTCCGACCACGACAGCTCCTCCACCTACAGCACTTGCAATGATTACAGTATTCCCGCTCCCAGAACTCAAAGCTGCTGTTTCTGCCGCTATCCCAATCCCTGAGCCTCCTGATCCTGTCTCTGCTGATTCTGCTTTCGCTGTTGGAGTGAAGTGGTCATCAGGCACATAGGACAATGTCCACACTTTTGAGTAAAAGTTGTAAACCAGCGGTATTGTCCTTGCAACTTGTCGTTCTCCTGCTGTATTGTTCTTGTATCCTATCGACAGAAGAAAGGTGTAAATTACAGTGTGAGTACGCACATCATGGATTCGACCGCCTGCATCGTACATGCTTGCTTCGCTGAATAACCTACCACCCCAGATGATGAAATTGTCTCCCGAGACCGAACACGCCATTCCTGCCCGGCCTTCTTGGGTGACAGGGAGAGGTTCCTGGCTCCAGGTCATGGTCTCAACGTCCAGGATATAAAGGATTGCGGAGAAGAATGACAAATCTTGAGAGTGTCTGCCGAATAGTAACATCCTCGTCCCGTTATATGCTAAACGAGGGGCAAACGAAAATGTCGGAAGGTTAAATGTCATCCATGATATAGTTTGTGGGGCGCCTTCCTGTTGTATCTCTTCTTCCTTACCAGACACCATGCAACTATTTGAGAGTGGCCGAGGAACAATGCCCTTTGATTTCTACAGTGAAAAAAGAGACAAGTGGTAACTCTAATGGTGAGCATTTTTTCTCACAGCACATCTCCAAACCACTGATAAAGTAAACCTTGTTTCCCTTACCAGTTTGGTCCAAGTGTTGGCACTCCTAGGCTTGAACTCGAAAAAGTACGACGATCCGGTGGAGCCCCTTCCTCCCCAAAGAAAAAACGATTCTCGAGCCTCGTTCCACACAAACGTATACCCACTCCAGCTGCTGTTGTTCGCCACAACTGGCATTGGCTGTGTGGTCGCCGTCTTCGAGACGATGTCGTAATCCAGCATCAATGTTCCGCCTGCGTAAGTTCCAGGTATGTACACATGGTTCGTTGTGGGATCCACTGCTCCTGCAAGCCCATCAATCGCATTCAACGACGCCTGGGTCGGTGGTAGTCCTGACAGATCCGCAAACTCTCCGGTAGCGAGGTGAAAGCGTGTGGCGTAAGCGGGTGATCGGGCGAGGCTCAGTGTCGTCAGCGTCTGGAGGCTCCGTGAGTACACCATTGTCATTCCCAGAGCATGGAGTCGTTCAGGATACATCCCGAGAATGTGAACAGGTGTCCAAGGAGGATTGGAAATATCCCAACTGTGTGTCAAGTCGAGCGAATAAAAAGAGACGGGTGTGTTGAGTGATGTGCCTGCATTTCCCTGGATGTAAAAGGTTCTCTCATCGACTGTCGTGTATGCCGTCGTGTATCTTGGTGACTGAGCGGAGGCCTTCCATGCCATGAAACATATGACCGTGGCGGCGGCCAGGGAGGGAAGTCGTTTAGCGGATCCATGCATCGGTTGTTTTGCGGATGGCACAGCGCGAGGGGGTCGAGGAAGGGAGCTATGTTGGTGTTGGTTATGGTGAAGACGAAGAGGAAGAGGGGAGAAAGAGAAGAGAGGGAGGTAAAAGAAAGAGGGAAGAAAAAAGAAAGAAAGGAGGAGGGAGGAAAGAAGCGTGAAAGGAAGATCGGGTTGATAATTTACCTTCGGTTTGTTTTTCGTGCTTTACCATCCCATACTTGGAAAAAAGAAAGCAAAAGGGAGGCAGCGACACAAACAAAGAAACTATAACATAGCCCAAAAAGCGAGCCCAGACCTGCATTTCTTCGTTCTGCGTTCTGCGCTCTGCGTTTGTTATTTCCCTTTCAAAGAAAAAATGAGCCGACCTTCTCCAACTGTGTCCCTCTGCTTTTTCTCCCACTGGTTGTTGTGAGTGCTGCCTGCTTGCTTTCTTCATTTGCAACAATCATGGCGGCATTCTCCCTTCTTTCCCTCTGCAGTGCCACATTGCACATTAGCTTCAAAGTTGAGCCCAGCTGGCATGTTGATATGGGGTCATGGCACATATATCAGGTTGGAGGATGGCTTGTCGGATGGTTGCTGTTAGTGGGCGGCTATTTAGAAGGATAGACTGTTATGAGAAGGCCCTCAGACCTCAGTGGGCAGTCAGTTATCAAGATCAAGATCATTCCCTTCTTTTGAACAACACAGACTTATCAAAGTGTGCGTCATGGAATAACGTACTTTGTTTGTTCAAAACAGTCGAAAACCTGTTTGCGACCTTTTATTGTTCATCGAATAAAACATGGACACAACGACAATCACCCTTCTTGAACCACTACACTCTGCCCCACATTCGCTTGTCTCTTCTCGCTATAGCGATCCTTAACTCTGACCTTGCCTATATCCTTACCTATGTCCTTACGTATGTCCTTGTCCTTGCCCTTGCTTTTGTCCAAAGTCAGTTGCCAGCGCCATCCTGGGGTCGCTCCTCGCCACTCTCGTCGAACTTTGATACTGCTGTCGATAGTGTTTGAAGAGGGTGGAGTCCCTGGTAGCAAATAATAGTGAACATCGTCTGTAGGAGTAGGCGCCTCCTGATCTGACTGATACCACTGCTCTGCCTTGGGTATGGGTGGAGTATCAAAGACATCAAACGCCATCCCATGTTCCAGCGTCAAAGACACCTCATCCACATCGTCCTCCTCCGCACCAAAATTATCCTGGCCATACTCAGAACCGAATTTCTCCTAGGCCTACTCGATACCCCGCACCAGCAGTATCGTTAGCTCCTGTCGGTTAAAAACCTTTTGCGTCACTGCTCCCAGTACATACATCGTAGGAAACTGGTCATCGAGGCAAGATAAAAGCGACATGGTGGGTCCTCTGCGGTTTTAGTGGTCCCCCGAAACCACAAACATGTCGTCGGGCCCACACATAATCTTTCAATCGACCTCGTCGTCCGTGACGGTATGAAAGTAGATGTTGTAATTATTGGTTGTTGCCGACACAGACCGGACCTGAGCTTAAGCCTGAGGAGGGAGGTAACCTTGCTAATGAACTGCTGATCATGCCCATGCTATTGGTATTGTTGTGGAGGCCTTGTGTTGCTCACGGAAAAGTAGGCTGACTGGCTGAACTGGGGCTGCCATGGAAGGGGACGAAGCGGACAAGGTATGATGTGTCCTCATCATGCCATAAGGCTCGCCCAGATTCCATAAACCCTCAAACTCATCCTCTGCTTATTGCAGATGTGCTTTGTTGTTTTGTTTTGGCAGGGGGTGTTGGGATTCCGGCTATTGTTCACAGCTGACCGGCTGCTAGCGTTGTTGATGCCGATGTACGGAGGCTTGTAGTCGTCGGTAAATAGGGCGTTTTCGTTGTTGATGCGAGTGCCGAAGAATAAAGGAAGAGGGGTCTTACTTCAAGTTTTCTATGAAGACCAAGCAAAGTAAAAAAAGCGAGCACAAATAATACTACACGTGATGTATTGGCGCTCTGCGATCCAAAGTACCAGAATATCGAACTGAGTGAAGAGAGAAAGGAGGGAGAGAGAGAGAGAAGGTGTATCGGAGTACGAGTGCGACCGGCCAATGGCAACGGACGCGCATGAGATCAACAGCATGGTACATGGCAATGGTACATCGAAGCAGCCGAGGTAATCAACCCTTTTGTCGTCATGACTACCCACGCGTGACATGGCCACAGGAGAAGAATGAACTGAGAAGCAGCACAGATAGATAACACCGAACAAACAAGAGAAAACATAGAAAAGTTACACTGGTGTCTTTTTAATATTAGCAAGGAATGATGGAAAGGGAAAAATAAATACGTGGGTTGATGGGAATAGTTTGGTATGGCCGATGACTCAGAGAATGCGCAAAAGATATATACTTGGAGAGAAAGAAAAACTAGCGGTAACGTTGACGTTGGGATGGCTTGAGTGTGATGATATGCTGAGGAAGCAGAGTGGTGTTGGTAACGTTGGTGTGGTGGGAATCGTCCTCAAGGGTTGAGGTTGCTGTCGACGGGGCAGACGAAGAAAACGACTCTTCACTGCGAGTAGGCGATGGGGCCCCGCCATGCGAGTGGAAATAATAAGAGAGTTCATCATCCGCCTCTTGTCCCTCTTTCTTGTTCGATTTCCTGTGAGAGTTACTGGGCGTGATTCTGAAGGGGCGACTTGGAGAGAATGTGGATTCTTCTGCCGATCCTGTCTCGGGCTGTTGAACAATGCGAACTTGAAACTTCTTTGCAGGTGGCTTCTCCTCCCCTATCTCCTTGGTTCGATGCTGCTGGGCAGTATTGCGGCGCCTTCTCCAAAAGCACAACCCGCCGACAATCAAAAGGAGAAGAAAGAGTCCACCACCGACGGAGCCACCAATGATTGCGGCTTTGTTGCTCTCACTAGGGGGTTCTACCCCTGTTGTCGGGTTTTCAACTCCTGCTGATCCTGTTCCTGTAGGTAGAGTTGTTGTTGTGGTAGTAGTTGTAGGTTTTGGTGTTGGTTTTATTTTGGCGATGAACGTGTTTGTCCACTGAGCTGTGTTGATGTTGTATACATCAGGAGTCGCAGGGATTCCTGCATTGTCAACCGACGTGCCTAAGAAATTGACAAACGATCAAACGCAAAAAATGAAATGTTAGCGACACTGATGACAAAAAAAATCAAGATGCTGGATTTTCTGGCGTCAGACCTATCAACCTATGTATTTGTCATACCACCCCAGACAAGAAGGTAGTCTCCGGAGACTGAGCAAGCGGCTCCTGATCGAGGCTTATGCTTGCCTCCTTGACTCCATGTCAAGGTCGTGACGTCAAGGATAAACAGGGTATCAATGTAGACGCTGCTGTTGTAGGTTCCTCCAAAGAGAATCATTTTGGTTCCATTATGCGCTGAAAATAAAATATAATAACGGATATAACTCGGTTTAGTCAACACACTCGTAAGCTACAGTGAGAGAAAACAAACAACATGCCACGAGTTTTTATCTTTACCAGGAACCATGCAGCTGCCAGTAAGCACAGGGGGAAGGGTTCCATTCGCTTTCTAGACGAGAAGAAATAGAGGTGAAGAAACAAGGTTGTGAGGGTACATTACAAAAATAAAATATGGAGGCGCAACCAGAAAATGAGGATACATCATTATTTCTTTCTTTTTCAATTACCAGCGCGTTCCATGGACTGGCCGCTGTAGGTTTGTACTCGTAAAATGGAGATGAAGCTGGAGTAAGCAACCCGCCAAAGAGCAAGAAGGATTTCCTTAACTCGCTCCAAACAAACGTATATCCGTTCCAACTGGTGCTTTTGCCGTCTACCGCTGGCGGATCTGCGAGAACGGTCGATTTTTTGGTTGAAGGATCATAAGTAAGCATGCTGTTGTTGCCTGTGCCGCCAGGGATGTAAACACGGTCTGTTGTAGGGTCTGTCGCTGCTCTGGCTATTGTAAAGACGGAGGGTTGTAAGGACAGGGGAGGTAGTACCTCCCATGCATTGGTGTCGAGGTGGTAATTAGCAGAGTAAGGCGACAGACTGTACATGTCCCAGAACGTCAATGTCTTGCGGTTGCTGGAGAGCGATATCGAATGAAAGACGGTCTTGAGTCGTGCAGGCACGAGGCCAACGGCAAGCGCGGACCATGGAGGATTGGTGACATTCCAGCTCTGTGTCAAGTCAAGAGAGTAGAATTGATCGTATATGATTCTGGAGTTGGAGATGTTGGATCCGCCCTGGATGTAAAATGTGCTCTCGTCAACTGTGGCATAAGCAGAGAAGTATGCCGGTTGTGGTCCTGCGGCTGTCACTACACTCCATAGGAGGCAACAGTGCACGACAGTGCTAAGCTGCATGGCAAATTTCATCGGATATAGATATGTAAAAGATGGGTGTTGTGGTGGTATTACAAGAGGATATTTGGATGTAAAAGGCGGTGTGTCTGAGATTCTGTGGAACAGAGGTCTGTGTGTGTGTTGGGGGGAGGGGAGGGGAAGATAAAAAGGAAGGTGAAAGAGATAGAAAGAGAGAAAAAGAACGACGAAAAAAGCAACTCTGCCGCAAAGATGAAAGAAATGTCACCTTAGTTCTCCTCTGCCAGGACCCTTTTTATTGCATTATCGTAAAGGTAGTGGCTAGGCATGATGATAGCTGACAAACAGCGCTCATTAGTCGATTACGTAGAAACAAGGCATTTAGCAAGCAAAGCAATTAAACAAGCAGGGGTCGCCACCAAAATATTTCACGCGTGCTATTGATTATGTTTCAACCTTTATCAAGGATAAAAAACAGTGGCCTGGGGTCCTCCCTCGTCAATGACAGAAGTGATGAGATGACAAGGGGTTGAGTTCCACATGGACTTGAAGTAAAGAAATGAGGTGAATGACAATGCTTCGGGATAGTTTCCCCTTGCGATTGACATTCCCCCATTGCCTTCTATGCAAGAAAGGAAACAAACGATCAAACGTTAACGTCTGCGACACGAAAGAGGGATTGAGGAGAAAGCGGGGGAGGACGAGGGGAAGTGTTAGAGAAAGAGAATAGGAGGGTCGGGCAAAAGAGAGAGAGGGTCATTGTTGCTGTTGATACGCCGTGGCATCCGAGGAGCTAGAATGCTTACATGATCCTGCTGGTAGCTCCCTTAATCAAGAAAAGGCTTGCTTGGTAATTACAAAGCGCGTTGACAGGGCTCACATTCCAGTCTCACTCGACGAGTAAGATTTTTTCAAAATGACAGCCCCTATATGAAATCCATTTGCGTTGTGATCAATCAAGGCGTGCCAACAAGCAAGCACACATCAACAGACCCGGGTTAAGTAAAAAGGTCCAAGTGCAAACCTCTTCCTCGATTTCCCTACCCTTCCCCCCTCCCTCTTGATGTCCCTTTACATCTCTCCCTATCCTTTCCTTGTAAAACAAGAACGACCGACTCATTCCACAATTACCAAGGTCTGGCCAATGTGAGTATGGAAAAAGGGCAAGAAGGGTCACAGGCCTCTTCAGCTGTAGTTGTCCTACCCCGCGTCTTTACACACACACATGCGGCTCATTCTTTTTTGTTTGGAGCAAAATACACTTACTTTCGTTCTTTAGACGAACGACAAAGCCAGCCTGTACTCTGTTGACTCTGTTGTGCCTCAATCATCTTCCATAGGTTGGAAGAACAAGCCTGTGATAATAAAGGGTATAACGAGAACATGAAAATCAAAGAAGAAATGGGTTGGCGGTGAGGGGGGGATTGCTGTGATTATTGTTCATGCAAAGTTGTGAGTTGTGAGTAGTGAGAACTCTGTTCATCCCTCGCTTCCTCCATCTTTGGACAGAGATCTTACACGTGACTTTTGGCACCATACAGCCCTCGCATCCATCGCATAGGAAAACAGTAACGGACAAAACACAAAGATCCAACCATTCCATCTTTCCGTTCGACATGTCCATACACGCTCAGAATGCTTGTAAAAGGATAATGGAGATTGAAGAGGCACAAACACACTCCACCCAACAAACAAGCATAACAAATGGACAGTCAGTGGATATTTTTTTTCCTATTATCAAGCCAAAGTAAGAAGGAGAGAAATGTGAAAAATACACTAGATGAGTTCCCCCCTGAGATTTATTCACTTCTGCCTGCAGAGAGCTCATCTGCTCCTGGGTTTTTTGTTCATTACTAGGTGTCGATTCGATGGTTCTTGCTAAGTCCGCTAGATGTGAGGAGTCGTGAGGTCGATGGAATGATATTACCGCTTCTAAGGATTGTTGAGATTGCTTTAATCCTGGCGGTTGCCCTGAGAACGCGCAAGGCTACACACAGCGTTAAGAACGAGAGAGGGCTAGCGATTGCGTTCAGCCTCGAAGCGGTCGAGTGTGACAATATGCTGAGGAAGTATCGTGGCGGTAGTGTTGGTATCGATGTTAGAGGTGACAAGCGTCGATGTCGACGGGGACGTCAAGGATCGGTCACTATGAGAATGCGAAGAGTTCCAGTGTGTAGGAGAATTCAGTCGATCTTTCTCCGATCTGTCGCCGAGTTTTTGCTTTGATTTTTTCGGAGTCGTTGGTGGCGTGATTCTGAAGGGGCGGGTTGGATAGAATGTCGGCTCTATGGTGGCATCTGTTTCGGGCTGTTGGACGATACGGAACTGGAACTTTTTCGTGGGCTCTTCCAGCATTTTTTTATGTAGCTGCTGCTGCTGGGCACGACGGCGCCTCTTGCAGAGGCACACTCCGCAGACAATCAAGACGATGAGGAATACTCCACCACCGACTGAAGTGCCAATGATTACGGCTTTGTGACTCCTGCTGCTGGTTGCTTCTTCTGTCACCGGGTTAGCGACTCCTGGCTCTGTTGATCCTGTTGGTGCTGTTGGCTCTATTGGTTCTGTTGGTACCGCTGTCGACGTTGTTATTATTGTTGTTGTTGGTGTTTCCTTTGCTCTGGGGACGAAAGTTGACGTCCATTGTGTCAGGTTGATGTTGTAAACGATGGGGGTATCTGATAATGGAACAGGGGCCGCGGCATTGTCCCACGAAATTCCTATCAATTGAAACACAAGGAAGCACAAACACATAAGCCAAAAAATGAATATTAATATCGAACGATAAAAAAACAACTGTATAGAGTTCTTGGTACGTTTTGAGTCAGCGGCAAGCAATGTATCGTCATACCACCCCAGACGATAAAGTAATCTCCAGAAACGGCACAGACCATGCCCATTCGAGGTGTAGAACCTGGTCCTTGAGTCCATGTCATGGTGGGGACATCGAGGATGAATAGAGTACCGGACATTGTAAGACTATACATCCCTCCAAAGACAAGCATCTTGGTTCCGTTGTGGGCTGGCAAGAGCGATATTGAACAAAAAGGCAAACAAGTCAGTGACAATGAACTGAGGAATGCTTGGTAGCAATGAGCGATCACGGAACTGTATGTATGCGTGTGTGTTGGGTTTGTCTGTTTCTTCTTTACCAGAGACCATGCAGCTGCCCGAAAGAATTGGTGGCACTGATCCAGCCGAGATCTGTGTGAATGAATTAAATGAGAGAGAGAAGGGGGTGACATTGTGAGAGCTCATTCTAGGGTACAAGAAAGCAAAGATGTCGCAGCTATATCACACAGAACGACAGGACAAGTACCAGTGGAGCCCAATTAGCTCTTGCCGGCATGTACTCATAAAGGGACGGTTGTTTAGTAAGCAGCACGCCTCCAAAAAGGAAAAAGGATCCCCTCACACTGTTCCATGCAAACGTATAAGTACTCCAGCTCGAAAGGTTTCTTCCAGGTGGCATATCAACAGCCGTCGATTTTTTGGATGAGGGATCGTAAACAAGCATGCCTTTGCTTGCGCCTCCAGGAATATAAATACGATCAGTCGTCGGATCCGTCGCCGCTTTGCATATTTTGAGATCGGCAGTTTTTAGTGGAGGTGGTGCGGGCATATCTTCCCATTTGTTGGTGTCCGGGTGGAACCCCACAGAGTAGGGAGGCGACTTGTCCATATCCCAGAAATTCAACGCCTTGCGACTCTGTGAGTATGATATTGAATGAAATTGGGCTTTGAGTCGTACTGGAAAAGAACCATCGGAAGTGACCTCCGTCCATGGGGGGCTCGATGTATTCCAGCTCTGTGTGAGATCCAGAGAGTAGAATTGGGTGTATACGTCGGCGGATGTCGAGATGTTGGATCCGCCTTGGATGTAGAGGGTGTTCTCTTCGACTGTCACATAGGCGGAGTAATACGCCGGTCGCGGTGGTGCCGCTGATACACCCCATAGAAGACAGCAGCATAAGAGAGCACTGAGAGTTGGGTAATGTTGTGTATAAAAAGGAAGCATAGTGGTCGAGTTAGGAGGGAGAGGATGTTGGATGGACAGGGATGCTGTGTCGTGGATGCTGTCGAACTAAAGCTGGAGAATTGTGACGAGGGTATTGTTGATTTAAAGGGAGGGAGAGGTGTGTCGATGACGATGTCGACGTGAGGGGTAAGTGACAATGTGGGGGCAGAGATTGAAGAAAGAAAGAAGAAAGAACAACAACGACAGAGTGCAACCAAATCAATGGGAGTGGCATCTTCGTTCGACCCTTTCTGGGGCTTTTTTTTATATTGTCTTTGTCGTACGATTTAGATGTAAGCGGTGTTGAACAAGAAAAAGCGAACAAGCAATGCTCATTTGTCGATTACATACGCACAGGGCGTTCGAAAAGCAAGGCTCACAAACACACAAGGAGTTGCCGCCAAAAATTTCATGTCCCCTCTAGATTATGTTCCACTCGTCATCAAGGATCAAAAAAATGAGCTGTTTGTAGAACCCTGTAGACATCCATTTTTCATGCCTTCCATGAATCAGTGTCTCCTTATAATTGAAGATACTAGAAAATGAAAGTGAGTAGGGTTTGATGAGTTCTGCATGTACCTGAGGTAGTGAAATGAGGTTGGCGTGATTAGACCAGCATTACCTCGATCCCTCACCGACATCGATACACAGAAAAAACATCAGATCGAAAATAATATATAAGGTTCATTTCGCCAAAGAGAAGAGAGATGGGAGGAAAATAGAAGGTGTAACAGAAGAAGGAGTGAGGTAGGACGAGAGAGGTCTACCTTTACCATCTTCCATTATGTCCAAGCAGCTGACATGGAGACATGGTCAATCCTGTGGTCGACCAAGAAAAAAAGGCTTGACCTTGTCACTAATTAAAAAAGGCACGGGCTCAAATTAAAATAGTCTCACTCGGTGATCGATCGAGTATTTCCATCACAGCCCCTGATTCCTAGACAAACAAGCAAGGCATGTAAACGAAGCACACGCAAAAACATACCCCCAACAGGAAGAACAGTGTCTCTCTCACTCTGTACGAGATGGAAAAAAAAAGTCCGCGTACAGCATCTCGATTAACCTCTAGTTCTCTGGAGAAAATGGTCCATTCCTCTCTTGCCAGGCCCTGGCCAAAGTGAGCATGTAAGAGGGGAAAACAGTGCTGGCCATTTCTGGTACTAGGTATGTGGATGGGCGAGGAAAGAGGTATATTAACATGCAGACAAACGCAAAGTTCTCCAGCATATTGACATTTTCTTGCAAGCAACATATGGAAAAACGTGAATTGGCGACTGTACGTCCGATAGGCTCCCGCTTATTACCTCTGAAAAGTATGGTGTATGGTCGAATGTGTCAATGGGAAACACCATAGAGGTGATAGTATGCGTAACGCAACCACCTTCTGATAGTGACGTTCTCACTTTGGTGGCAACGTCATCACTTTGGTGCACTTCTATTCCATTTCCAAAAACGCGTAGATCAGCAGGGGCTGCAGGAACCCTGGAGGGAGTAGGAGCAAGAGATTATGCAACGATCATGCGCTGCCTGTTCATAAGTCAATCCACATGAGTTGTAATATCAAAAGTGCATGTCTACCTTCCTGACAGCAGTATGAGGCGAGGAAACATGAAGGAAGCGGTAAGCAAATTTCTAGTCAACATGATCAGCCATGAATGCCAATGGTGTTCACTGGGGAAGAATGGAGGAAGATAGGAGAGAAATCACAGAACAAATAAAAGACCAAAGTCACCAATCTCGCTCTCTGTCATTTTTTGTTATTAGCAAGACAAAGGAAAAGTAAAGGGGGAAGGGTATACAAAGAAGGATTATAAACTAAGAGTCAAGCATCGCCTGCAGTCTGCTCGCCTCTGCATGCAGTGCATCAATCTGGTACTGAACTTTATGGTTGCTATTAGACGTCGGTTCTGGGGTATTACGGCCTTGAGGGTTCCGCGTGGTTCGTCGAGTTGGAGGACTGAGAGTAACTGACTGATGCTGTTGTTGCTGCTGAGGCGAACGATGCTGTTGCTGGTATGAAGGATATCGAGGGGAAGCGGGCATGGTGGGGATGACGACAAGTGCTGATGTTGATCGGGACGACGACACGGATCGAATTCTCTGTGAGGGCGATATGGAGGTCCGCCACGGGGGAGGGTCCACGGAATCCTGTTGCGGCCCTTGAGCGTAAACATACTGAGGGCTGTAGCTGTGAGAGGTGTTTGGTGGTGTAGTCTTGGCAGGCTGAGTTCTCTGAAACGTTGGATGTGGGTTTATTACTCTCTCCGGGCGTGGTTGAATATCTCGAAAGTGCGTCTTCTCCACGAGTTCTTCTTCGATATCCTGTTCAGGTCGAAGCTGGAGTGGCGACGACACTTGTATTTCTTGCTTTTGCTGCTGACGGTGACGGCACCTCGTCCTGAAGGCCACCACGCCGGCAATCAAAATGGTGACTACCACCGCACCAACTGAACCGCCAATGATAGCAGCGTTCTTATTACTGTTGTCGCTAGAGGTTTTTTTGTCGATAAACTGTGTCGTCCACTGTGCCGTTTTGATATTGTACAGAATAAGGGTCTCATTCAACGGAGTAATTTTTCCTGCATCGTCCATTTGCGCTGATGTTCCTGAATAACCAACGATCACACACAGCAAACACAGGGGAGGAAGGAAAACGTTAACAACTGACCATATAAAACAATCAGCACTTTCGGTTCTCAAGCGTCCGAACGAACGACATATGTATTTGTCATACCTCCCCAAACGATAAGGTAGTCTCCAGAGACTGAACAGACCATTCCCAGCCGTGGCTGATATTTTGCCCCTTGGCTCCAAGTCATGGTTGGGACGTCGAGGATGTACAGGATATCAATATATTCCAGAGCAAAAGCATCAACTCCTCCAAAGACAAGCATCTTGGTCCCGTTGTAGGCTAGTAAAAGCAGATTCAACAAGATGACAAGTTAGTCAGTCAGCATGAGAAAGAAGTGCACCTGTTTGCAGGAAAGCCAATCGTGGCATTATTTTTGACGTTTTTTTTCTTCCGGGTCCTTCTTACCAGGGACCATGCAGCTGGAAGCGAGAGGAGGTGGCATAGATCCGGAAGAGCTCTTGATGTAACAAAAATGAAAAGAGAGAGAGAGAGGGATAGAGAGATATGATACTGTAAGTGATACTGTATGGGTACACTCTCGACAATAAACAAAATGAAAATCAACTTTAGTGTTATGCAAATACCAAGGTCGACCATGGGCTAATGCGCCCGGGTCTGAACTCATAAAAATAAGGCGACCCGAACCCCGGATAATCATACCCTCCAAAGTACAGGAACGACAATCTCACATCGCTCCAAACAAAAGAGTAGCCACTCCAAAATGTCGTGTTTGTAGCTCTTCGCTCCATTGGAAGTTTGGTTGAGGATCTTGAAGCAGGCGAATATGACAGCATAGCCATGTCTGCGCCTCCAGGGATATAAACCACATTGGTCTTGGGGTCCGTCGCTGCTGTGCACATTTGTTGAACATCAAGTCCCTGCTTCATCAAGGGAAGACCGGGTAGTTCTTCCCATGAGTTGGTGTCCAGGTGAAAACTCGCAGCGTAGGAGATAGAGCCATTTATGTTCAGAATGTCAAAGTCTTTTGGTTCCGTAATAGCGACATCGAATGAGTCCAGGCCTTGAGCCCCGCTGGAATGAGGCCGACGGTGGTGACCTCGGACCAAGGGGGATTCGACGTATTCCAGCTATGTGTGAGATCCAGAGAGTAGAATTGGTTGTATATGTCGGCGGATGTCGAGACGTTGGTTCCGCCTTGGATGTAGAGTGTGTTCTCCTCAACTGTTGCATAGGCGGAGAAGTACGCTGTCTTTGGCGACGATCCGGAGGAAACGCCCCATAGAAGGCTGCAGAATACAAATGTAAAAAGCTGGGTACTGAGCTTCATTTGACACAGATATTGAATTAAGATGGGTTGCTTTGTAGAATTCAGAATGAAAGTATGAGTGGAGAGGGATGGTGTGTTTGAGATGCTGCTTGAGTAGAAGATGGAAAAAATGCAGACGGTGGGAACTATAGAAAAAGGACAGAAAGGTAGGAAGGGAACAAAGGGAACGGCAATGGAGACAAAGAGAGGGAATCTTCACCTTGCATGTCACTCTTATTTATTTTATTTTTTGGTTTCACGGTTTTCGATTGAATCGATTAAGGAAGAGAAAAGAGAAAGCGGAGTTCTCATCTGTCAGGTACATAAAAGCAATACATACAAAAACAAGGCATGTCAACAAAAACAAGGCATGTCAACAGAAACAAGGCAAGCATCGACCATGGCAACTAGTAGCTGTTACTGAGAAAATACATGCTCCGCACCCGGTAGATTGCGTTTCAAACCTTATCAGCGATAGCAGAAAAAAGCTTGGGTCAAGAAACCTCCTTGCTCAATACATTTCATGTCTCTCCACCTATTAGAAGCACCCCTCACTGTTAACACTGCTGGAGAAGAGTAAGAATACGATTAGAATGGTCACTGTTGTCCCCGCAATTCCCTTATTCTTGGTAGAGAGAGATATCACTCGGCTGCCGCAACCAACAAAAAAAATTGTTTGTGTTTAGTAGGAAGAGGGAAGAGAGGGAGAGAGAAAAGATGGAGAGGAAGTCAGGATGAGGAGGAGAGGGAGGCAGAGAGGAAAGAAGAATAGGGGTTGTGGAGAGACTATGTTGTGGAAGGAAGAGGTAAAAAGGAGAAAGGATAAAGAAAAAGAGGGTCATCTTGACTCCAATATGCTCCATCCTTGGTGCCGACAATGTTGCCTCTCAATCATAACAGTGCGTTGATAAATAAAAGCACAAGTTAAGGAACCCTGTAAGAGGGCTCAAAATGAAGTTTTACTCGACATGCAACGCATCGCAACCCCTGAATCATTTTTGTGTATGTCATTCAACGATGAACACGGCATGTAAACAATCTAGCACGCATGCACAAACGCACACACACACACAACCATCAATGTCACTCCCACTCTAGTCAAGGTAAAAAAAAGGCTCCACATGCAGAATTTCCTTCTAGAAAGTGTTCCCTCCACCCCACCCCTGCATTCTCCCTCTTTCTCTTTCTGTCTCTCTCTCTCTCTCTCTCTCTTTATTAAACATGAAGCGCCCTTTGCCATCTGCCGCGCTTGTGAACACGTTTGAGCGGAGAAAGGAGAAAAGCGAGGCGTATTTTGGTACTTATTAATGCACGAAAAAAGAACAACCTCCACCCCCTGCCTTGCTACTCTTAGAACTGGACGTAGCCTTCGTCCTCACGCTTAGAAAAGAAAAAAGCACATGCGGTTCACTTTCTTTCGAGGAGAATGAAATCACATTGGGATGAGTGAGTTCATTGAGGACAAGGGACGTGTCTGCACCCCATCTCTTTCTTCGCACGGTACCCAATTGATGATCGTAGCTTGGAAAACAGGCCAGTGGTGTCGAGAGATGGTGGAAGTGGTCGTCATAGAAGTTGGCTTTAAGATAGTGATGAAGGAAGCGATTCTCTTTTCTTCTAACCTCCAACTTCGCCCACCTATGCCCACGGCTGGACAAAATACACATAGTATTTTGGCAACTCTTTTCCACTAATTTTCAATTGTTATTGTTGCGTTTTGTCGATCTCCATCTTAAGCTGCCCTCACTCTCTTTTTCCGAACAAAGTGCATGTATATCAAACTGGCAATGGGGTTCTTTTTGTATTGTAGAAAAAACGAAAGAAAACGGACATTAAGGAAAATAGGAGGGCATTAAAAAAATTAGGGGTGGAGAATCGCCTGCAGCCTGTTAGCCTCCGCTTGCAGAGCGTTGATCTTGTTCTGAATCCATTGAGAGTTATTCGGCGTTGAATCGGGGGCATAATACTCCTGATAGGTTAAAGCACTATGATCCTGAGGATTCCGCGTGTTTCGCTGACTTAGAGGAGCGGAATCAAAGAAATAACTCTGTGGCGATGAAGGATATCGAGGGAAAGTTGTCATGGAGGGGGTGGCAACAAGCGTTGATGCAGATCGAGATGACACTGAGGAGTTGATGCGCTGAGGAGGCAATGGGGTCAGCCGCGAGTAAGAGTCCATGGGAACCTGTTGCAACCCTTGACAGTAACCTTGCTGAGGGCTGCCGCCTTGAGCGATGTTCGGCGAATAGTTAGCAGGGTGAGTGCTCTGTAATACTGCCTGTGAAGTAATGGCTGGTTCAGACGGCGGTAGGGTGTGTCGAGAATACATCTCCTCAATGAGATCCTGTCCATTTTTTTGATCAGGTCGCGCCTGAGAAGTTGAGTGCCCCTGCATTTCCTTTTTTTGCTGCTGACAGTGACTACGCCGCCTCCTGAAGACCACCCCGATTGCAATCAAAATAACTACTACTCCTGCGCCTACCGCACCTCCGACATTCGCAAAATTACTGTTGTTGATGGCCGTCTCTCCTCCTGTCGCTGGGCTGCCGACTCCCGTATCTTTTGACCCAAGTGGATGCGTTGCTGTTGGTTTTGTCATTACTGTTGTTGGTGGTGGTGTCGCTTTTTTCCTGGCGATGAACGCGCTCGTCCACTGAGTTGTGTTTATGTTGTATACAGCGGGAGTCTCAGCCATCAGAGCAGGGATTCCTGTATTGTCAACCGATGTGCCTATGAGATTGACAAACGATTAAACGCAAAAAATGAAATGTTAGCGACACTGATGACAAAAAAAATCAAGATGCTGGATTTTCTGGCGTCAGACCTATCAACCTATGTATTTGTCATACCACCCCAGACAAGAAGGTAGTCTCCGGAGACTGAGCAAGCGGCTCCTAATCGAGGCTGATGCTTGCCTCCTTGACTCCATGTCAAGGTCGCGACGTCAAGGATATACAGGGTATCAATGTAGACGCTGCTGTTGTAGGTTCCTCCAAAGAGAATCATTTTGGTTCCATTATGCGCTGAAAATAAAATATAATAACGGATATAGCTCGGTTTAGTCAACACACTCGTAAGCTACAGTGAGAGAAAACAAACAACATGCCACGAGTTTTTATCTTTACCAGGAACCATGCAGCTGCCAGTAAGCACAGGGGGAAGGGTTCCATTCGCTTTCTAGACGAGAAGAAATAGAGGTGAAGAAACAAGGTTGTGAGGGTACATTACAAAAATAAAATATGGAGGCGCAACCAGAAAATGAGGATACATCATTATTTCTTTCTTTTTCAATTACCAGCGCGTTCCATGGACTGGCTGATGTAGGTTTGTACTCGTAAAGGTAAGATGAAGCTTGAGTAGCCAACCCGCCAAAGAGCAAGAAGGATTTCCTTAACTCACTCCAAACAAATGTATATCCGTTCCAACCGGTGCTTTTGCCGTTTACTGTAGGCGGATTTGCGAGTGTAGCCACGTTTTTGGATATAGGATCATAAGCAAGTGTACCGCTGTTGCCTATGCTGCCAGGGATGTAAACACGGTCCGTTGTGGGGTCTGTCGCTGCTTTGGCTATTTTGAAGCCGGAGGGTTGTAAGGACAGGGGAGGTAGTACCTCCCATGCATTGGTGTCGAGGTGGTAATTAGCAGAGTAAGGCGACAGACTGTACATGTCCCAGAACGTCAACGTCTTGCGGTTGCTGGAGAGCGATATCGAATGAAAGACGGTCTTGAGTCGTGCAGGCACGAGGCCAACGGCAAGCGCGGACCATGGAGGATTGGTGACATTCCAGCTCTGTGTCAAGTCAAGAGAGTAGAATTGATCGTATATGATACTGGAGTTGGAGATGTTGGATCCGCCCTGGATGTAAAATGTGCTCTCGTCAACTGTGGCATAAGCAGAGAAGTATGCCGGTTGTGGTCCTGCGGCTGTCACTACACTCCATAGGAGGCAACAGTGCACGACAGCGCTAAGCTGCATGGCAAATTTCATCGGATATAGATATATCCTGAAGTGCGTATATTCTGGAGTCGAGAGTGGTAGCGTTGATAGTGAGGGTCGTGTGTCGGAGATGCTTCTGACTGGGAGGCTGGGAGGCTGGGAGAGAGAAGAAAGGAGAAGAGAGCAAGAGAAGGAAGCAGGACAGAAAGAAACGAAAGAAGGAAAAAACAGAGATGGATGCTGGCCTTGCCAAATGTTCTTGTATTATTTCTTTGTAGCATGCATCCAGATAGAGACGATTGGGAATGAGAAAGGCAAAAAAAAGCAGCGCTCATCCGTTTATTAGAACAATCGAGACATCCAACAAGGCATGCAAGCAAATGAAGGCAATTAGCTACTCCTCTTCATTGTGTTTCAAACCTTCTTTCGGTTAAGAAAAAAAATGTTGAGCATGAAGAATTGTTTTTGCAAGGACACATTTTTCTTGTCTCTTCCGCACACCGGATGTTGCCCTCACAGTTCACAATGTTGCAGACTGGAGGGGAAGTGATTGAACATGGACCTGTGCTTGTGAATTAGCTGGTGTGAACAGTCTGGCAGGAATTTGAGGCCTTTACTTTTGCCTCAGTTGCCTATTGGAGGAGAGAGGGAAGGCAAGGTGGACACTGTCGTTAATGGCGAATGCAAGAAACAAACAAAAGCAAAAAATTAACTTGTGTTACCGTGAGATATTGAGTCGGAGAGGAAGAGAAACGAGAAAAGAAGGGAAGGAAGAAGGATGTAGCAAGAGATGGAAGCATAGAAGAAAGGAGAATAAGAGGACCATAGTCACTCTTTTGTCCAAGGATCTACTATCAAGGTGACAAACTCCTTTCACCTGCGGAATCACGCGCATTTTGGTTGAAAAAACCTGTCAGCAATTGAGAGGCAAATGGGTAGAGCTTTGATTTCAATATCTCGCTCTTTCACTCTTTATCTCAGTATTTGGTGTGACAGACAACCCGTGGAGATAACCTTCTGGGTATGACCTCGCACCAACAAAGCAAAACATGTAAACAACGAGGACGCACACATACGTACACGCATACCGTGGTTTGTACACGAGGAAAAAAGTACCTCTCTGATCAGAACATTGCAAGGATCTTCATCAATCTCTCCAATCCTACTCCTCGCAGCACCGTTCCAACCCATCATTAAGAAGACCAAGCATCTATCCTTCTTGACGTGACCATGTACGCTCCAAGGTGCCACAGAGTAAGAACCGACATAGAAATGGCAAAGAGACACCGACCAACCAAACAAACAAGAATGAGCAAGCACCTTGTCTCCTTTTTTTTATTAGAAAAATGAAAGAGGAATGGAATGTGTGAAATGACTAAAGATACTGCTAAGGAAAACTTAGAGTTGAACATGGCCTCTGACTTGAATGCATGGAGCTTAATTGGTGCTGGAGCCTCTGGTTTCTGCCAGGCGCTGAAAGGCTCTTTACGATTCGGATGATCGACAAAGTCGAGTGAGAGGAATGTAGGGATCACACATTAATCATAAAGAATGCGCAATTTGGTTTTCGCGTCGAGATATGCAACCTTCCTAATCAAGATATTCCACTGATCAATCAGATAACAACTCAAACCCCCGTGCGTTAAATATTTCTCGTCGTGATCATTATTTTTTAGTCTCGTTACAATGGTGAACTTAATCATGAACGGTTTTTTATTTTACTGTTGGAGTTACGGCTCCTGGCATTAGATATTCCAAAATTCATTCGGTAGAGACACCCTCCGACGAGAATTACGCCGCCTTTTGACGACCGCCAGCCCCACCATGACGGCAATCGAAACAATGACCACCCCACCACCAACAGCGCCTCCAATGATCGCGGCATTGTTGTTCTTGGGTGCTCCTGTAGCAGGATCGCCAACTCCGGAAGGTCCTTTCACCGTATTACCAGCTGCGGGTACTCTTGTCACTGTACCGCCAACGACCGTCCCCGTCAACGTACCATCACCTCCTAATTCCCCTGATCCTATACTTGGTGGCGGTGTTGTTGGTACCGGTCTTGGTGGTGTGTCTTTTTTGGAGATGAAGGCTGTCGTCCACTGTGCAGAATACATGTTGTAAACGACAGGTGTCGCTGGCATCAGAACATTTATCGCTGAATCCCATGATACTCCTACGAAGGTTAACAACGGCAAATGCGTACACACACTTAAAATGTTATAAACTAATGGTAATAAACGAAGTGAGTGTTTTGGGGGACCTGAGCGAAAAAAATGTGCTGTCGTACCACCCCAGACAATAAAGTTGTCCCCAGAAACCGAACAAACCATCGCCATCCGGGGTTGAGAACTTGGTCCAAGACTCCAAGTCATTGTAGGGACATCGAGAATGTACAGCGAACCATATAATTTGCCGTCAGATCTACCACCAAAGACGAGCATCTTTGCTCCTTCGTAGGCTAGCGCATAGGGAATTGAACAAAAGGGGAACAAATTAGTCGTTCCTTGCGCCATGGGTGTAGTATGCCAGTTACGAAAAAAAATCAACTGCGGTAATGTGGGGTGTGAATGTATTTTTTCTTACCAGAGACCATGCAGCTGTCGGCTAGGCGAGGTGGTACGGATCCTGATGATGTCTGCGAAAAAAAATGAAGAGCGTGAGTGAGCGAGGGAGCTAGAGATGTTCTGAAAGCATTTTCAAAGGTTACCAAAAAAAGGTCACAGCCGCATAAAAAAGGAGGTGCTTTTTATTTTGCATACCAACGCTGTCCATGGAGCTGCGGCTGCAGGAGCGTACTCATAAAAATACGACGGACCAGGCGTATCATATCCTCCAAAATACAAGAACGACCGTCGTACATCATTCCAAGCAAAAGTATACATATTCCAGCTCGCAACAGTCCCCCCGGGCGGCATTGCGATCACGGACGAGGCTTTTGAAGAAGGGTCATAAATGAGCATTCCGTTGCTAGGAGCGCCTCCAGGGATATACACACGATCTGTTGTAGCATCAGTCGCTGCTTTCAATACTTTGAGGTCGACGGGTATTTGAGCCGGTAGATCTGGGAGGTCCTCCCATTTGTTGGTGTCGAGGTGAAAACTTGCGCCGTAGGGAGGAGCATTGTACAGATCCCAAAACGATAGCGTCTTCTTGTCCTTCGAGAGGGATATTGAGTGATAGGAGGTCTTGAGCCGAGCTGGGATGCGACCGCCGGCAGCGGTGATGACCTCGGACCAAGGAGGGTTCGAGGTATTCCAGCTCCGCGTCAGATCCAGAGAAAAGAATTGGTCGTATTTGGTAGAGGAGTTGGTGACATCGACTCCGCCCTGGATGTAGAGTGTGTTTTCGTTGACTGTTGCGTAGGCGGTAAAGTAGACCATAGTTGGCGCTCTAGCCAAAGCCACGCTCCAGAGGTAGCAGCAACACAGAATTGTACCAAGCCAGGCGCCAAACCTCATTGGATGTATATGTGTGTTGAAATGAGGTATGTTTCTGAGTTAGGAAACGGTGAGTGGATAATGCGGGTGGTAAGGGTTGGTGAATCAAGGATACTGTTGACCGGAAGGCGAGGGAAAAAGCTAGAGAAAAATGAAGCAGAAAGGGGGTGAAAGTAGAGAGGGAAGGATATAGGGAGGAAGAAAGGGGATGAAGGAGAGAGGGAACGGAGGGAGGTAGAGACGGAAGGCCGGACCAAAAAGAAAGAAAGAAAGAGAAGGAAACGACAGCATCGGGAAGGAATTGCACCCTCACCTTGCATTGTTGAGACCTTTTATTTCATTTTTGTTTGTCGTATGATGTCTGTGGAAACGATCAGGGATCGGAAAGCGAAAAACAATGCACTACGTCCAAATAATAGACAAGGCATCTAAACAAAAAAAAGGCGCATGGATCGTATTATACCTTCTTTCAGACCCACATCCAAAAATCAACCAAACGCCACAAACTGTGGATTGTGTCTTGAACCTTGTCTGGGAGGGAGAGAAACCCTTTTGCATCAAAACTCCAACTTCCACAGACATTTTTCAGCATTTCCACGGACCAGCGTCGCCTCCATTGTTGACAACGGCGAAGAATGGGAGGGTGAATTTAACACGGAGATATACGTAAACACAAGTAGGTCGTCAATGCCTTGAAGGTCCTTTCCTTATCTCCATTGCCTGGTGAAGGAGTGACCGATGGCGATCGGCATCCATTGTAAAACAGCAAGAAAAACAAACAATCAACAAATTTCCTTGTGTCACCATAGTTGAGTAAAGGAATGCAAGACAAGAAGTGTGAATGATGATGCGGGAGGAAAGGCGGTGGAGAGGAGGTAGAGTTGGTAATTTAGCAGGCAATCTTGCGGGAACAAACAGCTGGGCTCAAATTATGGTCTCAGTCTGCTTGACCGTCAAAAGTGCGTTGGTGGAAACATGCAAACAAACGCAAAGGCGGGGAGGAGGAGGACGGATAGAAAATGCATTTGCAGAGCAGCCGACCAATTGATGCATTCTTACTTTTCCCTCAATGCGTTCGTCGATATGGGAGGAGGGTAGTAGAATTATCACTCTCGAACATGCGTGCAGATTAAAAAACAGGTTTACTGCGACATCCTTTTCAAAATAGTTCTTCCCTCCAACTTCCATCAACAAGAGTCCATACTACCCCAGCGTCATTCTTGTATTATGTGAGTCTGAAGAGAACATGAGGTAGGCATTGCTGTTCGCAAGAAGGTGATGGCGAAGGTATGGCGTGTCTTCTTTTCTCTTTTCAACCAACCCTCCACCCATCACTCAGAGGTCACTACAGGGTCCTTCTTGCAAACGAAGACTGTACATGTGACTCTTTGCGATTATTTTTTTTCGTAAACTTTTCGCGTATTGTTGACCATGCACCCGGTGTCGCGTTCGTTTTCTTCTTTGAGCAAAATGCAGGGAAGATGAGTGACACACTGTTGAAGCAAAGTAAGTAAATGAATCCGCTGTTGGGTGAGCACCATCGCACAGGCTCGTGAAGTTTTTGCAGAAAATAATGGATAAGAGGCAGCACAGAAAATAAAGATCGAGGGGAGAGGCGGATTGTCACTTCTTTTTTTTACTACAGTATTACGGTGAAGAAAAAGGTATATGAGGATTAAAAATAGAGGCTATCCGACTTTGATGGTCTACATGCTAATTGATTTTCGGAATGGTGGCATAGTGTATATGAGAGAGAATTAGGTCAGGGATTTGTTTGTCGTTGACTTGTTGCAGCTAATAGTTAATCCCTTTAAAAGGGAATCTTCTCCAAAAGCTTGTGTTTGATCTTCTGCAAGGGTCGCGGCAACTGAACAGGAATCTCCTGCATCTCTTCCTTCTTCTTCTTCTCACGACGGCTACGGCTCCAGACGACCGCCGCGATGATGAGAGTCAAGAAGACAAGGACACCAGCACCGATGGCGCCTCCGAGCGTCGCAGAGTTGTCTTTGAGGGTGGGTTCTGCTCCCGTCACCGAATCGGCAACTCCTGTTCCTCTAGTTCCACCTCCTGTGGGCGTACTGTGGACTCCTGAACCTGAGCTGCCCGTTGGCTCGGCGTGGCGTCCTGTCTCGGAATTGTCACCTCCTGTTGGATGAGTACCACCTCCAGTTGTTCCTGTCTCTGAGCTGCTACCTCCAGGTGCTCCTGATGCCGTTTCACCATTTCCAGGAGTACTAGTAGCCGTAGTGCCAGGTTCTCCAGTCGCTGTACTGCTAACTCCGGGCTCAGTTGTCACCGTTGCACTAGATGACTCTGTTGCCGTACCACTAGGCGATTCTGTCGCCGTACTGCCATGTCCAGGAGTACTTGTCACGGTAGGAACGAGCGCGTCTGTGGGTGCGACTGTTGGCGTAGGGTTTGGTGCGTCTGTGAGAGTCGGGTTAGGGGCGTCTGTTGGCGTAGGGTTTAATGCGTCTGTGGGCGTGGTTATTGGTGCGTCCGTTGGAGCGACTGTTGGCATAGGATTGGATACATCTGTGGGTGTGTCTGTAGGCGTAGTAATAGGTGCGTCCGTGGGAGTAGTGATAGGTTCATCAGTTGGAGTTGTAATGGGCGCGTCTGTGGGAGCGTCCGTCGCCGTAGTGATAGGCGTGTCGGTAGGCGTCGTAATTGGGGCATCTGTAGGCGCGTCTGTAGGTGTAGGCGCATCTGTAGGTGTAGGTGCATCTGTAGGTCTAGACGCATCCGTAGTTGTGGGCGCATCTGTAGGTGTGGGCGCATCTGTGAGTGTGGGCGCATCTGTAGGTGTGGGCGCATCTGTAGGTGTGGGCGCATCTGTAGGTGTAAGCGCGTCTGTAGGTCTAGAGGCATCTGTGGGTGTAGGCGCATCTGTAGGTGTGGGCGTGTTTGTAGGTGTAGGCGCATCTGTGAGTGTAAGCGCATCTGTAGGTGTAAGCGCATCTGTAGGTGTAGGCGCATCTGTAGGTGTGGGCGCATCCGTAGGTGTGGGCGCGTCTGTAGGTGTGGGCGCATCTGTGAGTGTAGGCGCATCTGTAGGTGTAAGCGCATCTGTAGGTGTAGGCGCATCTGTAGGTCTAGACGCATCTGTGGGTGTAGGCGCATCTGTAGGTGTGGGCGCGTCTGTAGGTGTGGGCGCATCTGTGAGTGTAGGCGCATCTGTAGGTGTGGGCGCATCTGTAGGTGTGGGCGCGTCTGTAGGTGTGGGCGCATCTGTGAGTGTAGGCGCATCTGTAGGTGTAAGCGCATCTGTAGGTGTAGGCGCATCTGTAGGTCTAGACGCATCTGTGGGTGTAGGCGCATCTGTAGGTGTGGGCGCGTCTGTAGGTGTGGGCGCATCTGTGAGTGTAGGCGCATCTGTAGGTGTGGGCGCATCTGTAGGTGTAAGCGCATCTGTAGGTGTAGGCGCGTCTGTGGGTGTAGGCCCATCTGTAGGTGTAAGCGCGTCTGTAGGCGTAGGCGCATCTGTAGGTGTAGGCGCGTCTGTGGGTGTAGGCCCGTCTGTAGGTGTAAGCGCGTCTGTAGGCGTAGGCGCATCTGTAGGTGTAGGCGCGTCTGTGGGTGTAGGCCCGTCTGTAGGTGTAAGCGCGTCTGTAGGCGTAGGCGCATCTGTAGGTGTAGGCGCGTCTGTGGGTGTAGGCCCGTCTGTAGGTGTAAGCGCGTCTGTAGGCGTAGGCGCATCCGTTGGAGTAATGATGGGTGAATCCGTAGGAGTAATGATGGGTGTGACCGTGGGCAAAGATCCTGGTTCTCCTGTCATCAGCGTCTCTGTTGGTGTTGGTGTTAATGGTGGTGGTACTGGCGTACCGTTCTTGGCGACAAACATTGTCGTCCACTGTCCCGCGTTGAGGTTGTAAACGATAGGGATCTCCGACAACAAAACCGAGTCGTCAGAACTGTCGGACGATACTCCTAAGCAAATGACAAGGCAGTAAACAAAACAAACAAAACGTTAGCGACGAGCGACGAAAAAGGTAAGCGTGTAGCGTAATTTTTTTTGGAGGGATATGTTGATCGAATAATGACAATGAAATGCCGTACCTCCCCAGGCGATAAAGTAGTCACCCGAGACTGAGCAGACCATTCCAGTTCGAGGCTGAGAATCTAGTCCTTTACTCCATGTCATGGAAGCGACATCCAGGATGTAAATGCTGCCAGAGATGGAGCCTCCAGACCTGCCACCAAAGACGACCATCTTGGCTCCGCTGTATGCTAGCAAAAAAGAATTCAGCATGGGGTACAAATGATGTCAGTCAGCATGAAACGTTGAATGCTAGAGGACAAATACAATCGTGAAGACGTTTGTGTGCTCCCTTTTTTTCCTTACCAGACACCATGCATCCGCCGGCAAGAGCAGGTGGTCCGGATCCAGAAGAGCTCTGAGCAACAACAAAAAACAAGATGGATATGAAATCGTTAAGGCGTTTGCAAGGTACAACAAAACAAACAAACTTGACTCTTTCTTTTTCTTTGTACTTACCAGAGCTGTCCATGGAGTTGCGCTTGAGGGTTTGTACTCGTAAAAGTACGACGATCCAGGAGTATCAAATCCACCAAACAGCAAGAATGTCTGGCGAACATCATTCCAAGCAAACGAAGCAGCGTTCCAGCTTGTGGCTCTTCCACCAGGAGGCATCGCAAGCACATTCGTGATTTCTGAGAAGGGATCGAAGGAAAGCATACTGCTACCCGCTCCACCAGGGATGTAAACCTGATCTGAGGAGGGGTCCGTCGCTGCTTTGGACACTTTGCTGACGAGGGGTCGTTGGACTGGTAGGGAGGGCAGCTCCTCCCAACTGTTAGTGTCCAGCTGATAGTTGACAGAGTATGGTGGTGAATAGTAGACGTCCCAGAAGGTCAGCGTCTTGTGATTCCGTGAGAGCGAGATGGAATGAAAGACAGTCCGAAGGCGGGTTGGGATGCGAGAGCCGGAGGCGATGGGAACCTCGGACCATGGAGGATTGGAGGTGTTCCAGCTCTGCGTGAGATCCAAGGAGTAGAACTGATCGTATGCGACGGAAGAGGTGGAGACATTGGATCCGCCTTGGATGTATAGGGTGTTCTCGTCGACTGTGATGTAGGCAGAGAAGGAAGCCATGGTTGGTGCTGCGGCTGATGCCACGCTCCAAAGAAGACAGCAGTACACAATTGTACAGAGTTGGGTGCTGAGCTTCATCGGATGTATATGTGTATTACAGTGGGGTGTATGCTAGTGTAGTGTGAGGATTGGACGTGTGGGCAGTGAAGGACAATGTGTCTAGAATGTTGTTAACTGGATGGCTGACTGGAGAAATAGATGAGAAAGAAATGCGATGCAAGAATGAACGATTAGCAAAGAAAAGGAAATGGTATCCTCGTCCTGCCTGGCTATGATCCTTTTATACCTTTTTTTTTGCCGTATGATCCCGATGAAACGGTTAGGGATCGGAAAAGCAAAAAATAAAAATACAATTCACGTCTGACAATTACATAAACAAGGCATGCAAGAAACACATGGTGCAAGTCAATTAAGCGTCGATTCCTGGTATTACAGGGGCTGGAACAGCAAAAAATAAAGTTTACGTTTCAAACCTTATCGCGGAGAAGAAACAAACGGATCACACACTCATTTTTCATATCGCAATGGACCCACCATTCCCCTCATTGCCGGACAGGGGTAGAAAGTGAGAGGGTGGATTCAGGATGGAGCCGACATAGAGAAGTAATAGTGTCACTTGGTTTGCGACGCCTCGGTGGGCCTTTTTCTTTGCCTTTGTTGCCGGGTCAAGGATAGAAGGAAAGTAATTGTCCTCTATTCCAAATGCTAGCAAGAAAGCAGAAAAATTTACTTGTGTCACCATAGGAAAATGCGAGGTTGAAAGTGATCAAGAGAGAGGGGGAAAAGAGGACGATTGAAACGGAAGAGGGACGTAAGAAATGCGGGGCCACACATGGTCTTTCGCTCTTGATGATTGATGCTGTCCAAGCATCTATCATAATGACATGTTCCTTCTTTGTTTGCTACAAATATATTCTCACTCACCCTTGACGCGTCGCTAATTGAAAAGGCAATATTGGTGGCACCGTGACGGGGTTCGATTTTTTTTCAACCCCTGATTACAATGTCAATTGCAATCAAGCAAGGCATGTAAACAAACAGCAAGGGACTGTGATGGTATTTTGGTATGTGATTTATGTATGACACAAAAATGACAAAACTATCAAGCCAAAACGATGAACTTCATTCATCCCTGCCCCTGTAGCCCTGTTACTCTCCAGGCTCAGACCCACTCATTATCCTCATCATCCCAGGGAAAGAAAAATTGCAATTGCCTCATCGTTTTCTTCAAGCGCATTGACCCCTGTTCCTGAATGACAGGGGTTCTGACGCGTTTCGTTTTACGCGATTGTTTTGTTCGCGTAAAGCAAAATGAAGGGGTGTGGTTAGAAAGATAGCGACGAGAGACGTACCTTTTTTTTTGCTCCATGGTACTGGCAGGGAGTTAGCGCTGAGAATCACTCAAGCACAAGGGTAATAAATACTAGCCCATATTGCCTAGAGTGCACTATATATTCAAAATGATTATGCGAGAAAAAATAAAGAGCTGGTTCATATCCATCACATCCATCAGTCAAGTATACAATTAAAAGGAAGGTAACAAGGTAAAACGTATCAGGCATCGGCCAAATCAGTTATTATTTGCAAATTGGAGAAGTAGATGATAGGGAAATATGACATTAGTAAAAAAAAAAACAAAGGAACTGCATATCCAGTCGCGCCTGGAGTCGGGTCCCTTCCGCATACGTAATCTTTTCCTGAAGTGGGTCGTTCTGAATGTAAGAGGAGGAGGAATGTGAGGTAATGCTGGGGTGAGGAGGACAGGCGACGTATGTGATGGCGCCGAACGCGGGAGGTTAATCAAAACTATGAGAGCATATGGTGGCTTGAGAGATGAGGGCGATGGTCGGCAATGGTGAAGTTGAGACGCCGTATCCAGGAAATATCAATCCTTGGTGGCTCTACTTTCAATACTCTAAGCTGACGGCGCCACCGGAGCAATATCTTTCTTCTCCTCCTCCTCTTCCTCCGCATGCTGTTGCGCTTGCATTCGCGCGCGACGATGACGGCGAGCAGGAAGTATACAACAAACTACCACAGATGGAACCAAAATGAGAACAACCACAGCCGCTATTATCCTATGAATTAGATTCATAAACGCGCTGTCTTCATTCTCACCCTTGTAGATTTCTGGGCGATAATTGGCCACAAACTCTGTTTTCCATTGGGCTGTATTGATGTCGTAGATGATTGGTGTCAATGGTAATGGGACCATTGCGCCCGAGCTATTCATCGATATTCCTAATCACCACGGCGATACAGTTGTTAATACAGTACATAGAAAAAAAAAGTAACACATGCATAGAGATCGGATATGCTGATTTTTAAGTATGACACATACCTCCCCAAACGACAAAGTTGGTACCAGAAAGGGTGCAGGCCATGCCCTTTCGAGGTTGCGCGCTAGGTCCTTGGGTCCAAGTCATCATGGAGACATCGAAGATGTAGAGAGTTCCCACTGTTGTGCCATTGTGGACGCCACCAAATAATATAAGGTTTTATCCTCTGCTGTCTGAGCTAAAAGAAAGGGGAGTATTGTGGATGTGTGAGTAGGTCGAAATGGTAGATCAGAGACGCATCTGCACATAGGGATGGTCAGTTATTTGTACTCGTTACCTGCGACCATGCAGCTCTCGGAAAGATGTGGGAGTACGGTTCCATGCGTTCGCTATTCCCATGAAAAAAGGGGAAAATATACAAGCAAACGTCTTGGGTCAACCATCTTACTTTCATCAACCGTAACCAGTGCTCCCTTAAGGAAATAGCTAATTACAAAAAGGGCAAAGGCGAAACAAACCAAAGTGCAATGTACCAGGACCTCCCAAGCCCCAGCATCGGTGAAAACACGATGCTCAAACAAATACGACGCCGGAGATGGAGTACCCACCCCGCCGACCAAGAAGAATGAGTTCCGGTAGTTTACCCACACAAAGCTATACCGATCCCAGCTAGTAAGATTTCCGAACTTGGGCATCAGTAACACTTTCGTCTCATTCGTGGACCGATCGTAAACCAACATGTTCGTCCTAGCACATCCAGGAATATACACACGTCCAAGGCTTCCGAAGTTTGATGTTGCTGCCTGGTAGAATCTGAGCGGACCGGGTACCGGTGGCGGGAAGACCGGCAGTTCCTCCCATGACTGAGTATTAAAGCTATAGGTCGCCGCAAAGGTGCGAGGGTTGGCCATATCCCAAATGGTCACATTGTGCTTTCCCTCTGCCACGCCAGATCGACATTGTATGCCCGCCGGCGGATGAGATCCGGCTCGAAATGGAACCTACAGACTGAACCTCAGACCAGAGAGGGCTTGAAGCGTTCCAATTGCGTGACAAATCGAGGCTATAGAATTGATCCAATTTAGTTGTGTAAGTTGAAGTCAGAGCTGAGGAATCCGCCATGGATGTAGAGAACAGACTCTTGGTGGGTTGCGTAGGCCATGTTGTACACCATTTTTGGGCTAGACTGGGCGGACACGATCCATTTGAGGCAATGGGCGACCGCAGCTGCTGTTGCAAGTCGAGAGATTGTGTTTAGAAGAGTCATGTATATATCTCTTGGATGTGTGTGTGCGTGCGTGTTTGGATGAGTGGAAAGAGCAGGACTAAACGAGAGAGAAAAAAAACACACGGAGCAACAAAAAATAATCTTCCCGAGAGAAGCAATAAAAAAACAAGACATTGGGACGTAGCGTCAATTTTAGTTATGCTTAAACGAAACATGCAGGCTGACTCCACTCATCAGAAATAAAAAAAACCCCCCTGTGTGAACGCCAACGAATCGTTTAAGGCGGTGCAAAGACCAATACATCCAAAGGCATAAACCGAGGGTGAGACGGCCCGAAAAAGATCAATTGCCCCATTTTCTTTTTTACTGGCCTGGACCTCTCAAATAAATAGCACATACCGCCGGCGATGAACAAGGCTGATTTCTCCCCCACCCCCTCCTCCCCCCTTTTTTTTTCTTTGGGCGAAGAACTATTGGTGGCCAAGTTTACCATGCCTCATTCAAGGGCAGAGAAAGGAATTGAACCCTTTTCGACGAGTAGGTCCCACAAGGGAAAATTTAAAAATGAGAAACCAAACATACAGGTCATCGCATGTAATCATTCAGACATGCAAGAAAATGGGTATTAAAGTTAGAGGTGTGGAGTTACGGAAAATAGCAAGCAAGGGACAGAAAAAAATATGGCGGGTTGTCCAGTTGCCCTAACCCTGTGGACTGCGGGGTGCCTGCTCAGGAGCATTATAACTACTATCAGTATTGGTCGTGAACAACTGAGGGTGATGTCGAGTCTGGGGTTCCTTCTGGTGAACATCGTCCGGATCTCCAAGAATGTCTGAAATATGAGGTGCTGCTATTACGCGAGAATGTAGATGTGACGACAGTGGAGGCGAGGGATAAGCGGGAGAGGTGATCGGAGGAGGAGGACAAAGTGAGGATGGCCAGTGAAGAGGAGAGTCCGATGCGATATGTTGAGGAGCTTCCCTCCCAAAATATCCAACCTCCGTGACATCCTCCATCTTCTGATCCGACGGTTCCAACGGAATACCATTATCTTCCAAGTCCTTTCCTTTTCCGTGCCCTTGCTCCTGCCCATGACCCTGCTCGCGCCCCTGTTGATCTTGCAAACCACGACGAGAAACACGTTTCCAGACCTTTCGAGTGACAGCAATCAAAATCGCAACAGCTACAGCGGCCCCTGTCACAATACCAATGATCATCCCAGCTTTAACGTGTCTATTGTTCCTGTCACAGTCTGCTTGTCCCGGCTCGTTTTCTGTGTACCGGTGACTGGCTACAAACTGTGTTGTCCATTGTCCAGAGTTGATGTTGTAAACTATCGGTGTTGGTGGTAGGGGTACGAATGCACCCGAATTGTTCCACGATATTCCTAAAGTTATGAACAAGCAATGAGTGAAAAAAAGGAGGCACAAAACGTGTGAGCATTTGATGTCATGAAATTATAAGCGGTGTGTGTGGAGATTTTTTTGTTCTGTGCACGTACCACCCCAGACAACAAAGTTGCTGCCAGCTACCGCACAAGCCATGCCCTTCCGTGGCTGCGAGCTGGGTCCGCGGGTCCAAGTCATTGTCGGGACATCGAGGATATAGAGGGTTCCTACTTCTGTTCCATTGAACCCTCCACCAAACACCAACATCTTATTTCCGTAGAATGCTGAGAGAGAAATGAGGGAAGGAAGAAAGGCAAGCGAAGACCAGGAAATTTAGTCCATGCGATTGCGTGAGCCAAAAAAAATATACACAACAACAACAACAACAACAACAACAACAACAACAACAACAACAACAACAACAACAACAACAACGGTGTATCACTAATATTTCCTTTACCCGAGACCATACACATCTCTGACAGATGAGGTGGTATGGATCCATATGATTGCTGTTCTCGCAAAAATAATAAGAGCATAAAAACGTCAACTTGGGAGAGCAAATTGTTCAAGAAACACTCATCCAAAGTGAAGCCAACAATCAAAAAAAGCGGGGGGGGGGGGGGGGGGGGTGGAAAAAAAATCATTACATACCAGGAACTCCCACGTTGGAGGGGTAGTGGACATCTTGTATTCATACAAATAGGACGTCTCAGAAGGAGCACCCACTCCACCAAACAAAAAGAACGACTCCCGCACCGCATTCCACACAAAGCTGTACCCGTTCCAGCTGGTGATATTCCCAAGGTATGGCATAGGGAGCACAGAGGACGTAGATGTAGACCAGTCATAGCCTAACATGCTAGTCCCAGCACATCCAGGGATGTAGACACGACCTGTTTTCAAGTGAGTTGCTGCTTGGTAGAACCGTAATGGACCTGGCTCTGGTGGCGGGAGGGCCGGCAGCTCTTGCCACGACTTTGTCCCAAAGTAATAGCTGGCCGCAAACGTGAGAGGGTTGACCATATCCCAGACGGTCACAGTGTCGTGCAGGAAGCCTTGACTGTCCCGGCTCTGAGATATCGACATCGTATGTCCGGCAGTAGTGAGTTGAGCTGGGGTGCCGCCGACAGCAGTGATCTGTGTCCAGAGAGGGTTTGAGGTATTCCAGCTCTGTGTCAAGTTGAGCGAAAAGAATTGGTTGAATCGGGTGTTGTAGTTGGGGTTTGTCCCGTTAAAGCCGCCGTGGATGTAGAGGGTGGATTCGTTGACGGTCGCGTAGGCCATGTTGTATACCATCATTGGGCTGGACTGGGCAGATGCGGTCCATGTGAGCCAGAGGACAAAGGTTCCTGCCGCTGCGAGGCGAAGGATCGCGTGTAGAGGAATCATCGATTTTGTTCAGAGATGTGAGTAAGTGTGTGTGCTACTGAATTGATGAGGAAAAGGGAGAAGATGATGAAATGAGGAAATGAGAGAGAGAAACGACAAAAATAAACCCGAGGGCAAGAGCAAGACGAGCACTGTACTGACCGTCGTTGTGCTTCGACGACATATGAAAAGCTGTCCCCATCGGAGATAAAAAAGAGTAAAGCTAAGAGCCCAGCGGAACGTTCTCGGTTTGTGCAAGGACCAATCCATCTAAAGGCATAAAGGGACAGGGAAGGAGATGACCTCTTTTTACCGAAAATGGAGCAACCCTTCTTGGGCCTGGATCGCTGCCAAACCAACACAAGATACTCTACACGTGACCGCCGGGTTTGTGGGAGTTTGGAAATCCCGGGTCGAAGAGAGAGAGAGAGGGAAAGTTCCTAGGAGATGGAAAGGCGCTAGCTGGGTCTTCCCACTCCCTTCTGGAGGTCCCGGTGTCGGTTCCAGGGGTTTGGGTTACTTCGTTGATGGCTTGGTTTGGCATGTGTTGCGTTGTTGGTGGTTGTGGGTGTCTCTTTTTTATATTTATATATATATATATTCTTTTCGTGTTGTAGTCACCGTTATGGTTGGTAGGAGCGGTGTGTCGCTGTTGATAGTTCTGTCTCTGTTGTTGGTGTCGCTATTATTGTTGTTGTTGTTATCGCAAGTGATAAAAGAAAACGCTGGTGAAACCGTTATGCCTGCACGAAGGTGGGAAAAAAGGTTACTTTCCTCTCTCGCGTACGGCTCCCTTTTGTTAGAAAGGATTTCACTTAAGGGGTGGTAGACGAAACCACCGCAGGTTAGCCACTTCATTTTGGCTCACGTTACACATCTAGAATGACGAAGTGAAGTTGAGTTGTAGGGTTGGGCCATAGAAGCGGGGCGACGATGCGCCCTTGTTTATTATCCTTATTTAGCTAGTTGAAGCACGTCAACTGCAATAAGCAACGGGAATGGTCGTCAAAACAACATAAAATATTAATAAGCAAAAGGTTTTGAACACGGACCAGCGAGTGCGAATGCGAATTGCCGATTTTTTCATCGTGGCTTTAGAGCCTATTGAGGCAGAATAAGAAAGTTTAAAGAAAAAAAGAAAAAAGAAATTGCAGTCAATTTTGTTCTCTTCGTTCACTTTCTCGGCGCTCGCACAGACCTCTAAGAGAGGGGCGATATTGGTCAGCTCAGCCCCCAATTGGAAAGTGTTTTGTACTCTCTAATTACGTTTCCGCACCATTGCATCCGATCGACACAACATCAGGTAGTGTCGTTTCCTATTCTTATTCTCGATCTGCACACCAAAATTAAGAAAGCCATCGACTCCCGGACAACATCGGCTTCATGAGGAAGAGGACTTCCAGCCCATCATCCAAATTCAAGCACCCATCGTCCTTGTCGTCGAGATCGTAGCTGTTCATCAACAGCACGGGCCCCTGATCAATATGAACAAAATCCCCTCAAATCGCCCAACTCCAGGAACAGGAAAAGGTTCTATCACAAGAGAATAGAATGTCGGTCCTCCCACTTCCAGAAAGTCGTTCTCGTCATCAAATCCCAAGGGATCCAACAGGAAACCGAACGCGAACGACTTCGTCCTTTGTAAAACACAATAAAATTACTGTACAGTATTATGTTTATCTATAGAAATAAAAAATAAAAAATAAATGCTCTGACTAAAAGTTCTTATGATTTTGGAGTTGCGCAAGTCGACCAAGGTACGCAAACCGTTCCTGTTCAAGTCGCTCATTCTCGAGGCGGAGCCATTCTAGGTTTTGTTGGTGCTTTGTTTGTTGTGCGTGGATCATTGCCACCTCCTGCTGTTCGTCTTTGATACTGTTACTGCTGTTGCTGTTAGTATTGTCCGTGGTTTCGTTGATGTTGTTGCTGATTATGGTGGCGGTATCAAGGATTTGGCTGCTACTGGCGACGAGGATGGCGGATATGATGTTGCATGAGTGGAGATCGGATAGATGGCGCCCTGGAGGGGACTGTGGTATGTATTATTTATGTCCGCCGATATCGTCCCTTCTGTTATTGATGTAGCCTCATCCTGGGGTATCCCTCCTCCTTCGCTTCCAATCCGTGCATCAGAACGAGCCTCATGATACACAGGTGCCTCTCGTCCAGCATTCTCTTTTCGCTCATCATCATCATCACCGACAAGAGTCCCTCCAGAGGCCACAGACCCCGATAGCTGAAGAGAATGATGCTGCTGCTCCTGGTCCTGCAACTGCTCCTGGTCATGCAGCTGCTCCGACACTAACTGCGGGTTCCTCCTCGAAGACTGTGGCGTCATCCATGGCGCCTCGCCAGACAAAACATCAACAGGGACCATCACAGAGTCATCATACGGGATCGTAGCGGCGTCAAAGAACTGTGGGTTCCGGCGTGTGCTTTCAGGGACATAATACCCCTTTTCGTATAGCTCGACGGGCTGCTGCTGCATAGAAGAGCTTCCGGAGTTGAAGCTGTAGCGGGCCGAGTTGTCGCGGGCAAATAGGGGTGCGATCGAGGTCGTGGAGGCGGACATGTGGCCGTTGTTGAAGAGGCGCTGTTGTAGGCTGACCTTGTAAGTTGATCCGTGCTCGCCTGAAGGACCAGCGCCGTCATTGGGAGACTGTGCGTAGCACGCATCAAGTTCCTGTTGGTTCTGTTGTTGTTGTTGCCGCTTAGGATCCGCTGTCAGTTGGGCATCAGCCCGTTTCATCCTACTCTTGCGTTGCTTCCTCCGCCGGTAGTAGATGAAGCCGACTACTGCAGCAACGACAATGGCTGCGCCAACTCCTCCAGCGAAAGCCCCCCAGTTGTACTTCGAACCATCAGAGGTCAAAGAGTATGTTTTCGTCCACTGGTTTGTCCGGAGGTTGTAAATAATTGGTGTCCCATCAATCGCCTTTTGCGAGTTGTATCCTGTAGCAAAAAGAATCGAAATCGCTGTTAGTTATATGTTCAGCAACAGCTCCAAGATAGGGGAGAGATACTACTAGGCGTATCATATCATGGGGCGATGAAACTAGAATGTGTGTGTTTACCTCCCCAGGCAACAAAATTATCACCGCCGACGGTGCAGGCCATGTTGGAGCGATTAAGAGGCACGGGTGGGGTTGATCCTTTGGTCCAAGTCATAGTGGGCACGTCGAGGATGTAGATGTCGTCCAATTGGGTATCTTCCGTGATCGACCCTCCAAACACAACCATCTTGAACCCATCATATGCAGGGACCATACAGTGGGAATGTATTTGTGTTGGCGACGGACCCTCCGTGTTCTATTATCGGAAAAATGAAGTGCATGTGCATTAGCAAGGTAAAAAAAGCACCAATGTTGTGAGTTTGACGTTCTCTTCTGACAACAAACTTACGAGACGAACCCAGCTGTAGGTACCACCCATTTGAAACTCAAAGACATAAGGGTTGTAGACATCCCCCAGGTTCGAGAAACCCTTGCCACCAAAGAGGAGAATACTCTTTCTTGACGGGCAGTAGACAAAGCTGTAGCCCTGGACAGAGGTAGGCAGCTGTGTACTTAGGGGCATGCCCTGAGCCCAGATCTCATGGGATGCTATGTTATAGACCGGCATGGTCGTCCCAGCATTTCCACCACGGCCAAAATAAACAGTACCCCATGCCGGGTCCATCGCCGTGGTATAGTTCGTCCCAAACGCAATCGAATGCGGCAACTCCAGCGTACTGAGCCAACTGTCCGTAGTAACGTTGTACGTCGAAAGAAACGGAAGGTTGCGATCAAACAACAAGACCTGGGACTCATCGGGTGACATGACCATCGTGTTCCTATCCAAGAACCGGGGCGATTGACCTGAGGTGGGTGCGGTGAGGTATCGCCAAGGTGGGGAGAAAGCCTCCCAGCGGGGGACGGTGAGGTCGAGGGCGAAGAGTTGGTTGTTGGTCGCATCGGGATTCATCTGAGCTTTTCCCCCGTGGATAATTAGAGCCTTGTTGATTTGGGACGCGAATGCCATATTGTAGACAGGGGTTGGGATATAAGTTTGAGCTCGTGTCGTGGAAGAGGAGGAAAGGAGGAGCGTGAGCCATGCGAAGGAGCGGCATGCCGGCTGGAGGAGAAATGGACGTCGTTGCATTAGACGCGCTGTTAGTCGTTACTGGTTGAATGGGTGGTTGTATGAGTGTGAGGAAAGGGAAGTCGAAATCGAACAGCGGTATCTTGGTCACACGAATGAGGGCATTGAGAGGGAGGGGACGTGACTGATGAGGAGAGAGAGTGTGTGAGAATTTGAGAAAGAATGCGGTGAAGATCGAGTGCTGATCGAGAAGTGATCGAGAGGTGATCGAGGGAGGGGACTGTACGATGATGATCAGGAATAGAGAAACGGTGAATGGGAGGAGTAAAGGAAGAAAAGAGACCAGCTGCCAGGGGACATGCCTTTTTGTGGCTTTGTATACCTGTAGTTACAAAGTGAGAATGAGAGAGAGGAAACCATAATAATGTACTGTACAACCCGCGGAGGTTCACTGACCTAAAAATACGACTTCTTTACCTGCAAGGGTACCCAGGCGACTGAAGGGTGAACATGGCTCTTGAAGGGTCTACTGGAGAGCTATGTCATCCGCACGCTTTGTTTCTATTCTCATACCTTTACGCCCACCCTCCCCTTTCCCCCTCTAGGTTCAATTAACTGTTAGCTGCTGCCTTGATGTTGTTTGTTTGGAGATGGATGGCTACAAAAAGGCCCTTCATTCTCACTCCGCCAATCCTCTATTTATGTTTCGCATGCTGGCCCTTCACCTTTCACCTCCATGTATCTTTCAAAGCAAGCCACTGTCCCTCGTCATCATGGTCGCCATGTATGATACCTTGTCCCTTCTCACTTGAGCTCTTTATTCATGAAAGGATTTGCTGCACAACTCGTCCTCGTTGCAGAGCATTGGGCGAAGTCTCCCCCTCTCCTCCTCGTCTTTTCTTTGAACCCGATCGGTGGTAAAAAATAGATGCCTTCAAATTAAAAGTCCACTTTTCATCCCATGGACAAGAAGTCAAGTTAAAGAGAGCCCTTCTCCGTCACTGCTGGCTTTTCATAGATCTTCCCCCCCCTTTGTCCAACTTGTCCAAGGAGGGTGCTATATTTTCTCTCCTTTGGTCCATAAGAGATAAGAGAGGGAAGGTAGGGGGAGGAAGAAAAAAAAAGAGAGAGAGGTCTGAGAGGGAATGGGGGGCCAAAGGTAATGAAAGAGGAAGAATGGTTTTACAAAAAGTACGAAAGCAGGTCATTGTTTGGACACTCAAAGATAACACCGCAAGGGTCGATTTTCCAGGCACCACCACTGATCACTTTGTCTCACTGAATGAAGGTCAAAAATTGTACTTCAAGAGAGAGAAACCCACTTCATGTCTAGCATGAAGTGGGTTTCCCATCTCGTACAATGTTTATAAGCCGTCGGACAAGTCCTCGGCGAAAAGATACATTATTCTTTCACTACCCTCACAATATTGACACCATAGAATTGATCTGATGCACAGTAACAAAAATTCATTATTGTTTAAGAAAAACGTGGAGAGTCACCTTATTATGTCGCCTCCTCGCCATCACAATCAGCGCACTTGTCGAGGGGCGATGAACCTTGAAGTCGCTACAACGTTATCCCACTGCTGTCGTAACATGGATACAAAGAAAGGAAAGGGAGAAGAGCATAACGCCTCCTTCTCTTCGTTCTTCTAGAATCGTGACTCTTGTCCTCGTTTTTTTGGGTGTTCTGTGTAGGCCCATTGGTCTTCCAAAGAGGCGGAAACCTCAATCTGGTAACAATCCTTCCATACCTGCTTTCCACGTTGTATCCCTTGTTTCCAAGAGATGGTCTGTTTTTCCGCCTGGTATACTTTTTACTGTTATCATGATGAAAGGGGGCGGATGGAGAAGAAGAGGCGAAAGAAACAAACCTTTGGATTGAGGATCGGTGTCTCATTACCAAAGGTGGGGTGGGGGGGGGGGGAGGGAATAAGAATTTTCAAATTAAGCTATCAGGAACAATAAGAAGGAAATAAGAACGCGCTCAACAATAGTAACTCTTTACAGGGTTTCTACGTCCGAGAAAGGAATAAATAAAAGAAGGGGCTGGTCACTTCAAGAGGCGGGTAGGGTCCAAGAGACGAGTGGAGGGGCCAAGTGTGTGGCGTCGAGATAGTGGAGTCCGCGAGAAGCAGAAGAGAAGAAGGGCAGAGGAGAAGGAAGAACCCAGAGCGAAGTTTGTCGAGTATGCTGACAGTCTGTGTTTCGTTAAGCATGAGCACCTTGCGTAATAACTGCATGTAAACAGTACACAAGAACCCCTGCCCTCAATTCACACCTATCCAACACATCATGACCGTTCTCTTCCCTTGCACACGCACACCCAGCGAGCAAGCATCCCCAATCACCCCTGGCTATAAAACGTGAAGACACTTTTTGTTCCTCCCATCTCATTCACTCACTCTTTCCTCATCGCACTCTCACTTCCACATCACTGACCTCCTCATTCTCATTCCTCTGCATTCATCTACTTTCTCTACCTCAACATACTGCTAGCAACAACAATGTCGAACGAGAACAAGTCCAAGCCCACGGTCCTGATTGTCGGGGCCGGCCTTGGTGGCCTCTTACTTGGAGCCCTTCTTGAGAAAGCCAGCGTGCCTTACAAGATCTTTGAGCGAACATCTGTAGTCAAGCCCCTCGGTATGTCACCCCTTCCTCTTTCTCACACCCTACTTTCCATATACCGTGTTCACCCTGAAACGCTTGCATCACACACATAAGTCTATTGGAACCAAGATAGCATTCGAGGTTGTCTAATTCCATCTTTTTCTCTCTCCTATCCCCTTTTCTTTGCTTCTCTTGTCCTTTAAATAGGGTCGGCTCTCTCGGTCGGACCATTGGTCCTGCCAATCCTCCAGCAGCTGGGCGTCTACGAGGAATTTTTGTCGATCAGCAAGTACATGACCCACATCGCCATGCACAACGAATCCCTAAAACCCTACAAGCCCACGGACTACAGTCTCGTTGAAGAGTTGTACGTATCTTTTTGCAGTTCCTTTTGAAGGTTCTGTTCATTGTGACGATAGTGACAATGTCCCTCTAAACAACACTCACACTCCTCTTGTCTTCTCTCCCTTTTTGCTGCTCTCGCTATCCCTCTTTCTTCCTCAACAACAGTACGGGATACGGATACTACATCGTAACGCGCCCTCTACTGTACGACCTCATCCTCCGTCAGGTCCCGCCCGAGAAGCTCCATTTCGACAAGCGAGTCAACATCATCTCGGACCAGGGCGACAAAGTCATTATCCAGACATCCGACAACGCCACCCATGAAGGAGATATCCTGGTCGGCGCCGATGGTGCCCATAGTACCGTGAGGCGACATTTGTATGCGACCCTCAAGGCCAAGGGCGAATTGCCCAAATCGGATCAAGAGGATCTACCTTTTAGCTGCACATGCCTAGTGGGTCAGACTACACACCTGGATCCTGAAGAGTTCCCGGTCATGAAGGAGTCTGTCTGCCAGTTTCAGATCGTCCTTGGCAAAGACAAGCCCTACACTGTAAGTTGAAAGAAGGGATTGGTGAACAGTGAGGCGATGAAAACAAAAAAAGACAAGCAACCGAGGTGACAAAAAGTACTAGCTTGGTCACTTTTTTTGCTTTCTCCTTTCGTGCTTTTGTAATAGTGGATTGTTTTCTCTACAGCTCAGAACACGCTCGCATGGATGGTCATCAGGTAGGAAAGAAGGTCAGATTATTATTTTCATTAAGCTAACGTTGCTTAAGGCGATGATCCATCAGAACAAAAGAAGTCGTTGGTGGAACTTTAACCTTGACCCTGTTCATATCTCTATCGCCAGGCATTTGAGCCGTCAAACAAACAGGACGGATATGGGATCACGTTTAAAGCGCAACGAGAGCGTGGAATGGGGATGCCATGCCGCTCTGGAAATGTGCGACGATACTCGAAGTTTCCCTATCCCCATTGGCGACGGCAAGCTAACCCTTGGCACCCTGTACGATCGCACCCCTAAGGAACTTATATCAAAGGTCATGCTTGAGGAGAAGGTCTTCAAGACGTGGCAATCTGGACGTATTGTCCTACTAGGTGATGGTAAGTTTGTTTTTAATTTGCTATGGGTCATGTTTCTTGCATGTTGGTGTCTTGCAGTTGATCAATGAACTAACTAAAGACCTTGTGCTTTGCCATGAATGTCTGTGTAGCTTGTCACAAGTTGCACCCATCCAGCGGTCAAGGTAATACCCGTACTCATCACTATGAGCATTACAACTTGCCGAATGGCGGGGAAGTGCTCTCTTTCGTCAAAGTCACCAACGAATATCTCTCACCCTTGCATTCATCATCCTATAGGAGCGGTGACGGCAATGCACGACGCAATCGCACTCGCAAACCTCATGTACGCCATCCCCTCAAACTCCTCCAAAGATATTACTCTAGCCCTGAGCGAGTATCAAGCAGAGCGATACCCCGCCGCTATCGAATCCTTCAAGAACAGTCAACAAGGATCACGAGTCCTAGAAAAAGGTCCCACTGGGGCGTTGGCATTGTATATCAGCACGCATGCGCCGTTGTGGTTGTGGAAGAGCGTGTTGCAGAAGATGCTTCGTTATCGCCCGTTGATTGGGTTCTTGGATTCGATTGAGCCCAAAGGGGCGGTTGCGCCCGTTATTTCGCCTAGTACTGAGAAGGCTAGAAAGTTGTTTGAGAGACGTCGGAAGAGTCAAGAGAAACAAGAGACGAAGCAGGAGGTGGAGAAGGGGAAACAGCAGGAGGTGCAGCAGCAACGGGAGGCGACGCACGCTGTGGTTGCCTAATTGATAACGTATTTTCGATCTCCTCGTTTTCCCCCCTCTCCCTATTTCGATGCCCATGTTGTATGCACACTAGGTGCATCTGCACGGTCAGATTTAACAAGTAAATGCATTTTGCAATAGCCTCCCTCCCTTGTAAAAAAGTTCGATGCCGATGCCGATGCAGGTTTTCGATGCAGGTTTGATTCTTGATTCTGATCGGTCCATGGTTTGGGTGCATCGACGCAGATTCAGATGAGAAAGGAGGGGGTCACCCAAGACTCGATGCAGAAAAAAGAATGCTGGTAAAGCAAACGCTGGCGCAATAATATGTTTGTAAAAAACAACAACAACAACAACAACAACAAGCGCTACTCTGCCTTCTCTTTTCAAACTTTTACTCTCTTTCTTCCACCGGCCCTCTCTTCTCGCCTTTCCCCCCCATCCTTCCCTTCCTGTCCTCAACCATGATCATGGTCCAGCACACAAAAGGGAACTATCGCAACCTCAAACGCACGCGCTTGACACTCCGTCAAATGGCCCTCAGGCAGCTTGAGACCCTTCTCCAATTCATGATGGTTGATACCCCTGTCCCTCCGACCTGAGAAGACTCCGAGTGCCCCGTGCTCCCATAGCAGTCTGCGGCCTGGCTCAGCACATCCAGACGTCCAAATACCTCGTTCCATTGAAGCGTTTCTGCGTTCTCGAAACCCACCGCGATAACTTTCTCTCTGGAAGGGACAAGAAATATTTCTACGACGCCTTTCGGATGACCACACCCTAGTTCGAGTTTGTCCTCAATCTTATCAAGGACCATCCAGTTTTTGTCACACGATGGAAGAAACCATAGCAGCGAGTTGAAGTCCAAGTATTGCTCCAACGACGACCATTTGATAGGAGGCGCCGCCTGCGCCTTGACCCCAATCCTTATCACCGCCTACAAATGAAAAAAAAAACCAACCTCCGGAAAGAGACCTATTCAACAAAAAATTAAGATCATCCAGAGTCAGAATTGAACACGCTTTTGGAGGACTTGAAGGATTCGCCCACTGTCTCAACAAACTGCGGCTGGACCATACTGGAGGGAATGATATACGATGACTTAACCAATAGATGTAAATTGCTTCCATTGCTCCCTGCGATTCAACTCTGCTTGGAGCTCCATGGATTTCAGCTTGATTTCTCTTTGTGTCTTTATCTCCTCCATTTTGATAGCGAACTCATTGGCTTGTTGCTGTCGACGACTCTCTGATTCCAGCTGTATCCGTTCTCTCTCCAGTTGCAACCTCACACCCTCCATTTTTCTCCTGTGCTCAGTCTCCTCCTTCTGCAGTGCCAATGCTTCTCGCTGCAGAATCAATTCCTGCTCTCGAATCTGGTGATCGCTCGCCATGCCGGCTCGAATTATATCCTCCAGGTCGCTGAAATTGGTGGGATTGTTCATTGTAGAGTTGGAGGTGGATGTTTGTGATGGTTGGGCCGATGCAGGTGTGACTGAACGACGACCTCTCGCAGGTGCCGGCATCAGTATTCGCGATTCTCCTGCGGGGACTGATCGTGAGGTATGCGGTGACGGCGGCAATGCGCCTGGTGCCAATCGAGTAGCAATAGGATGCACCGTTGGTGAGCCTTGACTTTGATGAGGAGCAAGGCGATTTCTGCGCAGAAGAAGGGCATCTTCCTCCTCCTCCTCTTGCTCCTCCGGACCAGACCCATCGAGCTCATTCACCCACTCGGTTGCATCATACTGATCGTGCTCTTGGATATGGCTAGATGTGTCGCCTTGGGAGGAAGTGCCAGGACTTTGGTTTAGGTCGATTGGTCCTTGAGAAGAAGAAGGAAGTCGTCGAGGAAAGACTTGAGGTCGTTGAGCCGCGTCGTCGGCGACGGTATACTGGGGCACATCGTCAGTCCACGCGACTGACCAAATATCTTTCATATCGAAGTAGTACCGAAACTTCTTCTTGATTGCGTTTTTCAAACCCTCATCATCATTGCCGCCAAACCCCGACAAATTAGCCAGGGTGTGTGAATTCCTGAAGCTCCCTTTCAGACCCGCAATCTTGCTCCTGACAATACTCGCGTTCATGGGCGACTCTTTGGGATAGCGGGCAGCGAAGGCTTTGGCCAATTTCTTGTGAAGAGTCGTTTGTGTTGTTTCTACAGTTGTCCAGGGGTTCCTGCCTTGGAGTACAAGATAAACTTCTGGCTTGCAAAGTTGAGCAAACAACCGGTCTCTCTTCTTCCTATCGCTCACTCTTTTGTTGTTCCCGCCCTCGGTCGCGTCGTCTTCCTCCTCATCCTCAGTGCCGCCTTCCTCCACCTTCACCTCCTCCCCCACCACCATCACCTCCTCCGCATCCTCTTCCTCAGCAACGTCTGCCCAGCCAACATCATCCTGCTCATTATTATCGACAGTGAAGGGTGTGGGTTCGACTCTAGACTTCTTGACTTGTGACGAACCAGAGGGTGTGACCGCTGGCCTTTTGGATACCCGAGCGGATGTCATAGATGTGTAGGCCTGTTTACCCTTATCGAGGGAAGGTGGGGCATCCTGTGAACCTCTCGGCATAGCGACGTTGTTGATGGTCAATGGTGGCAAAGATAAAGAAGGTAGTAGAGGTGTGGTCGCAGGAGAAATCAAGTCAGGTCGGACGACAGGCTGGGAGATAAAGATCTTGGTGGTTTGAGAATCACGAGTCATCATCAGCGAGAGCGTTGCTTTTGCACAAGACTGAAGTTGCCCAGCTAGTGGAGTTTGAATCCCATTGCTGCGGTTGATTTTATTAGTGTTTCTTGCTGAAGAAGACGCGGTTAGAATGAAGGGGAAAAGAATTGTCTTGAATGGAATGGGGATGATTAACAGAATCGGGTTGAGGGTGACGTTGTTGCTGGTGTTGCTGTTGCTGTTTTTGCTGTAACTGCAGTTGATTCCGCTACAACTGCTGCTGGCGTGGAATTGACTGACCACCCGCCATTTGCAAAAGCGTGACGTCGTTTTCGTGCGCGCATCGACTCTAGAAATCCGATGCAGATGGACCGATCAGAATCAAGAATCAAACCTGCATCGGCATCGGCATCGAATTTTTTTTGTAAAGGAGGGAGGATAATGAACTATCACTATCACCGTTCTTTTATCCGAGTGATAGCTTGACGAGAGTGGTATATCCATGAGTGAAAATGTAGCCCTTCTTGATCGATTGGACAAATTACTAGGGTCACAGAAAAGGGTGCACGCGCGCCGTTTTTGCAAAAAATAAAGTTATCTTTCCTTTGGACCTCAATTGAAAGGAATGGATTCCGTTCGTTCTCTCGGCTGAACTAAGGGAAAGTCTGTTTGAGAACAATAAACTAAACGCTTTTTTTCTCTTCTTCTTCATTCCTCATCCTAACCGCTCCTTATCTACTTCTCCTTTTCTTCTCACCCCCTCACCCTTTCTTCTTCTCATCATCACTTCCAACTCGCACATACTCCTTTTTTTTTCCTTTTTTCAAGCGACACAGAAAAACCAAAATACCAACATGGATAAAGGCCTGGATAAACCTGCACTGTTCATAAACCTTCGCAAGGATTAGGCTGTGCAAGTGAGCATTTACTTTATCCTCTTCCCCTCTCTCCCGTCCATGTCCGTCAACAACAATTCACACAAGTAGCGTCGTCCATACGTCCAACAAACAAACAACGGCTACCTACACATTGCGGTGCATCAACTCTGGCCACCGACCGTCAGAACAGAAAACAAAAAAAAGTTCACCCCTGTTCTTGTGTTTGTTGTGGGTTCGCTCGTACTTTCTTCCTTCCTCCCCTCCGCTTTTCTTCCTTTCTTTTTTTCACACTTGTTTTGATCACCGCACCTCCCCCTCACTCACAACAGCATTCACTCCCCTCGTATCCCTTTCCCTCTTTCACCTTCAACACACCTCCTCCCCTCTTACTTCCACCCAATACACACACCACACACCACACATACATAGATGGTCTTTTCCAGACGGGCGGTCCTCTTAGCGGTAGCAGCCCTCCTGCAGACAGCAACCGTCCAAGCACAGCAAGCTTTCCAGCCTCCAGGAAACTCAGAAATGGCTTACGCTAGTATCCCAGACACGACTCTCTATATCCAAGGAGGATTCGACTCCAATTACACAAACAGCTTTTACTCCCTCGATCTCACCCAGAACAGCTGGCTCGTCTCCAGCCCGCCCTGGACAAATCGCACCGCACCGACCATCATCCTCACACCAACGTCGCGTGCTAGCATCTCCAACGGGATGACAGTTACTAGAGATCAGAAGCGGTTGGTGATCTGGGCAGAGCCTGGAGTCTTTTGGATGGACATTGCCACAGGACTCTGGCAGAGTGAGGTTGCGGGCAATGTTACTACGGCTGCGACTATGCGGTACAACTACCGCCGTGCTGCGACCCATGGTGATACAGGGCTCATTTACATCCCCGGAGGTGCGGACCAAGGGACGAAGATGGTGGTATTGGACCCAGAGACGTTTGCGGTAACCACGGTCGATATGCCATCGGTGCTGCTTCCTGGAATCATCGGCCTCTATGGGTGGGTGTGGAGTGATCTCCGGAAGAGTTTTCTGATGACGGGCGGGGAGCTCCTATTGGATACTGATCTGTCCCAAAACCAGAACATCGCCACGTCTTTGGAGTACTTTCCTGGCAACAATACCTGGACTCGCTTTGTAAATCGGATTTCTTTTTTATTATTGTGCTTCCGAGGATCTCTCCTTTATGGTGGTTGGTACGAATAGCGTGCTAATGTGAATTGGTGTTTCTTATCTGTTATGTTAGACAACAAACGGTGCAGATCTGCCTCTCATTTCTCGCCACTGCATGGTGCAAGGTACTCCCTCACATTCTCTCCCCCCAATTGATCACACAACGATCGGCTAAAAGCAAGGCAAAGTTGAACAACTAATTGATTCACAACCTCCTTTTTTTTTATCTGCGTCGTTGCTTAGGTTATGGAGGAAGGAAGATTGTGGTGTACGGTGGTCATGAATGGAATCAAGGAGTTGAAACGCTCCGAGGAACGATCTTCGTCCTGGATGTCCCAACAATGACCTGGGTCCAAGGAGACTCTGTCGCTCCAACCTATGTCTCGTCCGACAGCGCCTGCACCTTGACCGGAACCAACTTTATCTCATGGGGAGGTATGTACCCCATTTTTATTCCTCGCTAAATAGTTGACACCTTGTCTTTTGTCTTTTTGGATTGGCAAACTACTGACGCCTTCTTCCCTCTCGTTTTTTTACCATTACTCTGGCTTCTTACTTTGTCATTCTAATAGGATCGCAGGCGCAGTTGAACAAGGCGACCCTGGCAACACCCGTTATTTTTGACGTCGAAAGCAAGAAATGGATAGCACAGTTCCAGAAGTAGGTTGCTCTATCGCTATCGTCGACAGCATCTACGTCACCAACATATCCGTCGACTTCTACTGCCAGCCCAACCTCACCAGACTCGAAAAGAAGTAGTGTGGCCGCCATTGCAGGAGGGTGCGCAGGAGCTGTGGTGGTGCTTGGGCTTGTGGGGTTGGTGTTCTGGACGCGGCAAAGGCGTAGGAGGGCTGAATATGCCGGTGTTGCCACAAATACTGCTGCTGCTAGTGCTGCTAGTGCTCCTGGTGTTGATGGTGGTACCAGTAAAGGTGCTGGTGGTGTTGCAAGTGTAGTCTCTCCGCAAACACCTAGCACATACAACATCAATACCCAACAGGACTACTTCAAAACGGGACCAGAATCAGGAAGAGCACCATATAGTCATTACCAAAACGGACATGTCAGCTCCTTAAACGTCCGCGACCCCCCAACAGTCCAAACTATCCCTTTTCGGAACCCGCAACAGATTGTTAACGTCTATTCGGAGTTCCCGAACGATAATGTCCAGCGCCACCCTCAGGCCACTTCAGATACCCTTTACTAGTATTAGATAATAACAAGAAGGTGTGTCACCAGCCTTTTGTTTGTCTCGGGGAGGAGTTATTAGTTGCCGATCTAATCGGCATGATCTTAATGAATACCACACTCTAAGTCTTCTTGGTATTCATAGAAACCATTCACTGGCCTTCATGGACGCACCCTCTGTCATTCATGGATGCCGCTCTCAGTCATCTCATCCATGGTTAACGATAAAAATGCTATGGCATTTCAAGGGGTGGCTGAGACATTTCAGCTCCTGAATCATCAATCACTCACAGACACGAGAATTATCTCCGCTTACCGTACCTCACGCTCACTCTCTTTTTTTTTGCACTTAGCCAGCATGAAATGACATGACATGAGTAAAGCATATGATCTCAGAGCGAGCATGCCGAGCAAGGGAAACGGGTGAAGGTCATTTGTATACATTATCGTTATTTCATTAGGTAGTATTAAATATCTAGGACATTTCACATAACTGGGGTAAAAATAAATGGGAAACCGACCGACCCCGACATGACCGCCCCGGCGGCACTGCACGCCAAAATCTCAGCAAAAAATCACGATCTACACGGAATGATGAATAACTCTCATCCGCTCCTTCCACTCCTCAAAAACCGCCCTCGCCTTATCCATACTCGGCGAACTGAACACATGCCCTGTTCCCTTCACTTCAACCCTTTCCAGAAATCCCGCCTGCGGCCTGTTCCCAAACGCTTTCGCCAAAAATATCCTCCACATCCAAGTTGGCATGTTTGTAGAAACCATCCGGGCCATCTTGCCGACATTGTCTTTACGGAGGACGTGGGAGAGGAGACGGGAGTTCTTGAAGGTTGCATGGGCTTTGGGGCGGCGCTCGTCTTGGTAGCAGGTGAGGAGGTGCTTGATGTCGGCGGTGGTTTTGCTGGGCAGGGCATAGAGGAGGTTTGTGAGCGCTAGTGCGTCGTGGATTGCCGCCGTTGCACCTAAATGAAGTTGAAAATAGGAAGAATGAATGCCTTAGCCCCCGTGAACGTTTGTTTGGGATGATCTCCCCTTTTCTGGGGTTGGATTGGTGAGAGAAGGTTTTTTTTCCCCTTGTGATTTGCGCACATACCTTGACCTCCAAGGGGATTGACTTTATGACACGCTATTATAAGAAAAGGTACAAAAAATGCTGAGTAAAGACCTCGTGCAACACATGTGGCTCTCATAACATTCACATCCCTCAATCAGATGGAAAAAAAAAAAAAACATCCACAACAAAAACAAAAAGGCATTGCCACATACCATCACCCATAAGCACAGTCCGACCATAGAACCAGGTCTCGAAAACCTTCTCTTCCAACATGACCTTCGACACTCGATCCTGCGGCGTCCTGTCATACAGATCCCCCAGACTCAAGAACCCGTCCTCGTCGCTCTTGACAGGCGTCCTGAAATCCCTTGTTTCGTCACACATCTGTTTTGCGGCGTGGGACCCCCATTCAGAGTTCTTCTCCTTGTTCATGTTGATGCGGGAGAACTTTTCTTCGAGGGCGGTTTTGTTGGTGAATTTCGAGAGGTGGCGAATGACCATCCAACAGCATGTCGATTGTGCTGTTGTGAATACCAGCCAACTATTATACGTTTGTAAGAAAGACGCACTTAGGTGTTAGACAACATGCGTTTAAACGGTCCGCTGCAAGTCGAACAAAAAAATAAAGATCAAAGTCCATGTAGACTCACCTGTAAGGAAGGTCGGATCCACGAACAGTAAGAACCTGACTATAAGGGTTTTTCAGGATCGGAAACTCATCCGGATCCATATAATCCGTCTGCCCCACCAGACACGTACAATTAAACGGCAGTTCCTCATCATCAGATTTCGGTAACAACCCCCTCTTCTTCAACTTCTCGTACAATTTTTGCCGGACGACACTGTAAGCCCCGTCAGCTCCGACAAGGATGTCGCCCTGGTAGGCCGTATTGTCATAGGCATAGATGGTTACTCTATCATTGTCCTCAGAGATGGTCAGGATGCGCTTTTTGAGTAGGATCTTGTGTGCTGGGATCTGTCGGAGTAGAAGGTCGTAGAGAACTGGTCGTGCAATAATGTACTGTGGATGTCCCGTTCTAGCAATAAGAAAGAAAAACGGGAACGTATGATAATAAGCAGCTAGGACCGGTAACAGCATCGACCTGGCACTTGTTCAGCCTGACAACAAGGCTCGGCCTAGAGATACTTACATCTCCTGGAGAGGGGTAAAGTCCTGTAGTGGATATGGCTCCATGTTCTCCTTGTGTGCCGCAATGTAATTGTACCGGAGAGAAGAGTTGATCAGCTCGTCATAGATACCGAGCTGCTGGAAAAGCGCGATAATCGGGGATCCAATCGATATTGCTGAACCTATTTCATGTTAGGGATAGACAATTAGAGTCCTGTTTGTCAAAGCGGCCCGTGTAGTAGTGGCTCCAAGAAGATAGAGGAGAGAGGGAGTGTCGACGTACCGAGAGGTCTGATAAGAGAGGTGCGTTCAAAAATAATGTAGGGGACATCGATTTTTTCGAGCAGGGCGCCGAGCATAAGTCCTCCTAGTCCTGCGCCCACGATCAAGACTGTTGGTTTATAGTTGGCTGTTGGCATATGCTGTATGTGTATGCGTGTATCCTGAAGGTTGGTGGTGAATGAAAGAATAAGTCGCGTAGGGGAATGAGGTGGCGCTCAGGTGAATGGAATGAAGTTGAATGAGTAAATGAGGAATGGGAGTGAAAGATCGGAAAGAAAGAAGAAGAAAAAAAGAAGACGCCGTTCTTTCATGTTTTTTAAGGTATCCTTTGCCCCACCCCCCCATCACTCGCCCTTCTTCCTCTTCTTCCTCGTTCACTATTTTGTTTCTGCATGCATTAAGTTGACATCTATTTCCCCTTCTCTTCATTCCTCCTATTAACATGTCTCGGTGAGCACTATCTCGTTTTGTACATGGCCCATAGAAAAAAATAATTCAATGCCCGCCTGCCACCCATCCGAAGTCTTTCCATTCGCCTCGTGCGTAGCTTCTTGTTTCAATCAGCCCATTTCTTCTCCTTCCTCGTCTTCCCCCCCCCCCCCCCCCCCCTTGCTGTCGGCAATGCATGTCGACTCTTGGTGAACGAAGGCGTTGTACCCAATCCGTCGGATAGTTGTTGTCGCTAAGACATGTCACCGATAAAAATAAGATCGATGATCACCCCTTCTGATCTCCCCTTTTTTGTTCCCATCACCAGCCAGTCAAAATCTACTTTCGTGAGGCCAGTGCGACCAGAGGCTGACATATGGTGGCGCCAAAAGGGCAGCAAATACGGATCTTTAATTAAGACTGTTCCATGCATTGAGTTCCATGCACGAACGAGCAAAGCAAGGCAGAGCATGGCTCAAGGGGAGAGGGAGAGTGGAGACCGACAGCACCGGGTGCCGAGAAAGAAAAAAATAACGACATGAATCCTTTTCTTACACACGTTCTCCTGCACCCGAAAAGGGTACCCGTGTGTATGAGAGCTGCATATTGACATCACAAATTAGTGACACGATCACAGTACAACAGTCACGCGCACTTTATTTTTGATTGGAACGGCGGGAACAAGGAGTAGGCGACGCCTGACGGGCATACAGCTCATGGCCTCTCGTTCATCTTCAACCCTCATTCTCACCTTACCGCTTCGCCTTTACATATCGCGAGGATGAATGAATAAGTACTCCAACATGAATAAAAAGGAGCCAATGGGAGACAATCGGACAGCATGACAGCTTCCCCTTTTATTCTTTGTATTCAGTGTCAATAACATCCATCCTTGTACGCGCTCGATTGATCAGACAGAAGTAGCAGCTCCAAGATAGCCCGACTGAGGACAGGAACCGGGCCATCCTGGCTAACTTTCAACGCAAGCAAACCAGCAAAGGAAGAAAAGGATCAGCCGTATGATATTTCGCTCTCCTTGGATGCACGCTCAATTCACAGCATAGTAGCATTACAATTGGCAGGAAAGAGCAAGACTTACGGCAAGCCTCTACAATCAGAAAGGCATAGTATTGGCTAAAAAAAGGAAAATGGGCGCCTGTCACATCATTATTGACGGCCTTGCTCAGTTACCGACTGTTCTTGAATGACCCTAACACGGCCGGTTGGGGCTCTGCTTGATACTCTTCGAACATTTTCGTTATTTCCTCCTCTGTTGTCATTGGCATGGCATAGATTAGGTCGGCAAGCGCGATCGCGTCGTGGAGAGCTGTGACAGAACCTAGTATTGAAAATTTGAGATGGAGCGAAATGAACGAGCCATGGAAAACCCATACTATGGCCACCAATGGGGTTTAGTTTGTGACAGGCTATCAGTTGAAACAATGGAAGTTAGTTACCATCAAGCTGGCTATAGGGAACACATATGCAATAAGTAGATCGAAACGAATGATAATAAGGACATTTACCATCCCCCAAGAGAACAGTGAGGCCGAAGTGCCAGGTCTTGAACACCTTCTCCTCCAACATCACCTTGGAGATCTGTTCCTTGGGCGTCAAAATCGTAGATATCGCCTAAGGAGCCCTTTCCTTTGCCGAAGCGAATGGAAAAGTCACGAGTCTCGTTGTACATGGCCTGTGTCGGGAATGCGCCCCAGTCGGAGTTATCGCTGCTCCGGAAGCGCTGTCCCATGGCTGCTTTGCGCGTTTTTTTTTGATAGGTGGTATTTTGTGCTGTGCTTAGGATTGACCACTAAAAACGTTCATTGAGAGAGTTTGAGTTATCATCTCCCTTCATCGGAAGTGTGAGCATACGTAGTTGATCCCTCTCTCGCCGACGAGGGTCAGTGGTGTTCTTTTGCACATCCTTCTGCATTCTCTGTCTGTGCGACATCAACATCGATGTTCTCCTTGTTCAATAGGATTGATTGGCGCGACACCCAATCGACACACACCCAATCCATCCTTCAAAACGAGCGCATCCTTTTGTTCTTGCTGCAAGTGGCTCTCCGCCCACCCTTCGACCCACGGTTGTTTTCTGAGGATAATACCTTTTTATTGTCAATAATGCTGTCGCTATTGCCTTCAAGACAAGCAGCCCTTGATTCAGTCTTTCACTTTTGATATGCCGTATCCTGTAATCCTCCGTGTCGCTGCGAGTCCCTTTGAGTTTTGAGGAAACTGATTCTTGTTGCGGCAAAAGGTTTCCTGTGCAGGGTGTGCCTGGGGGTGGAACTGGATTGCCGTGCCGTACCGTCTGCATGGCGTGTTGATGATTAACTGACAGTATGTGTTCGTCGGAGGAGGAGAGTTGTTGGAGCGAAGAAAGGGAGAGGCGGGGGTGTTGTGATCAAGAGACTGACACGTTACATCCAACTTGCTCCTTGACAATGAATAGTTGCTGCTCAGTCTGTGAAGAAGCCCTAGTCATCCTGAGCCCTAGTCATCCTGAGCCCTTTTTGTTTCTGACTTGTTCTCCTTTGTCAATAGTGTTAGTCCTGATCTCCATGAACGTGGATGCGGAACGAAGTAAGAAGACAGACCAAAGGCGCTTGCCTCCTTTCGTTCGTACGTTTTGCATGGAAAAACACGAACTCGACCAACAACATCACCGTCACGCCAAGCGGCCCATGTCCATATACCAAGTTGTTCAACAAGCAAAAAACGCATCTACTCTTTTATTTGCTCACGCAGCATCTGCAGCTGAGTCTCCTGCTCTGCCTTCAGTCTTTCCAACTCCTCCTGGTGCTTCCGGAACTGCTCCTCGTAGTCTGCCTTCATCTGTGCAATGTACTGTCGCAAACTCTGCTGTCCATCTTCACCAGACTCTCCATCTTCGTTACTATCGCCGCTGTCTCTCTTCCTTTCTTGCATTACCCTTTGGCTGTGTCCTCCACCTCCACGACTTCCGCTACTTCCACCTCTTCTGCCGGCATCGTCATAGATGCCCCAGTCCTGCGGATCCCTTACAGCACCAACAGGCCCACTCACAATAATACCTCCACTGTTATCTCTTCCTCCTCTTGGCTGATGGGGCTGTTGCTGCTGTAACCACTGCTGCCGCTGCTCCTGATCGCTCTGCTGCCAGATTTGACGGTCTTGTTGTGTGGGCGCGTGAGGCCCCGACACGGATGACAATGGGTTCTCGCGTTGGTGCTGTTGTTGTAGTTCCTGGAGTTCTCGAATCTGTCGACGTTGTAGCATCAGCAAGTGTTCCAATTGCTCTTGGCGGCGGTGATCCTGTGGGTTGCGCGTTAAGCTGCGTTTAAGTGATGTCGATGCTGCTGCTGCTTCTGCTGCTGCTGAGGATGATTCTGTCAAGGGTGTAAAGGGTTGTGGTGGCGGTGATGATGATGATAGTCCTTGTGGTGACAGTCCTGGTGGTGGGGGCCAGTAGACTGCAGTGTCGTTTGGAAGAGTCTGGGGCCGGACCATGCCTGAGCGCGTGTTGTTCTCCTCCTCCTCCATCTCTGGGTGGTTGTTCTGTGGTCCTCGGCTGATGCTGTTGCTGTCGTGGAGATTGTTGCTGTACTGGTAGTAGTAAGCGTCGCTGTGGCCGTACCCGTTCCCGCCGTAGTAACTTTGAGTTGGAGAGGGTGAGTCACTGTACCCAGGCTGGTGATGTGCCTGGTAAAGACCCTTCTCGTTGTCCACCCACTTCTTGGACCCGCTGTGCCCAAACAGACCACGACCCTTTACTCTCTGCCGACGGAAGTGCCAAATGCCTAGGACGGTCAGTATGAAGAACGCTACAGCCACCGTGCCGATAATGACCCCATTCGAAGGCGATCCCGCATTGCCTTCTTTGGAAGGATCAAGGGTAGGCGGCGGTGGTAATATTGTTGGTGTTGTCGTTGTCATTGTTGGCTGTGGCGTTGGCATTGTCGTTGGTGACGATGACCAATCGGTTGTTCCGGTAAAGTTGGAGCTTGGAGAAGGTGTTGATAGGTATGGAGGTACTGTAGTGGTTGGGGAACTGCGGCTGGTAGTAGTCCATCCCGAGAACGGCGTTGTTGATGGGTCCCTGCTAGGCATGGTGGGGTCACTAGTTGGGACAGTTGATTTGCCGCTGATCCATGGGGGAGTGGTGGTGGTGGGTTCAGCTCTTGGTCTGATAACGACATTGCCTGCTTGTATTGTTGCAGTTGACGCTTTGATAGGATTTGCTGCTGGTGCTGCTCTTGGTGAGATTGGCGATGGGTGCTGTTGCCATTGACGGGGCACAAGGCCAAAGATATCTGGTAGACTCATATCTGGTAAGTCGCGCTTGTGTTGCTGTGGTTGGGATGGGAGAAAAGGGAGTGATGGGGTATGTACAAGGAGTGAGCGCGACCACAGAGAGGAGAGAGGGGGGGGGGGGGGGGGGGGAGGGGTTTGCTAGAGAGCAGGGAGTCTATGTCGATCTTGTTGTTGTGCTGTGACCAAGTTGCATTGAGTAGTAGTAAGGGGAGAGGAGTTGTATGAGTAGAGGGGAGGTGTGCGGGTGCAGAAGACAAGAGGGGTGCAAGTGGGGAAGGAAATGAAGTGAAAGTAAAGAAGTGAGGTAAAAGGAGATGAAAAAGTGCGAGGAAAAATAGTCAAAACCAGAGACAAGCGGCAAGAGAAACAGGCAAGATGTCATGTTTTGGATACAGTGGGAACTGGGTGGACATCCACCAAATGAGGTACCCAAGAAAATAGAACTTGGGTCCTTATGAAGGGTTGAAGGGGGATGCAGGTGGGCGCAAGTTGAATGTTGAAATTGCGATTTCATTTTTCTGTTTTGTTTTCCCGCTGGCTACTGGACGGACTGTCCATTTTGTTTTCTATTTTTTCTCGCCAGTGTGGTACTCGTTTCGCTGCAGGGTGGGACATACTTGAGCCCACTTTTTTTTTTTTTTTTTTTTTTTTCCTTCAGGGACGGGATGACATGAGGATGTAACGGGTATTCATCAAGAGTTCCCATTCTTCTGTTCCTTCTTCTTTCGCACTATCAACTATCTCATGAACATTACGGAGGAAAATATTGCTTTGACCAGGCGCTTCATGTCGTCCTGCATTACTGTCGTCTTTGGCAATGGCAAGGAAAAGTGGCGCTGCATGGATGTCTGTCTTGCAATGTTTCTGTTCTGGGGCGAATAATGAAAAGATGGCGTTGGGTAGAATGGGCTGTTCTCTTGTTTTTTTTACCCCTTCACAGATCAATTAATCTCACGCAAAATGTCACTTCCTGGGACAAAAGGAAATAACCAAAAACCATAAAACAAAAAACAACAACTGACCCATACGCATACACAAGGAAAATCTCATCAAACCCCTGCCCTCTCTTACTCCTCAGTCAACAAAAAGACCAACGACTCCTGCATACACACTTCATTTCTTGAACAAACGTTATCAGCGGACTGACACCGCCCTCAACTTCTCTTTTCATTTGTTTTTAGTTTTTTATCTGTTTATAATTCATTTCTCCGACTCCGCAGATTCAATACGATCTACACCGTCATCTCCATCGTGCCCGTCGTCGCTCCCAGAAGAAGAACCTTGCAGGATCTCGCTCTCGGCGATCCGGAATTGTCGGTCATAGTGCGCATTGATCTTCTCGAAAGAGTCCACAAGTATCGACCGCTCCTCCGGCCGCAACTCTTCAGAGATCATCATGCTCTTATCTGACGATGGCGACGACGGCGATGCCTCGAACGACCAATCGCTCCCCCGACTCGACGATGCATCGGTCAGTTGACTGAGTCGACGCAGCACTTGGTGGGAGGTGTTAAGAAGAGGGGGAGGAGGAGGGTAGGGGATGGCTTCGGGGCCTCGTACAACGTCGTCTGGTTGGACCATTGGGCTGTCGATTCCGTGTGGGCTTTGACCCTGAGTACGCGCCAAAGGTGACGGTGACCCTCTGCGACTATTGTGTCGCCTCGATCTGAACGACGACCAACGCCCCTTCCAACCTTGCCCTACTCTCCATATCCCTCGCTTACCCCTACTACTGCCCTCATACCCTCCGACATTATCCTCAACATCGACAACGACAACGGCATGAGGAGAGAGAGGTTGAGTATTATCCAACATATGTCTCTGTAACAGCGCCTGCAGCTCCTCCATCTGCTGTCGGTGCAGTTTCATCACCCGCTCCAACTGTTCTTGCTTCAAGTGGTCCTGTGGACTACGACCCTTGGGTTGCTGCCATGGTTCCGTCTTCCAACCCGCAGGGACACCACCATCAACACCACCACCAGCAGAGGCCTTCTTTTCAATCTGGTCGATCCCGATGACGATGCTCTGTGGGCTCCTTGTGTACCCTGGTGGAGCTGGTGGAGCGGAAGGTGTTATTGGAGAGGACAGGAAGGGTCGGTAGAGTAATGCCTGGCTGTTGTCAGTGAACTGAACTGCGCCTGATCGTCCGGGGGGTCCTCCTTTTTCTTCGAGGTACTCTGTTGGATCGCTACTGTTGCTGGAGTCTTTGTCGTCGTTATTGTTGTTGTTGGCTTCGGCTTCGGCTTTGGCAAGGATCTGAGCTTCTCTGAAGCGGACGACTGCCTTGACTTGGTAGGTGATGAAGAGGGCGAGACAGAGGAAGATCAAAATTGTTCCTGCGACTGCACCGAGGACGGGGATGGCGACTTGTGCTGCTGAGGGCGATTTGGTATCGGAGGGCTGTGGTGTTTGGGTTGTAATGTTGGGTGATGGTATTGGTGTAGTGGATATACTGGTTGGAGAAGGAGTGAGGGATGAAGCGCTGAAGGAGGATGTTGTTATTGATGATGATGATGGAGACAGCTGTCGTGGATGGAGCCGTTGCATTGTTTTTGGCTGCTGTTACTCTTGAAGGTAAAAGTCTTGATTTTGTTAAAAAAAGTTGATGAGTGGAGTGGGAATGGGAATGAGGATAAGGGAGGGATGGGAGTATGATGTTAGAGTTTGGGGGTGAGAAGGGGAAGAAGTAGAAAAGATAAAGAAGGAAAAGGGCGAGAGGAGTCAGGGTTGGGTGCTGTGAGAAAGTGCACGGAATAGACCTCCATGGACTGTAGTACAATCAAGAGGAGATCACAAAAAAGAACAGGCAATCGTGAGTTGTGCCAAGAGAAGTGGGGAAAGTTTAACTGACTAAAAGTCACTATGCATAGAACTTTGTCGGATCAGATATGAAAGGGAACAAAAAAGAAAAGAAGGGGAGGGGAGAGATAGCATCGCATCGGTATTTATATGCCCCATTGGGGGCCATCCGTTGGGCAAGGGCGGATGAATAGATGGACATTATTAATGGGCCAGCGTGAAGGACGAATTGTAAAAAGAGGGGTGGATTCCTTGCGCTGGAGACAGAGCAATATTGCAGAGAGTGCATGCACGGACATGAATCCAAGCCACCTGTAATAGCCAATCCTTCCCTCGATCATGGTTGTTTCGCCTCTTCGCCTATTCCCTTGAGCATTTTTAACACAGCAAGCCCAGGAACGAAAAAAGAGGGAGCGGAATGTTTATTGTCTTTGTTACCGAGAAATGAGAAATGGTCCTTTGTGCTCATTCCTCCCCTTTTTTTCTTATTTTCACACCAGCCCCCTCTATTTGTCATCTTGCGTACCCATCGTGATCGTTCTTTCCTTCCCTTTTCCGACCTGCCGTTATGCCCCTCTCTCTTTTGAGTATCACTTTAACCTACATCCCAAACGTGTTTTGGCAACATGACGAGTGGAATGTCGATCCATCATCACCAACGGCTGCGCATGGAAACCTCTCTCCCTTTTTATATTTACAATCTCAGACGTATCACGTCTGTGCATTTCAATGTTAGCTGCTAGGCGATTCTTATTAATCAATGCTTACTTTTGTACTTTTTTAGTCGAGCGCAGACCCTTCATCCTCATGAGGATCAACAACTAAATCCGGAGGCGTCATATACTCATTCACCACCAGTGGCGCCGCACGACCAACACTCGCATTACCATCACTCACAGTATCCTTTGGCATGAATGCAGAAAACACTGCAGGCCCCAACATACGCAGTTGTCAGTTTCATGTGGATCGTCTCGACGCTCCAAATACAATTCCGTTCCAGCATGGCAAGATCCCCACCCAAGAACCCTATGTACCTCTCCGTTGGTCAAGGGAACACATGCCTCCTCTTATTCTCTTCCCCCGCCTCGGCCTCCTGCTTGACATCACCCCATCGTCCTTCCTTTTAGGAGAACCGTGTGCGGCAGGAGAAGTGACCTGGGACTCTTGAGTTGATGCGCCTCCAACATAGCCTGCAGTCGTTCCATCTGCTCTCGGTGATGTCGTAGACCCCACGCGATCTAGTCCTGACGAATTTTGACCTGGTGGTTTGTCCTGCCTCAGAAGAGCCCGAAATTATTTGGTATTAGCCGTTCCAAAGTAGCAGGGTTGCTGTTGTTCGGGATCAAGATAAAGGCGAAGAGGTGTGTCGTCCTATATGATCTTGGGTAGGTCCGAGAGCACTTATTGCATACTGTGACGCATCAAACGATGTTCCTGGTAAGCTTAAAATTTCCACTTTGGCAAGGCAGAGCTTTGGGGTTAGGTGGGTTTGTCTAACCAGTTAAAGGAGCCCATTTTCGTCTGCAGAAAATTGGAAAAGCTCTTCCACTCGGAGTCTGAGGGCCTTATTGGTAGCATCCATCGTCTCAAGCAACCATTCGATCGATAAGGAGGCAAATATTATAGAGTCGAGCAGGGAGTCAGCACGGGCCAGCGCTTTGAGGTAAGAAAGAGATGACGCTACGGTCAACTATCGTTGAAGAACAGGGAACCTTGCCAGCAGGGATCTGTATTGTCCATCCAGGGCCACTAGAATGAAGGCGAGGCGATGAGTGGTTTTGGTTTCCCATTGGATGATGTCGAGAATGATATCTTTGCCCCAAAAGACGTTAGTGGCGAGAGCGTTGCGGATATGCTTGAGTTGTAAAACTCGACACTGAGCAGCTGGGTCAATGACTCCCAGGTCCCCTTGTCCCTTGGAGCAGCGATCATCTTCCGTGGTGGCCTTGGTTGAAAGAGCATACGAAGCTGGAGACGGCGGCCTCCACTTTCCGCTAAAAATCGAGCGAGAGTTTGACAACCCAAGATAGGTACCATTGTCTGGAGAGAATAAGAGAGTTGAGGATGGTGACTCGACTAAGGACGGAGAGTGTGCGGGAAGAGGGTATGGCAATGGCTGACTATATCTTCCTCGGCATTTTGTCCCAGAACGACTTTTCCTGGTCACTGTTGAAAAAGATAAGGAAATCCAAGGTAGATCAAGGCGTCGGCGGTGTTGCAGTCATGTCATTGAAGACATTCCAGCTGCGTCTGCGGTTCCATGGAGTAGGAGAGGTACCATTGGGAAAGCCGCAGTTTTGGACAGATTGACATCCGGGTTGATGAGTGAAAGGGGCTCCAGTTTGCCAGTTTTGTTGTGTCGCCATTTTTGAAAAGAAGGATCATCACAATGTTCTGCCAGGATGCGGGTAAAGTGGCGCGTGTCAACCCATCGTTCATAATTGCGGTGAATAGTTCCTTGATCTAGGGTATGAGGAGGATGTGTCGATAGAGTTCAAAGGATAGACCGTCCCTGCCTGGAACCCTGTTGAGGGGTGTCTTTCTCATCTACATGGAAGGAGAATGCACAACTTACAATTTCCAGTGAAACTTTATTTACGTATACAGTTTGGACGCGAGCGCTGAAAGTGTGGCGACAATTGTAAGTTCAAGGGCATTTACGGTCATAAACTTGCTAATATTGTAGATGAATTAGCTGTTTTTCGTTACTTTGCCATTTCCTCATCTGGGGACAACATGTATGAGCCTCATTGGTGGATTCAAGCCTCCCGAGAAGGCGTAGATCGAGCAACTCATCAGCGGGAACTATTTCCAATGATGAAAAGCGACAGATCGAAAACAGGTTTTCGGAGCCTGTTGTGCGAGGATGTCAAATCTGCAGCGAAAGATTTGACATTCCATGTAATGCACATCAGGGTGCCACATGTCCATTTTGTTTGCAGGGACGCCACTTAAATACATCGCATTTTTCCCATAGAGATGGGTCAATCAAATGTAAATGTTTTGTTTTGTTATTTTCATTATTCTAGATGGAGGTCATGACAAAGTGATCATCCGAACTTGAACAATTGAGACGTTGACAATTCACGCTTGTTAACAAAAGCAACATTATAACGGCCATGGTTGATGATTACACAAATATTATCCGGTTGTGTTTACGTTTAGTCAGCAGTACGAAGGAAATGAGAGCTTTTCTCTTTTGCTCTGGTCTAAAATATGCGCACGCCATTGTTTTCTAATATGGTATCTGGATCTAATGAACCACTCGTCCATTCAAAGAAGAATGTTGTCATATCACCTTCTTGCTCGTAGCGACCATATTTCAAAGTACTAACATTCCCAATTGCGTTGACAGGGAATGTTGCCATATCTCTTGTTTTGTATGTCGTGACAAAGGCTCTCACCCAAGGATAGAGTTTGCAGCGTTCTTATAAAACGCCAGTGCGCATCCACCTGTTGGTATAAATTTCGCATTATACCCTCTGTCTCTGCTCGCTTGCCTTTCTCCTCTTGTCCTTTCTTTCCTACTCCGCTCAACGTCGCTCCCCGGAACATTCTCAGGATGCCAGCCTTCAGACTTGTCAAGCTGCTTACAGCGGCAACGGCCATCACCCTGCTGTCAACACCCTTATTCGCGACAGCCACCACCTTTGGTCCTATAATCTCACCCAAGAACCCCTTTGTTGGCCAAAATGGACTCGCAACGATGCATGGCGATCCAGCCTCGTCCGACACCACCCCTTTTGCCGGCCCAGGAAACGCCACCATCAATTCTAACAGACTAGCACTGCAGTCCGCCTGTCCCACCCTGCTGGGCACATCCGACGGTTATATCTTTGGCCTGTGCACGACTATCTTTGGTCGAACTCCGACCGTCCATCTCTTCGACTCTCAGGAAGTCAACTCGCTCGCAGAGCTCGCGATTGCCAAGGGAAACATCCTCGGGGGTGTGTATGCCTATATCGACAATCAGGACAAGCTCGTCCTAACCAACGGTGACAACCAACTGCTTCGCATCGGCAAGTCGTCCACCAACGGCAAGTGGGCACTCGCCATCGCGGATTCTATCCCGTTGACCCCGATCCCTGCCAGCGATTCCGTAGTTGGACTCGCCCCAGATTGGCAAGGATACGTCTGGTTTGCGACTGCGAATGGTTTGGCAGGGTATGCCGACCCCGTCACCAAGAATGTCGTCACTCTCCCGCTTAATGCAACTGGTGGGAGCGCTGAAGAGGTGGCCAACAGCATCTCGACCAGCCCAGCAGGAACTTCGATTGCGACGACGTTCGCGACCTATCTTCTCGCCCGCAACGATGCATCGAACGGGATCAAAGTCTTGTGGCGCCAAGCATATGACCGCGGCCCAGCCCGCAAGCCTGGCCAGTTGAGCTGGGGTACAGGATCCACGCCAACATTCTTTGGTCCCCAGTCCGGATACGAGTATACTACGATTGTGGACAATGCTTCACCACTGGTCAACTTGCTTGTTTACCGCACCCAGGATGGAAGTCAGGTCTGCAAGGTCTCCCTCTTCGATTCCAACAACTCCGGATCCGAGAACTCGCCCATTGGATCCGGTCGCTCCATATTTGTCGCCAGCACATATGGCTACCCGTACCCAGCCCTCCCTGACGGTGCCCCAGCCAGCCAACCTAGCTCTGCTAACTTTGTTGGAGGCATTGAGCGTGTGGATGTCCTCGAGGACGATTCGCAAGGCTGTGTCGTGAAGTGGGTCAACAACAAGATCCGCTCCTCAGCTGTTCCCAAGCTGTCGCTCGCTGACAAGAAGCTCTACACCTTTGTGCGCCATACCCCTCTTTTCCCGGACTCAACAAGCACAGGCATCTTGGACAACTATTACTACACAACCATCGATTCTGAGACGGGCATCATTGATTCAAAGCAGTACGTCGGCGCCGGGTTTATTTTCGACACACTACAGATGGCTGGACTCACCACCGTTCAGGGGACCCTTCTTCAAGGAACTATCACCGGTGTTGTTCGCGTGCGCAAGGCGTAACTCGATACCCAGGACTCCTATTACTTCCGCTCAGTTCTTTCACTAAATCCCCTGCTATTACCAGATATCCATAGCCCGCACATATTTCTCCTTAGCTCTCTCCATTTGCTGTTACCTCTATATAAATGTATGTAATTCTTCAATGGTGTCATCGATCCTTACTTGATTTATCAATCCGAAAAAGAAAGGTATTGCTTGATAGCCTAAAGACTTAGCAGATTCCGCAATCAAGCATGCGTATAAAATTAGGCACCAACAACATGCTCCCTCCTTCAAGAATGTGACATCGTCTAAACCAACACCATTGTCAAAGCGTAAACGCTCTCAACCATGGCGGACGGGCGAGAAGAAGAGACAGAAAAAGTGAGACAGAAGGAAGCCATTTTACATGCTTGGAAAGAAATGGCACTGATCAAACAGAGAGATGTTCATTCAAATGAAAAAAGTCGGATCCTTATTTATTATGGTTGTGGATATAGCGCATGGCCTATTCGGCATATCCAGGACTACTAACTTTCTTCACCCACTCCCCAAGGCCATCCTTGAGTTTGAGCTTATCGACCAGCTCATCCGCGCGACTAGCCATCTCCCCACGGTTGACAGCCCAAATATCGTAGGCGCAAACGCCAATCATGTTCTGTGAGTTGCCTTGGACGGTGACCTTGGTAAGGAACAAAGCCAAGTAGTCTCCATCTTGCTGGACGCAAAACTGAACAAAGCTCTTGGTCATGTTGTCTACGATTTCCGAAGCAAACTTCCGGCACTGGGACTTGTCTGGCACTCGGTCCGCAAAAGTCAGAATGGCTGCAATCACGGCGTCCTTGTTGTCCTGCATCGGCATCATAATGGACGAGTCTTGAAGCCATAGGACGGGACCGAACGTTCGGAGTTGTTGCCTAAAGCCCTCTGTGTCTGTGCTTCCGATAGTAAACCCAGCCTCCTTTTGACAGTACGACAAAATCGTGCCAAGGCCGTCTTGCTGGTTCTCTCGTTCTGTAAAGATCTTGCGAATCTCGGCGTTAGGATCCGCAGGCGGCGTGCCAAGGTAGATGCCAGCTGTAACGTTACCTGACATTTCTAATGCGAAAAAAAATGGGAAAATGATATGCAGAGGGTGTTGATGTTAGTGGGATATGACATTCACATCAAACCGTGACTCAGGAGCAATAACAGGTAATGGTTCTTACTGGATTTTATTCGGTGAATACTTGGAGGAAAACTAGGTATAATGTGGTCTAGCAATGACTCTTTATATATGCGCTTGTAAATAAGAGAAGGAGCGAGAAGGTGAGGCACGAGTGTGATAGTGTTGAGCAAAGTTGTTATCGTGATCAAGTATCAAAAGTGAAGCTCATGGAAGTCGTTTCTACGCCAAGCGACTTTAATTCTACATCGTGTTAGCATTGCTTGGCTAACGATGTATGAGGCAATTTTTTACCATGCATGTGTCGCAATTTCATAGGTGCATACTGCATAGCATGGCCCGGGTACCACTATGCTTTTTTTCTCACCCCCTAACTCCTTGAGTACCCGTTACTAACCTGTAATGCTCAGGTCCCTTTGGCAGTGCTGGAAATTACAAAATGACCGTCCTGTCGCCCGGGGTACTACACGGTGTAAATATTCGACATGTATATTAAGCATACAAAGCTTTGTTTGTCTTTGCGAGAGTTTACAGTATCTAAATACGAATAACTAATCATAGCCAGGCTAATTAGGGGATTTAACCTAAATAGTACAAGAGTCAAGCTTGAGCACGCGGTTCCTATCACTCATCAGCAAGGATGTCGCTCTGTGTTGTCAAGCTGCTAAATGGCATAGCATGTTTCGGAGGACTAGAGAGCATAGACTGAAGGACATGGGTACCAGTGGCATAGCGCTAAACTAATTGCGGCCGAGGACTTGACCGTGACCTAATCCTTTGGAATTTTCTTAATCCGTTCTCACACTCCCAAACTAACAGCTGCCATTGCATTCCAATGGCATCTTCATCTGACGGAGACTGGTAGTGAAATATGCGCTGAGATACAGTTGCCATTTTGAACAAATCATGCAAACTGAAGTGGTGACATTTGGTTCTGACCCCATGTAAAGGTGATGATATCTTGTAATTCCCATTAGATGAAGATTCTCACGCCCCTGAGTTAAACTTTCTCTCTTTCTTGTTGATTAGATATCTCCATGAGGCAAGAGTGAGAAGGTTGCTTTATGCATTGCACTGGATAGGATATATGCAAACATCTGCATTATGCAAAAATAGGCGTCATGCTGCTGTTATCACAATTTTTTTTTTGGGAATTGGCTGCATACATTCGTATCCACATCGCCCCCCATCAAAATCAAATGCCGAGTCTACATTGCTAGAAAATCAAGTCGCGCACAACTGCTCGATTGTCTGACTTATTACTCTCCATAGGGATGGCGTTTTTTCGTCCTGGTACTACTAGTCTTTATCAGTCTCTCCACGATGTGGATTTTTTTATGATACCTTTTTTTCTTTCCCTGGAAACATTTTGATCGATCACCCCTTTGGCACCTGAAGGAATTGTTGCGTCCGGTCTGCCTCCAGAGTCAGACGTAGTCGTGGTAGACGTGTCTGAGTTGGAGGTGATTTTCTGAACTTGGGAGGTGGACCAGATGTCCCTGGGGGAAGTGGTATGGTCGTCCCCGCGTGAGGAACCTAAGGAGTCTGTTGCTGTTGGGTTGACTGGTGGGTAGGTAGTGGTGGTGGGATCTAAACCGGGAGGTGGGGTGTTGGAGATGAGGCGGCGGCATGCTAGCTAGCCTGTTACGCTGGGTCGTAAGGCGTCTGTTATAGTAAGTTGCCGATTAATTTTTTTATTGTTGCTGTTAAGTGGGAGAATGAGGAAGGTCCCCAGGTCGTCAACACCTCTAGCCCTTAGACACCAAAACCTGGGAATCGAGAAAACGGTTCAGTACCCGCGGCTACGCCGCGGCCACTTGCTAGTATGTTTCTATGATAAAATGGTGGAAGAGCGTTGGTTGGTAAGTATCGCGCACCCAACAAGGGTAGTAGTCATTAGTCCATGTTATGTATTCTCATATGGCTCAATAACGACCCCAGCTTCTTTTTCACCATTTCCCTCTCCCCAGCTGTTCGTATTACAAGCAAAAAGGAAACCAAAAAGGAACGAATAATCATAACAGGAGAAAGTCAAACAGGGACCTACAAGTGTGGGGGTAGATCCTTAACAGGTTCCAAAACAGAGAAAGAGAGAGGGAATCTACAGAGAAAGAGAAAGACTTCTAAACCAACAACAGCACAGGGACATTGAAGGTGAATGGGATCTAGTCAGTAAGGCAAGGCAGGAACAAGTAACCGGAACTAGGATAGGGAGCAAGGTCTCCTGCTGCAAGAATGAATAAATAATGGCGGTGGAAAGTATTTTAAGCACCAGTGTAGGCCTCAGGATGGGAGGCCAAAATTATATCATTCCAATCAAGGACGAAGGCATTTTGTTGTACCTCGGGACCGAACAGCTCGACAAGGAATCGAGCTAAAATACCTGAAAGATACCGGGGGAAAGCTGAGAACCAGGGCACTAAAGTAGGATTGGGTTGCTCAGAGGAAGTCAAGTTATTGCCCGAGCGCGAACGGGTGCAGAAGGCGACATAAACAGACGAAAACGGCGATATGTCGATGACAAAGAAATGTTTCAACAGAAATATTTGAGCCCGTTTGCGAACGATTGAGGGGGATCGATTATTTCTTCTCTTCTTTCAATTAGGATCATCACGGCGATCACAGGAATATGTAGGATATGCATCGAAGCACAACGCTCATAGAGCCAGTTGTGTCGTTTGATAAGAAAAACCAAACGAAGGAAAGAGCAGTTAAGCAGGCGAGAGGCGATGACAGAGAAGAGGGTTGGTTCACGGACATGAATAGCACTTGAATTATCTAAAGTTTTTAATGAGACATTGCATTGAATGCCTTTGAATTGAGCGAATGAAACCATGTACACGATGCAGCATTATCCCCTTCATTCCTTGCTTGGGCTTTCTCTCTGCTACTGTTTGTTTCCCTCTCTCACACATTGAGAGACAATATGAAAGGATCCATTGTCTTCATTTTTGTTCTTCGTGTCCTCTTCTTTTTTCCCCTCCTTCTCCAATCCGTTCCTCTTCCACTTCTCTCCATCATTCCTCTTCTCCCCCTCGGGTTCTCATTGGCCCCATCGCCCCTCTCCCCACTCTTCCTCATCTACCGACTTCTCGCTCTTTCTTCTTCCCTCTGCGCGCACTCATCGCTTCCCCTCTACCCCTCCGCATTCTAATTTCTCTCTCCCTTCCCCTTCCTTCCATTCACTTCGACACGTATCTTTTCAACCAATCGATGCTCACTCCTCTACGGCCAGCCCGTCGGTTTGGGTTTTTTACTTGGTCCTTGGCGGCATTCGGTCTCTTGACAAGCGCGACTTTAGCACAAGTCCCTACTCCAGTGTTCGGAATGGCGTACGCAACTACCGATGAGAAAACGTTATATATCCAAGGCGGAGCCATCTATCTCAATGACTCCTTCCACGTTACAAATCAATTCTACTCCCTCGACCTCACAAAAAACTGGGACACATCCAATCCGCCCTGGAAAGCATTGACACCGCCTATCTATCCCGCCGATGTAGGCAATCTCTCTCGACACTCGATGACAGTCTCTCCAAATCGCCAAACACTCACAACCTGGAGTCATTTTTTTACGAGTACGGTTGCCAACTACAGTATCGCCGATGGCGCCTGGACACGGGTACCGGCCCCCAAAGGCACGCAAATTACTGGTAGTGGCCTTCATGCGGCGACAGATCCTACAACCGGGTTGGTTTACATTCCTACCGGAGGCGTTTTTTCTATTAATAAGATGGCCAAGTTTAGTTTCTTGTCAGGAACGACTATCCTGGTCGATGTACCGCCAACTCTTGTCACGGCCCAGGATTCTTATTCTTTTGCCTGGTGCCAGCCCCGCAAGACGTTTATTTTGTTCTCGGGAAACGCAACCACCGCTGTTCCTTTTTTTGAGTACAATCCAGTGTCTAATAAATGGAGGGCCATGGTATGTGCCCAAAAGGTTAGATGTACCGCGAATAAAATGCTACCTCTTCTTAGACCTCGCTTCTAATTTTTGTTTGCGTTTGCTGCTATGTTTCTAGCCTTCATCGGGAGCCACCCCTTCTTTCAGACACAAAAGCTGTTTGATCTCAGGTGCATAAGAGTACCAAGAAAATTGAGACCACTCAAATCTTGACCCTCGTTTCTTCCTCTCGCTTTATCTCCTTATCAACTCGTCGTGCTAACGTCCCGTTTTATTTGGTTGTTGCTGCCTTCACACATAGCCTACAAGGGCACCAAGATGATCCTATTCGGCGGCGTCAACGGAACAGGACCATCTGTCGGGAGTATCTCCATCCTGGATGTCGCGTCGATGAAATGGACCAGCGGCAACGATGCACCAGCTCCAGAAGCGAGAGCAGAAATGGCGTGCTCCGTGGCAGGAGACAATTTTGTCGCATGGGGTGGTACGAATACTTTCTTACATTTCGAGAAAATGATCGTCCTTGTCGCTTCTCTTTTTTCATCAACATTGTTATTGAACGGAATTGCTATTCTGATTTCTTATTGTCCGTTAGGTTACAAAGCTCAGAACGCGACCGTTTGGGTTGCAGTGTCTACAGCACCTCTGGTCTACAACCTCAAAACAGGACAATGGACGGACAAGTTTATACGCATCCCGATTGCCAATACGACAGATGAAGGAGCAGGGGGTGGAAAAGGAGGTTCTGGCGGAGACGGGTCAGGAACTGAAATGGGAAGTGGAGGTGAAGATCAAAGCGCAGGAGGCGGTGAGGTTGTAGGAGATGGGGTAGGTGGGGGAGGTGGGAGCACCTCAAATAACGTCGCCGCAATTGGAGGAGGAGCATCTGGAGGTATGGTGGTCATTGTCGCCATTGCGATTTTTGTTATCCGGAGACGTCGGCAACATAAGGAAATGGAGACGTTTGAGATGGCGCCAAAAAATCCAGTAATATCGTCCAAGGACAACCCGAGTAACAAGCCCGATGACTACACCAAAGGCAAGCCAAACCAGCAGCAGGATCTGAAAACACGTAGCACCAACCCGCAGAACACATCCAAGATCAAACTGCAAGTCTCTTTCAGCGCTCCTCCCTCGTATGCAACTTCTACCCGTTCCCCAAGTGGCATCCCACCACGTTCAAAATCATCCGCGATGCAAGGAAGTCCTCAAGATCACATCCAACAGTTACAATATCAACAAAGACATGGAGGATACACCACCAGGCGCCAAAGCAACCACCCACAGTTCAATCCAACCGAGGCTCGGACCCTGCCTTCACCTGCTGCACGAGCTCCTCACGGTGTAACGGATCCGATGACGGCAGTGAACAACGAAGAATTGCTCGAACAGATTAAATTGCTTCAGGCGGAATGGAATCGGCGTCAGGCAATGATGAAAAGTAGATAGTTCCATTGTGCCTACATATACCCTCTTCGCCTACCTTGCGTAACAGGTAGAACTCATAATCATGGAGCCTTTTTTAGACATGCAACAAAGTGTCCTTGATGATGGTCCTAATGATGACACTGCAACACAAGAAAAATAATATACAGGTACATGCACCGTTCTCTCTTGTTCGTCTCGTATGAGGCTGCCATTTCCTTTCTTTTTTTTTTAGTCGTTGTCGGCTTGATTGTCTTGCCTGTTCGATCCGCAATGATGTCAGTCGGTCTTCTCTGCATCTCCCTTTTCTCCTCTTTCTTCATCTTTCTCCTCACGGAACCAACACCCCTAAATTTATATCACTGTAACGAAATTATTTGAGCCCGCAATTGAAGAAGGGTTTGATTTTTTGTTCCTTTTGCTTTGACCTCCAAGGACACACTCAAAGGATGCTCAATATCCCAATCGAAACGCGACATTCCCTAGAGTTACCAGGGCAGTGGATATATTAGTATCAGGGGGAAGAGAAGAGTCCACCCAAATAAGAAGACAAAGCAGCCACAAGCAAGAAATGGGGGATGATTACAAAGGCAAAGGCATACTCTCTCGCGAATTAAATTTCGTCTCAAACACTCGACTGAATGCCTTTCAATTGGTCGAATGAAACCATTTCAGAACTGAAATAAGCATACGCACAGATGCCCCTGCCTTTTTTTTTTTTTTTTTGGCTTTGCTTTTCTCTCCCTCTCTCATAAACACAATGCATAACACATCGCGCATGCGGACACAAGCCATGACCCCTAATATTCATGTGTGGTTGCACCGTCTATTTTCACTCTCATAGCAAAAAATAAACGTAACGTTCTTTGCTGTCGTTTCTTTGCATCTCTTTTTTCCATTCTCTCTTTTCTTTCACTTATTCTTCTCTCTGTCCTCTCTCCACACTTTATCCTCTGTTCTTTCTATTCCCCAACGCCATTCTTCTTTCGTACCCTTCCCTCAATCGCATTGCATCACCCTCTCCTCTTCCTCCTCCTTAACTAAATCGTCCTATCTCTACTCTAGCTACATAACTTGTCCTCTAATCGCTCCAGTGTTCGTTGTCCTTTAGCCCTCCGTGCTCTCTCCACTCTCTCTCTCTCCTTTTTTCATCCCTTCTTCACTCTCCAGTACATAACTTTCAACTCGATAATCCCTCCCAAACAATCGATGATGACTCTTCTTCATCCTAGTTGTCGATTGAGCCCCCTTTCATGGCTCTTGGGAACGCTCTCTTTCCTAACAGCTATGGTATCAGCTCAAACCCCTGCTTCAACATACGGAATGGCATACACAGCCATCGATGAGAGTACATTGTATATCCAGGGCGGAATAATCCTCCCACCACCCGGAGGCACCGCCAAAATTACCTCTCAATTCTACGCTCTCGACCTCACTCAGGATTGGAACGCAACGAGTCCGCCCTGGAAGGCTTTGACCTCTCCCACAACCACTGCTACCCAAATCTCCAGTCAATCCATGACGATCTCGCCTGACCGCCAGACTCTCACGCTTTGGAGTGTTTTCCCGACTGTTGCCGTCAATTACAGTATCACCGACGCCTCATGGACAAAAGTGCCGCTCTCGGTAGGCTTGGTCATCTCTGGCAGTGGCCTCCGTGCAGCATCGGATCCAGCAACCGGAGCAGTCTACATCCCTGGAGTAGGGCCTCTCAATTCCAACTACATGGTCCGATACAACTACTTGACTGGATTGGTTACCTTGATCAACATACCCATGGCTCTTGTGCCAACCCTGGATTCTTATTCGTTCGTCTGGTGTCAACCTCGCAAGAGTTTTCTTTTGTTTGCTGGTAATGTCAGCAATGTGAACGCCTTTTCTGAGTACTCGCCTTCCACAAGCCAGTGGACCCAACTGGTACGTCACACAACCACGATAAGTCGTTGATGTATGATGTCTTTAACAGTCATTTTTTTAACGCTTGATATGCTGCCTTAATCATTAGAAAACAAACGGCACGGCCCCTTCCTTCAGGCGCAGGAGCTGCATGGTACCTGGTAAGAGCAACATGGTATTCGGATAACCGTCTATAACTCACCTATAACTCAATTCTTGTAATTGACATGTCATTATTCTTCTCTGCCCCTCATCTTAGCATATAACGGCACCAAGATGATCCTCTTTGGCGGTGATGGATCAGGACCATCTGTCGCATCCCTCTCTATCCTCGACATCCCGACTATGACATGGACCGTCGGCAAAGATGCACCGGACGCGAGGTCGGAGATGGCGTGTGCGGTTGCTGGAGATAATTTTGTCGTCTGGGGAGGTAAGAGCCTTCCTTTACGCTAAGTAAACGTTCTTGGTCGTGGCCCTCTTCTTTTCAACAACAAATACACTAACCGCAGCTACCATCCATGTCGTTATCCATTAGGGTACAAGGAGATGTTGTCGGTTGATAGTGTCGCGGTGCCAACAACGCCACTTATCTTCAACATCAAAACAGGAAAATGGACAGAAAAGTTTGTCCGTGGCGCCAATGGCAATAAGACGGAGGGAGCACCAGGAGGAGTACCAGGAACTGGCGCAGGAGGAGGGTCCGGAAGTGGTTCAGGTGGTGGTGGTTCAGGAAGCGGACCAGTAGGTGGTGGTGAGAGTCCGATTGCTGGTGGAGGTTCAAACATAGGAAGCGGTGAAATCGTTGGAGGCGGAGGCATCACCACCACCAGCGGCGCAGCGATCGGCGGAGGGGTTGCAGTTGGTGTCGGGGTCCTTGCTGGAATCATCTTCCTTATCATTCAGAGACGTCGGCAACGCAGTACAAAGGACTTTGAGATGGTTTCGCCCAGTTTGTCGATAATGCCATCTCCTGCGGAAGATAGAGTGGTCCAACTAGAACCAATATCCAACGAGTCCTACCAGAGCAAGCTAAACAATCAACAACAGCAGCAGCAGGAGATGTCCTACAATAACGTGCAGTACACACCCAGGAGCGAACCACCAGGTGTCTCAGGCTTACCTCCTTCATATTCCGCATCCTCTCGTTCCCGACCCGTCATCCCTTCTTATTATGAGGTGACGGGGATCCCAGGAGATCCTCGAGAACTTGTGCGGCAACTGTCGCGCTAATAAGAATCGTCGATCCATCACCAAGACAATAATAAACAGCAATAGTCCACAGTACATTTCAACCAAAGAGTGGATTAAGAAAGTAAAGAGGACAATGGGAATGGGGTAGAATTGATGACATTGATGGAGGGATTGTCCTACCATTTAATTGGAATTGCAAGTGGACCGAACTGTAATCTTCAAGGAAAAACAAAACAAGTTTTGTTACACTCGGTGACGAAAAAGAACAAAGGGTGTATTAGGTTTATACCTTAGAAGAAGGCAGAAAATGTTTCTTCTGGTGGGGTTTAACATACGACATTTTGTAAGGAAAGTCAATTCAAGGCCAGACAGTAAATGAATGTGGTGTCAAGAAGGGGCTCCTTAGCTGCTAGCTGATATTTTTTCTTTGATACCAGACTGGAGCCATTGTATGAGAAGGGTCTCATTTACCATGACACAGTTTTTTTCCCTATCGCATTGCCATCTTCACTTTTTCCTGTGAGCCCTTCTTTCTCTCTTCCTTCCTCTTCTCCTTCCTCGGACATGAAAAGTAGAAGGTCTAGAAGCAGTAATAAGGAACCGGCTTGTGTGCTCTTTCTGTTCTTTTTGGAGATCGATGAGACATCGGTTGACAAGGTTATGTGGATTGGCACATATCTCTTTCCATGATTCCTGTGATCTGATGTGTGCACGGCACGCATTTTTTCGCCCGCGATACCAATGGTCTGCCCGTAACTTGATCGATCAAGAAATTGCAAACCCAGATGTTTAGTACGATATCCACTACATGTATGGCACAAAAGGGAAATTTGAATCTTGCATGGCTAGGGATGCTCACATTGTTGTTAGTGTTGTTTGGGCGGCGCTGACAGGCATTTTCCTCTTGCTTTTTTTTTAAAGTTTGCCTTTATTGTTATTGTCGTTTACCAAGACCCTCTTGCCTTTCTAATTCCTCCTCCCTTCCTTCCTCCATCCACCCCTCCGTTCAACATCATCATGTGCCTCGCAGTCTCTCCATTATGTACTACCGTACAATACGCCTTTTGCGATGCTGACCTTTCATTCACCCTTCCTTCTTTCAACATCAGGCACCAACTAGTTTCCTCTGGTTGTTGCCGTTGCATGATGTTTCCATTACTTCCTGTGGTTTACATATGTTTAGCAAACATGCCCTGTTTTCTCTTTCATAAAACAACAACATATAAAAGAGGAAAAGGTTATGCAAACAAGTTTGAATAAGTGGCAATGCACACAACCATGCTCATATTTGTTTATACCGTTGTGCCAGACGCATTGTTTACTTTCCGACACACGCGAACGAGTGGAGAACCCACGCAGCCCAATAATTTTGTTGTGCCTGGATTTCTTCTTTCCCCCCCTTTCTCTTCTTCTCCCTCACTCCTTCACACTCGAGTACTCCCCGCTCCTCCTCTCTTCCTGCACCCTTTTTCCTTCTCTCTTTGTCAGCAATTACATATCCACACCCGCATACTCTCTCTCCTTTCATCTTTCTCTCAGCCTCACTCTCTCTCATTTTTTCCCTTCCTCCTGTTAGTTCCTCGGGTGATGACTGCGTCAACCCGACTGCCTAACAAACTGAGAGCCCTTGCTTTGCCATGGGGAATCCTCTATCCCATCATCATTCTTCCTCTCTTCCTCTCGGTACCTGCGATGGCGCAACAATACTCCTCACCTCCCATGACGGTTGGCAGTATGGCCTTCACGACGGTCAACGAGGATACGTTCTTTATGCAAGGAGGAATCTCCTACGGACCGGCAGGACCCACCACCAATCAATTCTACACCCTCGATCTCACCCAACCCACCTGGACCACTGTGAACCCACCATGGCGAGCTAGGGTGTACCCCGAATCCCTTAATCTGATAGCGAGGATCAATAAACACTCCATCTCTGTATCACCAGACAAGCAGAACCTCACCTTCTGGGCCGACTACCCAGGCTTGGTGCTCAACTATACCATCGCTACCGACACCTGGACTCAAGTCCCCACGCCAAGTCAACTTACCTTTTCGAGCGACCTACATTCTGAGACGGATCCACGGACAGGATTGGTCTACAACCCGTGCGGGTACAACAATGTCAGTATGGGGGTCTATAACCCTGCGACCCAGTCCTTCACGCCTGCTACCAGTCCGAACGGCTTTGTCAACGATCGGTTCTATACGTTTGTTTGGAGCGAGTTGCGGAACACTTTTATTTTCTTTGGGAACACGCCTATAAGGGAGACGAATCCCTTTGTCGAGTATTCTACTGCTTCTAACAAGTGGACTGCACTGGTATATCTCTCGTTCTATCTTTGCTCGTTTTCTGCTGTGGCACGTCGTCCTCTATGAGTTGAGACCACTAACATAACACGGAGTAACTTACCACTGCCTCTTTTCACACCACTCATATCTCTCTCTTCAAGCCCGCAACTGGCGACACCCCCCGATTCCGACGTAGGAGTTGCATGGTTCCTGGTAGGTTAATTTTTGTGAAACAGGCCTGTCTGTAGACCGTTCTCTGTCTGGTCATGACTGGAGAACTATTTTATTCACCTACCTCACTCACCACCCTTATTCTACTGTTATATTATTATTATTATTATTTAACTTTTTGTATGGTAGCGTATAACGGGACAAAGATGCTTCTCTTTGGAGGAGAGCCTTCAAATGAATCGTCGAGTGGCGGCCTCTACATCCTCGATGTTCGGAATATGATTTGGAGTCAGGCTGCAGGTCTCGATCCATCTCTGGGCAGATCGGCGATGGCCTGTGCGGTTTCGGGCGATAACTTCATTGTCTGGGGTGGTAAGACTTATGACTGTCATGTATGCATCCCCCCACTTTTTTTTTTGTGTATTTCGTTGTCATTAACATCAACCTTATCTTTTTTTTTGCTGTGATAGGTATAAGATTCATCTCAGGAGGTACGCCCCAGGATGCGCCAGGGGCAATGCTTATCTACAACATTCACACTGGAGCCTGGACCGACACGTTCACGCGCGGCACTCACTTTGATCCGAATGCGCCAAACCCGCCAAACCCGCCAAACCCAGAACCACCAGGCAAGGGTGGGAAAGAGGGAGATGTGAGAAGTGGTGAGACCAACAGCAACGCCGCCGCGATTGGAGGAGGGGTTGCTGGTGTTCTTGTTGTCATTGCCTTGGCCGCCTTTTTTGTTATCCGAAGACGTCGACAAACTAATGAAAAATCCGAGAATGGTCAGAGATCTGGAGATTACCACCAACAAGATCAGATTCTACCATCCATGGAGACCTCTCGCGACAACCCACCATCCTCATCATCGCCGTTCGACATATACTCTCATCGCAAGCCCGAAGATCAGAAGTCGGTCAGCTACCCAATTCCACCACAAAAATACATCGCCATGCAGGAGTACAAGAATAAACTCGATGGAAGATCGAATCCAGGAGCAGCCAGCCCACAATTGGTTCCCTTCATCCCGCCACCTCCCCTCTTGTCGTCCCTCAGCCCACAGGATCATATCCAGCAACTCCAGTACCAGATCGCCGATCGTCAGGAAAAACTTGCCACACAGTCTCCCAACCCACAGTACAACCCTTCATTCAATTCTGAGATACCTTTTGGGGAGGGGTTCAGGAGTCCACGAGGGCCTCAGGGGGCAGGTGTACCTGTGAGAAAAAGTGATGGTGCCAAGGGGAATTTTGAGCTGCAGCAGCAGATTAACTCTTTGCAGGCTGAATTGAACCGCCTCCAGGCCAGACTTGACTCCTAATGTTATATTTTCTTTCTCCTCAACGAAAAAATAAATAAATAAATTAAACCACGACGAAGAGGTTGGGCTAGCGGTGTAACAATCATAATTCTCTACTTTTTTTTTTCGTTTTCATGATCACCGACCGTGATGACATGGGACAACGAAAAGGAAATTAAGAGGGTGTCGAGTAAGAAACAGGTTTATTAAAAAGCAACGAGAAAAAGCCCCGAGTGTAAGGAAAGAGAGTCATTCATGTCGGAAGCAAAGAATAAAAGAGGGTAGGTGGGAAAGAAGGTAAAGGTGACGCGAAATTGACGCGGAAAGTTTTCGCAAAAAGTGAAATTGAACATCCGTCTGGGTTCAATATGTGATGGCAGCATTTGGTCGTCCAAGTACAGGAAAAAAAAACAAGTAGAGATTCAACAGGCGTTTTGGAAAGCGATTTCAAGGGAGTGAAGTGAATGTGCATCCGTTTATGATGGAACTAATGTTAATCCTGTTGCCAATAAGAGAAGCTTCGTAATGAAAACGGAGCAGGAGTAAAGGAATGAAAGTAAGAAGGAAGAGGAGTGGGGAGGGAACGGCGGAGTAAAAACAAGAACATTACAAAAATGTCATCTCTCCTTTTTCTGACAGAAGTACAAGGACACCCATTTCCATCTTCCGTTTCGCCCATTTCCTTTCTGTCCTCAACCAAGGTATGCCTCTAACTCACCACGTACTCTTCTGCCAAGAATAAAGATCATACATGGGAAGAAAAAATGTGGAGCTGGTGGTGAACGGCTAAAAAATTCACAATCAGATGGGCTCTTTCTCTGTGTGGGAGATCTACATTTGACAGACGAACGCCAAGATCATGGCCCAAATAATTCAACATCACCAGCAGAGGTAAGGTTGGTTGGGCGTCACCGGTGCGGCTCGTCCATCCAGAACAAGCATCTATAGCAAAAGAGGAGAGGTATGGGTGGCACTGGTGTGGTGCTAGTCTTGTCTCGTTGTGATGAGTGAAGGTCGAAACGAAGGAATCAACTTCGCCCATGGGAAGAGTGCCATTGAGAGGCCCAAACGTGACTGCCATTGTGCCAAACGTAAACATCACATACAATGATGACCGTTTGTGCAGCGCGAGAAGGAAAGGGAACACATGTTGCCTAATCCCAAGCGTGTCATCGGCCACGTAGATAATACCATTCACACAGTTCAGAAACAAAACATATACTGTTGGTTGTTGCTTTGCCATCATCTGCTCAAGGGTTGTTGCACTCGCTCCCTGCACAACAAAAAATAGAACACCCAACCATTGTCTTCCTTTTTTTTGAGTCCATCCCACGGTGAAGGATAATGTGTTGTAGTTGCCTTTTCGTTTGTTTCCATCATCATGGTTACCTCATCGGATGCACATTCCTCTTCCTTCTTCAATCTCTCGCTGTCATCCAAAAACAGCTTTCTCAGCAACCTCTGTCGACAGGGTAAGAGACGTCCTTCCGTCATTGTAGTCACTCGTATCTGATCGATGTCATTTGGGAGGGAAAAGTAGACAGAGGCATTCCATTCCTTCGAGCTGCATGTCAGGGACAAAAAGCAATTTGAGTTTGAGCGGGACAGGACCCAAGACTTAAGCTTTGCTTTTTTAAATTATGTGCATGTGCAGGAACGAGATTAGTCCCCGAGCTATGACATCAAGCAAGCCTTTTCTTCACCTTATTCCTTTTTGTTTAAGAACATTTCAGGGGTCAGGCTTGATCGATCAGACAGATCGCATGTCGTCGACTGGTGTTGTCTTTGGTGCTGGTGCTTGTCGTTTTTTGTCTGCCATTTATTGTCTGTCCTTTGTTGTGGTTGCACACAGGTTGCCATGTTTTTTAACGCCGTGGAGGGATGAAGGTTGGGGGAAAGTCGAAGGGAAGAATGAATGAGGGAGTACAACAACAACAAAGGGCGAAGGCAAGGGGACACAGGCAGAAAGAAAAGTGGGCGTCGCTCAGGCACCGTTCTCAATTTTACCTCAGCCGGGCCACCTATCGCCTCGTCATCCCCCCTCCCTCTCCTCTTCTCTTTTCACTCTTTCTCCTTCTCTCTCTCTCTCTCTCTCTCTCTCTCTCTCTCTTCATTCTCTCTTCACTCTTTACTCTTCTTTCTTCCTTCGCCTCTTCCTTCGCCTCTTCCTTTGGCCCTCTCCACACCATTTCTCCACCTCCAGCCTTCTTTGCTTTCCTCACAACACGCACAAGCTATATACAAATACACTACAACAACCACTCTAATCATCACACATACACATCGGCCTCTTTCCACACATCCTCACATCACAAACGCGCGTCATCTCCTTCTTCACTCCCACCTCTCCCAACAACATAATGCATAACCCTGTCTTATCGACTCGGTTACGGACAACAGTTGGTCTCCTCGCCCTCTCCCTCTACTCTACAACAACAGCGCAATCCCCTATATCTGTCGCCCGCCCAGCCTTCATCACCCTCAACAATGAAAGCACCCTCTACATTCAAGGAGGGCGCGACTACAACGACGGCAAGGCCACTGCCTCCAACCAATTCTTTTCCCTCGACCTCACACAACCCACCTGGGAAGCATCCAAGCCTCCTTGGACACCCATCAGCATCTCCAATGGTGTAGCACCAGGACTCACTACTTTTGGACACTCTTTTTCAGTCTCACCTGATCAACAGACCCTCTCCCTCTGGGACCCTGTCGACCTCGATGCAGCTGCCCCTAATACCCCTGGTGTGTCTGGCAACATCAGTCTTACCACGAGAATGTGGACACCCTTTTCCGTCCCCATGAAGATGAACCAATCCGAGGGAGGGCTCCAGGCTGTGACACACCCAAAGACAGGACTTGTCTACACCCCAACAGGATACAACAACACCGACATGGCCATATACGATTTTAAAACACACACTGTCACCTCTACACCCTTACCCCCTCAGATCTTTGGTGGTTGGAGGTTCTATACCTTCAATTGGAATGAGCTCCGGGGGACGTTCTTTCTTTGGGGTGGACAAGGGAAACCAGGAACATCGTACTTTTACGAGTTTGATGCTACCAAAATGCAGTGGACCGAGATGGTAAGTTGCATTTGTACTTTTTTTGAGTTCAAGGGAAATTGCTCACCTGGTCTTTAGGCGTGGTCGTTGCTGAAACACTCACCATTTTTTCACATCGTTCGCCACTTCGTCGGATAGATCACAAAAGGAGCAGTGCCGCCTCGGTTGAGAGCCGCCTGCATGGCTCCGGGTACGATAGAAGAAATATGTCTGACTCCTCCCCCCTATGCTCACACTTCAAAATGGAATCCCTCTCGTTGTACACATTTTGGACCCCCTCAACTGACACACATCCCCCTTTCCCCCATTTCACTCGTTAGCGTACGGAGGAGCCAAAATGGTTCTTTTCGGCGGTAATCCTCCTGGCGAGGACTCAATCGGAACTCTGTACATCCTCGATGTCCCTTCAATGACATGGACTCAAGGCCCTAGCATCGATCCATCACAGAACCGCTCTCAGTTGGCCTGTACAGTGAGCGGCGACAGTTTCATCGCTTGGGGTGGTAAGCACACGTATTTTTTGCTATGGCACTGTTCAAACATATTCCTCACATTGTACTCATTACATCTTTTTTTCGTTTTCTTTTGCGTGTTATGTTCAACAGGAATCAGGTTTACTCCAGGCTCATCAGGAAGGCCAACTCTGCCAATGTCATCGACCCCGCTCATCTACAACATTTACACAGGAGAGTGGACTACAAAATATGTCCGCGGCTCGCATCCCTACTCGGGCACATCGCCACCAGGTGGAAATGGAAGTGGAGGAGACGAAGGGGTAGGAGGGAGTCGATTAAAAGGAGAAGGTGAGGAATCAGGAGGAGGCACCAAGCACATCGCTGCGATCGCCGGGAGTGTGGCAGCAGTGTTGGTCCTCCTACTGGCCATCGCTTTCTTTTTGTTGTACAGAAGGAGTCGCCGTCGTCGTCGCCATGAGATGGATCAGAAGCACCATCAGCATCAGCCAGAGGAATTCTGGCCATCAGCTGAATCGAGTACAAGGACAGTGGTGCCTAAGGTCATGCCCAAAGTCGTGCCTAAAGCCGCGCCTCCGACAAAGTACATCCCCCGAATGGAGACAGACAGATATGTGTCGGAAGCAGGGAACAGGAACAAGAACCAGCTCCACATATCCCCCCCTTTGAATCTGCAACAGCAGATGTATGGAACCCAGACCTACTCGAACAGCAGCACCCTCGACTCCCTTACACACCCATATCCGAATTCTTCTCATCTGCATCCTCGTTCGGGCAACTACGGCTCGCCACCTCCTTCACCAACACATTCATACACCAAATCATCAACACCATCACCAGTACCACTTTACCCCATCGTGAACACCTCAAGTCTCAAGCGGACCAACCTATCAAGGCAACAACAACAGGAATACTACCAGCAACTCCAGAAACAGTTAGAGGCACGACAGTGGGAACTTGCACATTACCACGACCAGCAACGTCTATCTAGCGATTCACAATACACCTTCACGGCCTATTCGCGTAACCCACTGGATGATGGCATGGCGTCCCCGACAGCCAACACTCGACAGTTGCGGATGCAGATCAGTGCCCTCCAGACGGAGTTGAAGAGATTGCATGCCATTCTTCATCCGTAACACGACCACATTTTTTCTTTTTTCGTTTTTTCCTTTTTTCGTTTTTTCCTTTTTTCTTTTTTCTTTTTTCTCACGAGTATCATTTGATTTACATAGGGGCGTGGGGCTTGTTCATACCTTTGGGATAGGAAAAGCAAATAAAATGTCAACTTGAAAGGCGAACGAAGGACAACGATGTAAGACATGCTTATGATGGCGCTTGCTTGCTTGTTGTTGTAGTGTGTCCATGCTTCGTGCCTTTTCTTCCCTTTTGTTGCCTTTTTATGTTAAGGTTTTGCTTGCTTGCTTGGGAGTCAAGGTGTGAATAACAGTCAGGCTGGAAATGAGCCCTTCGTCAAAGATTTTTTGCTTTCCTCCTTTATGAGCGCCATTGGCCCTTTTTTCCTTCGTCCAGACCCTGCCCTTCGCTTCCCGCCCTTCTCTCCACTTTTCTTTCCGTCCTTGTCAAGTCATTCAGCTCAGTGGAGTGGACAAAGGACCCATGTAAGATCATGATCCCGTTACCGTCTGTCTGTTGGTCAACTTGTCTGAGAGGAAAATTCGAACGTCAACTCTCAATTTACCCTAAATCAAGCGGGCGTTTAATTTGTTGGATCGGTGTTTCACTCTCCTTCCTCCTTCAGGCTAATATCAGGAAAGCAAGATCGATAATGCATCTCCATCCAGACCTACGCCCATCGCCGGCGAAACAACCTCACAAACCTCATGAGTATCCCTTTCCCTCTCTTTCTTCTCGCCACATGGGTAACATGCGCCCAACCCCTAACCTCGGTCTGCTGCAATTTCAGATGACGCTTGCATCTCGCTCAATTGGTCCTCCACCTTTGTCTCTCTTTTTCTCCATAGCGTACAATGCGACATGGATCATTGAGATCATTCAACCTGGCGGGAACACAACATCCACCACATCAGTCGAGACAAACTACATTCTAAATCAACAACTTTGGCATGAACCCAAGGAGAAAAATGGTGATCCTTCTACAATGCATTGTTTTCTTTGTTCTTTGGAGATAACGTTCGACTTTGGAACTAGTCAACAGAAAACTCTAGGGAGACCTCGGAAAATGCAAAGTGGTAGAACTGAGCAAGTTTTCATAACTCTAAATATCTTCCCATCCTCGGTCAGTTTGTATCTACATCTCCGCAAAGGAATTGTTCTACCTTGGTTGCCCTCACCTACAGTCCTTGCAACATCTGTGAGCCGGCTTGGCCCAAGCTCTGCTAACAACTCACCACAGCCTCAAGAGCACCGCCGGCAACATATCGTCAATCAGGATCGGCCTCTTGCTCCTCATCACAGCAACGATAGCCACTCATTTTCGTCTATGCTAAGCCCCCACCTGGCGTCAATTGAGCATTGCCGCAATCAAGTAATCAGAATCTACAGGAACAAATCAGATGGCTACAGGCAGAACTAAATCGACGATAAAAAGAAGACGAGCAAAACAAAAAAAGTTCACTTCACAGGGTAATCATGGACAAGCATGGACATGGCTGGATAAACACCAAAAAGTGTAAGCTGCCGTTGTTCAGTTTTGTATCTTGCGCACCACGCTCTTTCGCTTTTTCTTCCTTCTCACCTGTACTCGACTCCAGTCTTTTCCCCTCCCCTGGACCCGCCTTCTTCCACTCATTCACATCTATGCTGTCTTCACTCACATCCTGTCAATCAGCCGATGCACTTCAATTGGATATTGTGGGCACTGTCTCCTGGCAACTATGGACTCGGCGCAACCACATCCTCAAAGTGCTGTATTGCGTACTCCACCACCGACAAAGACATGCTCTATATCCAAAGAGGTGTAACCTATGCTCAAACCGATGGTCCTTCAATACCGTATCACAGTTCTACTCCCTCGGTCTAACCCAGAGCCGAGACACATCGAACCCACGATGGAAGACTTTGATATATCCCAACAGTTTCCCAATATCAACATCTCATCACCGCTCCATGTCAGCCTCCCCGGACCATCGGACCTTTACGGTTTGGAGCTACAACCCAACCAGTGCCGCTAACTACAGCATCGACGAGAGCTCCTGGACCCAACTGGCAGTCGTTGTAAATGAATCATTCAGCGGCGCAGGCTTACATGCAGCGACGAACCAGATAATAGGAGAAGTACACGTACCTATAGCAAGTGGCACAGGCTACAACAGCTTGTTCAGATACAGTTTCATGGCAGAAAAGTCGGCTCTGGTTGATATACCCACCGCCCATGTTTCCTTCGCCTGGAGTCCACTACGAAAGTCATTCATTTTGTTTGCGAGCAATTCAAGTAAACTCAAGTGCTGCAAACCATTTTTTTTAATACACGCCTTCCACCAGTCAATGGAATCCATTAGTAGTTCCACTCGTTCAAGTTATGCCATTGCACGAATGGTTTTGATAATTTTTGTCCTTAACCACAACATTTTTGTTCCCAACAGGTCACCTCTTGTCTCACTCCGGCTCTTTTGTCTTGGAAGTTGCATAGTACCTGATAATTAAAACACAACTACAACTTGTATCACACCTCTCATACGATCAACAGATACGCCAAAAAGGAGGGAGAGTTCCAGCCATCCAATTGACCCCTATTTTTATTTCCATCGCGTAGCGTACACCGATAGCATGATACTTCTTTTTAGTGGCGATAGTGTATATGTATCTGAACCGTCCGTCCACATCCTGAACATCCTCGACTTCCAAACCATGACTGGAGCAACGCCCCAAATGCCTCCGATACGAGACCTGAGATGGCCTGCTCGGTCTCCGGGGACTATTTTACTGTCAGAAAAGGTAGTGTTCTCACTCTAACTGATGTTAAAACTAGTCCTCTTACTGTCGTCTTATGCAGACTACGACTAACCACGCGTTCAATTTTTCATTCACGTCTCCAAACGCTTAGGCTACAAGTCTCTCCTAACCATGAGCCAAGGAGTGCATTCAACCTTACTTGTATACAACATGCGCTCGGGACAGTGTACGACTCGATGCGTCAGCGATCTTGACAAGGTTTTTGATACAGGCGGTTCAGGACTAACAGCAATCCCAGAACCGTCAAAACAGGAAGAAGAAGGCGGGTCGAATGACGCCGTGATTGGAGGGGGAGTTGCTGGAGGAGCTATTGTTATCGCTGCCATCGTGATTTTTGTCGTTCAGAGCTGCCGGCAACATCATTCTCAGCACAATGGAACCAAGAGCTTGGATTCAACCTCACAACACCGACATGGTCTCATTATCCTATTCTACCTTCCATGGAGAACGCCTATATCGGGGCAGGACCATCGAGTGGCACTTCACAGGCGAAACCGACTGGAGAGCACTTTGTCGTCAACCCTAAAAATGCGCCCTTGAATAGTCTGCGGGGTACACCTGGTTCTCTTCATACAGAATCCGCATCGTTTCAAGGAATTACTCACACTTGGTCCCCTATCTCAACATCTCCTCTATCTCCAGCGATTCCGCCACGCCCACCACCCGCTTTCAGCTCGGCATATTCTCAGGACTCCATACAGCTGCAATCGCCACATCAACTCATTATCAAACAGGAGTAGATCGCCCTCGTAACCAACTACAACACGCAATATCACCCCGCTATTGCTGACATTACTCAGACCCCATCGTTATTAACTGTTCGTGGTCCTCAAGACGCGGCAGAATCAGAGACAAGAGCCAGTGACCAGAGCTGCTTGAGCAAATCAACTCGCTTCAGAAAGATTTCATAAGACAACATGCAAAGAATCAGCCGTAGTCCTATAGTACATAGACATGTTCATGTTACTAATAGGCCTCTCCGTACCTATCAAAGGCGGCAATGAAGACAAATAAAACTATGGCAAATGTGGTGCACGTCATGCATGTGTTGGTATTGGAAATAAGAGCTCGTATTCGGCTAATAGAAGTTCACGGGCACATTTGTTCCAGTATCGTTCATCATCCCTGCCTCGTTTTCTATTTTTCTTGTCTACTCCATTTGGTTCCCCAAGGCGGTAAACTTGGCCGTGTTCAGTTTTAATCCCTATTCTTATTCTTCAGGTGCCGCAGCGACTTATTTCAAGAATTCCATGAGAGCTGTCTACGTTTTTCTCCATGTGATCATCTTTCCTCTTTGCTGCTATCGTCTTTTTTTTGGGCACAAAAGAAGTTAGGGGTACGGACGCGATGCTGGGCGAGATATCAACACAAAGCCTGTGGAGAAAGGTGTACAACAGTTTGGAATGGCATTATCATTTTTTTCTTTGAACGAGAAATGTGCCATGGGTTGATATAACATGCCCATTTCCTTTTTTTTCGCACTACATCGCGCCTTCTGATATCTTTCACCTGGTTGAAAATTATTCTTCTTTCTCTCTCTGACTCGTATTGGAGCACAACAAGAGAAAAGAAGACGAACTGGCTTCGATGGTGACTGGAAGCTGTGACTCTACTCTTATTTTAGTGGACAAGTCGACTTTCACATCCCTGATTCGTGAACCCTTACATCACTGTCCAGATCTCACCCTGCATGAAATCATACCAGAAGCCAAGGTTGTTTTTGATACATCCTTCACCTGCTCATACATCTCAGCATGCTTTCTACCTCTCATCGCCAGCTCTAGATTCTCTTTCGACCATTGTGCATCGCCAAAGCCAGCCGTGAGAACAGATCGTATGACTCACTAGATATCTAGGAAAGTGACCAGAAACCAAAGGGCATGGGTCAGCGCTGCAGTTTTTTTGTTCATCCATTGTTCAATCATGCGTACGTTACACGTAGTGAATGGATCGTCAACTGCTTCTCTTTTTCGGATGAACGGACACTTCCCTCTTTTTTTGTTACTGCACGAGACCCCCAAAGCTATCACTTTATGGATGCTTATCTACCGGCACTTCCTTGCATGAAATTATGCTAACAACCATTGCTGTCTTTGTTTCATTCTTCAGCTTGTCATGCATCCAAGTATGCTTTCCAAAGCTCATCGCTCAGTCTAGTAACTCTTTCGGCCTTGGTGCATCGCCTACCCTACCTTGTTGAATGGGTGGTAATCCTCGGGAAACCAGGGAAACCTATTACTGATTAATTTTTTTTGGGGGGAAAAAGGGGCCAGCCCAAGTCGACCGTTCCAGGCGCCTTTTCTTTCTCACATCCTTATATTTGAACGCGTTCCTATTGGATCCAATCGACTTGCTTGTCTCTCTCAGGCTCATCTCGCCATTCGATAGCTTATTTTTAAACACATACAAAACATGCTATTGGCTATGATGGAGGTAGAGCCAAGACATGCATTAGAACTTACCATACACTATTACACCGAGAACTCTCTTTGTCGCCAGCAATGGGTATAAAGTGGTGCTGGGCATCCAGTTTTTGTTGCTCTTTTTTTTCTTGTGTTTCACTAGTTCACTCATCTTCACAGCAACTTGTACTCAAGTCACTCTTCACAGCCACCCTCATTATTTCATACCCAGTTCGAAGACTATCCTGACTTTTTTGTTGTCTCTCTACCACGGTTCTCCCTTCTCGCACATCTTATCCATCCAAGTGACGATGATCTCTTCCTCGCACATCCCTCGCTGGCTGAAACCCATCGCTTGGTTCTGGGGCCTGCTTTGCCTCTTGGTTATCACAGCATCGGCCCAACCGATCTCGACTTGCTGCATGGCCTACGGCACCACCAACGAGAACACCTTATACGTCGTTGGAGGAGCACATTATACGGGAATCAGCGAGGTCGCCTTTCCAGCTCAGTTCTACGCACTCAACCTCACGCAAACCGGTTGGAATACATCAAACCCACCCTGGACGATGATGTCGTATCCCACATCGCTTCTACCAAGAGCGATGTCACGCTTTCAATACTCGATGGCTCTCTCTCCCGATAATAGCACACTCGGTGTTTGGGATGTCACTGATGCTGACAGACTCGTCGAATACTCAGTTGGCAACGCATCATGGACATCGGTGAATATTACAGACACACTGTCTGGCGATGGCGTGCAAGCTGTGACTGATCCGACCACAGGGCTCGTCTACTTTCCCGGAGGAGGCCCTGCTAATTATAGCGCAATGATGGTGTATAACCCGACGACGGGAATGATCACCGACGCTCCTTCGAGTTATCCCATAGTCAATGGTAGTTTATACTATTCCTTCACCTGGAACAGTCAACGAAACAGGTTCATCTATTTCACAGGCAGAGCGGACGCAATCAACCCCTTTTACGAATTTACTCCATCGACGGGCCAATGGAGCCAAATGGTACTTGTTCATCGGATTGCATGGCATCATTAAAAGCAATGTTCATTGTCGTTGCTCTTAACATTGGCTAATATATTTGTTCGTTAGGTCACCAACGGTACTACCCCGCTACCTCAGTACAGAAGCTGCCTAGTATCAGGTAATAATGTTGCGACAAGCAGAAATCAACATGAGTATACTCTACCCTGGCTAAGGTTTATTCCTTTTCTCTTTTTCTTCAACGTATAGCAAAAAATGGGACCAAAATGATTCTTTTCGGTGGAGATAATGGCTCCTGGTCCACTTCAAGCCTACACATCCTCGATGTGCCGACAATGACCTGGAGTATGGCCACAAATGCTAGTGAAGAAAGATCTGGAATGGCTTGTTCGGTCTCTGGGGACAGATTCGTTGTATGGGGAGGTAGGCATCTCTCAATTCTGACAGCGCAAAAGGTATCTCTCTCAATGTCTATCCAAGGTGGCCTTACTGAGAGTACTACTCTATAATTTTATTTTTCTAGGCTTCAAGGCCCTGAACTCGATAACACGCATTGGAGTGTCCGCGGTGCCACTTGTCTACAACCTTGCCAATCTGACGTGGACAACCACATATTAAAGTGCCCTTGAACCAGGTACCATCAGCCAACACAGTGGCTGAAGTTCTATTTTTTTTCTAATAAATATTATGTTCAAAAGCAACATTCCTCTTGTTTCTTTTTTTCCTTTGCTAATGATCGCAACAGGCAGACTTTTTAAACGGTCCATTGGTTATTGTTGCAGAAATGGGAGACAAGACAAATGAGAAGTAGGGAAAAAAATGTAGAAAAGACGTGCGCGCCATATTTTTTATCTGCTTGATCAGGGAGATACGGTTTCATTTCTCGACGCGAAAAACGTATCGGAAAATGATCTTAACTCGTAACATGCTGTTGATAACACATCTCACTCGCAGTGCGTGCTTACAGAAAAATGATTTCTCTACAACACCCTTGCACCATCTACGTCCGATCCAGGCTTTACTACTAGGGACAGTAGCCGCGACTTTTTTTCTTTCATCACACACAGTACCCCTTTTACGCAACAACTTCCTCGCCTGTCGCCAGCACGAACCATGCTTTTACTGTTCCCTCGATGCATCCTCACCTCTGCCACTCAGTTACTTCCTCTTTGATACTACCAGAACATACCTTGCAGGGGTGAATAAACACAGCCATAATGTTTGGATGTTTGTTACCCCATTTTTTTTCTTTGTTTGGTTGAGAACAAGAGGTGCGAGCCCCTTCATGACATCCTATTTTCATCTTGATCGGTACCATCCTTGCCTCCGTCACTCAAGTTCGCGCTCAGTTGGCTGAGAAGAAGCGTCAGAGCGAGGAGCGTGAGTCCTCACCTTCAATCGAGTTTCCCCCTGTCGTAAACAACTTCCCCACCTAACCTGTGTTTTTATTTCCTTGCCTTTCTGTATTTATTTTGACAGATTCTTATTGTATTTCTCTGTAACTGCTTTTCCTAGGTTAGATGAAACCTTTGTAGTTTTTTCGAAGGTATGGTGAGGTGACTCATACCTGTAGGTGAGGAGAATTAGTTACTGCTCGCACTTCCACGACGCAATAAATTTCTTACAAATAAAAAAAAAAATTGAAGGCGTTGAGGACGTCGGCTCTAGTATGTCGGTACTACGATATGGCCTACCTCAATGGAAGACCCACAAAGCGGAGCAGAAGCACTGAGCGAAATTTTGCAGCCGCCACCAATCGAACAACAGTATATTATCGTCAAATCCTCCCACACACCAGGGCGCATATCCAGCACCACTTTTCCAGGACACACATCCTTCCAATGTATTGTGCCAGCTTGGTCACCGCTCCCACATACATCTCACCGCTCATCGCACCCCACCTCATCACACCATCTACCAAGTATCTTCTCAAGGCTCCATCCAGCCGGTCCACCAGCGGCCTTATCTCAGCCAAGAACAAGTCGCTCTCCACAATAGCAATCCACAGTATGACCCTGTTGTGTGTGGCCCTTAGAGCACTGCAGATTCAGAGACTGGAGCAAGCGACCAGGAGCTGTTGGAGCAAATCAACTCGTTACAAGCAGAGTGGATTCGAAGGCAACCGAAGGAGTCGCCGTAGTTTTGTTTGACCGATGTTCGGTATTAATAACAAACAAATGTGATATGGCAAAGCAACAGGGATGCAACATGCGTTGATCTCTGAGGGATTAGCCTTCACCACGGAAGAAATAAAAAAAAACGCCGACTTCCATTTTCTGTGCCTGGAACATTGAATGCACAGCCCACGCACGTTGCCTTTTGTTCCACTGACCACTGCTTATTTTTCTGCTCTCAACCCTCCCTTTTTCCATTTATTTATTTTCAGCCCCGTCCCTTTTGCCTTTTTTACGCCATCTCGCCCTGTTGGTTATGCGACTGAAGGAGATGCCCCTGACCTCAGCAGCAGAACAAGTTTACCCATTCTCTCCTTTGCCACTGGTTAATTCTTCACCCTTTTTTTTTAACATTCTTGTGCCCCACGCTAGATTCCTCCTGGATGTGATACCATGCCGATTTCTCCATGTTGGACACCGCTTCTTGAAACCGGGGCCACAGGACTACCTCCCATTCCTGTGCTGGCTATCTAGATGGAACCTGTCAGCGAACCAAGAGGAGAAGATAAACAAAACCTTGTGGGACTCTCCGATGGCCGATGGTGGTGTGGTGTGTAGTCATAGGGTTGCGTGGAGAAGTGAAAGGGCAAAGAAGACAACCAAATTTTAAACACAAGAAACTTCTTTCCTCCTTCTGCATCCTTGTTCTTCTCTCTTTCCCTGACTCCCTAATCCCTTTACTCCTCTATGTGTGTCCCCTCGCACCTCCCTCGGCAGCTGAGGACCGTTGCTTGGCTCTTGGGGACTCTCAGTCTCCTGGCACACTTGGCGTCAGCACAAGCGCCAGCACTCGTCTGTTGCATGGCATACACTACCATCAACGAGAACACCTTCTTCATTCAAGGAGGACTTTTGATCACAGGACCCGGCACCTCTTCATCCAACACCTCTCAGTTCTACTCCCTTGATCTCACCCAACCCACCTGGAACACCTTGAACCCGCCATGGAAACCATTAACATACCCCACAACCCTGACCTCAACCTCTGGACACTCCATGTCGGTCGCACAGGACAACAGTGGATTCACAATGTGGATGGCTCCCGGCTTGGTCGCCACTTACACCATTGGAAGTAACTCATGGGCACAAATTCTGCCCACTCCACCCGCGACCCTGTTCACAGGAAGCAACCTCCATGCTGCGACGGACCCAACCTCAGGACTGGTCTACCTACCAGGAGCGGCTGGCACACCCAACAGCATGTCCGTGTACAGCTCCTCGACGGGAATGGCTCCTTCGGTCCCAATGGCTCCCACCTTGGTCGCCGCCGGCTCTTTCTACAGTTTTGTCTGGAGCCAGATCCGCAAGAGTTTTATCTACTACGGAGGCAACGCTGCTACGCCGAACCCCTTCTTCGAGTTCTCCCCTTCCGCGGGCAAATGGACCTCCATGGTAAGTCCCGTCTTACCTCTGAAAAAAATGCCTCACACGTACGAACACTTTGTTGTTAATCCTTTTTTCGTTTTTTTGCAATAGCCTATTACAGGGTCCATTACTCCTCCTTTCCAGATGAGAAGTTGCATGGTTCCTGGTAATATATCTGCCAATTATTGCACACGCTCCCGATTCATTGAAAAAGAGGACTCCCATTTAATTGACACACACTCTTTTTTTTTGACCTACTAGCTTACAACGGAACCAAGATACTCCTCTTTGGCGGTAACACGGACACGACCCAGTCCGTCGACTCGCTTTTCATCCTCGATGTTCAAACCATGACCTGGACTCAAGCCGACAGTTCCCTCGACGCCAGATCCGATATGGCCTGCTCCGTTTCTGGAGACAACTTTATCGTCTGGGGTGGTAAGCGAATCTTCTTCTCCAGTACCTCCCTCTTGTGTGCAGGCAAATCTATCACTTTCCCTCTTCGACTTTGATATCGCCCGATAATAACAGCCCTCTCCTCTTACCACCCATTCACTAGGATATAAGCGATTCCCAGGAAACCCATTCCTTCCAGCCTCGGCCACACCATTGATTTACAATATTCACCTTGGCAAGTGGACAACAACTTACACACGTGGATCCAATCCTCCTGCGCCTGTAACAACTGGCACAGGGAAGCCCAATCCATCACCCACAGGAAATGACGACACGAATAACAAGGGTGGCGGAGGTGGTGGAAGTAACGGAGCTGCGATCGGAGGTGCAGTGGCAGGCGTGGTGGTAGTCGCCGCCATCATTGCATTCTTTGTCGTCAGGAGACGTCGGCAACACCCGACCCATCAACCTATCAACACCAACGATCCTGAAACGACGGCACGACACGATCCCGCCTCGCCCTCGACAGGAAACAATTACAATGAGCCAGGGCACAAGGACGAGCATCATCAAATGCAGTCCACTCAGTACCAAGATCCACAGAGCAGCCCACAATACTACCATGGCCCACGAAGCATACAGCAATACCAGGACCCACACATCAGCGCACCGTACAGCCCTTTGAACGAACATCAGAGTTACCCGAGCCCTCTACAGCAGAGTTACCCCAGCGTTCCACAAACAGCATCGTACTATCCACCACCGCCTCCCCTGAGCTCACCACCTCCTAGTACATCCTCCTACACCATCTCAAAAGATGCTCAGGATCACATCCGACAGCTGGAGCACCAAATTTCACTGGGTGAGAAACAACTCGCCGCCACCACCCAGTACAACAAGAGCAGTAACAACCCACAATACAATCCCGGTTACTCCGAGATACAATCGATGTCACCCGTGCGAGGTCCTCAAGGTACAGGAATTCCTGTTGTGCCGGAGCCAATTTCTGCTGCCGACCATCGCGAGCTGGCCCGTAAGATTGAGAGCATGCATGCTGAGCTCCAGAACCTTCAGTCGCAACTGAAGTTGTGATACCCTCCATCCACCTCTTCACTGTCATGTCACGCAATGGTGACTTCACCATTTTGAGTATACCGCTAGATCCATTTAGGATAATAAAAAAAATGTAATATTCGTCTTTAATTCACTAACTGTTCAGGCATTATTATATGTGAGATATGTGAGTGACAGTAACAACTTACTTGTCATGTTATCGATTCAAGACCAAGGGGTTTAAGGTTTTCATCCGCAACCGTTGTCGTGGATAGAGCAGCAATAGAGGCTGCAATTCTCTCGACGGTGTCGTTCCTGAGATCGCCTCCCGTTTTTTATTTGCTGGTGTTATTGGCTCTGATGTGCTCCGAACGACGATATTCTTTCATCCCCCACCCTGACATGGGTGTGTCTGTCACGTTGATCAGTGCCTATTATGAATAAGTATAGGCGCAGCACAGGTACAGGTGGGTAAGTCGTTGACCAATGAATCAGAGACTAATAGGCGCAGTGATGGATGTGTGATAGGCGAAGTGGTACAGAAATTGATCACTTTGTTAATGACGAATAAGAACGGTGTTGGATATGTTTCGGTCCAGAGACGTGGTAGCAGATGAACAGCGATCCCAATCCGCTTTAAAACAAAGTGATAACTAGCCTATACCACGTTACGAGAGAGAATATGGCCTGGGTAGCCTGTCGACAATGGCGCTGCTGGCAACGTAATTCTGTTGACCTGAAGCTAGGTGGAAACCACCGCTCTCGTCATCATGTGGTTGCTTCAACAGACAGAGCTCACTGTCCCATAGGGGTTTGCGAGCTGTTGCTCCCCCTGCTCTGTGCTGTCCTGGAACCCTTGGTCGCGAGCTACACTAAATGAACGTCCAAAAACAGGGACAAGTAATATTTAGTGGCAGTTCGCATGGTCAAGATAAAGGAGCTAAAACAAGGACTGTCTGCCAAAGCGGCATTTGTGAAGGGCAAAGTGCCGCCCTGTGTGTTCCCGACCATCCAAGTCACGACCAGTGCCTCTGCGCTGTGGGTCCTCATTCAAGTCGCTCGGCCATATGCAGTACCCACAACTAACATCGAGTCGTTCCTTCTGCATCACTTCATTGAGGCCCTTCCCACTTTGATTGCTTCTAGAAGATGGCCACCCGCAGGGTTGACCGCATATGGATCAGCCTTGACTAGCCGTTAGATCATCCTACTTATCCTGGTTTCCATTGACGACTCGAGTGGTCGACTTGTCTCCTGTATTGATCAGTGGACATCCTTTCGAAGTGTAGTGGTATGGAAAGGGGGGGGTTTTTTCCTTGGTTATCGATGTCCAATAAAGTTTGAATCGGACCAGAAAAAGATACAAGTGCGTCTTGCTTGATGGTGGCTCAGGTGCAGTTACTTTGCCTTCTTGGAAGCGATGCTTTTTTTTTTGACAGGATTCTTGTTTTGTTTGATACGCCGCTGCACTGTCCCCCTCATCCAGACGTTGTTTATTTTCAGCCCTATCCTCCCTTCCTCCATTACGCCCACAGCCGCCAGTAGTCTTTGCTCTCACTCTCTCTCCATCTCTCTCAAACTTTTTTGCTCCTGTACCTTTTCTCTACCCGCCACCCCCTCCTGCAAATAGCCAATGCTTGTCCCTCCAAAGCTGAGAGCCCTTACTTGACTTTCAGGAACGTTCTGCCTCCTAACAGCCGACGTGGTGGCGGCACAACTCCTCTCGACCGCCGGCATGGCCTACGCAATCGTCGACGAAAACACCCTATACATCCACGGCGGACAAGTCTATACGTAATTCGGTCCCTCTACGGCTATGAATAATTTCTTCTCCCTTGACCTGGCACAAACCTGGGACGTCTCCGAACCAGCATGGAAGGAACAAAAGTCCCCCCCCCCCCGCCAACCTTGCAAACATATCGACACCTCACGGACACTCCATGTCGGTCGCGCCGGGCGGTCGCCTGTTCACGATGTGGGTCCTAGGCTAATTGGCTGCCAACTACAGCATTCACGAGGATACCTGGTCGCAACCGATGGATGCCGCAACTAAAACTACGTTATCGAACACCGGTATGAAGGCGACCAAAGGATCCAACGACAGGCCTTGTCCACATTCCGGGCTCGGGGACTAACTACAGCACGACAGTCTGTGATTACTCGAAAAAAAAGAAGGGGCTACAAATATGCCTTTGTTTCCCGCCATGAGCACAGCCCCCAGAGGGATTATGCGTTTGCTTGGTGCCAACCTCGAAAGACTTTCTTGATATTCTTGGGCGACTACCTGGACGGATCCAAAAGATGCATTTTTACGAATATCTCCCTTTCGATGGGTAATTGGAGCAACGTGATGAGTTTGTGTCTGTTTAAGTATAAGAATTGGGGCGATGGAGATGATTTTTTTTCTGTCCATGAGCAGACATGCTGACCCCTGTTTTGGTACTGAACTCTTGACAAATAGGTCAAATCTGCAGGCAAAAAGAAAAACAAAGTAGACAGTCTTTTCATTATATACACCACTAGTATGTGAAGAGCAAGTTTCGGTAGAGTAAGAAAAAATGTGGTGCGATCGATCTTTGGAATTTTTATTAGTCGGCTAATTGTGGTGGTGTTAGGGTGGGTGGGGAAGGTGATGTACATTACGAAGGAGGATTATACAAGTACAAGTAGGACGGATTGAGTAGAGTGAAAAAAAAAAAGACAAGCGAAAAGAGATGAAGGAGAGGGGTATGTGCATGTCAATGCGAGGGAAGGGGGAAATGAAGAAAGTTGTCAGGTTCGACTTTGTAGGGGGTGGGTATTTGTGGTTGAATGTGTGTGTGAGGGATCATCCTTCGACCCCTCTTGGTTTGGCGTCTCCATCGTTCCTCTAGACAACTTCAACAGTCTGGCGAGGTCCATCACGGACATGGTACATCAACCGGCTCTCGCGACGGACACCAAAGACGCCAACCTTGTGCGCAACGCCCAACATCGTCTCAGGGTCCTCTGGGTCAGCGACGCCCTCGGAGGATGTCTCCTCGCCTTCCGAAAACGCACTACCGAGCTGACTCTCAGTACCAGTCTCGTACCGCAACACACCCAGGAGCTCGAGCTCCTTTTCGATATCATCATAGTCCCTACGACTGCGTGCTGGAATGCCGGTCTCTTCGTACTTTGCAACCTTCTCTGGATCGACTCCTTGTGCAGACGCGAGGGCGGCAGCGGCACTGAGGATGCTAGACATCAGTCGAGGATCATTGTCAGAGATTTCCTCCTTGTCGTCGTAGTCTTCCTCTGGGGGCTCGTACTCGGGGAACTTGGTATGGCGGTGGACGGCGCAGAAGCTGTTGTGTTGTTCACGGCTGTATTGGATTCGTACTGCGGCCTCGACATTGCCCTGGAGGAGCTTGGCTTGCAGCCTCCAGTCCTCCTCCATGTCGATCCTCTGTTGGAGGGTGTAGTGGTCATGCTTTTGGAGCTCCATCGCAGACTGCTTAACCATGTCAGAGATCTTGGCAGCTCGTCTTTGGATGGCGTTGCTGTCGTCGTCGTTGTTGAACATGTCTGTATCTCTGTCCTTGCTGGCAGGCGAGGACTGAGGGTCGGGATGAACGCGACGGGATTCTTGGAAGGTGGAGCGGATACCCATGGTAGTAGGCTGAGGGTGATGGGGCGCGGTCTCGAAAGTCTCGGGCTTGGTAGAGGAAGGGCTGCCGTGGACATGTTGGGACTCACGGATGGGAGAGAGTGGCGGTGCCTGGAAATGGTCGGACTGGCTGTGGTGGGTATAATGGTTCTTGTTGTAGGTGGGCTCCACATAGGAAAGACGACTGTTGCATCGGCTGTTGCAGCTGGAGGCAGCGCAGCAGCCATTGCCTCCGCTGTTGCGACTATCCTCAGAGCTATTACTCTCGCGACTGAACCTGTTGTAGGGGTTCCTCGAGGCATTGGCATTAAGGAGCTGGTTGGGGATGTAATAGCAACTGGCAAGGGTGCTGGTCTCACTGTGGTTGCTGTGGTGGAGGATGATCCACTCGCGTTCCTCGGGCGTCGCATCGGCGAGTCTTTGAGACAGCTCCTCCTCCGCGACCATCTGCCACAACGCCTTGATCGTTCGTGCGTACTCTTGAGCCTGGTAAAACAGAGAGAATAAAAGAGAGCAAGGGACTTTCTGTTAGCAAAAAAAAACGGGGGTAGAAGGTAGAAGGGCATTCCGATGGTAGCACACAATAAAATGGACGCACAAAATCGCCAAACCCATGTCCTCCCGCTCGCTCTATGCCTTTGTACAGCCTTCCCGAATTTTATGCCCATTTTCCCTTTTGGCCCACTTTTCCATTCTCATGTATTCCCCTTTCTGCCCCCTTGCTTGTTTGTTGACAAAAAAAAATTGTTTGCACATACCACTGTCTCCAGCGCACGAACATGCTCGCTGGAAGGACGGAATCTTGCGGCCATGCCTTTGAATGTGCCCCGGGATGACTGACGTTCCAATTGATGCTCTGGCTGCTTCTGCTGCTGCTGTTCTTGAATCTGGTGGTCTTGTGTCTGGGTCAGGTCCTGGGCGCTCTTGTTGCGATTGGTCCGGGCACGATTCAGGTACCACCGTGCGCGCGCTGAGCCCTTGGTAGTCTCCTTGGTGGTCGACAGATTCGCGAGTTGTATTGATTGGGAATCTGCTGGGAGTGGGAGCGGCTGGGGTGAGATGGGTTTGGGGGGAGGCGTATGCTGGTGAAGGATGCGATTTTGAAGCTCTTGTACTTTTTGTGCCTTGTGGCAGGGGTTCGAAACTTCTGCTGCAGGGGTGTCGTCACTCGCGGTAACAGATCGAGAGGGGGTCGGCTTATATGTTGTGCGAGGAATGTAACTTTGTTCAGGGCTGGAAATAGTATTGAGTTGAGTTGTCCCAAAGAGTGCAGGGTTGTAGGGCAGGTGTGGAAGAGAGACAGAAGCGGTACCGTTGCTTCCTGCCGAAGAAGTCGGTGAAAGCATGGGAGCATCCTTGCCCATGTATCGCCCAGAAGGGTAGTTGGTGGTCGTGCTGTTGCTGTTTACGAGGGTTGTGGTACCAGAAGCAGTGGTTCCAAAGGGTGAAATAGGGCTGCTGGAGAGGGCACGCTGTTTAGAAAGTGCGAGGGCAATGTCGACTGTGGTCGGTGTGGTAGCTGAAGGAGCGGTATAATAGATGGGATCTTTGTTGTGGTAGTTGGTAGAGTTGAGGGGGAAGGAGGTCATGGTGAGGGAGGACGAGGTGGTGGTAGAGAGTGTAGTCTTTTTCTTTTTGGATCCACTACCACTACCACTACCACTACCTCCGCGTTTGTTGAACCATGTCTTTGGACTAACAAAGGGTGCCATCTTTCTTTTTGAGGATATGTGGACGGTCGCTTCTTCTCGAACCGTGTTGTTGTTCTGTGTGGGTGAAATGGCTGGTTAGATAGATGGTGAATGGTGCTTCCTCGGGGGAGGGTGAAGAAGGAAAGGTAGAATGGATGGTCGGGAGGGTAAGAAAGGAAGAGAAGAGGAAGGAGTGAACGAAGAAGGGAGGATGGTCGCGTTTAAAGAGAGAGATATGTGGAGAGAAAAATTAGGAGAGAGATGGATGGAGAGGGAGAGGGAGAGTAGTGAGGGAATAAAGGTACACGCGATAAAAATTAAGTGAGCGAGAACGAAGAGGGGCTGGAAGAGAAAGAGGAGAGAAAACAACAGAAGAAAAACGGAAAAAGAGAGGAATAGAGGAGATGGAAAGTGGCGTAATTATAAAGGAAAAAAAAGCGAATCGCAGAACAGAAATAAAAAAAGATGTTGTCAATGCGAGAAAGAGGTCTATGTATGTGAGAGAATGAGAGAGAAAAGAGGGAGAGAAGAGAGACAAAAGAGAGGAGAGAGGAACGCAATGCAATGGTACAATTGTTTGTCGGTTGTTGTTTGTTTTGTTGTAGTTGAATTGAGGGGAAGGGGTGAACTGTGTTATGTGTTTGGTAATGCAACAGTGAAAGAAAAAAGTGAGCACAAACAGCAATGAGTAAATCAAACAATGCTCTGAATGTCTGACTGACTGACTGACCGATTGAATGCTTTCGCTTATTGTTTGCTTTCTTAAACGATTGAACTGAATGAATATTGCTGTGAACAACAAAAAGATAAAGATAAAGCCAACGCGCAAGGCAAGCAGACAATAAGGGAGGGAGAGAAATACAGGCCACCACCAGACGTGGGAGGGGAAGAGAAGAAGAAAAGAGAGAGAGGCGCGTTATAGCCAGAACTGAGCAATTGGAGGGAAGGGGCAACAGTAGGTGAGGAAGACAAACTGGCTGTTGTTGAGTGTGTGTGTATGTGAGTGAGAGAGGGATCAACCGAGCAATCGGGGATCTTGCCTACTGCTATTGCTATTTTGCTTTGCCTTGCTTTACTTTGATTGCTTTGATTGCTTTCGTTGCTTTTTTTTTTTCCTTGGCTATTATTATGGTGCCAATACGGATAATACAGGGTCTGATACTTGTGATCTAGGCAATGGTCGCTGCCGATTACGTAGAAAGTTAATATGGAAAATAGAGGGAAGGAAGAATAAAAAGTGGAGGAAATGACCGATGATGGTAAGAATAACAGTCGATGTCAATGGGATGGGGAAGATGGTTGTAGAACGCCAATGGTATTTGTCCGTCTGTCTGTCTACTTTGGCGTCCGAGCAGTTGAGGGAGGGAGACCAACATATGGGATGAGGACGTATCCTTGTAGGTACCCATTGAGACCTTGTTGTTGTTCTTCAATCATCTATGCTTCGACCATGTATCCTTGCATTATCCACTGCAAAGTAGACTCGAAACAATCGCCACTGGGCATGGGATGTGGATCAAACGTACATGGATGACAGTACATGAATAAGGGCATCGAGGGTCGAACAGGAAACAGAAGGATAGAATGGGGATCGCCTCCCCTTCATCCATCTCATAGTTTACTAAAGGCACTGCACTGGTAGCACTGTTGGACCCATCCATGCCGTGAGACTCATGGTTCAAGGGTTGCATCCCTTCATAAATTACACTGAAGTCATGGAGACAACAACTCACCCGCCATCCAATGGACCGACAGAGAGATTGTAGAAAGACGCATTTGAACCAAATGGATGAAGGAGAGAAGAAGCAAAAGTATGCTAACAAGTGACCCATAGCATGGCTACATAGGAGAAAAAAAGGGGGGTGAGAGAGAGAAGCGTGAAATAAGCTGCGTGCATGTTGTAACAGACACATCGATGTTTGCGAATTGGGTGTATGAGCAGGCAACCATCCATCCTATCCGTGCCATGCCATGCCATGCCCAATACAAAAGCTGCAATTTCTTGCCAGGCAGAAAGACCGTGATTGCATGCAGACAAGGACAGAAAAGAAGAGCAAAGGCAGATCTGTCTCATTTCGTGTAATGGCGGTGTTCAATGGGCCGGTGGCCCCACAAAAAAAAAGAGAGCGCCATTGCCGCACTTTTTCTCTTCCACACTTACACACATGGGTCTCTGTTGTTGTTCAACTTTTGTTGATGATCTTGGATGTTCTGTCGACCCATCGTCGTTCCTTCCTTTTCCTTTATGTTTCTGATGGATAAGGCAACAACAAAAACGATGCAATGGTGCATTGGTCATTACATAAATCGGCTTCAAATTTTCAAAAGGAACGTGAATAAAGGAAGAAAAAGTAGTTCATCAACAAGCAGCTTAATGACCGCAAACAAAAGGCAAACATTATGACGACCGATGCTTTTTAATTTTTTGTGTAGCGATCGATGTCTTGACCGACCACAAAAAGAAAACGAGGGTATTGGTTGTATATCCCCGAGACGATAGACAGCCAAGGCGTATGGTCACACACACATTGACACACACACATGGGCCAAGAAGTTTTCTTTTTTGCCTTGTTGTGCCTTTGTTGTGCGTTCCTGGTCTTGGTCTTACATTCCCTCCCGCTAATTTTTTTCCATCAAAAAGCTCATTGCTTCCTATCATTCTCCCTCCCTTTTTTTTCTTCTCGCTGGCCCCACTATGTCTGTCCCTTCGTTCTATTCTTTTAACGCTCACTCACAGCTATTTTTCTCGCTCTCTTTTCTTTCCAATGGTTTTCGATTCATGCTCTACTACATCTTTTCGTTCTCTGTTGATTATTTTCTATAACTGACAAAGAGAAGATAAGCGCTCCTTCGACATCCCTTTCTTTGTTATGCCGCTCTCCCTACGCACCCCCCTTATTTCTCATGGCTCATGGGTGGTCAATGTGCCCCTTCAGCGCCTTTGTACGACCGCACCTCGAAATTCAGGAGGTTAGATCTGATCTCTCTTCTTCCTTCCTTTCTTCTCTGCCCTCCCTTATCCCCCTTTCTCATGTTGGTTGGACCCAAACAACCCGACCCTGAGAAACAACACAGGCCCACAGTTCCAAAGTAAGTGACTGACAAAGACAAGAGAGGTCGCTGCATTCTTTTCCCTAAACTCTATTTCACCGCTGTCGTGACCCCTTTCTCCTCCCTTGTTCCATTACTCCTTGTTCCTTGTTCCTTATTTTTCTTGTCGTTGTCTCTCCAATAGTTCACTCCTAACTCCTCTTCCTCATCTTGTCTAGCCCTTTCGCGCTATGGTCTATCAGAGTATCAGAGGAAAGAAATCGGACCGCGACTGAAGTGAAGAATAAGAAACTAGAGACAAAAAAAAAATCCATAGCAACTGCAGTTGCCTCCACGTTTTTCGTGTTTTTCCAGAACCTTGGAGAAAAGCAGAAAAAAAAAGGCGAAACTCTATATGGCGGAGTCTAATACATAGCAAACATGCAAGCCATTTTTTTTCTCTCTCTCTCTGCCATCCATCGTGTCATGCCATGCGATGTCATGTCATGTATCCGAGCAAATATACATAAAAAAAAAGGCATATTTAGGGAAGAAGGGCATGTTGCTGGGCGGCGGATCAGAACGATCCGTCGTGAGGTTAAAAAAAATCTCGAACGATTTGTTTGCTGCCTTTTTTTCGGGGTGTACAGTACATGCACTGTACATGCTCAGTAAAGAGTGTGCTTGTTTGTGTGTACGCGTGTGTTAGGTATTGTCGTATGTGTGCGGCCTGGCCTGACTGACTGATTAAAATTTGCCCCAAGGCACGCGTCGATCGTGACAATCGACAGACATGTATACGGCTATTAACTCTGGGTGAGGATAGTACGGCTGACTCGACAAGCAATAAGCAAGACAAACAAGTGAACCCTGCACCTTTTGAACCCATTGTTTGTCACCCAACAAGGGGGGGTGGTCTGGTAATAGAAAGCGACAACCAGGTCTTACACATAACTAAAAAAAAAACAAAAAAATGATGGGAGTTGTCAAGGAGTTGTTTTTCGACTCGACTATAGACCAACAGACAGAAGGAATGGAAAAACAAAACAAAAAATAGATATTATCCGACATTAACGATTTTTTTTCTCGGAGAGACAGAGAGGACGGAGAGAGAAAAGGAGGGAGACAAGGAGAGAGAAAATAGACGGGCGTTGGATAAAAACAAGGGGGTGAGAGAGGGATAGAGTGGTAGGAGCAGTATGAAGAGGGGGAGGGACAATGCCAACTACGGGAAGGGGAGCGACATAGCAAGTACAGAGGCCCAGACAACTCTCCCAGTCCTCCTTCTCCATGTAAAGCTAAGCAGAGCAGAAGCGAAAGGCAACAGGTCCCATGTCCCCAACGCACATTTATTGAGCACGGAGGAGGATGTAAGAGCATACACTGCTAGAGAAAAAAGCAAGCAGACAGAAAGAAAGCAAAGAGGGGGATGAAAGTAAGGGGTTAGATGAATGGAAGATGGGTAAGAGGAATAAAAAGAACATCCTATCTTGCACCAACACACAGCATTGGATGGCATAGAGTGGGATGGTAGAGGAGGAGGGGGCTGGGGGTGCATCTTCGTTTTGAGACGTTTCCACGGTCCCTGCATCTATTATTGAATCTGCACCTCCTTCTCCAAAGCACCAAGGAAAAAAATGTTAGCATCAAGAGTAGAGAGAGGGAGCGACTATTAGTGAATGAAAAAAGGCGTGGGAGTCGGTCGGGAAAAAAAAGAGGACCACCACCAACAAAGTTAATTGCGAACCTGTTTTTCCTCTCACCCTGGAGGGACCTCCAAGGGTGGATGTGCCCTGTCTACCCTATCTCGAGAGCTAATTGCGCGATGCACTCCTGCATTCACCCTTCCTCTTCTCTCCCTACTCCCTGCCCCCTGTTTCCGAATCTCCCTCCTACCATCAACATACACCTTCAAAACGCGTTCTGAAATGAAAACGACAAGATCAAGTAGTCACCAACCAATTACGCCACGTCCCCGCTTAACGCGCCTTTTTTACTCTATCACTTCGCGAACATTTATTTGTCAATCACATCACACATACTAATTGTTGATCATTTGAACGCGAACCGTTCCATTATTCTGTTACCAACAGACCGACAGAGCGGCCAATCTACCAACCTATCAATATACCTTGGTTCAAGTATGTATGTACTGTACACCTTCCCCTACATATCGCTCATATCAACCTACGAGAGCATTGGACATACCCACGAACAATGACTTCACTTCACTGCGCGGCGAGGGGCCTATTACCTCAATTGATGCACGCCGTTCAAGCAGGGAAGAGGCAAGCCGCCAATCCCACAACACTTGCATTCGCAATCCGCTTACATTGCATTTCGAGGCTCTCTATCACTCACTCTCACACACACACAATCACCGAGCGCCCAACCATCCCTGCCTTAACTGAGGACGAAAAACACAGAGAAACAGAACGGCTCTCGTTGTCTCATTCTTACACACCAACCTCCCCTACCCTACTACCAACCTTACTCGACCCCATCTATCCTCACCGACATTAATTGGAAGTCTTGAACTAATACAAAAAACGAGGTGTGAGTACGTGTGGTCGAGTTCGGTGCCCAAGAAAGCCGGCGAGTAGAAGCAGAACGATAAGAAAAGCCATATACCTTTTTTTACACTGATTCAAAGATATCATGCTGTACGACATTATGATTTTCTATCTTCCCCCTCCCCTCGCACTCCCAACTCCCTAGACTGCCAGCAACCCCTCCCAAAGCTTCAAGAAACATGAAACACTTTCTACCCCCCTTTCTCCAGTTCAATTGTATCTTCTTTGAACCATGCATCGTTCCCTTAGTTCTTTCAAGTCAGCATGGCGCCCAGGGAGACCCCATCCAACAGCCCCAAATCACGGTTTAGGCCCATCCCTTCTCAACTCAACCCAACCCGGGGCACCAAAGGGGGACCATGAAAACATAAACATATTACCCCTTCCCCTGTCGACTGCTGGTTCCCATGAACAAATGCCAAAAAACCAACAACAATGTGTAAGCCGCCATAGAATGACGAGTTCGCGCGGCTGTTTCCTCTGTCGAATAGAATGCCACCGGCACGTCACTCAACGTGTCTCAATCTGACCGTCCCATCTTTCCTCCCCGGTAACGTGGAAAACAAACGCGCCATCTCTCCAACAATCATTTTTTTCATGTCGTAAAAACGTGGCGAAGTCAACAATTGAACAGTAAAAAATGGAATAATGTCGTTGTTTATTCATTTTGCTCATTCCTTGGAATCTACAACGCTAATCGCTTCAGAGTCACAAACAAGGGAACAACTAGAATGTCCAAACGACAAAAAGAAAATAGAAAGAAAGAAGGGGATAGAAAAAGAATAGGAAACTGGGGAAGGGGGGAAGGGGGAAAAGGGATAGGGGAATGGGGAAAGGGGGAAGGGGGAAGGGGGAAAGGGGGAAGGGGGAAGGGGGAAGGGAAAGGGTGAAAGAAAGAAAGAAGGAAAAGAAAAGGTGTGATGATCATCTAGGCGGTAGGGGACATCGCTCGAGAGACCATCGTAACGGAAAGAAAAGGTGCTGGGCTTGAAGGGTTTGCTAGAGGAAACTTGATGACTGCTATCAGTGGGCCATGCTCCTGCACGAGCAGGTGGGGGTCTTGTAATACGCGTTTTGCTGTTGTAGTTATAATTGTGCTTAGATACTGTTGCTCTTGGTGTTGTTTGTTGTTGGTGATTGACTGTGGCTGGTTCGAGTTTTTGTGAACCAGATTGGTGGCGAGAGAATGTATCTGGTGTTGGAGTTTCGAGGTGCTGGTAAGAGAAAAAAAAGGTCCGAGTATGGTTTGTGTTTGTGTTTGTGTTTGTGTTGTTGTCGAGGGCTGTTTGAAAGGATGTTTGTTTCTGTCGATATCGTGGGGTTGTTGAATCACATCCTAGTTGTGTCCTTGCAGCTCTGCCTCCTTTCTCAAACGTCTCCTGATGCTACGTTATCTGCTGTTCGTCTTTTTTTCCGCCTGGTTCCTAGGGGAAAACATCTTCCACGAAAACGTTCTTGTTGGACTTCTCCCAAAACTTCCACATATGATGGGCCTCAAGGCACTCGGTGACAAAAGAGTGTGTAAAACGGATCTGGGTGACGGCTCGTGGCGTTGACGGTGGTAGAGGTTGGCGCCAGATAATAAAGGAAAATAAGGGAAAGGAAATAATGACCAAAGGGGAAACATAAAAGGAAGAGTAGAGTACACGGGAGTAAAAAAAAGAAAGAAACGACAGGATACCAATAATGTACAAGAGGGCTAATAAAACAACACAGAATCAAACTGCGAAGAAAAACTGGCACTGAAAAAGAAAAAAAAGCACAAAGAAGGACGAGGAGAAAGAATGTACACGAAAGACTCTGCAGAGGCGAGAAAAAGATTGGCTTGCGGAGGAATAAAAGTAATCAAAAGAGTAAAACATTCCTTGGCATGCAACATTCGTCCAACAAAGACTGTGCAACCTGTGAGGGGTAGAACGAAAAGGTAGAGAAAAGTAAAAAAAAAACAAAGAACGAAAAGAAAAAGAAAAAGAAAAAATACACCAAAAAATTGCATGCAAGGAACGGGTTCCTTTCTCGAGGAAACAAATAAAGAGAAAGGTGGGTATGCAAGTACGCAACAGCAAATGGCAATGAAAAAGAATAAAGGTAAAGATGAGAAAAAGCGAGAAGGGAAAGGTGGTGGGCTGGTCGACAATGGGGTGGGTTGCTGAAAATGCAGTCGACAATGGTTGAATCCTGACGGATCCGCTTTACTGACTCGGAATCTTCAGCAAGTTGCGGATGTTCTGGCTAATCTCCATCAGCTCATCGGTTCCATGCATCGAGGGTCCATCCATGGGGTATCCTGAAGTTGCCATGCGTTCGGGGACCTGGTAGTTGAAGCCCATGTTGAAGCTGTGGGCTGGCATGGAGTGGTGAGCGGTCCATCCACTGGTCTCGGACTGAGTTCGCTGAGGGCGAAGGCTGTTCAACTGAGGAGAAGAAGCCTCGGCAAAGAAGGGCGAAGCAGGCAACTTTTCGACTGCAGGTTCAACGGGGCTGTTGCCCCATGAGCGAGCAAATGCAGGGATGGGGAGGCTGGTGGGAGCGGGCGAGTTGTGGAAGGTTGGTCCAGCATAGAGGGTGCTCTTCTTCTCCGCAGCAACGCGGTCTGCCAACATGATCTTGTCGGCCGATGTAGCCTTGGTGACATTAGGACGAAGAAGGCCGTCTCCCATATCCGTGGGGAATGCCGAAGCCGAGCCAAAGCTGGGCTTGCGGCTTCCGTACTGCTGCTGTTGGTAATGGTTGTGCTGCTTCTGCGGCGTAGCCATGCTAAAAAAGTCATTTTTGAAACAAAATAGGGTTGTTGTTAATCATGAACATTCCTTCGCTGCGGCGTGTGCTTCCGACGGACATATCGGTGAGTCGGAGTCCGTCATCATCGACATACCCTTTGCGAAGCTGCGGCACCACAGGGGCTGAACTGGGGCGCTGAGGAGGGCTGACAGAGAGGACCCCCCCGTATCCTTTAGGGAATTGACCGTTCTGGCGACGCTGCGAGTCCTTGTGGGAGCGGTGAGTAGGGTGGGAGGTCGCAGACTCGGAGTCATCCGAATCAGTCGAAGAGGGAGGGCTTGAGGGGTTGAGAGTAGGGCTGCTCTCGTTCAAAGCAGCGTCGGCAGCGTCGGCCTTGGCCATGGACTCGGAACCGGAGGTGTCAATGTCCCTACGGCCCTTGCGCGATCTCTGCTTTGCAGGTGAGCCATTGTTGTTGTTGTTCTGCTGCGACTGACCTTGACCCTGGGAGCGGGGCTTTTGGTTTCGCTGCTGGTGCTGGTGCTTTGGCGAAGGGCTCTGGAGGAGCTGAATGCCTGAAACGATAGGGGTTGGGGCAGGGGCGGCCACGGTGGCAGAGGAGCGTTTCAAGATTGTCACATTGTTCGTGCTGCTGTTGTTGTTACCCTTGGTGTTGTTGTTGGTGTTAGGGGAGCTGCTGGCGGAAGGAGTGCCAGACGAGGACCGCTGTTGGGCGGGCATGGACTGATGGCGGGCGTGAGTTTGGGCGGGATTACGTGGCTGACGGTTGTTGGAGCGACCAGAGGATTGCTGGGTAGAGGCAGTCTGGTTCTGATTCTGGTTTTGAAGGCCTACAGTGATGGCGCTCTTTCTGTTCTGCTGCCTTGGGGTCTTTGGGGTTACGGGTGATGAGACGACGGCGGGAGCAGGGCTAGGGCTCGATATCGTTGCGGGTTGAAGCATGGTGATGTGAGAGTGATATGATAAAAGAGGGGAGGGGGGTGATTGTGCGTTGACTATAGGGGAAGGAAGGAAGAAAGGTGGGAGGGGGTGAAAGGATTAGTATCGAGAAGGAAGGAAAGAAGGAAGGAAGGAAGGAAGGGGTGTGATGGGTGATGGTATTGGGATAAAGAGGAAGAGAAAAGAAAAGGAAGAAAGGAAGAAAGGAAGAAGGAAGAAGGGAAGAAAAGGAAGTGCAGGAAAAAGGGATAAAAGAGCGGGGAGAGATCGGGAGTGCTCTTTTGTTATTATTTTTTCCTTTTTACACGAGCGCAGAGCGCAGACCAGCCTCTTCTTGGCCTGGCACATATACAAAACATGAACACACACCGTCCATGGGTTTCGTTTTAACGAAGTGCTCAATCCTCTTTCTTGTTTGGCTGCTCACAGAGAGATAAATCGGAACTGGGCTAACAGACCAGTCGGACTAACAGCGACGTACACAATAACAAGTTAAAACAAAAAAAAAAGGAGGGAGAGCACCAAAGACATGACACAATATGAGAGCAGAGGCAGAGGCAGAAGCTGCATAGCCAGAGAGCGAGTGCGTTTCTCTCGTGTCGAAGGAAAGGGTGGTGGTTATTGCTGTTCATGTGTGTGGCATGATATGGTATGATGGTTTTGAATAAGAACACAAAAGAGGAGAAATAAGAACGGAACAATAATAGAAGCTGGCTTATGGCAGGTTGCATAGGTGGTTGTTGCGTACGATGGTTGATAGTAATAATAATAATAATAATAATAATAAGTTGTTGTTCTTGTTGCGTGGGGTAACAGAGGAAGTAAAAGAACCAGAGAGAGGGAAAAGGGATCCACAGGTGAACAGAGTCGGGGTGGATGTAGATATTTCTTATTCCTTTTCTCTTCTTTCTGGGTTGAATAAATGATACACAAAAGGCAGTTTGGCAGAGGAAGGGAGGAGGGGGTTCTGAAGAAGGGGAGGGTAATAATGCATAATATGTGCATAATATGTATACATACATTGGGGGTTTGGGCGTGTTGGTTAAGAACAATAAGGAAGTGAGAGATGTGAATTGGATTGTGAAAAGAGAGAAAATGACCTATGACACTGAAAAGAGATGAAGAAACTGGCGAAGATATTCACCAAGGAAATAAGTGGCGAGTGAGTGAGTATATACAGGTGAAGGTAGGCTTGGCGAGAAGTAGTGGTGTGTGGTGTGTATGCAAGTGCAGACTGGAGTGAGTGGGCTGGGCGAGGTTTGTTAGAGGTGGAGGTCAGAGAGGTCTAAAAAAGAAGGGGTGTGTGATGTATGGTTCTAAAGGGGGCAAGGAAGAGAGTGTGACCCGAAGATCCCGTGATTTGCTCCTTTGTTCGTTGTTGGCTTCTTTACCTTTGCGCACACACACACACATTTTCTCTCTCTATTTGTGTCTTTCATATCAATATCAAATGTGACCCGATATTCAACAACACTGCTGAATGGGCTGTTGGAAGTAGCTGGTTGAGATGAGAATAAGCTTGTTTGTCTCTTTCTTCTTTTTTTGTTTCTTTAGTCTTGCCTCTTTGAAAAGATGGAAGAGATGCGATGGAGGAGGAGGAATAAAGAGAGTGGCCGAAGGCGAGTATATTGTCATGGTAGTAGGATCAGACTCCAGCCGAGAAATATGTGTTGCAAGTAAGAGTGCACTAGGGTGAGAGTGAGGATTTGTTACCTTGTGCAATATGAATGACAAAGTGAGTGGCGACTGGTGGCGGAAGAATAAGAAAAAAAAGAAAGGAAAAAGTCGAAGTAGGTGAAGGGAATTACGTGTGTGGAAGGAAGTGACTGAATGATCAACAAAAGAACATTCAATAGGGGAAGGAAGACAAGGAACGAAAGGAGAGAGTAAGGATGAAAAGGATGAAGGTGTGAGGGTATCAACTTTTTTCTTGCAAGGGAGAAGGAAGGATGATGATAGAGGAGTAGGAGAGAGTGAGAGTGAGCGTGTGTGCGAAAGAGGGAGTGAGTGAGTGAATGAGCGGGAAAGAGAGAACGAGTGAGAGTGAGCGAATGTGAAAAGTGAGAAGGGAGAGAACGAAGATGGGTCAAGAGGAGAGAAAGAGTGAAAAGAGGCCAAAAAAAAATGACACGAAGTGTCTCTCCATAATTTTACGTCCACCGCACTTCTATTTTTTCTGTACGTGAAAAAAGTCATTGTCTGAACCACAAAGAGACAAAGATCCAGTTAATAACCCTCTTCGAACCACAACCAGCAAGGTTTTTGTGTATTTGAATCAAGTTTATTCATAGATGAAAAGGTTGTGTAGATGGGGGCGTCGTTCTGTATCGTAGTCGTTTCTCTTTGGAGGAAGAAGGGGTGATGCAAAAAAAGTAGAAAGGCAAGTAGAAGAACTCAAAGGCTTTTTACTCCATGCCGTTGTCAGCCTTCAATGAGGAGCGACCAGCTATTTGGATAAAGAAAGAAGGTTAACAAAAGCATGTCAGGAGCAGTTCAATTGAACACAGCAATCATTCAATATCAACAACGTCAAAAAAGATAGGTTACCTCTCATCATCTCGTCGACAAGCAAAAAGTTGGTGGCAATCACAGAGGCGTTCTGCATCATGTTGCGGACAACACGGTAGTTGTCCCAGATACCCTCGGCAACAGGGTCCAATGTCTCGCCGCTCTGAAGATCAACACCAACGATGTGGCCCTCCTCGTACTCCTCCTGCATCGTCACAATCACATCCATAGGGTCGAATCCTCCGTTCGATGCCAATGTCTTGGGAATGACCAACACTCCCTCAGCAAAAGATGTGATTCCAGCCTTGACACGGCCCTTGACGCTATCCTTGAACTTCAACAAGTGAGAGTGAAGTGCGACCTGGAATGCTCCTGCTCCTGGTACCACCATACCATCCTCCAAAGTGTTCTTGACAGCGCGGAGACCATCGCGAATGGCATCCTTTGTCTGGTGAATCGTGTGAGGGTTAGGTCCTATTGGTTGTAGTGGTGGTAAAAGGGTTTGGCTGTTAGCATGGTTGAAATCTAAGTCTTACAGCCTTGCTGGAGCGTATATCCACTGCCCACAACAAAAATAATGAGAATAACAACAGTCAAAAAGAGAGAGTGGAAACAAGAAGCAAGAAAATTCAAGGATAGTGAAAAGCACAAAGAACAAACAACGGAAAGGAAGCAATCAAAAAGAAAGAATAACAACAGACAACAGCCACAGAACAAAAAAAAATATTCAAGAAAGACAATGGACGTACCCTTGATGAGAATGGTGGCGGAGCTGGGCTCCTTGACGTCCTCGACAAAGGTAAACTTCTCCTCGCCCAAGGTGTGCTCGTAGATCAAACCGGCCCATCCGAGGACATCGGGCGACAAGTCGTCGACCGAGTTCTGGGCAACACCTCCGCAAATCAATTGCATACGCTCCATATTTCTTCTCTTGGCGCGGCGAAGGGCAAAGATGCCGTTCTTGGCCAAGACATCCAACGACAGGGGATCGATACCCTTCTGGTTAATGATGACAAAGCCCTTCTTCGAGTCACCGCAGACCTGTCTCTTCAACTCGACAACCTTCTTCAGCTTCTCGTCCACAAACTTGCGCTCAGACTCGACCAACTTCTCTCTCTGCTCAGCAGAGCTGTAGAAAAATCCAGAGTTGACCTCAGACTTTTCATACTCCAGCGACACGTTGAGGGTGAGAACAAAGGCATCCTTGACGCGCTTGGGCATATCGGGGTGGCGGGCTCCGTGATCCATGACCAAACCACGAACCAAACGGGTGTCAATCTCGCTCCTGTGCTGCATGGCCATGATCTCGACCATGTGCAAATCAATGGGCTCGTTCTCGCGGTAGATAGTCAAAACAGCATCAACAACAGCCTCAGTCAAAGTATCAGCCAAGGTGCGGTGGACCTTGGTGCGGAGGGAAGTGCGGGCGACCGACATCAACAACTCGCGATCAATCTCCTTCTTCACAGCGAACGAGTCCAAGAACTAGTGTATATTGAATGAAGAGCGTAGATTAATGTTAGTAACATGTCTCTGCATTTTATGTAACAAAGAAATAAGAATTCCCCGTGATTTTGGGCGCAACACCTACGTTGAGAGACTCCTTCTTGGCGAGCTCGAATCCCTCTGTGATGATACGGGGGTGAAGACCCTCGGCAATGTGGCGCTCAGCCTGCTTCATGAACTCTCCGACGAGCATGACGATTGAAGTAGTACCATCTCCAGTAATCTCATCCTGAGCTGTTGCTGCGCGGGCGATCATGGCGGCAGTAGGGTTTTGGATTTGCTATCAGGTTAAAGGGAGAAAGACGGCGAAGAATGTATTGAGAACCATTGAGTTAGCGAAACGACTGAATCAACAGCGTACACAGATATATAGTAGACAGTGGTAACAAAACACATAGATGGAGATCAAGGGTTTCGTCCTTCCAATCATAGTTGGCTCCCCCTGAAAAAAAAACGCCTTACCATCTCGCTTAAAAGAACCTTGCCGTCCTTGGTCAACTTGATATCGCCAGCGCCGCTAACCAACATCTTGATTGTTCCCTTGGGACCGAGGTTGGAGCGAACAACCTCCATCAGGCCAACGGCACCATTGATGTTCAACTGCAAAGCCTGGCCACGGCGGGCAACCTCCGAGTTGGGGTTGATGAGAGAGACAGCGGATCCTCCAGACCTAGAATGGGAAATGGCGGTTGTGTCAGCATGGTTTATGGTTGTGATGTGCCAGTGTTCTTGAGTGTGTGCACACACGGAAGGAGAGGGGAGGATGTGAGAAGGAGGGGTACGGCATCATGTCGCGCATGGCGTGTTGGGGTAGGAATGGTGTCGTTAAGGATGTGTCGTTTGTGTGTTTGAGGTCGTGTCGCTTTGGTGTCAAGGCACACCGAAGCTGAATGCGCCTCCAGGGGAGAACGAGCTGATCCCTGTTTAAAAAGTAAGAAAGAATAACCGTGTCGTTCCTGGCTTTTACTTCGAGACGAGTAGAGAAGTGAACGGACGCAAGAGGAGTAGTTGTTCGCCTTGGTGTGGTGTTGTTATAGTCTTGTCTCCAAGTCGCCAGGTGGGGCAATAGCAGGATGTGTTTTGCCCACTTACATGATGATGGATGTGAGTGTGTGGGAGAAGAGTGAAGGGAGGAAAAGTTGATCAGTTTCAAGAAAGTCGCGACTGACTGATATAAAAAGAGGAGGGACAGCGAGATCGCTTGAACACTCAAAAGAACGACATAGAAGTAATGAAATTGAAAAACGTCGATGTCGATCTCATGGTAGATAAAATTATTGTGTTTACTGTGTTTTCTTTGGATCTCTATCTTGCCTATGGAGCTGCGGGCTCCTGGGGTAGCACTTGTTGCTCTGTTGGTGTCGCTTGTTGGTCTCCCGCTGTTGGCACCTCCACAATCACTCCTGCTGTTTCTGATACTGCTGCCGTTGGCTCTGCCACTAGCTCAACTACTGGCTCTGGTGCTGGTACTACAGGGGATGCTTCCTCTGTATTCAATGGTGTGGCCGAAGAGGGTTCCAGCTCGGTCACGGTCACAGTCGACGCAACATCGTGTTCAGGGGCTGCTTCGATATGTGCCACAGGAGTGTGTGCTTGCGCGTGCGAGTGCTCGACATGGTGTTGGTGAACAAATGCCTGAGAAAATTGCTCCTGGTGTCCATCTGCATATGAAACCGTAGTTCCTCCGCTCTCCTCTCTATCTGTCACCGTCGTTCCATACGCATCAGTCATCGATGTAGTGTAGCTGGTCGATGTTGTCGTCGTCGCATGATCGCCCTCACCCACAGTGCTGGTAAAGGACTGCTGCACAAACGTCTCTCCAACAACAGGCTGGCTTTCAATTACATCGACCGCCATGGTAGCATCATCGTGTGACTGGATGGTGGAGGTAACTGGAGTGGCTGATTCCGAAGTGATAACGGCAGCGGGCGTGGCAATAGGTGTAACAGTCTCAACATGAACTTCCATAGGGACCTCCGTTGGAGCTACAATGGGCGTGAAAACAGGCGTCTCGGCAGGGGTCTCGGTAGGTGTCTCGATTGGCGTTTCCATGGGAGTATCAATGGGTGTCTGAAGGGTTCCCTCAACAAGAGCTTCGACAGGAGCAGCCACGAGGGTTTCGACAGGGGCAGCAATGGGAGTTTCGATAGGGGTCTCAAGAGGAGTTTCGGCAGGCGTTTCGACAGGAACAACAATAATTGGTGTAGATTCGACAGGGGCAACTGGAGTTGCTTCGATTACTGGAGGTGCAGGCTCAACAGGTGTAGGCTCAAAGGTCGCATGCTCGATGGGTGCAGGGGGTGCCTCCTCCATGACAACATCAGCAGGGACGGGGGCAGCTTGTACGGGTACCAAAATGGATGCTGGAACCACCTCAGCTACTGGAGTTGGTGCAGGAACTGGTTCATGTGCAATTGTGGGTACTGATGCTGTCACTGGGGCTGGTGCTGTCGCTGGGGTTGGCGCTGCAACAGGGACTGGCGCGTCGACTGGGGCTGCTGCCACTTCTACTGATGCAAGTCCAGTCGCAGGTGCTGATGTAGATGACAAAACTGGCATAGTTGTTGGTTCTGTGGCGCTTGTCATGATGGTGTCCTGTTGTCCGGCCAAAACAGTATTCTCTGGTGCAGCAGCGATTACCGACCCATCCACCTCCATAGCTTCAGTGGCTGCAACGGGTGCAGCAGGCGCTCCTCCGTTGACACCACCAGCAGTAATCTGAGCAGGCTCCACAACCTCCTTGGGAAGACGAGCAGCCTTCAGTTCAGGTGTGCGAGAGAGTTCATCCTTGGGAAGGTCCACTTGACGAAGAGCAGTGTAAGGCTGAACTGCCATTCCCTTGAATGTCTCCACTCTCTCATTAGCAGCAAACACTTCCTATAATAACATATTTCCGTAACAAAAACGAAAACGGTTCAGTAACGCTGGCTTGCGATAGGCATCCAAATATAACTTTGCTGCAGTTCTCACGACCAACACGCACCTGGGCAGTGGTAGCCTGCTTCAGCTCTTCCAGTCCTTTGTAGAGCACGGTCGCCTCAGCCTTGAACTTTTTGATCTTCTCGGTGTGCTCAGTCTTGGCGGCATCCAAATCGTCGTTGTGCTTTTCGCTCAAGGACTTCAAAAAGGCGATCGACTGCTGGAACTCTGGCTGAGGAGGAATGATCCTAGCTAATAGCAGCATAACCACACAAATCAATGTTAAGAAAACATTCCTTCGTAACATGCTCCGTACAATTTCGCTCTCCAGCGCGCAAACTTCAGAGCGATCTAAAAACATATGACGACCACTTACAAGTTGGATAAGGAGAAAAGACCTCGGCAATGTAGTCGTGATTCCTCTTGTAGCGTGCAACAGCCACATCCTTGGCCGTCAAAAAGTCCAATTCGTCGCCTGAAGGTTCTTCTGCATCCTCTTGGGCCTGTGCCTGTTGCTGAGCCAACACCTGAGCATGCTGCTGGGGAGTCATCTGTGGTTGCTGGTGCTGCTGTTGTTGCTGATGCTTCTTGTGGCTGGACTTCTTCTCGTGTCTCTGGCTTCCGTATGCTCCTGGGTTCACAGATGCCAATCTCTGAGGTCCAGCCTGTCCTCCAGGAGGTCCAGGAACGGGCGCGGGAACAGCTGAGAAACGACCATAGTTGCCGGGAGCCTGCTGGGGTGAAGCGGGGGATCCGTTGATGGGCGAGCCGGCGTATGGGCTGGCCATCTTGGGTGGCGCTTGTTGAGGCCTGTATCCCTGTGGGTATCCCTGCTGAGGTGGTTGTTGAGGTACTGGAACGGGTCCTGGGATGCCAGGGATAGGCTTCAATGGGTATTGGCGGACAGGTGTCCTTGCTCTGCGTGCATCCACAACCACGGAACCTATAAAGTACACGACAAATGAAAAGGGTCAATACGAAGACTTGCAAGAAGTAGACACTGGTGATCATGGCCACCAACTGGCCTGAAACAGGTACTGGTGCAACAAAACAAGAACTTACGACTAAGCTCTGCCTTGGCGTAGTGCAGAAAGGCGAGGGTATCCCGTCCAGGCTGGGTCAGCGTGTATCGTCGTCGAACAATGTGTGTGTACTGGTCTCCTGTCGCGAATCCTTGCGACCGTTCCGTGATGCTAAGTCTCTATTAGACAAAAACATACATAATAACGCGACAACAAACGTACATGTCGTTAGAACTCTCCGTGTATATACGCCTCGTTATTCCTTGTCCGCTACTGTAGGTGTTTGTAGCCATGATCCTCAACGCGTTCCGGGCTCTCCAGTTTGCTTTCTTACAGGGTCGCCGGGGTATCCATATGCGACCTCGTCATCCATGTACTGGAAGCTAGTGGTTGAAAGGAGATGAACCGCAGAAGCATCAGGTTTTGCATTCATAGTGCTTGGCGTGAAACTAAACAAACAAGCACACGCAGATCAATGTACCAAACTCTGATTTGTTTTTCTTACCCATCGTGAGGCGCCATGACACCTTCGTCAGGCTGCACCTTCAAGAAGAATCCGCTGCCTTCTACAGGATGAACAATACGAAATAACAAGATGGACTAAGAGTTAGTTCTGAGCGAGTTGATGTAAGTGCACTCATAAACCTCAAAAGAGAAGAGATATTTCTCATCGGTCGTGTATGTTTTTTGAATTTACCTTTGGGCTTGTCGATGTAGTTGAAGGAGAAGGAGATCTGTCCCTGGCTGAGCATGTGCCAGGCCCTGTCAAGGAGTTCGGTTGCGATCTGGGGGTTCATGACGTTGTAGATCATGGGGTCTATGTTTGCTCTGCAGTATAGCTCTCCTGCGAGCTCTGGCGGGATCCGGTTCGACATATTTATGCTGGAGTGTGCCTTGCTATCGATGAGTATGGTGGCTAGGTCGAAGTGGAGTGAGGTTAAGAATGAAGAAGTGGAAGAAAGGAAAGCGCGGATGAGGAGGGCACCAGCACAGGGAAAGAAATAACACTCTTTTGTCTGTGAAAAGGCGCGCGAGAGAAAAGGAGTAGGTCAGGCCAAGCCACAGGAAATTGGCTTTCTCAATGCGCGTGTTAAAATATGGTTTACTGATACTACTCGATCGATGAGTATGTTTGCTAAAGTTCCTCCTGCACACGGCTGGATGCTGCATCCTCGTCCTCGGTATCAACAGTAACCGTCACCTCCCTGGCCTCGGTCTTCAATGGCGCAAACCCAACACGCTTCTCCGCCTGGTCAAATACCACATAGTTGTTCTTCAAGAACACATCCCCTAGGATCAAATAATCCGCCGAACTCGTCTGCACAGCAGAAAAACACAACCCAAACCCAATATACTCCCTCGTCAAGTCCTCGTACGGCACCGTAAACGCCTTGCCCTCAATCACCACCGACAGCTTGCTATGGCCCTTGCAAGGGACCACCCACGTCTTTCGGAATTTGCGTGACTTGGGGATCTGACTATGGTACCAGCGAACCCAGTCCTCGGGTCCAACCAACAACGTCGTTCCTGTATCCACGATTGATCGGATGGGTGTCGTGTTCTTGTCCTTTGCAAAGGATCCATCGTTCATGATAAAGTCCTGCACGTCGATATTCCAGTGAGTTGCCTCAGTAACATTCGTGTAGGTGATCACGTTCCCTGGCTCGATCCGGTCCATATCCACTCCGCCAAAGATCACCTCGCCTCCGCCGTTGATGGCCCGCTTGCCAAAGAAGAACGAAAAGACGCCCTGGTCGACCAACTTTTGCTCAAGCATGCTCTCAAACACCGTCGTGCTTCCGGAGATGGCGCCAAAGGAGAGGCCCATCACACCGTCGACAGTGTCGTCAAAGTTGACGCTCTCGGTCTGCACCAGGTTCAGCTTTTGGTTTTGGACATTGATATTACCAAGAGTGACCTTGTCCTCTGCGATAACACCTTTGGCGAAGGATCCATCGCCATAACGGATATTCCAGGGCTGCACTCCTGCACGGAAGGTGCTGGAGAGTGCGCGATTGAAGGGCGCCGTCCCTGAGCAGACCGGGCATTCTGTCGTAGAGATGACGAATCGCGAGGACCCTGTGTCAAACTGCAGCTTGAGCGTCTGAGGAGGAGTGCCGATATCGACCAGTCCGTAGTACTGTAAGAACGAGCATTGATGAAAACGTTTGCTTAGCACAACAACTATAATATTTCGTTGGTTCTAGTCGTTCGCCAATGCCATTCGGACTACAAAAGGCTAATAAGTGTACTTGCCTCTTTATCGTAGCCGACGTCGATTAATGGTACTGCAGAGACTGCCTGAGACTCCATCTCGCTCTTGGTTCGGGATAGTCCATACTTGCGGAGAGTAACGTACCACGACTGTCTTGAATCGCGCGCACGTTGAGAAATCTCACTCTTGATAATTGGGATTCTAATTTGGTTGATAGAGTTGATGCATTTGGTAAGTCATGTTCCATGCAACACATATCAATAAAATCTCAGCAAGTTGTATGTCAAGGTATGGTGAGTACCTGAAGAGACCATCTGATGGTGCGGCGGTATCTGCTTTTGCCACGATCGCGATTACCGCAGCGAGAGAAATAGACGTGAGTGTAGTGATCTTCATTGGTGTATATTAAAGGAGGATTGAGTCGGTGGGATTAAAGACGAAGAAATAAAAGTGTGAGAAAAGGAGAAGAGAGGGAAAAGAAAGGTTTAACATGATTCTTTTTGTCAGTAGGCAAAACAACAAAAGAAAAGGAAGAATGAAGGCTCGTTCTTCTTTCTTTCCTCCCCTCGGACCAGCCATTAATCAATTCCAATCTGCCCTCAAGGACGATTGACTCCACCGCAGCCCCTCGATCTGCCGAAAAAATCGCTCCCTCTTAGCTGTACAGTACATGTAGAACGAGAGGCGGACCTCCGCCCTCGAGTTCAGCCATTTGTCCACTTGACCAGCAATGTTCCAACCCTTGCTTGAACTTTTGTGTAGTACATGCCCTCACTCTCTATCTCTCTCCTCCGTACACGCGGGTCCACGGTGTGTTTTGCCCTTTCGTATTCCTGTTTCGATATCCTTCCAATACCTATCCAACTCCTTTTTTGTTCTTTGTTTTCCCTTCCACCGGATCAGTTCTGTTTTCCCTGTATCCATCACGTGGACAAAAAGAGACGCGTCTTGATCAAATCGTGCCTCGCCACTCCTCTGAGACCTACGCGTACATCAAGGATGGAAAAGAGAGGCATGCATATACAGTGTGCCAATGCCATCGCCATATTACACATCCAGAACACACTAACATCAGTTACCTTGGTTGCCTCATTGCATGCATACGGTTGTTTATCCGTTGTTTGTTCAGATGCCATATTCCCTCCCCACCCAGACGATAGTTGCATCCTCTTCTTCCTACCTGCAGCAAGCAAACATGTAGATCAATACCTACTAGTCACCTTCCAAAAAGCCGTTGTCATTTCGTCTTCAGTCACCAACGGATATGAATCATTCTGCTGCATTCAGCTTTACATTTCGCAATCTCCATTGTTTTTCTTCTTCTCTTCTTCTTTCGCCTCTCTTCTCCTCATTGCCCATTGCCACCTTTTCCCCTGGATCACTCCTCTCCTCTTATCCGTTAGACACCTTCCCCTCCCTCTTATTTCAGCTCCTAATTTCATCTATCCTCACTTGTTTCCCACCAACTCACCAATCTCCAGCATTCCTTTTGCACACAATACTCAATTTTTATTCCTTGATCCGCCTGCAGTTGAAATCATGCTGCGATCCGCCCCTACCGCTCAACAGCAGCAGCAGCAGGACCTAAGCCAACCTGCGCCACATCCCTCAACCCCTCAAACTCCCTTCTCTCACAAACGGAACAAGTCCAAGGGCGCCGTCATCCCCTTCCTTTCACAGAATAGCCCCCACTACCCTTTTCAAGGCCAAGGAGTTGACCAGCAACAGCAACTTTACCCGCCTTCCACCCCTGTTTTTGCTGAAGATGTCTGTGTTACTGGCATGGGGGCAGATGATGGGAGCCAGGCGTTGATGAGACCCCCTCCTGCTCACCGTAGCCCAAACAGTCGCGCCAAGTGGTCCCCCCTTGTTCACACCATCGCCGTATGTATTTTTGTTCCCCACCATTTTTTTTTTTTTTTGGCAGTCAGCTTGATACTACAGATTTTCAAATCGAACACTCTATGGTTTTTCTTGCTTCTCACAGATGCTCTTTTGTTTTCTTTGTCGTCATAGGAGGCCGGAGAATCCTTCTCAGGAACAGTTTTGTAAGTCTGTCACCCAACGTTATACATGCAGTTATTCATGCTTTGGCCGCAAGCTGTCGATCGACCCCTTTTTCTTGCTAACATCAAATCAACAAACAACTTTTATTTCCTTTTGTCGGTCAATCATTCTTCTAGTCCTGCAAAGCTGTTCAGCGACGACACCAGCAACACCCACAGTCCTCACGACAACAACGCCGACAACCGACAAGAGGTAAGAAATAACACACGCTTGCACAAAAATAGAATGCACATTCCAATCCATACTAGGAACAACCATGGATGCAAAAGCTCATGGATGGCTAACGAAATCTTTTACTAGACACACGGACCATCTCTTGAAGGCACGAGCACAAGCCCCTTGGCGCCCTCGCTGGAGCTTAACACTTCCACCGCTGCTGTCCCCACAGGCCGCGAACAGGCCGAAGTACCCCCAGCACTCAATGACAACGATGAACAAGAAGAAGAGGCTATACCCATGAACATCCTCCTGAGCGAAATCCAACGTCTCGTCGCACACGAGTTCGGTGGTCCCAACAAGTCCACCTCATACCCCACCGTCCTCAAGGTACACATCTTACTTTTATTATTCTCGTCAACGCCCAACATGCTGTATTTCATAGCAGAGAAACTCTAACACTCCTCTATTTTATTTGTCTGTGGGTTTCAAATAGCCATTATACCAAAGACTGCAGGATTACCACGTCATGCTCAAGAACGCCCGCAGGAAACTGGACCAACACCAGCAACAGCACCAACAACAACAACGCGGTACCACTCACTTGTCTCCCTCATCGGAAGCCTTCCCCCCCACAATCGCAAACCTGCCAACGAAACACTCCCACAACACCAACCTCCCCGAAGTCTCAACAGCCACCACACCAGGCTCTGACGCCTGTATCCCACAATTACACCAACGAATCATCGATCTGGAACAACAACTGGCCCAATCCAGAAGAGCCCATCATACCCTCCTTCAGGACCATATCCTCAACCTCAAGAAGACGTCATCCCATTTCTTGGTTGGTCCAAATGCTCCTGGTGGTGCTGCAACGGCCAAATTGCCTGTGTTGGACGCGCGTGCCATCCATGGGATCATGGCATCTGTCAATTCTGACAGTTCTTCGACTCCTTCTCTCCTTTTCTCCTCGTCGGTTCTTGGAGGTTGTGGTAACAACAAGTCCAAGAAGAAGAAGAAAGACTCGACGTTGCCGAGGAAGGAGAGCGGTAGTAGTAGTAGTGGCAGTAGTAGTAGTGTCGAGACCCCGAACGATATTTTCCAAGAGACTCTTCAAACCGCACAAGAACTGCACAACCGCCACATCCGCCAACTAAAAGGTGTCTCCACTAGCACTAGCGCGACCTCCTCCACCGCATCCCCTACCCCATCCTCCTCTGACTCGGAACCCTCTCTCATATCCATCTCTAGCCACAACCTCATCTCAGAAGCAACAACCCACCTCCTCCGCGCCGAAACCGAACTCGGACTCCTCAAACTCGTCATGGCTCAAAACCAATCCGAGATCTCTGGCCTTGAGGAAGATGTCTTCCGAGCCCAACGAGAGCTCAAGAATCATCGGCAGGTCTTTGAGGCATTATTGGAGTTGCATCATTTGGGGTTTGAGGCCCAGATTCGGGAGGACCAGGTATTGATTAAGGAGTTAGAGAGTAAGGTGAGGAAGTTTGAGGGGCAGAAGGAGGAAGTCGAGAGGGTGGTTAAGAAGCTGGAGGGGGAATTAGAAGACATGAAACGGAACCTGAACCAGAAGCGGGAGACGTATCAGCGGCAGGAACTGCAACTTACTGATGGACCTGTCCGTGATCTGGAGGCGGAAATTGAGCAGCTGAAGAACGAGCTGGCGGCGCAGGAGATTAAGATGGCAGAGTACCGGGTCCAGAGTGAGGATGAAGCGAGCCAGATGACAGAGTTCTTGGAGAAACAACACAGGGAGGCTACCGCCGAGTTCAAGGCTTCTCTTGTCAAGGCTCAAAGATCCAACACCCGTCTTCATAAGGAGGTGACCGCCCTGGTGCAGAAGATGGTCTCTGTCGAGACCCTGAACGACGAGTACGCCCAACAGACCGCGCGGGATCGTGCACAACTCTCAGCCCTCCATCAGCAAACCCAAGACCTCCAGGCCCAACTCTCAGTGATATCAACATCCACCAACTCTCCAACATCGATCGAACAACAAACGGAGATGAAAGCAACAATCACATCCCTCGAAACCCAAATCGAAGACCTCTCAACCTCCCTCCGACTAAAGGAAGAAGAACTTACCCAAGCCCTCCAAAAAACCGAACACCTCCTCCTCAAACTCGACCAAGACCTCCTCGCCCAACAAGAAGACCACAAAACCCAACTAACCGCCCTCACCGAAAAACACCAAGTCCAAGCCCAGCGCGAACGCGCCTGCCAATCAGCCTCCGTAACCCTCTTCCAAAACATGGTAACAAAACTCCAAATAGAACTCTCCGACACTCAAGAAAAACTCCGCGACACAACCCTGTGCTGGGGTCACACCAAGGAGCAGCTACAAAAATGCGAGCAGAGCTATAGGAGGAGGAAGAAGGAACTGGAGGAAACGACGAGGAACTTGCATGAGCTTGAGGAGACGATGGCCAAGCTGGGTGATGCGATTGGCATGTTGGAGTATGAGAAGGAGGTGAATTTGGTCTTGGTTAGGACGCTTGAGGAGCGCGATAGGGAGATGAGGGATATGGAATATCGACTTCGAGTCCTTGAGGACGAGCGTGATTGATGGGAAATAAAACGTGCGTATTTTGTTTTTTACTATGATTAATTTCTCATCGTCCTTTTACTGTTGCTGAAGAGTTCATCAGTCGTTCTCTCTCTTAAAGGATACCATTTTTTATCTCTCTCTTCCATCTTGACATGGCATTCTCTTTATATCTGTTTGCTCCTTTTCTAACTTAACATGTCATTATCCTTATATCTGTTTTGCACCACTTGGCATTCATCTTTCCTCTTGTCCCTGTACTCCTCTTGTCTTCTTGTCCTTGCCTTGCCAATCTACATAAATAGTCCAGCAATTTCACACATTCTCTCCTGTCTACACTCTCCTCCCAGAACCAGGTATATTGATTGTTTTTATTTCTTTTGCATTTTCGAAAGGAGGCGAGGGTGTGAGTATGAAGTGTAGTATGGCAAGGTGCGCTTTTTAGGTGAGGTCGATCACTTCATCGTATGTAGAAGAGTCCCAATGCCTAGCGGACCAATTATGACTATAGTGGTGCGAAGGCGATGAAACAGACGGCGATGAGAAGGAAGGATCGTGTGAAGGAGGAGGATGAGTGTGACTCAAAGATCTGTTCCATTGTTGCTGCTGCTGTTGTTGATGATGGTACTCTTCCCGTTCCCGTTGCTCTTGCTGGTGGTGCCGTTGGACCTGTTGGACCTGGCGATGGTAGTGCTGGTACTGTTGTGCCGGATGAAGTGGCTGTTGTGGCTCCTGATGATAACGAGATTGTTGAGGTCGACGACTACGATGAGGATGTTGTTGTGGTTGTTGTGATGGAGGTATTGGTGGTGATGGAGCTGGCCTTTGCAAAGCCGGTCGATGATGAACAAGCTGCTCATCCTCATCGTCATACCACTCCTGTTCATAATACACAGATCGCTCATCTATCGGAAGGGGCATGGAAGACGGCGAGGAGGGGTTCGGAGCCTCGAAGATCTGTAAGCTGGGTGGCAGTGGAACGGCTGCCCGAGGCGGTATGGTTCCATGAGGAGGCAGAACGTGATGTGTACTATCCACTCGGCCAGACTCCAAAATCTCTGTCACCTCTGTCCCACTCCTGCTCCTGCTCCTGCGGTGAAGGGTCTCTGCCTGTTCTTTTGGCCGTGGCACGTATCCTTGGGGGGCAACAGTGTATCCGGAACCAGACCTAGGTCTGTCAAGACTGTATGTGTTTGCAATGTAAGGTGGGTGGACAACACCAGCGTTCATGCCATTTGGGACGTTTTTGGCATCGCTGTTGGCACTCGGGGTCTTGAGACGGTTGATAGTATCAGCGGTCACGTCGTTGAGAATACTGCTAGTGTTGACGGTCGCATCCCGGTCAAAACTCGAACGAGCAGCTGATGCACCACTGCTGCTGCTTGGAGCAGAGCTGTTCCGAGTCAATCCTTCGGAGGATAGTTCCTTGCTCGACCGAGAACTCGCTCGAGAGGAAGACACGGCTCGCTGAATACTCTTGGCACTGCTGTGGGTGTAGGTGAGGATGGTGCTTGGTGTTACAATAATGGGCGCTCCGTTTATGTCGGTGGTCAACCTGGCTTTGTTGACGGCACTGGTGACGGTGGGGGTAGACAATGTGGTGGTCCTGCTCTTGGTGCTCAATAGTATGCTGCTCTCGGTTGTCGCCTTGGGTTTGCTGGTGGAGGTGCCGTTGACGGCGTTCATCGAGACAATAGTTGTAGACATGTCCATGGCGCCAGGTGTGTTAACGCAGTTATCTGCCGACTGGGGTTCTCCGGCAGTGGTGTTGTCGACAGGACTTGGCTTGGGGCCGCCTAAAATCTCGTCTTTGATACTCGGTGCGATGTTGCCGGAAGGCGCCGACTTGGGTATGCTAACGGCAATGTTGTCGACAGAGCTTGGCGGCCTGGAGCCACTCGTGGCCGTACCCTTGGTAATCGGTAAGCCGTTGCTTTCATTCATCAACCTGGAGATCTTGGCAATGGTTGCATTGGTGGAGTCGTTAATCAACTTGGACCGGCTGTCGTCAGTGTCGTTGACAGAGCTCGGCGGGGTGTTGGCAGTAGGCTTGTCCTTGATGCTCGATGTGCTGATTCTGTCTGTTGTCGACTTGCGCCCGCCGATGGTAGTGTTGCTGGTGATGCTTGTTTTGGTGGTGCTAGTGGTCTTGTCCTTGGTGTTCGAAGTGCTGTTATCGTTCCCGGCCAACTTGGTTTTGCTGGAGACGATACTGTTGATCGGGTTTACTTCGACGCTGGTGGTAGACTTGTCCTTGGTTATGGATACACTACTGACGGAGGCCGGGGTCTTACTGCTGTCGGTACAGCTGTCGGTGGATGATTTGGGTTGGCTGACGGTCAAACTTGTGGTACTTGAGGAAACGATGGTGGGGGTTGATGTTGTTGCGTGGTCACTGGTTACAGTTTCACTGCTACCAGTTCTGCTGATGTTGACGGTGCTGCTACCGGCAGTCGAGGTCGAAGTCGAGTCGTTGGGTCTAGCTGTAGGTGCCGCTTTGCTGCTGCTAGTAGTGTTGATGTCGTCGGCTGGTGCTGGCGGTCCACTGTTGGACTGCACCTTGGGGGCTTCCTTGTCCTTTCCCTTGTCCATGATCGGTAGGATCATATGACCAGGACGAGGGATCTCCTTGTGCAAGTTCGCCAACTTTCTCTTGCCCCGCAAGCGCTCAAGCGCGAAGATGGCTTGTTCAACAGTCCAGTTGTTAGCAACCAAGTCGCCCATCGCCTGGATGACCTTGTAGTGAACATGGTACCAAAGGTAGATCTGCTTCGAGGATGGTGGATTCTTAGATCTCCATGACGGACCGTTCTCTTTGGTAAGCTGGAGAAGAGACGGAATATCTCCCCACCCTTCATGCCAGGCTTTGTACAAGTCGGGAACCGTCTCGATGCCATCAGGTATTGGAAAGGTAAAGTTGAAGTTAACCGCCACTTCTCCCCAGGGCTCCACGACGTTATCCTTGTACTGAGGACGGGGTTTACGTTGAGAGCCTCTGCTAACAGGACGTGTGACAGGGACAGAATGCATCTCATGATCCATGGGCTCTGTATCGGAGGAGGTTGAGTGCTCTTCTGCGGCAGTCTGGTTGGCAGCCGCTGTACCGATGTCCATATCCATGTCCATATCCATATCCATATCCATGTCCATGTCCGTCGAGATCGCCGGCGATTTTTTGCTCGAACCGGATCTCTTGCTCGACTCGGATCTCTTGCGCGACTCGGATCTCTTGCGCGACTCGGATCTCATGCGCGACTCGGATCTCATGCGCGACTCGGGTCTCATGCGCGACTCGGATCTCATGCGCGACTCGGATCTCTTGCTCGACTCGGATCTCTTGAGAGACTGAGATCTCCTCCGCGACTGGGATCTTTTGCCGGACGGAGATCTGTTGCGTTGGTAACGAGGCTGGGCGACAAAGTCAGAATCGGAATCCGTGTCTATCGGCTCTCCCTCAGATGACAACTCTTCATCTTTGTCGGTCTGCGGTTTCGAGAGAGGGATCAACCGCCACTCTTGTTGCCCCATCAACTCTTTGACCGCTTGGTCGTCATCCATCCCCTCCTCCATCACCAACCGCCTGAACTCCTGGACGACCTCGGTGAAGAACTGGTACCGCTCGCGATCCTCCGGAGCTATCCATGACCGCCCGAACCTCTCGGTGAGATCTTGGACTGCGGCGAACGTCTTTGTTCCGTGTCTCCACACCTCCAGAATATCAATGACATTCCTGCAAGAGTCCGGGAGAGGTCGATTCTTGTTGGTGAAGGGGCCATCTTTGTGCTGTGCGGAGTGAATGACGAACTCATTGGCCTTGTACCGGCCTAGGGTGAACGAGTAGGCCGGGCAAGAATCTTTGGTCGACACGCACACGACGTTCTCTCCTGAACCTGGATCGGCGGTCGAGATCGATGTGCTAGCGGTCGGAGTAGTTGCAACGAACGCAGTTGAGGTGGATGATGGCGCTGTCGCTGAGATGGTCGCTGTGGGCCCAGAAGCTGTCGGGGAAATGGGACAGTGCCAAGAGAGTCGACGACGACGTTTTAGCAAGGACAATAGGCTCTCCTCAGGCTCCTCATCGTCCGAATCAGCAACGCGGTCATGTGCATCAGCATGATCGTTCCCCTCAAAAGCGGGCGGAAAGTTGTCTTCGTCCATGCCGTTCGCTCCGTGCTTCTGAAAACTTAAACGCGGAGGCTTGACTTTGTCATGGTGAGGTTTAAGAAGGGCGGACGAATCCGCCTCCTTCGGCAAATGGATACCTCGGCTCTCTCGGCGTTCCTCCTTCCGGCCCTTCAGTCCACCTGACCTCCATTGGTCCTCAAAGTCATCCTGGCGACTTGATCTCCTTGGAACGTGCGCGTCATCCTGTCGACGCGACTCCAAGGGCTCAAGAGGATGCTTCCATCGTGATGCCTCTCGACCTCTTGGGAGTGATCCTGCGAGACCACCGTATTGATCTCCCTCTGAATCATCATGAATTTCGCTCCTCCGATCGTCAAATGAGGCGTTCGTACTGTTGTTGTATCGATAGTCCTCCAGACCGCCATGCCGTGTAACGTCCCGACTCCCGTGCTGGGCATCTTCAAAGTCATCGTACCGCAGGTCGCCTGGATAACTACCTTGCCGACTGGGTGCCCGATCATCGTCTCGAAGGCTGATACGCTTGTCACCACGGGAATCACGCCGAATGTCGAATCCGACGACTTCTCGACTACTGCTCGCACGGATATCCTTGCGCCCATCATCGTGTCGAGGACCATCCCGGCTGTTGAGTCGGCCATCCTCCAGATCGGTGTGATAGGTAGCCTCCCAAGAGGTGCGCCGATGACTGTTCCGATAGTTGTCTTCCTGGTTGAGCTGCTGCACACTGGTGTTGTTAATCGGACGGTGACCACGCCAATCATCATGGGTTGCTAATCTTTCCCGGATCGGGCCATTAGGTTGAGTATCCTCCCGGTCGCCTTGACGAGTTGGTAGCCTCTTCCGGTTGTTGATATGACGATCATCCGCCCTATCTTCATACCAAGTCGGAGGTCTTTCTCGGCTGATGTATCGTCCATCCTCTCGACCGCTGACGACACTCTGTCGAGGGGGTTTCCAGCCAGATGAAGAAACATGTCGGTCCACTCGTCCTCGTTCCAGAGATTCATACCGAAACTTTTTTGGTGAGCTGCCTCTTCCAATGCGTATAGCGCTGTTGTTGAGTTTTTTAAGGTCCCTGTGATATTGCCCATACTGCAGAATTGGAAGAATGGATGTCTCAAGGGCGCTGTAGACAAATTCATTCCATCCTGGTCCTCTGCGATTGACCAGTTGAGATACATCATGGGGCAGGAGTTGGCGTTCGACATAGTTCAGCAAGCGGCTAACGGTGACTTGGTAGCTCTCGAACCCCTCCAGTCGGCACCATTTCTGTATATTATGCAATTTTTTTTCGTTTCCAATGGAGAAGAAAAGAGTGAAGAAATAAGGTTTAGAACAAGTTTTGCATGGTACACAACAACAAGAGGCTGAGAGATGAAGGATTGGGATAGATAGCGTGCTTGGGAAGGACTAGCAGTTCACATGATAAGTATCCACATCCCATCCCCGTCGCTATCGCCACTGCCCATTGCGTGAAAAATGCCTGTAACAACTCCAAAAGAAGTAACAAACGATGAGGGGGGATATTTTGCAGTAAGGAATGATAAGACAGGGCAAATGACATGACCCCCTTTGTTTTCCCCTCCCGTTCGCCTCCTTCCCTCCTCCCCAAAGTGCATATTTGTGAACATAACCTTTGTCGCCTTCTTACCTTCCACCGACGGAATCCTTCTCGCCTGGCATCCTCCCGCGACCAATCCTCCTCCTCCGACAAATCACCACGTCCACTGTCCTCTTGTCGGTTATATGAATGTGAGGCTGGTGGCGGCGAGGAAGTCGGTCCAGAGTTGTTGCCCATCGACTGTACCATTCCCGCTCGACTCTGACTCCTGCTCTGGTCCGCCCTAGAACTCGACCGGTGTGTATAGTGATCGTTGCTGTTTCCGGTGCCATTGCTGTAGGCATTGCCGTTCGTCTGGTAATGCCGTAACGACGAGCGTGGAAATGGTTCTTGTTCGTCATCGATATCGGAATCGTCGTCACTGACAAGATCCTCCTCTTGCTCCCGCCGCTTCGTTTGTTCCCGTTGCTGCGGCAGTAGTTGGTGTTGATGTTGTTGTTGTTGTAGTTGTAGAGGAAGCTCTTTGTGCATCTTTAAGGGCGGAGAGGATTCGTTTCTGCTCCCCCTCTGACTGTCATATCCTCCTCTTCCTGCTGTTGCTCCTGTTGCTCCTTGTCCGTCAGTCGAGGCTCGTCGATACTCTTCCCACTATTAACGGTTTCAGGGGTGGTTATTCGGGTGACCAGAAGTGGAAGTGTTAATACAAAAAAAAAAAAAGAGGGTGGTGTGTCAGAAGTTGATCGTCGCTTGTGTCCGCGGGTTCGTGTTGTTTTCCGTTCATTCTTTCCAAAGAACTAATGAAAACGGATGAGCTTCTTTTCTTGTTGGCTCTGTCTGTCGAGGAGAAGTAAAAACAAAGAAGACTGGCATTTCTTTTTGTTTTGTTATTGTTGGTGGTGTCCAATCGAGCAGTGTGTCTGCGAGTATATATAGAAGAGTGGAATGAGTAATGAGTGTGTGAATGGGTGGAATTGTAAGTGTTGAGTAGCACATACCTCGTGGTGGTCGTATCCTCGCTTTCGAGAGTTTGACAAGTGTTGAGGTTGCTGTCGCTGTTGCTGTGGTAGTGGTGGTAGTGGTGGTGGTGGTGGTGGTGGCGGGTCCGACATTTTTGTTGTTGTTGTGTGCAGTCAAGTATGTGCGTGGGTGCTGTATCGTGTGAGAGTAGCGCGGTTATCCGAATGGTGAGTATGTTTAGCAAGAGAAAGGGAGAGAGGGAGAGAGGGAAACCAAGCAGTAAAGGGAGAAGAAGAGGGAGTGCAGATGCAGAGTGAAATGAATATTTGAAGGGACAAGGGACAAGGGAGAGAGAAAAGGGGGCAGAGAAGGGAGTAAGGAAAAAGAGAGGCGAGAGAGGGAAGGGTGCAAAATAGATGGATGGATGAGTGTGGTGTGGTGTGGTGGTGGTGGGTGAAGGAGGTCCTCAGAGCAAAAGGAAAATGGAAAATGGAAAATGGAAAAGAATACAAAAGAGAGAAGAGAGGAGAGAGAGAGTATTCAAACACCCCTTTTGTCTCCATCAGTATGCTGCAATACAAACAGTGCACAGACGTCACCCCCCCACCCCCCACCCTTCTCGCATCATCGGGAAAAAAAAGAGGGCGCACATCTTAAAGTCAAAGATAAACAAACAATAAGCAACACGCGGACCAGTCAACCATGGCTTTTCTCGTTTTGGCTATAACAATCAATGCAAGGCTTTAATATCATCAACACGGATTTCGTTTTATTAGAGCTCCAACCATAAACCATTCATCTTGCACACGAACATGCAAACCATCCATCCACATTCAATCCATTAATAATCAAAACTTTATTATTTTTATTACTGTCCACTTTCTCAAGCAAAAATAATAAGAATAGAGCTTCTGTATGCCGACATACCCCACAGCACAGCCCCCCTACTGCTGCTTACTCCCTGTCCTCCTTCTTGACTAGTATCCTCGGTTTCCGCTGATTGGTCAGGTACTTTGACATGGACTCCAATGGCACACCCGTTCCACGACTCCTACTCCTCCGCCTGCTGCTCGGCGTCGACGACGACGAAGAACCAGAAGGAGGCGGCCTCGTGTTGTCAGTAGCAGTGCGAAATGGGATCGTTGTCTCAGTAGTCCCCCGTGAGAGTGTGCCTGATGTTGATGCTGTTGCACCGGTACTTGGCCCAAATCGACCTCCATCTCCGGTTCGTCTATTGAACTGAGACACTGTAATCGCGAGATCTTCTCGGCCGCAAATGACTGGAGCCGCCATCTCTTCCGCCAGTGGTTCCTGAATTATCGTCGCAGCTTGGGCCCGGGGGGCACACCGTCCACCAACGTGTCCCATAGGAGGTGTCAATCCTGATCCCGATCCTGCATCTGACAAAGCTGCACTTCTAGCCTGAGCCATCATAACCGTGTGAGCATTGGGTCTTGTGGCATTCGAGATCGCAACCGGGATGTCGTTCAAAGAGCCCAGGCACTTGGCGAGTTCCTCCATCGATCGATTCTCCCGTAGCGCCTCAATCCCTTCTACCGCTTCGGACTCTAACCAATCCCGTTCGACCAGCCTCCTGATCTCCTGGACGACCTTGTATCTCGAGGCGTACCATTGGGCAATCGTTGGATCGTAGGTGGTCTTCCTCCAGGTAGCTCCATGCTCCGCACTCCTCTCTCGTACCGAAGGACCACCATCCCAACCTTGGGTCCAGAACTTCCATAGGTCGTCGACCGTCACAATGTTATCGAACATAGGGAACCGATACGTCCTGTCTAGCGCCACTTCGTCCCAGACCTCAGGCATACCGGGAGTTGGAGCAGAGTATTGGGGCTGGTTCTTGACTCCTAGGCGCCACTTGTGCAGACCCGTAGACGCATTGGTGGTCGTGGCGGTGGGGGCTACTGGTTCCCTTTTGGCGGCATGATTATTGGAGGTTGATCCTTTTGACAGATATAAATCTGCCTGTTTCGTGACGCCTGCATCCTTGGTTGAAGGCGTGGCGGGTTCAGCTGAAGTGATCGAGGCTTTGCTGGTACTACCGCTAGAGGATGATACCGCCGCCAGGTCTGGAAAAGTCTTTGCCGAGGAGGATGATGAGGAAGATGGACCCGGTAGCGTCGAGACCTTCTTCCCTGCGATCTTGTTTCGCGCTGACCTCTCCTGGCAAAGTTCGTTATACAAGGTCCTTGCGGTCTTCCTGCCTTGCTTGGTCACCAGATATGACACGGCTTCATCGTCCTCCATCCCTTCCTCCGAGACCAGCCTCTTGAACTCGAGCACAATGTTTATCCTCGCATGGTAATAATAGTCCTGTTCTTTCCGCCGCCACCGAGCCCCATACTGCTTATTGAGTTCCTGGATCGACATTTGATTGTCCAGTCCAAATCGCCACTCTTCCAGCAGCTCGACGACGTTGTCAGTAAGGGCCAGGTTGTATGTCGGGGTAGGGGTCTTGTTGTCGACGATACGAAGATTGTTGTACATCGTGGTTGCTTCGAATTCATCGGCCTTGTACCGCCCATGCGTCCAAGTAGGTGTTGTTGTAGCTGATGCAGAAATAAAGGGGTTTTTCATCGGGGCTGATGAAGGGTTCGAAGGGACTTTGGCTGAGTCCAGCTCTTCCTTTGCGAACATCAGTCTCAGTGTGTTTTCCTGTACAACGGCAGTCTCTCTACACCAGTCGATGTTCTCACCCTCCAGCTCATCTTCGAATCCATTAGCAAGGTCAACCTCTCGAGGCGTAGAGGGCCAATCCTCAGACTGGTAGTCCATGTCACCTCTGTCGTCCTGACCATCTCTCTCCCACTCTCCTTCCTTGGCGATGCTCCCTTCCGTGTATGTATGCTGCGAAAACTCCAAGACATCGTCGAGAAGTGGACCCTTGTGGACCCAAAGTTGGAGAACGGGACGGACAAGCGCCTGAAGACTCAGCACCAATGGCGGATAGGCTCCATTCACATTTGAGGCGATGCCATGTCTCTGTTGCAAGTTGTCGTATGGGAGGCAGATGAGGTCGACATAATCCAACAGCTTTTCCGGTGTCACCCGGTCGTCGTCATTGTACGCCCTGTTTGTACAAAACTCCTAAGCAACATAAACCAATTGGCAATAATGATGAAAAAATGGCGAAGGTCAGATACCTGTTTTTGCTAACAATGTTGTTTAGTCGTGCCATTGCACAAGATGATCAAATGGTCATATGAGAAAAGCTTGTTTTTGCTTACCCTCCAAAAAAGAACCCCTTCACTGGTAATGGCTGCTTGCAATGGGTCCTCGTTGCGTTTCTCCTGAAAGGATGGTGTCTGCGACCAGTTATCATTGTGCCTATCCAATGCGGCGACCAACGACGAGAATGCCTTGCGTAAGGACAAGTGGTCATGACTCGGCAATAGGTTTTGTTGAGATGGTACTGGCATAACTGGACCATTGGTCTTCGCCGCAAGAACGACAAGTCTTTGTATTGCCGCTTCGTCCTCCGCCGTCGTTGTAGTTGTTGTAGTTGTTGTTGGTGGCGCTGGCGGTTGTCGTTGTCGTTGTTTCAACTGCGAGCCTTGTTCCATGCGGTGGTCGCCATAGGCCTCCTGCTTCCATGTGCGTAAGTTGATGCGTGAGAAAAGAGAGAGAAGGAATGAGTTAGAATGAAAGCCTGCGACTATGCCCCTTTTTAACATGGCAAGTGCTTCCGTGAGTGAGCTGTATACCTCGGCCACTCGCTTGCGAGTAAAGTGATTGGTGATGAGGTCGTTGTTCATGAGGGGTGTTTGTCAAAGCGAATGTGTTATGTTGTGAATGAGTGTGAGGAGAGAGGAGAGGGAGTGACGAGAGAGAGAGAGGGAGAGAGAAACTAAAACTAAAAGGAGAAGTTCCATGGTTAAAGAGAGGCGCAAGGGTCAAAGCAGGGCAGAAATCAATTGGCAAGTGGCATCACCGCTGATAAACTTTGTTTTTGTCAGGTGCAAGCACGAAGGTGGAGGAAGACTGTTCATGTTTGCTATGTTTGCTATCTACTGTGTTTCGTCTTTATGCTTCCTTGCTTCGCCTGAACTGTAGCAGATGCGATTCACTCCCATCTCCACCTCCGCTACTCACTCCCTTTCCTTCGCCCTCTTCAACCTCAGCACTCGCTGATTCCTAAACAACGCCGTCATCCATTCAGTCAAAGGAAGTCCACAAATCATATTGGTGGCAACAACATGCATTTGCAAGATGAATCTCAAGAGGGCTGGGTGCGGGATACCTTCCCCACCTCAGCGCCTCGCGTGCGTGTAGGAGCTGCGAGTTTCTTGTGGGCTCAGTGTAAGCTACATCTCTGGGGCCTATCATATCCTCCTTTGTGCAGGATAGAGATTTACAAACACACTAGGGTGTGTGCGTCGGGGTTGTGTCCTAGGCCTCTAACCTATACTTTTTAGACGTGCACGGTTGCAGAACCCAAAAAGGTTTCACATCCCAAGCGTATCAAAACTGACCGGGCGTAAAAAGGCAACGACAACGACGATAAAGACGAAGTACCTCGTAGTTCTGCAGCATGAATCTCGTGCGGGTTACAACTTGCAACTCAATACCACTCTATGATAGGAGAAGTGGGTCATAGTGCGGGCTTACTATGGCGTTACGGCGGGTGCAGAGGCTGGAGTGCTATGACTTTTGTTTGGTAGCAGTGGCCACCTGCCTCTTTGTCCTGTACTCGACGCGATGATGGGAACTCGAACTGGGGGCTATGGTTGGTGTGATTTACTTTGTTGACAAGTGCTCCTATTCTAACAACATCCCTCAGATTAGTTTCCGTGGTGTTTTTTTTATAGGGACGGCAGCTGTTCCAAGGAGCGGGGCTCTGGATACTCAAATCAGTGGACGAACGTCTTGAAACTAGCAAATACCCATTCTAAATAAAGCACAGTGATTTTTTTCTTTGCCACCAGCAGATGCAAGGCTTTGAGCAAGGGTTTATTATGAATGTGGATGGCGTCAATAATGAAAAGGTGATATGAGTTGCTTTTGATGTTGTAGCGCGTCACTTACAGGGATATGCTTAACTCGGTCTATTACTCTGTCGCGTTTTCGTCTTCTTATTCGTCCTCCTCCTCCTCCTCTCCTTCTTCTTAATCCTCAGAAGCCTGCTCTGACTCGTCGATCTTTTTCTGCTCGGTATCATCCTGCACCTGCCAAGAACCATCCCCTTTTTATCCTTCCTTGCCATCAACTCCTCCAGCACTCTGCGCCCCAGCCTCAACAAACGACTCTGGCTCCGGCCTGGGCTTAATCTTCAGCGGCGCAATCCCAACCTTCCGCCTCTCCTGATCAAACACCACATAATTGTTCTTAATAAATACATCCCCAATAATTATAAACTCGGCCGTACTCGATTGAATCCCTGAATAACATACTCCAGGAGTATCGGTCTCTTCTCGGACAAGGTCTTCGAACGGAATTCCGAATCGCTTGTTGGAGATTTGGAGTTCGACTTTGGAGGCGGAGTAGATGGGGGAGACGGCGAGATCGCAGGGGAGGGTCCAGGAGGCGCCAAGGTCTTGGGCACCTGGGATCTTGTGGTGGATGGACTTTGCGAGGGCCTCGGGGACGATCACGAGTGTTGTTCCTGTATCCATAATCGCCTCCATCTTCCTCCCTCCCTTCTTCCCCTTCCTCTTCGCACCCTTCCCACCAAGCGCAATAGCCTCCCCATCTACAAACACACCCTCAACATCAATCTGCCAATACTTTGGCTTCGTCACGTCCGTCCAAGTCACCTTCTCACCTTCCTCCACCCTACTCAAGTCCATCCCCCCAAATATAACCTCCCCTCCACCCCCACGACTAGCTTTACCCAAATAGAACGCAAAAACCCCCCTCTCGATCAACCCTTGATCCATCATATTCTCAAACACTGTCCTCGTCCCGCCAACAGTCTTCGACAACTTCCCAAACGCCAACCCCATAATCCCATCAATCGTATCATCAAACCCTGCACTCTCACTTGTAACAAGTGCAAGCTGTTGGTTCTTGATATGGATGTTATCGAGAAGGATTTGGTCATGGCCGAGAAATCCGGAGGCATAGGATTGGTCGCCGTAGGTGATTGTCCAGGGTTTTCCGTCGGCTCGGAAGGTGTGGGAGGCGGAAGAGTCGTAGTAGGTTGTGCCGGAACATTGGGTGCAGTCTTTGGAGGAGACAATGAATTGGGAGGAGCCCGTGTCAAAGTCGATTTTGAATGCTTGCGGTGGTGTTCCTATCATGACTGTCCCGTAGTACTATCATCGAAGAGGGGGAGAAGGAAAAAAAATGCGCGTTAGGTTACATGTGAAGTGCATTTTTGCTTTACCAAAAAAAAATCCAACAGAGAAATAGGTGGTCAAGTACCTCGCGGTCAAAGTCATAGTCGACGAGGGGTACCCGTGCCAAGTTAGTCCCGTCATCAACACGCCCGCGCTGCCGTCCTCGCGGCCCTCCTCCTCCTCCTCCTCCTCCTGAATTGAGACGATGATGTTGAGAATGCCGTTGTGAGAGGCCATATTTCCGTAACGCGTGACCCCACCGACCCATCGTCGACGGTCGCACCGGGCCATTGAACGTCTCTATCGGGATCCTGTGGATCAAAAAAGATACAGAAGTCGGTGAGCAGGGTCGACTCGGACAGAGAAATGAGTGTGCAGATTGACAATATCGGAAAACGTACTTGAACATCTCATCGGGTTTCGAGAGCGCCGCAGCTTGGGTCACAGCCAAGAGGATAGCAGCCGAGATGCCAAAGTACAGTTTCATCAAGTATAAGATATTGTCGTTAGTCGTTGTTGTTGGTTGTTTGGAAGGTGTCTGTGTATCGAGAAGAGGGAGGGAAAGTGGGTGTCTGACTAAGGTTGAAGAAAAGTAGCAGAGAGGATCAGATAAGGTGATATCCAGAAAAAAAGAGGATCGGGGAAGTGGTTAGGAGAGAGGAAAGGAGAGAGACGAAGGATGGGTACACAGAGAAACAAAGGGGGCGGGGAAGATGTCCACGCATGGTTTTTAAAGATAACGGACATCCCCACGGCTCGATTTCATATTCCGATCTATACCCCCTCTGCACCCTCATCATCCCAACGGCATTCGGTATACTCGCTACTGGCTATGAAAAGATTTTAATTGCAGTCTCGTCCAGCAGGTCCATCGATTCCCATCTCGACCAGCAAAAAAAAAAAATGCACCGCATCGTTCATCTACGTTCTCGTAATCATTGTCTCCAACTCTAATTTGAAAACCCTGCCCGTTTATTCGACATGCTCTGGCAGAATGGTTTCGTCTCCTGTCAGCATCTCTCTCTCACCTCCAGAAACGTCCACCTGCTCCGACAGATTGGTCCTCATCCACCAACTCCTCGACGGACCCAAACCCTGGAATACGCTTCTTCTTGCCTGCGCCATCCCAGTCAACCTGTGGCCAACGATCCTTTAGCTGCCTCTGGATGCGCTTGATGGGCGTAGCGCCCCATTGGACGTTCTCAAGGGCCTCCATCACCATGTTTGTTGTCCCATGCGAAGGCGGCTGCTCAATCGCCTGCATCATCTCGTCCCACACAGTCACCATCTTGCGCTGACGATGGTGTCGACCCAACATTGTAAAGTACAGCTGGTAGTTGACATCCGATAGTGAAGCCAACGAATTCTTGCCCGAGATCGTTTCTTCCGCATCCGTTGCTGCCCTGCTGCTGCCAGAATCTTCGTCCTGTTCATCCTCGTCGTCGCCCTTGAACTGCTGGAGCTCTCTCTGCTGACTCTTGATGTAACGCTCCACCAGACCAATCCCCTGATCCACCAACTTGCTCGTCGCCGTTCCAGACCCACAGGCTTGAAGGACAATCGAAAGAGTGAACTGATTAGGGCGCATCCGACTACCCCACTTGCCCTGCTCCATCTCCTGATAAATCTCATAGACACGGTCCGGTTTGTTGTGTGCTCGGTTCGACCTCATCAACTCATGGAGGACATTCAGGCTGATAATGTCGTTCAACCGCTGCCGTCGCGGGAGTCGAGGTAGATCCTGCAGTTCTGGTAGCCCTTGGTCTCGTCGTTTCCGATTTTTGAGCACAAACGCCAAACGATGCTGGCGACGCTCCTTGTCCAGACCCTGTTGAATCAGGTAACCCTCGCGTGCAATCCACTCGGCTTGCTTCAGGTAACCGATCTTGCCCCAGCCCTTGACAAAGCTAGCGCGGACATAGCAATCCTTTATAATCTTGGACTCATCCATGTCGTCCCACAGTTGCTTGCCGTACTCCATGTCCATCTGCTCAGCACACGCCTCCAGCATGATCCTGTAGGTGACGTGATTGGGCTTGGCGTTCTTGGTACCCTGCATCTCCTTGTAAAGATACGTCATTCCTGGGAGGGGCGAAGGCAGGGTGGAGAGGTACTGCATCATGATCGTGTAGAGCTGCGTGTCGATCTGCTGGGGGTTCTTGGTGATCACGGTAAAGAGCTCCAGGACCTTAGACACCTCATCCTTGATGAAGTCCTGTGACATATGCTTCTTTTTGCCGCGTCTGTTGTGGGTTTGGTTGATGAGTGCGAGCAGCACGTTCGTGTTGTTGATAATATCCGCGTCCGACAATATCTCCTCCAGATGTGCGTTAGTTGTCGCAGAGGTTGTCGGGACGATGTTGTCACAGGAACGTTTCTTGCCCCTCGACCGAACCAATGTCCCTGGAACACTGAGCTGACCCAGAATCTCGACCGCACTGTCAAAATCGCCTCGCTTGGCGCACGCGTACAACAGGATCGCCTTCATACGCTCGCCAATGACCAGGTCCCACTCCTCATGCATCCTGCTGATGTACCGTGAACAAGCCTCCAGATCTCCTGATCGCGCCGCACATAGGATCGCGGCTTTCATGGTCTCTTCCCGAGGAACAAGGTCGTTGGCGAGCATTTGGTCGATAATCTTGTCGGCATGGGCTTCATTGCCTGACATGTGACTGAGAGAGTAGAGGAGGTAGTCGTAAACGGCGGTCTCGTGTTTCCAGGAGATGCCTTTGTTGTCCATGCTGGCGACGATTGAAAGCGTGTCCCGGTAGCCATCCCGCCCAAACATTGCATAATAGTTCAACAGCACCTACATTAGTATCACATTCAACAAGTGAGTAAATTAGTTACTTGAATCGAGAAATAACGCTACAATTTGACGTGTATCAACGGCGATGCTGAATGACTTACAAGATGCATGTCGACAGTTGTCTTGATCCCGAACTGCTTTGGTATTGTGTCGAGCATGGATCGGACCAAGTAAGTGTGGCTGTAGACCAACTTGCTCATCAACTTGACAAGCCAGCTGCCCAGCTCCCGTTCCAGAACCGCGTTTCTCCATGCTGGTGTATTTGTTGATGATGGTCCCGACTCCTTGGCTACAACATCCTCCGTCGCGTTCTTCTTCCAATTCCAAGGCTTCTCAGCCGCCGACCAATCCTCAAGTACCTTCAAAGCCTCCCGCCAGTCCTGCAGTTTCTCATTCGAATTGGAAACATACGAATGCTGGACCATAGCTCGACTCTTCCCAATCGCATCCACAAGTCCCGCCAGCGCCTCCGCATGATCGTTCCCCACCAGTATTCTCTCCGAGATATGTCTCAACACCCGATCTCGGCGCTGATCCAGCAGTGAAAGTTGCTTCGAGAACTGTTGTCCGACTCCTGCGCGATCTGATGCAGATTTTTGGATTGTCGTGAAGTGGAATAGTTGAACGAGTTGGCGTTGGAAATGGAATAAGGACTCGACTTGATCTGCTGGGAGCGTTCGTCGTCGGACGACGAGGTAAATATCCAGAGCTGAAGATAGGTTCTGATCCTTGAGGGACTGCCCAAGTTGGGTCATCAGGTCCTTTGTCGATCTGCTCTCCCGTTTGGGCGTTGGGCTTCCTCCGATAGGTTTTGAAGCATGGCTGGCGGTGGAGATGAGCCCATGTGTCTCTTTGGGTATGGGTTGTGCTGCAGCTGCGGCACTGCTATAGTTTCGTTGGTGTTTCTGGGAAAGTAAACCAGGGCTGGCTGTGAAGGAGGGTGTTGGTCCTGAGGAAGTGTGTTGTTGCCTTGGACAGGGTCTTACGGGTCGTCTTGGTTGGTCCCTGGAGAGCACAGTGCGCGAGTATGCCCTTTGAAAGCACAGTTGCCAAGGGTTGTCCTGCGAGGTGGGGATGGTGGGGCGTGAGCAAGAGGTGATCCGAACGGACGAAGGAGAGTGATTGTGTGCCAGAGAGAGGGGATGGGCGGGCAGGATTCGCCTGACGGGTAGAGATCTCATGAGACGGCGGTCCTGTTTGTGTCGTTATCGTCTGTCAGTGTCGATTCCCTGATAAATAGGTTGTGCTGCTCTTCCTGGTGATTGGTGTCGGTGACGAACAAACAGGCGATTCCGGAGAGCAGAGACAAAGGCACGAAGGAGCGTTGAGGCATGGACCGAGGAGCACAACTTCGGACAAAGTCCAAGGGAAGGGAAACAACGTGTGTGTGGCTTAGGACCATTTTTCATTTTCCTCAGTGAATAAACTCTCAATAAAAGACGCTCCTTTTCCTTCTTCTACTTCAACACAAACCGCACAGAAAAGCAGGACATCACACTCGCCCCTTTAACGACTCGACGATCGCACTCACCTCTCATCATAACTTGCATACCCACGACATACATCATAACAAACACGAACTTTTGCAGTACACTCACTCACGCGCCTGCATTGCACCAAAACTTAACTCTCACACCAACACCAACACCAACAACGAACGACGATTGTTACATCTTTGTCACGACTCGCAAGTCCAGCACGCGTCAACAAATACAACAACAACAACTACCTATATTATACCCACCAAGCACAACACTTCTACAAGACAACGATGGCTGCAGCGGACGATAATATCGTGACCCTCATACAGGAGGTCGCCTCGCAGTTCCAGAGATCCGGCGCCGACCTCCAAAACATCCAAAAGACAACCCACGATATGCGCGAAGCAGAAAACAACCGCAACGAGATGATGCATGACGCCCGCACACTGCTTCAGAGTAAGGAACTTGCATTCACTTTTTGCTTTAATGAACGAGTTTTTTTTTACTCTCTTGGTTGCCTTTAGGCATCTTACTTACCCTTCTTTGATCTTCTACTGATATGAATTAGAGATGTCGAGGAATCTTCAACTTTCAAGGTCCAAGGGATCGAGGCAGCATGTGGACCCTGACAGTTTACGACACGACGACCGGATGATGGAGATGGATCAGCAAAAGTTTTCGATCGCCAAGGCAATCCAGGACATAGACCAGGATATCACGTCACTCGAAGCCGAGATTCATCAGCTGAGGATGCAGAGCCTGGAACTTGACTCTTCTTACACAAGCTCTTCTGGTGGTGCCTCTAGTGGTTCTTCAGCAGCAACAGCGGGGGCGTCCAAGAGCAGTGGGTCATCAGGAGGAGAAGGCGATGGGGATATGGGAGACGGTGACGCTGGAACGAATGGCGCTTCTGTACGAGGACGTGGAGGGCGGAATGGGGGAATAGACAAGGATGAAGTCATGCTGAACGACGAAGAAGATATCCTAGACGATACCGCCCATGCCATGGCTGTGTAAGTTTCTGGTGATCTTTATGTCATTTGTTTGCTATAGATGATATGATATATGGCAATGATTGCTAACCTTTTATTCTCACATCTCTTACTATATATCATCTAGGCTGCGGCTTCAGTTGTACAGAGGAATTGGTATCGAGATGCTGGAGAATGAGCTGGGGGTCTACTCAAAAGCGCGCATCCGTAAGTTTTTGCTTCACTTTCAATTGCTATATCTGCTACGGTCGTACGAACATGTTCTCTTGCCAAATTCACATTCTGACCCTCACATCTGCAATTCTTTTGAAAAACAAACATATCGGGAACGGATAAACAGGATCTAGCTCAAAGAACGATGTTCATCTTGTCAAGTTTGACGATCAGCTCTCGCCTTACTTCCAGACGAACCTCATCTGGGAGTTTGCCTCATAATGTTTGCCAACGAGATCTTGACCAGGACGTCAGGACTATATCTCACTCTTGGTCTCGACAACTACCACCATCGTATTTACATTCTCGGCATACATATACCTTTTTTTCCCCCAGCCATCTGTTATTATTTACAACGTGGAAGAAATACATATCGAGCATTGTTTGCACACACTTTCAAGCAGCTTGGGGCAAGCACTTTCTTTTTTAGGAGAGCAGTGAGGTGAATGCAATGGAATGGACATGCGAATGTGTTGCGAGGTGAACTTTTTCTCGAGTTTTTGAGCGAACCTGTTTCAGCGCGTTGTGTTTGAGTGAAAATTTTATTACGTGGAGAGAGAGGGTATGCAAAAAAACAAGGGATGGTTTGAATATCTATGCTTAGGGTGTGTGTGTGTGCGATACACGAGAAAAGGGTTGTCAAAGTACACTCTCTATTCGCTCAGCGAAAAAGAAGAGAGGGCTTTTTACTTAAGCTGGACTTTGTGGATGCAAGCGTTCTTGCCCTTGAAGATACCATCCTCAACAAACAAATCCCTGTTCTTGAAACCCAAGGTAATATGGGGCTGGAAGTTCTCGGCGGCAAACAAGGCGGGGTTACCACCCTTCTTCACAAACAGCTTGAACACATCCGTGCGGTAGGCCACGATATCCTTGTAGTTCTTGACAATCAACTGAACCGACTGCTGGAAAACGTTATCGGGCTGGGTGACGGTCTGAACACGTCCGAGACACTCGATATCGAAATGGGCACGCTGGAGACGGTTGTTCTTGGTGGCCAGGGCGTTGAGCTCGTGGATGGTCATACCGACCTTGGAGAGGATGGTGTCGTACTCTGGAGGGGTGATGATGGTGATGTGGGACTCGCCGCGGGAGATGAGGGTGCCGTTTCCGAGGGAGGCGGTGGTGTTGACCTTTTGGAAGATGGGCTGGATGTACTTGTAGTCGACGTTCAATCCGACCCAGTTCGTGAACAGGGCGGTACCCTGTTGGTATTATTGTATTCGATTTGAAAGAAGAAAGAGAGGGTTTAGATGTTGGTTTACAGGTAATATAAGAGGGTGGGAAAATAACAGAAAGAAAACGGACTTACGGTGTGAGGGATGAAGGGAACGGAGGAGGTCTTGAGGACCTTCTTGTTGATGACGATGGGACCGTTGTTCTTGTGGCCGTGCTTGTTTTCAGGGGCAGCGATGACGGTTGAGGCGACCAAGGCCAAGGTGGCGAAGAGGGTGGTGGCGATGCGCATGGTGAGAAGGCGTAATTTGAGGTGTAGGAGAGGGGATATGGAATGAATCAAGGGAGAAAAGAAGAAGAGGAGAAGAAGGAAGGTCCAAGGGTTGTCCTTTTTATACCTGGTGCTAAAGAATCTAAGCTGAGACAAGATAGTGGGCCTAGATTCTCAGGATTGTCAACATGCCATGGTTCCATGCCCTGTCGACGAGGAGAATGGTACACCCGTTCACGGAAAAAAGTGCTCACACAAAAGGAAAGGAAGGCGACAGGTTCACACTAAGGAATAAGCGGGCGCATCATTGTTCACAGAACGTGGACACTCTGTCATCTCGTTGACCCCTTCGGTGCTTTCTGAGCATATTAATTTATTTATTTGGACAAGAAGAAGAACAAGAAGGGGGTTCGATCGTATATTGTTCTTAGCTCCCCTTCCTTTGAGCACCCCTAGTCCATCCTTCCCCTCCACAACAGGAGAGGGAATGAAGAAAGAAGACAGAGGACATCAACATGCCTGCTTGTCTGTCGTGCAATGAACAACAATGGTGCCCTTTCTGTCCAATGGACTGCAAAACAACTGGATCTCTCCCTCTCAGTGCGACCACCGGCTGAAGTAGGGATGCACAAGGAAGGCAGCACGCAAAAAGATTGGCTAGGCGGAGATCTGCTCTTTTCTTACGTTCTCAGCCAACCGTTAACCGTTGGTTACAACTAGTATGGAACAATACCCCTCCCCCCCAATATTATCCTTCTACGTGTGCATGGCATGGAAGTATCAAAACTCAGGAACAATGATCGAGGCTCTATCGATCGTCAAGACAAGAGACAAAAGAGACATGGAGAGAGGAGGATGGTCAAGGGAACGATTCCCATTCCCTCTCAACCAAGAACCCACAGACAACGCTCCGTTCCATCCACATGCTTATTTCTCAGGCCAAGAGTTGAGTTTGATTACCGCAAGTTAGGGCTCTCCTCCTCTCTTTTTTTTTTTTTTTTGTTTTCGGTCCTGCATGCAGCCAGCCAGTCGAATATCCATCCAACCGAAAAGTGCTCCCTCTGTTTTGTGTTGTGTTTTTCCCTTAAACCTTACAGTTCGCACTGGCAGCAGCCAATCCAGTCTCGACATGGCCCCACTCCCACGAGCGCCATCTTTTGAGTTGCTGAGAATTTTTTGTCTCGTCGTCATTTCCTCCATGGAAAAGGGTCCCTTTTCTCCACTTGTGCATCTATCAATCGTTGTTCCTCCTCGCTCTTTTTCTTTTGTTGTTTTGCTTCATCTTCATTCCCGCTTCTTGAGATCGATCGGAATGAATGGGTAAATTCATCAGACATATCTGGGCGTAAGGTACAGGAAAATACGCATTTCTATAGTACGCGTGAAAAATAGAAAAGAGAGGGGTCGATTTTATTATGTTCATTAGATGGGTGCGACGACAGGGGCCGAGACGGCAGAAGAGGGTTGGACAAGAGTGTCATCACTGAAAGGCACAGTTGAAACTGATGCAGAGACCACTGTCGAGACTGGAGCGAAGGCGACGAACGTCGTAGCTCCTTATGTAGCGTTACTAGATGGTGGCGCAGTAGCGAACACTGGCGCAGGGACATAATTCATCATGGGAGTATCAGTCTTTGTGGCCAAATCAGCCACCGCTGTCGTCGTTGCCGACAATGACGACGACAAGGCTGGCGACCAAGGGAACTCAGAACCGACTGTAGAAACGGGCGCTGACACAGACGATGTCGACAAGGCACTCATACCGGCCATCGATGGTGACACTGCAGGGGCAGGTGCAGAGATGGCATTCGTCATGGATGGTGACGAAGTGGTTCGGAGTTGCTGTTGAAGCATCTGAAGCTGTGCTTCCTGCTCTTCACGGAAACGAGCCAAGTTCTGCTGTTGCAGTTGGAACTGTTGGTCTTGCTGGGCCTTGACCAACGCAAGCTGCAGTTGCAAGATCTCCTCCGTGATCGGAGCAGGTGCACCACTTCCTGGGCTCCCAACAATACTGCTGTTGCCCATGATACCGCTCATTGCCCTCGCCTGGGAGTCACGCCTCATTGCCGCCAAAGGTGGAACGGGAGGGTAGGAGAAATCCTGACTTTGGACACCTCCGCTTACACCCATCGGGAATGGCGATGAAGCATAGAGCTGAGGGTTGGCAGCCGTTGTTGGGTAATACTGCATATCCGAGAACTGGATGCCTGGCTCAAAGTACTGAGGGTTGTTATGGTACATCGCCGCATTCGCCGTCGGAAGGTATACTCCAGATTGGTACTGTGGGCTCCGATGTCCTCCTGACGTATTATCGATAAACGGTTGTGGGTTCCTAGGAGCCACACGTTCCTCCTTATCGAACATCATATAACCTCCATCCCCGCTACCGTCGTTGCTGCCAGTTCCTGCGGCAAGGGCTGAGATCGAGATGTTGTTGCCCTGTGGGTCCTTCTTCAAGTCGGCACCGGGCTTCTTGTCATCCTTGGATCCTTCCTTCTCCGTGTTCTTGTCATCAGACTCGGTATCGTTGGACTTTTTAGCGTTCCGCTGCTGACGACGTCTGTAAAGGACAAAACCGAGGACAATAGCAATGAGGACGACAGCACCTGCAACACCTCCTGCAATAGCGCCAATGTTGGTTCCCTCTGGTGGCGGGACGCCAGTGTTGGTTCCTTCTGATGGCGGGACGCCAGTGTTGGTTCCCTCTGATGGAGGGACGCCACTGCCCCCCGGTGCCAAGAACTGGTCCACCCACTGGTCCGTCTTCATGTTGTACACCAACGGCTTTGGTCCCATCACCGTTCCATTAGTTCCTATTCGATATAGAGTAACAAATATACGCCCATTAGACATTAATGAATACTCCAAGAACCCTATCCAAAAGCGAGCAAGGTGTGCGTGCGTGTGTGTAGAAAAAGTAGATGATATTTACCTCCCCAGGCGATAAAATAGTCGCCAGAGACAGTACAGGCCATAGACCGACGGGCCTCCTGAGCAGGGGCAGCAGTTCCAGTCTTCCACCCCATAGTATTCGTGTCGAGGATGTAGATCCCCGAGATGGGCAGGTTATCGGTTGCTTGTTTACCTCCAAACATGACCATCTTTGTTCCATTCAGGGCTATACATGGGGTTTGTTTAATAGGTCATGGTAAAGAGTAGGATCATAGTTAGTGTTGACTTCTTTACTATCTGTGGGAATACATGGGGTGATAATGGATGGATGTACTGTACCTGGCACCATGCAGTGCTCGACGATGTCTGTGTAGGGAGCATTTTTCGTTCCCTGCCATATTGAAGCATAAAAAAGGGAAGGGATGGGAGGGAGGAGAGAACAGAAGGGTGCATGCGCACAGCATTGGGTTAGCCATGTTGTCATAACAAACAACCAACCAAACAAACGTAACAACCAACCAACTAACAACCAACCAACCAAACAAACGTAACAAACAACCAAACAAACGAAACAAACAGACAGTGTACATGCACATGGCAAGTACATAAAATAAAAGGAAATGAATCACTCACGCCCCCTCTCTCTACCCCAATTGCAATTCCAAGTTAATAATTGAACGTACATCTACTTGGGCCGTCCAGACTCCACCTTTGTACTCCCACATCTGTTTATTACAGACCGGCGGAATGGCGTCAGTATACCCTCCAAACAGCAAGAAACTCGACCGGACTGAACTCCACACAAACGAATAGTATCCAATCCCTTGCATCACCCCTGTCGTCGGCATGGGCACAGAGTTGATGATAGGGGGATTGCTGTTCGAATTGACCTGTGCCATTTCCACTCCTGCGTTGAATCCACAGGGGACATATGCATATTCCGATCCCGCCCCTGTCGTTGTCGGGTCGAACCCAATACTGAGGCCTTGCCGAGTTAATGCATTTGGGTACGTCAACGGAGTAACACTGTTGGATTCGAGGTCATAGATAATAAGACCCGGATCTGCGGCCCATTCAATCATCTTGTTGGGTCCCATCATGGTCAGACTGTTGAACGCTGTTGCAAGCATGGGGGTCCCTGTAGTCGAGGTGAGGGACTTCCATGCTGGGTTGGAGGTGGACCAATTGGTTTGGAGATTGAGGGCAAAGAACTGGTTTGTCCTGCCTCCCGCTTGCCCGGTTGTGGTTCCCCCGCGGATGTAGAGTGTCTTTTCGCCGTCAGAGGTGTACCCCCCATTAGTGACCGGCACTGGTGCAGTGGACTGAGCGAGTGCAGTGGATGAGAGTAAACAGGCTGCGATAGCAGCGGCTGCTACTGCCGTTGTTGCTGTTGTGATCATGGAAGGACGGGAGCGAGTTGTTGGTGTTATTGGCGACGGCATAGAAGAAGGTTGATTGGTGTTTTGGGTATTATTTTTTTCGGTTTTGTGGCGGTGTGCTTTGTGCTTTTTAGAGTGCGTGTTTGTTGTGAGCGAAGGGGATTTCGTTATCGTAATGGTATTTAAGGCGTCAAGCAAAGGAGAGAGTATGGTGAAGGAAGAGTAGACGAGGGAAAGAAAGAAGAGTTGGAGAGAGGAGGCTGAGAAAAAGAGAGAGAAGGTGTTGATTTTTTTTTAAAAAAAAGACAGCGAAAAAGACAAAAAGTGGGCGAGGCGAGGACGAGAGCGAAAAAGGATAGATGAGATGAAAGGGATGAAAGAAAGGAAAGAGGGCGAAGTTCCGAGCGAAAAGCAAGGGGGAGCGTGCAGAGGGAGAAGAGAGAGGAAAAGGGGAGAAAGGATGAAAAAAAAGACAAGTAAGGGAGAGAGTGGGAAGATGGCAAGTGGGCGAGGCGGAACCGGCCACTTTACTGACTTTGAAGTCGTAAAGACATGGGAGCCGAGAAAGGATAGATGGGGCGTCTGATCGCTCATTCCTCTGTCATGCCAATGTTTCCCCGCCGACGCTCAACTCATCCTTCTCTCTTTTTGTTCATGGTTGAGAGTTAACCTTTTTTCGAGTTTGTGTTTGCCTTTTTTGTTGCTTGACTCTATTGGATCGCCCATACTCCTTCCTCCCTCTCACTCTCTTTGCATGCATTCACACACGCAACCCCTCAAATGCAGCGAACACCATAAATAGCGCCCCAGGTAAGTATATATACATCATTAGGCAGGTTCCGCTCGGAAGGTTTGACATGTAAATAAAGTGCAAACGGGGGTTTTTTATATTCTTTACGTTGTTTTCTGACACTTCTCCATGAACCAATCAATAGGAAGACGGTATATCGAAAAATTGGACACCGCTCTCATTAGTAAATCGTACTGGTACCTTCTTTCCCCTCTCTTCCATGTGTTCGGTCCAGTCTGGCTGTCACTTCGTAAATGAGTCGAGAGGAAGAGTGCTCACGGAGAAGAGTAAAAAGTATAATCGTATTCAACAACCACGATAAATCCACTCTGCTTCTGTTCCTCTTCTCAACTCCATCCCCTTCTTTGTACCTTCATCGTCCTCCGAGGAGAGTTGAGAAAGAGACATATCGTCAAAGCAATCGATGCGTCCTCTTGCTGCTGGGTCGAATAGAAAACAAACAACAAAGCACAAAGCACAGAAAAGTAAGGGGTTGGCCATGGGGATGATGAAAAAATTATCCTTTTGATCTGTGCCTGAAGGTTCTGGGCACGAAAATGACACCACCTCATTGGCCACTGGTCGATGTCTCTCTCCCTCTGTTCGTATTTTCAACGACGTTGAACAAAAAGAAAATAAAATTTGACTTTCACCCCGTTGGTTCTGTGAGCCCGAAATTTTTTACTTTTCTTTTCAGCACCTGGATTCTGGCTCTCCTTCCATCCATCTAGGAACCAAGTTTTTCTCCTCGTACAAGTCATCGATTTCCAAGGAAGAGCTTTCCATCTTCAGAAAAAATCGAAAGAAGACAAGGAAAAAAAAAGGTAGTTGTTATTGAAAGCTTTAATAGGAGTATGAATCACGAATAGAGATTCATGCATGAAAAAAAAAAAAGATTCATTGTAATCATGAAAGAGTAGCAACTCCTCGCTTGCATCGTGATAGGAAGTCGTTGACCCCCCTTGCGCGATTTGCTCTCCCGGACTTTTGTCTCTATTGCTCCTCCAGATCCAACATCCTTTACAAGACCGCGTCTTCCGCCCAAGTCGATTCTGGTGGGCCAACTCTATATCCTCCTCCTCCTTCTCCCTGATGATTACACGGGCCTGTGGGGGTGGTGCACGCGTTAATGGCTGCGAGGAGACGAAAAAAATGAAGACGGTCCTGAACCACTAAACCCTTAATACTGAGCCGCGCGTGGGACGTACTGTGCGTCCCGGGGTCAGTTAACAATACCACCTTCTGCTCCATCCTGGGATCCATCTCCGTCACGGCCGAAGAGGGTACAACCAGAACGAGCTACGAGAGGATTGTGTGCTCGTGACCGAAGACGCGTCTAGATCGATGATTGTTCGATAGCCATTGTGACCAGCAATTGATGAAAGAGAGGAGTGTCATGGTAAGGCAGACTGTGTGACTCGCTCAGTCGCAAGAAGGGTAGTCTCAGTCCTCCTCCCTGCCCTTCTCTTGTTCGCTCAAGGAATTGTGGCAACTGACCGTTTCGCTACATCGCCGGATTTGGGTTCAGACGCACTCGGCAAAACGAAATGGCCCTTGAGTCGCCTGGTGCTAGTTCATTCCACATTAATATATCAGGCGACATTTTTTTCCTTGTCTCCCAAAGAAAAGCAATTCGACTGCACGGTCTTCCCTTCCTCCTCCTCTTTCAGCCTCAATGACTGACGCCGTCTGGTGTCATCATTCTGCCCTGTGAATAGAAGAGACGTTAAGTATCCACCTAGCGCCAAATTGCACGTGGTCTCTCTCAATGTAAGGCCAGGATTTGTACGAACAAGAGGATGATGGGTTTCACATAGCCGCGTTCAGAAGTACCTATCGAGACATTGTAATGAATTAAGCAGAATGTAGAGCATGGAGCAATGCACCAAACAAACCCAATTGACAATCTCCAATTAACGCCTTCTACGCAGAAGGGGATACCTTGATGGTCCCACTACAAGCCTTTGTACAGTTGTATTATATATGCCAAACTGCGGTACTTACTAATCCTCTTTTTCTATCCTCGACCAATGCTCTTTATCTTCTTCAGGAACAGGAACGACAGTTCGAGGGACGCGTGGTAAAAGAAAAAGTCTAGGTGAAGGATAGGAAAGTGAGCAAGGCAAAGGAGAGAAGAAAGGAAAAAGCAAAGACGAAAAGAAAGTTGAGCATAGGTAGAGCTTTCTCCGTTCAACGACAACAAAAAGAAGAAAGGCACCGCAGCAAGGTCGCCATTGCCGCTTCTGTTTCATACCCCACCATCATCCTCAGAAGCACTAAAGCAGAAAGGCTTAGGTCATCTGAAGTAGCGGGAAGAGATGAATGTCGGTCGAGGTCAGGGAGTGGTGGTAACGGCGCCGAAACCGCACCCTGGATCTTCACTGCACTCTCACTATCATCAGCATTATCTGCAGGACCGTATCGAAACGAATAAAGGTATCTCATCATCGGTGACACTCCCTTTCTTACAGGTACAAACGCGAAAAGTGAGAACAAGTACGTTATCATTTCTCTAATTGTTTTTGCTACTCATCGTTATTTAACAGGGAATACCCCTCATGGGCATCATTCCAAACTCTATCGCGATAGAAACTCGTCACTACAGGCTTTTTGTGAGAATAGCGCCGCGCTGCTTTAGCAAGTTCCGGTTGATCGTGTTAAGACCAATGGCATCGTCAAAGAGCGATCCCGAGACAGCAAGGCCACCTCCTCCTCCAGTACCCCACACTAATCGGACTAGCACTCTGCCGGACTCTTCCACGACCTTCCAAGCACGAGTGGACCCATACATATCGGCGGTGGCAAATTCCAACTTGTAAGGCCTCCAGACAATCTCCTTAATCTTCCCTAAGCAACCCTCGACGGCCAGCACATAATCCCAGTTCTGTGTCCTCACCTCCAGAGGGCTTCTCCACAGGTGAACCGTATCATCTTCAACACTTGCTATCCATTGACCGCAACTCGAGAATGCAAAGTGTTGGAAGGCAATATGACTGTGCTGCAAAATGACTCGGTAATCTCGGCCGTCTTCATCCCACAGACAAACACCTTTTCCACCGTGACAGGAAACAGCCTGAAGACTCCATGGTAAATACCTCACAAAGCTGAAAGACGCCTCCACCCATAACTTTTTGCACTTCCCAGTCGCCACATCCCAGACTTGCATTGTTCCAAAATTGCCTCCAAGTGCAACCTCAGCACCGCTGGACGAAAACGACAAAGATCGAAAATCGACGCGGCCACAGGAGAAGACCTGGATAGACGTGCCTGATCGGGGATCCCAAAGTCGCACCGTCAGGTCATCACTGGAAGCAATCCATCGGCCGCAAGGTGAGAACGCAACTGCTCTCACATCCTCAGTATGGCCGCCAAGAGTGTGCTCAAGGGCGCCGGTGTAAGCGCTCCACAACGTGACATCGCCTCCTGAACCACCCATGGCAATCTGACCCCACGAATAAGCGATAGAATTAGCTCGGACCTCTTGGCGGCGAATAACAAGACCAATCTCGCCACTCTCCGTGTCATGTTGCTGTATGGCTCCAGCACGACTGCCAGAGATGAGAAACCGTCCATCAGGGGAATAGGCTACACTTGGCTTGGAGTCGAAGGCGCCGTCTACGTCGAGATCAAACCCAGCCGAGTTCGCCTCCCAGAGCCGTACAGTCTGATCCTTGCTTCCTGAAGCAATGAGCGAGCTGTCTGGGGAAAATGCAACACAGGTAATGCCGTGGGTGTGACCTGTGAATACAGAGACAAGTGTGGGTGAATCTCCACCCCACACCTTGACCGTTTTGTCGCCACTGCCAGACACAATCCATTGCCCGTTCGGTGAAAACGCGACGCTTGTCACTGGTCTAGAATGTCCTCTCCATTTGATCCTCGGTATCATGGTGGTCGCCTCCCAGAGTTGCAGTTCGCCGGTGACTTCACCCGAGACGATCGACTGTCCGTTAGGGGAATATCCAAGGCAGCGGTAACTCACGTCACTCGTTCCAGAACCTTGCACCAGTAGGCCCGTCCGTGTGTCGAATACTCCGACTTGTCCATCCATGCAGCAGGATACAATGTTGTTCCCGTCTGGTGAATAGGCGATCCCTGTGACATCGCCAAAATCTTCTATGACAAAGGTGACGGTTCCTGTTTGGGTGTCCCATAGGGACACTGACATGTCGTCGCTGGCTGAGGCGAACTGCATGCCTGAGGGTGAAAACGCAACAGCTGTTACCTTCCAAGAATATCCTCTCAGAATACGATAAGTCCTGTCTATCTCACCATCCCACAGTCGCAACGTACCATCGGAACAGTAAGAGAGAAGAGGAAGGCCGGTTGTTGAATAGGCGAGGCTCTGAACAGCTGTTTCATGACCATGAAATAGCCGAATCCTTGTCCAGGTGGTTGTGTCGTAGATATTAATGTTGCCGTTTTTCAGGCCCGTTGCAAAAGACCTTCCATCTGGGGAAAATGTACATGACTCTACCGCCCACGCTTCCTGCAAACTCGGAAGCTCTCCAAACCGGGTCTCTTCCATCCGTGCCCTGGTGAAATCCGCCTGTCGGATCCAAGCCTTGGCGAAGTATATTCCTGTTAGGTCGGAATCCTGAAACTGCGCCGAGTCGAATTGCCCACCTGTGAGATTGGCCCCTGGGATGCGGATGCCTCGAAGGTCAGCCCCATTGAAGTGTCTCCCAGCTCTCACCAGGATCGTGATGGCGTTGGATGCGGCCATGCTAGCCAGAGGATCCGACTTGGAAAGCTCAATGAGAGCGAGAAGGTATTGCTTGAAGATGGGCTGCATTTGCACACGCTCGGCGAGAAACTGGATGACCGATGGCTCCGGGACAAGACTCCTCTTGGACAGTGGATGGTCGGTGATAGGAAGAGATACACCAGTAGCTTCTGAATAAACATGCGGAGCAAACTCGTCATCATCCCTGGAGGTGTCCCAGACGAAACAGGAGAAAAAATACTCTAAGACGGATCGATGGATGAAACGGTACTGGTTGCCGGTGCGACTCAACAAACTGGCATCTCTGAGGAGGGATCTCTCAGTTTTAGGACCAAAGAAGCTAGCTTTCCACGACGACTTGTCTCGCTTGTTGGAATATTCGACTACAGGTCGGCCCTCCTGTTGCTGAAAGATCGCCCACGCCAGCTTCTTCTGAAAGACAATCCCATGATGCACAAACCCGTCCGCAAGAAGATCTTCCAGCGCCTCATGTTTGTCATCCTTGAACGTCTGTTCTTGCAGGCGGCGCTTGTTGGCCTCCAACCAATGATGAACAAATGTGTCGTAGAGCTCAACACGGGTGACGCGGAGATTCGAGAGACTGGTATTGTTCTTGACGACGGATGGGAGTGCTTCCAGAGCAAGAATCAACAGGAAAGGGTTCCTGACCAGGTCCATGAGGTTGGGGATGGCTGCCAACTTGTCCATATAGTCCTTCTTAACCCAAGTACGAGGTATGAGTGGGACAAACTTTTCAACGTACAGCTCGATCTGTTCCTTGGAGAAGGGGGCGATGACGGCTTCTTGAAAGAGATTGTAGGCGGTGCGGTGATACTGACCGGACGCCTTAGGCGCAAAGCGATCGCGATAGTCAGGACCGAGGTACTGAGTGCGGCAGGTGATGATCAACTTGACGTTCCACTGCCCAGGTCGATTGAAGAGGTTGGTGGTGTGCAAGTTGGAGGTGAGCTGGCTCTCATCATAGCCATCGCAGATTAATAAGAGCTGGCGACACTGTTTTAGATCCCAGATATGCCGTTCTGAAAAGTCGACGGTCCTCAATTGCTTTGCAACGAGATCCTCATCGGGTTGTTTGTGGGCTGGGAGGTTGATGAAGAGCGGGATGCGGCCCCCAACCTCGTAGTTCGTCCACAGTTTGTTTTCCAGATGTCGATTGAACGTCGACTTTCCAGCTCCCGAGTCGCCCAGAATCAGCAAAACTTGACCGTTGCCTGCTAAGAACTCCCTGACCATGTTCATAAGAGGAAGCGCGCTGTTGTCTAGTGCTTGTAGGTTGGGCTTAGCCATCGGTGCAATGTAGACAGGTTGGTTATATTCAAGAAGTCTGTTTGTCTTCATCCTGAGGAGCGCATCTTCAACTGAAGCAGGGTCATCGTCCGCCTCGGCTGCAACACGTCCAAATTTTGCTGGACGATCCAGTTGAGATGACATAGTGGATCCGGGTTGCGGCTGTTGATTGCCACGGGGAAATGACGACAACATGGTGAACCTATTAAGGGTAGAGAAGAAATAAGCGATTAGTAAATAGCAATTGTCCTAAGATGTATTTTGCATATGCAGGCGCTCACAGACATCGAAGATTGGCGATGGGGATTCCTATGGTCTGAGGCTGGTGGGCGAGTTGGAGTAGGGCTTATCGATAAGGCTTGAGCGAGTGATGCCAATTTGAGGTTGAGTGACCCTTATTTACTTACTTGGCGAGCGGGTGCTTGTTGTATTGGGAGCTGTCTCTCTGACTACTTCGGTGGACAAGAGGGTCTATTTGGATGCACCGCTGATTAGTTATCTGGAGGTCGAAGTTGTCTCGTCTAGAGAACACTCGTCGCCACTGTGCTGTTATACCTCAAGGGAGTGATAGTGCCTTTTTTTGGTGGTTGTGTCGTTTAGTTGTGTTTTTGGATAGTTGTTGTTTTGGTTTGTGATTGGGTACTATGGTTCTGGTAGACCTGCTGAAAGGAGTGCAGGAGGTGAAAGAGGTAGTGCTTTGGTGAATGTCGAGGAAGAAGAAGGAGATAATGGGGCGGCGAGATGATGCAAGGGAAAGGCGGGTGATGGTAGAAAATATGGAATGAGCCGAGAGAGAAGAAGAAAAGAGAAATAAAACAACGCCTTTGACTTACATCGCCAATTATTTTGGTTCAACGTGACCATGGAGCATGCACAAAGAGCAATGGCAAGAAAGTACCTGTCTGAATGATATTTCATGAGCACAGACCAGCTAGTGCTGATTAAACAACGTTTGTTCCTGAGATATACATCAATCCAGTCAGGCACCGCTGAAATCTAATATCGGTTGAATCCCCTCAATGTGGTTCCCTACTTCAAATAAAAGAACGGCAACCGCAGTAAAGTCGCCACTGCCTCTTTTGTTATCCAATCCACAATCATCCTCAGAGCCACTCAGGCCTAGAGGCTCAGGGTCATGTGAAGTAGCGGGAAGAGACGGATGTCGGTGGAGGTCAGGGAGAGCTGGTTCATTGCACTCTCACTACCACCAGCACTATCTGCAGGACCGTATCGAAACGAGCAAGGGTATCTCATCAACGACGACACTCCCCTTCTTAGAGGTACACACACGTGAGCACAAGTACGTTATCATTTCTCTGATTTGTATTGTCTTTGCTACTTATTGTTATTAAACAGAAAATAGCCACCATGGGCATCATTCAAAACAGTATCGTAATAGAAACTCGCCACTACAGGTCCTCGGAGAGAACAGCGCCGCGCTGCTTTAGCAAGTTCAGGTTGAGCGAGTTAAGACCAATGGCATCGTCAAGGATCGATCCCGAGGCAACAAGACCACTTCCTCCAGTACCCCACACCAGTTGGACCGCGACTTTGTCGAACCTCTCTACAACCCTCCACACACGAGTGGATCCACCCATATCGGCGGTGGCAAATTCCAACTTGTTAGCCCTCCAGACAATCTCCTCAATCTCCCCTACGCAACCCTCGACGGCCAGCACATACTCCCAGTCATGTGGTCTATTCTCCAGAGGGCTTCTCCACAGGTGAACCCTGTTTTCTTCAACACTTGCTATCCATTGACCGCAACTCGAGAATGCAAAGTGTTGGGTGGTAATACCACTGTGCTGCAAAATGACTCGGGAATGTCGGCCTTCCTCATCCCACAAATCAGCACCTTTATGACCGTCACAGGAAACGACGTGAAGACTCCTTGGTAAATACCTTACAAAGTGGTTCCCATAGTCGCTTCCGCCTATTGCCTTCTTGCATTTCCCAGTCGTCACATCCCAGACTTGCATTGTTCCGAAGTAGCCTTGAAATGCAATCTTAGCACCGCTGGACGAAAACGACAAAGTTCGAACGAAACAGGCGTCGTTACTGGAGATGACCTGAATAGATGTGCCTGATCGAGCATCCCAAAGTCGCATCCCCAGGTCACCACCGGAAGCAATCCATTGACCGCATGGTGAGAACGCAACTGCTCTCACATCCTCAGTATGGCCGCGAAGAATGTTCTCAAGGGCGCCGGTGTGAGCGCTCCACAACGTGAGATCGCCTCCTGAGCCACCCATGGCAATCTGACGACCGTCCGATGAATAGGCGATAGAATTGACTCGGAACTCTTGGCGGCGAATAACAAGACCAATCTCGCCACTCTCCGCTTCATGTTGCCGTATGGCTCCAGCGCGACCGTGCGAGATGAGAAAACGTCCATCAGGGGAATAGGCTACACTTGACTTGGAGTCGAAGGCGCCATCTACGCCGAGACCAAACCCAGCCGAGTTCGCCTCCCAGAGCCGTACAGTCTGATCCCAACTTCCTGAAGCAATGAGTGGGCCGTTTGGGGAAAATGCAACACAGGTGATGGTTTGGGTGTGACCTGTGAATACAGAGACAAGTGCGGGTGAATCTCCACCCCACACCTTGACCGTTTTGTCGTCGCTGCCAAACACAATCCATTGCCCGTTCGGTGAAAACGCGACGCTTGTCACTGGTCCAGAATGTCCTCTCCATTTGATCCTCGGCATCATGGTGGTCGCCTCCCAGAGTTGCAGCTCGCCGGTGACATCACCCGAGACGATGGATTCTCCGTTAGGGGAATACGCAAGGCAACAGTATCTCACGTTGCTCGTTCCAGAGCCTTGCACCAGTAGGCCCGTCCGTGTGTCGAATACTCCGACTTGTCCATCCATGCAGCAGGAGGCAATGTTGTTCCCGTCTGGTGAATAGGCGATCCCTGTGACATCGCCAAAATCTTCTATGACAAAGGTGACGGTTCCTGTTTGGGTGTCCCATAGGCGCACTGACATGTCTGTGCTGGCTGAGGCGAACTGCATGCCTGAGGGTGAAAACGCAACAGCTCTCACCTCCTTGGAATGTCCCTTCAGAACACGATCAGTCGCGTCGCTCTTACCATCCCACAGTCGCACCGTACCATCGGAGCCGCCGGAGAGAAGTTGAAGGCCGGTTGTTGAATAGGCGAGGCTCACAACGGCCGCTTCATGACCATAAAGTACCCGAATCCTTGTCCAGGTGGTTGTGTCGTAGATACTAATGTTGCCGTTTTCCAAACCCGTTGCAAAAGACCTTCCATCTGGGGAAAATGTACATGAATCTACGTCACTCGCCTCCCGCAAACTCGGGAGCTCTCCGAACCGTGTTCCTTCCATCCGTGCCCTGGTGAAATCCGCCTGTCGGATCCAAGCCTTGGTGAATATAACCCCCGCCAGGTCGGAATCCTGTAACTGGGCCGAGTCGAATTGCCCACCTGTGAGATTGGCTCCTGGGATGCGAATGCCTCGAAGGTCAGCTCCATTGAAGTGTCTCCCAGCTCTCACCAGGATTGTGATGGCGTTGGATGCGGCCATGCTAGCCAGAGGATCCGACTTGGAAAGCTCAATGAGAGCGAGAAGGTATTGCTTGAAGATGGGCTGCATTTGCACACGCTCGGCGAGAAACTGGATGACCGATGGCTCCGGGACAAGACTCCTCTTGGACAGTGGATGGTCGGTGATAGGAAGAGATACACCAGTAGCTTCTGAATAAACATGCGGAGCAAACTCGTCATCATCCCTGGAGGTGTCCCAGACGAAACAGGAGAAAAAAATACTCTAAGACGGATCGATGGATGAAGCGGTATTGGTTGCCGGTGCGACTCAACAAACTGGCATCTTTGAGCAGGGATTTCTCGTGGCCAGAACCAAAGAAGCGCGCTTTCCACGATGACTTGTCCCGCCTGTTGGAATATTCGACGACAGGTCGGCCGTTCTGCTCCTGAAAGATCGCCCACGCCAACTCCTTCTGAAAGACAATCCCATTATGAACAAACCCGTCCTCGAGAAGATCCTCAAATGCCTGGCGTTTATCCTTCAACGCCTGGTCTTGTTGGCGGCGCTTGTTGACCTCCAACCAGTGATCTACAAATGTATCGTAGAGCTCGGCGCGGGTGATCCTGAGCCTCGAGAGATCGCTTCTGCTATCGACAACACTTGGGAGAGCCTCCAAAGCAAGAGTCAATAGAAAGGGGTTCCTGGCCAGGTCCGAGAGGTTGGGGATGGTTGCCAGCTTGTCCATGTAGTCCTTCTTGACCCAAGTCCGGGGTATGAGTGGGACGAACTGTTCGACGTACAGCTCGATCTGTTCCTTGGAGAAAGGGGTGATGACGGCTTCCTGAAAGAGATTACTGGCAGTGCGATGGTATTGACCGGACGCCTTAGGCGCAAAGCGATCGCGATAGTCAGAACCAAGGTATTGAGTGCGGCAGGTAACGAGCAACTTGACGTCCCACTGCCCAGGTATATTGAAGTAATTGGCTGTATGTATGTTGGATGTGAGTTGGCTTTCGTCGTAGCCGTCGCAGATCAACAGGAGCTGGCGGTGCTGTTTGAGGTCCCAGATTTGTTCCTCTGAAAAATCGATGGTCCTTAATTGCTTTGCAACAAGATCCTCATCGGGTTGTTTGAGGGCTGGGAGATTGATGAAGAGCGGGATGCGGTCCCCAGCCTCGTAGTTCGTCAATAGTTTGTTTTCCAGATGTCGGTTGAAAGTCGACTTTCCAGCCCCTGAATCACCCAGAACCAGCATTACTTGGCTGTCGTCCGCCAGAAAGCCCTCGACCATGTCCATGAGAGGAAGCGCGCTGTTGTCTGGTGCTTGTAGGTTGGACTTGGCCATTGGAGAGATGTAAACAGGCTGGTTGTACTTGAGAAGTCTGTTCATCTTCACCCTGAAGAGCGCATCTTCAATTGAAACAGGATCGTCCGTGTTGACTGCGACACGTCCGGATTTTGCTGGGCGGTCAAGCTGCGAGAGACTGCGCTTGCCGTTGTTGGTCAGCTCCTGGTTGTCTGCTGCTTTCTGTGCTGCCGTCAGTTTCTGGTTGTCTGAAGCGTCCTGTTCTGTCTGGTTGTGTGCTGTTTCCTGCGCTGCAGAGGGGCACGACATAATGGCTTGGGTTGTAGCGGTCGGTTGCCTTGAGGAGGTTGAGACGATGTGGTGAACCTACTAGTGATAGTAGGAAGATATGTTATTTGTCAGGGGCAACTATCATAAGACACTCTTTGTCCCTTTAGGTACTCGCTCGTACGTACAGAAGACTGGTTGTGGGAATTCCTTTGGTCTGGGGCTGGAGGGTGAATCGGAGTAGGGCTTGTTGATGGGGTTGAATGAGTGATATGTAGTCTAGATCCGAGGCAAGTGGTATCAGTAGAGAGTCGAAACACGCTCTTGTGGCGGTCCTTATTTACACAATATTATTACTTACTTGCGAAGGGTGTTTTGTTGTACCTGAAAACTGTCTCTTTAGCTGAATTGTGTAAACATTCAGTCCCATTCAGTCCTGTTGTTATCCAAAAAGCAGCAGCGAGTTATACTTCAAGGAAGCCTGGTACGTTTTTTTTCACGTTGATCCTGTTGTTTGGGAGTAGTTCGTTGTTTGGTCTGGTAGGTGCACGCTCTTTCTGATAGCACCGCTGAGAGGGCTAAAGGAAATGAAAGAAGTAATGAGTTGGTGGATGTCGAGGAAGAAGAAGGGGATGGGGGCGCCGAGATGATGGCAGGGAAGAGGGTAATGGCAGGAGAGGTAAAATGAGTTGAGAGAGAGATGATGAGAGAAAAGAAAAAATTCCAGACCTTGACATAAACCTTCGCCAATTCTTTTCTGGACAACGTGACCAAGGGCATGTGGTGCTAAAAAGGACCAACGTCGAGGGGGTAGCTGTACTTGACCATGGTAGGATCATTTAGGGTACATGCATGCGGTCTGAATATTATATCGCGAGCAGCTTAAGAAAGAGACTGAGAAAGGAGAGTGGCGGTTGTTCAAGACAAGAAAGCACGAGCGAGAGCGAAGGGTACGGTAGGGTTGGAGAAACCTTATTCTGATCGATTTAATTGACTACACTATTCTAAAGTCCCAAATGGTTGCTCTTTCGGTCCCCAGCCACTCGACCATTCTTTTACCGGGTGACAAAAAAAACCCCCTTTTTTACGTCCGCCTTGCCCATGTTCACCATCAGCTCCCATTCACCCAACACCCTCTCAAGCACACATACATACACACATACATCCTCCTTGTTCATCACAGCCTAATGTCGTTTTTCTTCTCAAAGACACCAAAGAATGGTAATCCCCCTCTCTCTCTATCTCTCTCTCTCTCTGTCTCACACACACACACACACACTTTTTTACTCAATACCGTCGAGGCGAATGCAGCCCATCACCACCCGCGCAGCAGCGAGGTCGAATTGCTGAGCAACAGTAATAACTTTTTTCCCATTCCACCCTTTTTGTCTGCCCTAACGTTGTTCTTGAACAGAAAAAAAAATAGCGCTACGACTCAGCCCAGCGGAGAGGCAACTCTACGACAGTCTCTGGAAACAGGCTAACCCACAAGGGGCAGCACGCCTTGGTGCTGTCCAGGCAGTCGAGTTCCTCAACCTCAGTGGGGTATCAGCAGAAACTCTGGCAAATGTGAGTTGACCTGTATTCCCATTCTTTGCAACACGTGTCGTCAATTGACAAATCGTCCTGTATGCCGTTTCGTTCTACAAAAACCATATACTCACATGAATTACTCGCACGAAACACTACTAGGTGTGGGAACTCACGGCACTTGACGATCGAGGTCAGGATTATTATGACAGGAACGCGTTCGACGCTGCACTGAGGCTTATCGGTCATGCTCAGAAAGGGCATACTCCAACTGTTGCTTTGTTGACCGTGGGTAAATGGCCGCTTCTTCGCTTCTGTACTCCTCGCTCAAGATGTGAATTCTGCACTGGTGCTGACACCCTTTGTCAAAAAACGTATTTTAGAGAGTCGGCCCACTTTGAACCTCGCTGGTCTCAGGAACGCTGCCGCTGCATATCCTCCTACTTCACACAGCCAATTCACTGGGACTTCTCCTGCTGCCGCATGGCCATCTTTGCCATTAAGCGAAATGAAGACATATCGGGATCTCTTCAAAAGCCTTGACAAGGAGAACGGAATCCTGAAGTACGATATTGTCTTGCAGATAATGCTAAAGGCGGGTATTCCAACTGAGACCCTGGCCAAGATCCTGTAAGTCGTCATGGTCACAACCGTAGCGGGCTCTGGAAGATTATATCGAGCGTATGTGTATGTGCACTTGGAATCGTTTAGCTGAGGAAATAGCTAATGTATCTTCCAACCTGCTTGCAATAGGGTACTTGTTGACAGAGCCAAAAGAGCAGGATTCGACGAGGACGAATTCGTCATGGCCATGTACTTTGTCATGTGCCTGAAGAGGAACACAATCAAAGAGTTGCCCCCATCCCTACCAGCAGAAGTCATGAAGATCTGCCAAGTGAAGGAATTGCCATCGCCAAACCCCGAACTCAACTACGACAACGTTTTATCCAACCCCAACCCCAACGCCTCTATACGAGAACGCGAACTGCTGTCAATTCTTCAGACACAGCAGCAACAGCAGCAAACGCTTCAGGAGGTCTACCTGCGGCAGATTCTCGAGAATTCAAAGTCGGCGGAGCAGCGAATGTACCAACAAGGTATCGATCAATCCAGGGCCAATCAGGAGCAATTGGCGCCTCTATTGGCTGCTAACGCTTTCGGGAACGGTCCACAAGCTGCGATCTTTGCCGAGAGTTACAACAATGCGATGAAGCAGCAGCAGGTGCTCATGGAACGCATAATGGCTGCCAGCAACCCCTTACCTACAACTCTTCCGCAAGTGCCCACTGACAATCCTCCACCGTACTCTGGTCAGCAACCAGGTGTCTTCTCGACTACAACCGCACACCAACAACCAGGCGCATTTTCTCCCGTGCCTGCACACCAGCAACAGTACCCTCAGTTTTCCCAATATCAACAACCGCCCCTTCAAGCATACCCTCTGCAGCTGCAGCAAGCGTTTCAACCTCAAGCGATACCAGTCTATACCCAGCAGCAGCAGCAAGCGTTTCAGCCTCAAGCGATACCAGTCTATACCCAGCAGCAGCAGCAGTATAATCCTTATGCACAATATACCCAGCAAACACCAACGTCTCCAGGCCAGCAAGGAGCGGCAGGATACCAGTCATATCCTCCGCCACCCCAAGGAAATCTTCAATATCAGAGTTTTGAGTCAGGACAGCCACAGCAACATACCATGTCTCCAAGACAGCCACAGCAACATGTCATGTCTCCAGGACAGCCGCAGCAATATCCTTTGTCCCCAGGCAACCCGCAACAACTGCCAATGTCGCCAGGCAACCCGCAGCAGCAGCCAATGTCCCCTGGAAATCCACAATACCAGTTTGCACAGGGACAGCCTACCCACCAGCAACAGCAGCATCAGCAGCCATTGTCGCCAGGAGGTTCTCAACAATACATCCCACCAAGACACCCTCAGATGTATGGTCAACTGCAGGGTACCGATCCTCTGAACGCACCCTTGCCTCCGACCCCGACTTCTCCAGTGGGGCCTCCACTTCCCTCGCGAGCACCTCAAGACAGGAACGACTACTCGACCACAGCAGCAGTCCCGGTCACCAGTACGACGACAACGACGACTGCTGTCAGTTCGGGCCCACCACCTCTGCCTCATCGTTCTGGACAGCAACAGCAGTACCAGCCAGCCGGTCCACAGGAGATACCTGGACCCAGTCGCGCGCCTCAGTACATAGAGCCGACACCTGAGGCACGTCGTCCCTTTGGCGCGCCCCAACTTCGCTAGTTCAGCAATAGCTGCTTGTTATTTGTTTTTGTTTTGTTTGTTTGTTCGATGATTAGGACCCGTGGGCCTATTACAAAAAAGCAAACCAATAAACAAGCCCTTTAATCGCTTATCGGGCTATCGGATGAAATGTGTCCAAACCGAAATGACAAACATTTTTTCCAACGATCAAAAAAAAATGAAGGGACTGGGCGCACTGACCGCACCATGGACATTTTTCTTCCTCCACATCAATTGTACAAATACCATCCTGCCTTTCCCCTCTTTTCCTAACTGTTGCACAGTAACAACTACAACATGCCACAACCTGAACCTCCTCCATCCTCTTCCTCCACTCCCCCTCCAACAACTGCACCTTCAACTCGCCTGCGAGTCGAACCAGAGGACATATTCCTAAGAGATGCCTCCAACCGAGCATGGCTCCTCCGTGGCGTCAACCTCAGCGGGGCCTGCAAGTTCCCGCGCTACCCTGTTCCTGTTCCTTCTCATAAAGGTGGCGCGTCATTCCTCCAGCCCCGGAAACTGGTGCTGGCAGAGGGACAACAAGAAAAAGATTTAAACTCCTTTTTTCCTCCAGCAGCAGTACCTAACGCTGTTACTCCGACAACACTGGATGCTGACTCTAATGGAATCCACCATGCCAGTGATGCAGAGCCTGGTAAGAATGAGGGTGCGCATGGTGACATTCGGTCTGAGGACGAGACTAGACCTGGAGGGAAAACGTCTGAGGCGACAACCACGACTGACACGGGCGCAGCAGGCAGGGACAAGGACGACGACGGGTCAATCTCGTTCGTGGGCAGACCTTTTGAGCTGCACGAGGCGGACGAGCACCTGGCTAGGTTGAGGCACTGGGGCTTTCGGATGATCCGATGGGTCGTTACCTGGGAAGCTGTCGAGCACGCAGGCCCGTAAGTTTTATCTTGGGAAATAATTTGTTAGAGAGCAGCAATTGGCCACTTTCTTTTGTATCCATGGCCGATCGACTACTGACCACTGCTCTTCATTATTTTTGAATGTCAAATAGCGGGGTCTATGACCAAGAGTTCCTGGACTACACGGTCAAGGCTCTACTAAAGGCCAAGGAGTATGGGTTCAAGGTCATGATCGACTTTCACCAGGACGTGGTAAGCAGCAGCCTCCTATGTATGCAAGTTAAGTCCGGTATGTAACCTCATTATTTACAGGGACTCAGTACCAAAAAATATTGATCTCCATCCTCTTCATAGTGGTCAAGATTCTCGGGCGGATCTGGCGCACCCCTGTGGACATTCTACGCCGCAGGATTAGACCCCCACCACTTTGCAGCAACAGGAGCAGCAGCAGTCCACAACACCCTCCAGGACAACGAACCCCTATTGCGGATGGTCTGGTTAACCAACTACTACAAACTCGCGTGCGCAACCATGTTCACACTCTTCTACGCCGGCAGGATCCTGGCACCTAAATGTACCTTTGAAAACGGCGTCAATATCCAGGATTATTTGCAGGAGCATTTCCTGGGCGCCATTCGGGCGTTGGTCGATAGGATATATGACTGTCGAGATGAGGATGGAAGGAACTTGTTGGAAGATGATGTGGTTATTGGGTATGATTCTTGGAATGAGCCGTCGAATGGGTGGATTGGGTTGGAGAGATTGGATGTGTTGCCAGAGCAGCACGATATGCGGCAGGGTGATATGCCGACACCGCTGCAGTCACTTATGCTGGGTGAGGGGATGACGGTCCAGAACGTGGCGACGTTTCAGTTGGAGCTTGTGGGACCTGTCAAGACTGGATCGAAAACTATTCAGCCGTCAGCACACCCTGATGCCGCCTTGGTGCCTCACGACCAGCTCCCCATAAAGGCTTGGTTGCATCCTACTGTGCGAGGAGAGATCGATCGCAAGTATGGGTTCAGGCGTGATGAGTGCTTCCCGAGAGCAGGAGAGTGTCTGTGGGCACAACATGGGGTGTGGTCGATCAGGGATAGCAAGGTCTTGCAGCACGATTACTTTGCGAGAGGACCTTTGACGTCAGACGAGCAACCACTGTTGATCCAGTGGGTACCTGACCACTGGTTGCCGTTCGCGAAACGCGTGATCGAACTCGTCCGTTCTGTACACCCCACCGCCATCTTGTTCCTGGAACCCCCAGTCTACGTCCCAGCGCCAGATCTCGTCAGTGAAACCAATGCCACCAAGACTCCCGACGAGGCACCTAACCAGGTCCTACTTGATAACATGGTCTACGCCCCTCACCACTACGACGACTTGGTACTGCTGACCAAAAAGTACCTTGGCTGGGTTAACATTGACCTTTTGGGTCTGAGCCGTGAACGACACAAGAGTCTTTATGGATCGATCATCTTTGGAAAGAAGGCGACCGAGTCCTTGTTTGGTAACCAGATTGGTGAGATCCAGAAGGAATGTTATGGGCGTCTTGGTAAGTCTGTCTTGATTTTTAGGCCACGCGCTATTATTTGATACCGAATTTCTGGACTGAGACAAGAATCACTACTATTCTTATTTGTCTCTGATCAATTGGTCAAAAAGGACTTGCTTATTCTCGTACCTGTGCTTCGCCCATCATATGTCCATCGCCTTGATTATTCGTCACTGATTAATCAAGCACTCGTCACCTCATTTACACTTATTCATGATAGGCAAGAGACCCGTACTAATTGGCGAGACAGGACTGCACTTTGATGTTGGACTCAACAAATCGCAACAAGCAGGAAACATTCAGACCCCTTCGACTAGCGACAACAACAACAACAACAACGAGAAACCCAAGAAACCAAGTATCTGGAAAACATTCAGACTCACATCCTCCAAAACGACCACAACGACAGTGACAACAACAACAGCAACGGCGGCAGGAAGAGGACTACCGGTACAGTCAAACCAGTTCGTTAAGGCTTTCGATAACATCCTACAGGGACTCGACCGCACACTGGCACATTACACACTCTGGAACTATACCATCGAGAACACGAAGCAGTTTGGAGATGGGTGGAACGGCGAGGATCTCAGCCTCTACTCTGCCCCTCTTCCTCTTCCTCCTCCTCCTCCTTCAGCGTCTATTGCGACAACAACGGAAACAACGAGCACAGCGGAGGAAACTGTGCACCCTCTGGATCGAGGCGGAAGAGCGGTCGAACAGTTCTGTAGACCCTACCCTGTGGCCACGGTGGGCCAGCCGACCAGGATCATGTTTGATCGACATTTTGGAACTTTCAGACTGTGGACCAAGACTGACGGCTCACAAGAACAGGGACAGCAACAGAAACAGCAAGGGGTAGGTGAAGGAAGGAGATCAGAGATCTACATCCCCCAGCTTCACTTCCCGGACGGTCCGACAAAGTGCCGTGTAGAAGTGAGTGATGGTTCCTGGGAGTGGGACACAGAACGGCAGCTTCTGTTCTGGACATATGGCAGCAACACGACTCAGCCGGGCAACGGAAGTTGTGGAGGAGTAGGCGAGCATTGGTTACAAGTTTCTCGCAAATTATGAACCTACAGCAAAGAAAAAGTGAAAATAAATAATGGTTTTTGGAGAATTACATACCTACCACTATAATCAAACAAAAATGGAAGAGTGAAAGTCCATATGTAGTATGCGGGGGTATTTTCTTTATCGATATTTCAAACCCTCAATTTGAGCATGCGAATTCTGCAATTCAGCCTTCCACCAAGATTGACATCACTATTGTTCGTGTCCATTTATCGACTGTTAACCTACCATCGAGTTTGACTGAGGTTGATCTGGATTACGATTTCTTTTTTCACCTTTTTCAAGTCCAGACCTTGATCAAAATCGCCAGTGAGCACCTTGGGAATAAGACAGAAGAACCATTACAAGAAATGTTTTTTCCGACTCTTGGGACACCAGAGCGAAACGCGGCGTTGAAGAGTCCTGTTGCGTCGAAAAGAGCATCGGCGTAATATGAGTGGGAAGCCGTTAAATAAAACCATTCACGATATAAAGCTCAAATATTATTTCGTCAACTCAAATGCTTCACAAATCTTCTGAAAAATCGTAGATGCTACAAATGGAAGCTCAGACGTTTGGAGGGGTTTCCGCAGATTTGAGATCTCAGTGCTTCCGTGTAGCATACAGAGGAATCCTTTTACGCTCAACAGGTGCCAAGCAAGCGATTCGCACGAACTGTCAATGCCAAGACTTTGATTTTGATTACATGGATAATCGCACTGTCGCGCAGCGCAAGGCTGTAGAGTAGCGATTTCTTGATTTTATTAGCTCAAGTTACCGTGCAAAGCCCCTCCCAAAAATTCGCATTTGGACACGAAATCTAAAAATAAGACAAAGGTTCACGAGAAAAATGCACAGTCCTCTCTCTACCACTTTATCCCACGACGCGAAAATGGTCTAAGCGTTCCTTTCGTAAGACTGTGGAGGGTCAAAAGGACCCTCATGGACCAACTTGATGTTTATCCAGTCTATTTCGAGCAATTGATGCCAAGCAAACGTTGCCAAATGCCTTTTTCACTACTGGGAATGTTGAAATCGGCTTTCTTCACAGAGAAAAAACAGGATTCAAGTGCCAAGAGAAGTTGAACAGGAATTGAGAGCAAAGCCATCGTCCTACACGATGCTGCAGCACGAGATGAAAATGGGAGGACTATGTACACCGTGTAGTTTTTTGTGACCAGCCCAAGGGTACGAACTTTTCACTGTAATCTTAAATTCGTGAACGAGCATCAAGAATCGAAGTAAAGCCCTACTCATATCTACAACGCAGCGTCCCACCGGTTTTCGAATGGTATAAAAGTCGCAACGCATCAACGTTATTTTTTTCTGTCAATATTGTCAAGTTCTTCATCTCCTCTATCTTTTATCACCATCATGGTCGCCTTTTCCTCATCCCGAGCAATCGCTAGTTTCATTTTCGGTGTTCTCCCCTCCATTCTGCTTATCCAAATCGCCAGCCCCTCTCAAGCCGCCAAGGTCCCGCTCGCGGATCTCAGCCATGTTCTCGAGAAGGTCCGAAACTCAACGGGACTTCCTGGAATGAGTTTTGCTGTTTTGTACAAGGGCAAGCTCATCTTTGCGGAGGGTTTCGGTAAACGAAACGATAGGGATCCTTTCACCGTCGAGGTACGTTATGAAAAGCGCGGATTTTTAATTGGTGGCGCGAGTCACCAGCACAATCTTTCCCTTTTCTTTTTTGTACTTAATGAGGCAATCCTCAGCCGGCCCACTGAAACTCCACTCTCCCCTTGTTGTCATGCGCTTCGATTTCCCCAGACTGTCCAGCCTATGGGTTCCTTGACCAAGGCCTTCACTGCTGCCGCCATTGGCGAATTGGTCGCCGAAGGCAAGATGGACTGGGATACCACCCCAATCGCCCATTATCTACCCGAATTCGAGCTTGAAGATCCTGTCCTTACGTCGCAGTTGACTAATGTCGACCTGCTCTCCCATCGCGCGGTAAGATGCCTCCCTAGCATTCAGCTAAACTACAACGCATAGAATAGACTCAACCCAAAAAAAAAAAAAAAAAAAAACTCATCACATCTATACATTTGACATTGTAGGGAATGCCAGATATCGATTTCGGATGGTACAGAACTAACACCACCCGCCGAGAACTCATCAAGCGCCTCAAGTACGTCAAGCTGGACTCCAAGTTGCGCACAACGGTCCAATACAGCAACGTGATGTACGCTGTCGCCGGCGAGGCCGCTGCCAACGTCGCTGGCACCACATACGAGAAATTGGTGGAGGAAAAGATTCTCAAGCCCCTCGGACTCGAAAACACTGGGTTCGGCCCTATCGAGATGGGCAAGCGGTTCAAGAATTATGCGATTCCTTATAATGCTGCTTCATACGAGGATGCCCAGATGGGCAGATTCATCACAGGCTACCTTGATCCGATCTACCTTTCCGAGGCCCCCGCAGGCAACATTTACTCCAATGTACTCGATCTAGTTCGTTGGGGACGGGTCATCATGCAGTCAGGTCAGGTCGATGGGAAACAAGTGCTGAACAAAACGAGCGTCGATCAGTTGGTCATTGGATATACATTTGTGACAGGATCGAAACGCACACCTGAATTTGCGCCTGTTCAGGCTTATGGGATGGGCTGGATGCCGGACAGTTACAAGGGCAAGAACTATTTCTGGCATGGTAAGAACTCTACCGAACAACGATTTCCGATTGCGATCTACACTTGGCTTGCGCTATGTAGAAGGCGTGCTGCCGACTCTGCCAGCACACTTTTTTCTAACTCTTTTTTTTCTGTGATGGTGTCGTTTGATAGACGGAGGCGTCTCCGGGTACAGGTCAAACCTGATGGTATTCCCGGATGATGACCTGGTAATCGCCCACGCAACGAACATCAAAGTCGCCGAGCTCATGGCCAACGTACCTTTCTACATTGCCGACGAACTCTTTGGTCTGCCCAAAACTCAGGACTGGCTCGCGGTCTCCGCCAGGAACTCTCAGGCACAATACGACGAATTGAAAACAGCGCGCGACGGCGTTTTCCCCAAGCAGATCAAAGGGACTTCCCCATCCCGCGACCTGGAGGAGTATGTCGGCTCATATGCAGACCCCGTCTACGGTGAGGGCTCTGTGCGCCTTGAGTCAGGATCGTTATATTTCAAGTACAACGTGTTTGACAGCAAGATGGAGCATTACCATTACGACTCGTTCAAGACCGAGTTGGCCGACTTTTACATTCAGATGACACCGTTGGCCACGTTCACCCTTGGCGATGATGGAAGGGTAGCCGGATTTCAGATGGAAGTGATGGGCCTTTCGCTTCTTTTTACGAAGGTCGCGGCACCCATGGCTTGAACAGAGTGCGTATTAGGGAATTGAGGGTGCCCCATAACGTAGAGTGTTATCTATTAGCCTCTGGGTGCGGAAAATAAAAAGATACTGTCACGAACCTAGATTAAGTTTTAGCACGCGTCTTCTAGTTGTCCTGTCCTAGCCCCTGTACTCGTGTTCACTGGATCGTCGCCATGAATTCCACAACACCACTCCACATCAATCCCTGTCAACCTGTTCCTTCGGATCTTAACTACAACCCGTAGCTTCGCCATTCTTGCCTCATCTTCCTCATCGCGACCTTCGCTGCCGTCTTACTCATCAACGTAGTCATCCTAGCACGCACTCATAGGCCCATCTTGTTATCATCATCCATCTTGTCGACAAATGTCCTTCCATCTTGTTCTCTCGTGTTCTTATCTGACTCTTGCCCATCTGTAACCATTACGGGACTCTCCCTGCATGCCAGTCCTATAAAACAGCAATTTTGGTACAGCGTGCAAAAAGTTACTTTGATGATATTCTACCTTCCATGAGTATAGATATAGTTGAGCATGAGAACGAGAGTGCAGTGATTATTTTTTGCGCTGTTATTGTAGCACTTTTTTTGTGATGTTAACCAGTTTCCTAGTAGCCATGTCTTTGTTGTATACCAGACACCATTTCGGTTAACCAACTGATCATTGTTTCCGTTAACTGATTAACCCCTTCATTTCATTAACTGATTAACCATTTATTTTTAGCCATCAGTCAAGAAAAACCCTGTTAACTTCAGCCTAGTTAATCTTTAGCCACGGTTTAACCATCAACCGGTTAGAATCCCTAGGCCGGGGTACAAGCGAAGGCGGTTTCTGATTCTGGCTGGATCGTGTTATATTGTGGGTTGTTGACGGCGGCGATGGCAGGGGCGCCATTCAAGTACTGGGTTGCGTAGGCGAGTTGTTGTTTGCCTATATCAATTTGGTACTCCAGTCCTCGGATATGGTCCCGGTTATCGGGGTCGATGGGAAGTGGTGGTGGTGCTTGAGATGTGTTTCGGACGTGCCGGGATTGGGAAAGGGGAGGACGCCATGGCGTAATAGATGCCATAATGGGTTCCTAACGACCTTGTTCTTGACACGCTGCATCGGTCTTCTTGCTGGTGACGGCGGGCTGTTCGCAAGTTTGACGACGCTTCCATATAAAAAAAAAGACAATGGCTGCAATGACGCTAATTGAGTATGCGTACAGGGAGACTGTTTTTGAGAGTAAGGTTGCCCCGACTGCGGCTAAGGAGGAGTAAATAAACAGAAGGGGGTGGGCTGTCGTTCCTTTTTAATGGTTGAAGCAAATGAACTTTCTAGATGATGCGAGCAAATTGATGGTGTGGGCAACAGGTGTTTGTCAAAGAGAGTTGGAGATATAAAGCGTGTAGGCTTATGTCGCACATCCTCCCCGCCGTGGGAAAATAGGAAAAATGCGTCGCGTTATTATTGTTATGGTGGTTCTCTTGATGAGATATTTGAGTTAGCTTGGACGACTGCTTGACTTACACCCTCCTACTATCATTAAACGTGAACCAATCGACCGCAGTATATTCCCCATTTCTTGTTTTTAGTTAGCAAGAGTTGAAGGCGACTGCGGCACCGACGTTTACCAAGAGAAATATATATGCACACACACACACACACACACACACACAGGCTCTCTATTCAGAACAATCTCGGCATAGCATCCCGGAACGCCCAACAATCGATCCATGTCGCCATGCAACATGCACGCCAGGATTTAATTCTTTTGTATATTTAAAAAAATGTCAAAGTCATTTACTCCTTCAACGCGAGGGTAGGAAACGAACAAACATCACGTTGCGGGCCATACGAGAAGCGTGAAAGACTCTCCCGGTTTGGCGCGCGCCCAATCTCGCGATCCACATATAAAAGGGGTCACCCAGTTCATAGAAAAGAACCTAAAATCAACAATAATCTCTTTTCCCAGCAGCATTTCCCAACCCGACCTTCAACATGCAAACCCCACCAACTTCTCCCTCCGATCCGTCTGCCAAGATCGACCTTTCAGGACTGAACTCAATCTTGGATGCAGCCAGGATCAAGAACGGTGTTCCAGGAATGAGTGTCGCTGTGATGTACAAGGGCGAGGTTATCTTTGCCGAGGGTTTTGGAAAGCGTAACGAGCACCAACCCTTCACCAAAGAGGTAACACTCCCCCAACGTCATCCAACTGTATATTTCTGCTATAGACGAAATCCTATCGACGACAGAAGGATGAAAAGTACTCATCCCCCATATTTTTCTGTGTTTTGTACGCTCCTGAAACGAATATAGACAATTTCGCCGATCGGGTCGTTGACAAAGGCAATCACATCCACGGCAATCGGTGAACTGGTTGCGGAAGGAAAGATGGACTGGGACGAGACACCCGTCAACAAGTACCTCCCCGAGTTTGAACTCAAGGATCCTGTTCTCACCTCCCAGTTGACTATGGCCGACTTGCTCTCCCACCGCACCGTACGCCGTCCATCATTGCCCGTTTGCGGGAACACCCCCCCCCCCCAAAAAAAAAAAAAAAAAAAAGTCGTAATCGTACATGGACCCAAACAACATATCATGCTCACACTTTTTTTTTTGGTCACTATTATTTTCTCTCCTTTTTCAACCATCGCGAATAGAGATTGTCGCCAGCGGTGGGGCTGTCATGGTTGAGATCCCGCACTCCAAGAAAAGAACTCATAACCCGTCTTCGACACGCATCCATGCCCCAAAAACTCACTACAAAGTTCAACTATAGTAACGTCATGTACGCCGTCGCCGGAGAAGCCGCCGCCAACGTTGCCGGCACCACCTACGAACAACTCGTCCACGATAAAATCCTCACGCCACTGGGACTGTCCAACACGGGGTTCTCGCAGAAGGCGATGAAGAAACTAGAGAATCACGCCTCGCCGTACCATGCAGATTCGTTCTCGAAAGCTCAAGCGGGGGAGTTTCGAGGAGGGGAGTATGACGAGATTTATATGGCGTTTGCACCGGCGGGTGATTTGCATTCGAATGTGTTGGATTTACTAAAGTGGGGTAAGGTTGTTGTGGATGGTGGGAAGGTTGGGGGTGGTGAAGGGAAGCAGGTGTTGAGCAAGGAAAGTGTGGAGATGACGGTGACGCCGCAGAGTATCGTTCGACCAAAAAGGACCCCGGAAATGTCGATTTCTTTTACTTATGGGCTTGGATGGGGTTTGGCCACCTATAAGGGGCGTAACTGTTACACCCACTGTAAGTATTTCATTGTTTTTTGGAGGGAAAAAAAGAGCGCGCGCGGTTCCTCTGAAAGTTACGCGACAAATCCACGGGCTCACTCCATTTTTTTTTTCCTCTCCTTTTTCTCTTATATAGCGGGAGCATACCCAGGATCAAGCGCAAACCTGACACTCTTCCCGGATGACGACTTGATCATCGCCCAACTCGCAAACATCCATCCCACTGAACTCACCCTCTACGTCGATTACTTCATCGCCGACAAAATCCTCAACCTCCCCTCCTATTCCACCAGTACCCAACAGGACTGGTTGTTCGATGAAGCTGTCAAGGCAACTGCAAAGGAGTATGAGGTCTTGGAGGAGGAACGGGAGGGGAAAGGATTGCCTGCTCGGATTGAGGGGACGATCTCGGTGCTTCCGCGTGAGGATATGGTGGGTCAGTTTGTGAACCCGCTCTATGGAGTCATCACCATCGCCCGTGTCATCCCTCACAAGGATGAAGGAAAAGAAAACGAGGAGGAGGGACTGGAGTTCAGGTATAACGAGTACAGGAACAAAATGGAGCACTACCATTACGAAACGTTCAAGACGGTGTTGGAGGATTTGGGTGTTGCTGAAGCGAGGCTTTTTAGTTTTGAGGCTGGGAGTGATGGACATGTCGCAGGGTTGAGTATCAATTTCGAGGAGCCTGATTTGGTTCGGTTTGTCAAAGTCAAGACTCCTGTCACCACCACTGTCGCCGAGAAAGTGGAGTAGTAGTGGTAACAGTGGGGTGTTGCAGTTCGAGAGTAGATATGATAGTATACATGCAGGAACACTTTTTTAGCAGAAATGAATCAAAAACGACAAAACGAAACAAAAACCAAGCAGGTGGAGATATCTGTGGTGTAAAATGATAAGAAAGAGCAGAGCTGTCTGTTTAGGATATATTCTGCGACGCACTCCGCGATGGGTCCTCAGGAAAACATGACTGACACTGTCCGCCTCTGGTACTCATATGTGTTGCACGCTGTAGAGGTAAGCATTGTCAGTACAAAAGTACTGCGGTTCACACGACAAGCACAGGGGGAGGGAAAGTTTGAGACGTCCGTATAGCGTGAGGACGAGGACTCTATCTGTGAAGCATGGTATGCGACATCTCATTTGCAAGAACTTCTTTATTATTCCTTGTCCAGTACAAGAGAGAAGGCGAACGAAAGGACAGGAATCAGTAAGCTTGATCAAGGACCCAGGATCAGACAATTGTCGATAGCATGACATCCATAGTTTTTTTTTTGTCGGAATAAAGGATTCAACAACGGACCTTGGCGAATTCATCATGGGCGAACAACAGGATCTGAATGCTGTGGTTTGATCGACATATTTGTTAGGGCTTCTATTTAATTCTATGCATTCTAATTCGATAACATCTAAGTTAAGAACTCATAACAATCACGGACCAGATCCCACCGCCAACCACCACAACCTGGACGAGGGCCTGGAAAAGAGCCGTCCAAGCGAACTGGTAGAGGACCTTTGGCGAAAAGACTGTCCAAATAAAAAGATGGTGGCGGAGAATGATCGCGGCAATAGAAAGGGCATAGAGGGCGATGCCAAAGAACACGCTCGTCACGATCACATGCTCGACCATTCGTGTGTGAGCCAGCCTCTGCTTGAATAAAACTGGGTTCTGGAGAACACATGGTCCCCGGATTGCCTCGCGTTCTCTAGCCTCTGCTGAAGCTCCGTCCTGGCTGCGTTCGAGACTCTGTTCTTCCTCAATAAAGAATGAACCATCCTCCTCTTCCCCTTCCTCCTGCGGCAACACATCCTGGACTTGGTTACCGATGTGTTGTACATCTACGACACCCGAATCCAATGACGCCTGCGCCTTTTCCGGCCGATCTGCTCCATGGGCAGCTACCTCTGCTTCTACCTCTTTTATGGGTTCCACCACTGCATCCTTGTTGACTGCAGCTCCTGTAGCCTTCTTGTACTTCCAGATCCTCCTCATCGTTCGTTTGTTCAAGGTGCCCTTCTCACTCCTCCTCCAGCCTTGAACAGTCTTCCAACCGCGCATATCCTTTTCCTGCAACGCTAACTCCCGATCTTCCTTGGCCCATGCAAATTCCCACTCCAGGTCCCAACGCATCAGCACCAGCGCGGCTATCGTCCACCAGAGGGGGCCAGCCCAGTTTGAGACAAAGGTCAACACACCGGTCAGGAGAATGTCGTATGCCTGAATGCCGACGTACGCATTGGAGATATCGATGGACGCGATCGAGTTGGAGTTGCCGAGAAGAAAGAAGGATGACAGGGTCCAGAGGAGAATCGAACAGCTGTGGATCGAGCTCAGTCCAGGAACTGTCCTGAACGAGCGAGCGATCTGGCCTCTCGTCTTTAGCGGCTGTTGACGACCGTTGGTAGATTCGCCTCCTGAAGCGTCATCGGACACTTCTTCCACCATGTAATCGAGTTCGGAAGCGTCTTCCTTGATCTCCTGATTGTCACTCGAGCACGGTCGTTGACGCACCACAGAGGTCCAACTCAAGTAAGCGTAGAGCTGAATACCAAAGAAGGCATAAATCATAGCATTGTGCCGCCTGGACAGCAGAATCATCAGCATCGTCACAACTCCGAGCGTCATCCATGGCACAAACAACGTCCTGTCCCTGTCCTCAACGATCTTTGATGCTAATGACTTGTCGGTTTGTCCGGTCGTCATTTGAGACTCTTCCGATGAAGAGGGCCGAGTGGGAAGTGCAACAAGACGCAGGATTAACGCCAAGAGAAGTATGGCGCCCATTCCTGCATAGCATCCTCGCGCCATGGCGTATCCAGAATAAACAAGTTCCTGCGCCCCCAACGCCTCTCCACTGCTAGGGACAATCAAGTATCCGGTCGAGGAAATGGTGCTCATGACGCCGTGGACCTTGGCCATGAGCTCGCTACCGAAATGAACCGCCTCCAGATCCATCTTGTACACGGTGATCCAGAGCAGCGTCAACGTGGTGATGACGGTTATGAGAGACTGGAGGACCGACATCAGTGCTGCCTTCCAGGCTGGAGTGGCGTATTGCGATGAGGACTGGGTGGTAGAGTGCGCTGGTCGTTGGGAAAAGACGACAAAGATCACGGAAACGCCGAGTCCAATGATTGTCAACGCAAATGTGATCCATGAAAACGCGACCCATGTCGAGTTCAAATAGTGGCGAAGGTCGATTTGATCTGCATACTTTTGGCCTGATAAAGTGGAGAGAAATAAAATATGCATTGGTCAGTCACATTTTGAATTCGAATGTGATGGGAGGGAAATAGGTAAAGAGAGCAATAATAAGCAACTTACCGGTCTGGTTCCAGCTCCGAAGCAGCCTGAGGACAGCCATCTGCAGGAAGCAGTACCCAGCACCTGCAAAGGATGCAAGCTGACCTGAGCTCGCTCCTGAAGGAAGATATCGCGCACTGATGAGTCCAAGAACCGCCCACCAGGTCATGTTGAAAAAGTACCAAAATTGATGCTCCTCCTCCACGAAACTGGACGCAAACAGAGTGATCAGGTAGAGAACCAGAGTCACCGCCGAGAGAGCACGGGCCATCATCCAGTTGATCTCATTCTTGTCGCGCTTTGTCGTCTTGCTCCTGGTCTCAGTCCTGTCGGCGGTGAGATTGGTCGAGAATGCCGCTGAAATCAGGGTAGTCATGGATGACCTTTTCTTGGACGGCTGTCGGTATGGTGCTGACAAAAATGCAGGCGCGACGTGACGGGGCTCGCGGCAGGATAGCTTAAAGTCGTCGACAAGCTTTGTTTGCAAGGCAGCGAAAACCATCCCGGCCACTGCGAATGCCATGAAGAGAGAGCCATTCGTCAGGAGCGACATGTCGTACTTGCTCAAGGCGGTTGACAGCATCGATGTTGCGTCCGAGAGGAACTACTGACCATAAGCGGAAAAGGCGCGTCAATATATGTGTTCTCCAGCCTGCTTATAAAGTTTTTCACAGTTTTGTCACAGATGTTTTCCACGTACCTTGGAGTATGCGATCTCAGCTGCTTGCAATTTTTGAGCACGCTCCTGGTCGCCGTAGACAATAGATCCAGTTGATCTCGATGGGTGCATTTCCAAAAACGACGCATGTTCTGCGAGCGCCAGCGTATACCAACATCCCAGTCTCTGCTTCTCCGATTTCAGATCCTTGCATCTCTGGTTTGATGCCTCGTCCGTATCAATATTAGAGTCCGCGTCAACTCCTGGATCCATGTAGTCCTTCAAAAGAACCGCGCTTTCGACCTCGAAATCAGACCACATGCTCCTGAGCACTCCCGCAACTTGGTAAGCGTTGATCTGAAACGCGCGCAATCTTTCCAGTTCTATAACCAAAAAAAAAAAAAAAAAAAAAAAAAAAAAAAAAAAAGTTGACCGTTAGTCACCCCTCTATGCAACACTCCCGTAACAATGAACCCCTGGATGCGGGATTACCTGTGAGATCTGAAAAGAGCTCAGGTATCAGCTGGCCAACACTGTTCTTGGGAATCGGAAGTCCCATGAGAAGAGACAAAGTTGGGACCAGGTCAACCTGGCTCACACTCCTGTAGTATTCATAGTCTTCCCGATCCGCCACGTTTCGAAAAGGGTCGACCATGTTGCGGATCTGCTGGCGGGCCTTGGTGCCCTCAAAGAACGGGCTCATAAACAAAAACGATGTTGAAATCTCGCTCCTGGAAGAACCGCCATGGTTGCCGACCTAAGAGAAAAGGAAGGGCTGGTGGTGTGAGGACTCTGCTAGCTTACTTTCCATACCTCCCTGTCCAAGTAATTGAGACCGTGTTCTTTTACCTCGTTCATTCCGTGGTCGCCGCAAAGGACAAAGAGCGTTGGCAATTCATCCCGTTGGTTTTCAATGGAGGATTCCTTTTTGACGAGGGTGGTGTAAATCGTGTGAGCCACTGAATCCATTTCAGCCTGCTTGGGTCGCATCAGGCCTGACTTTGGTCCACCAGAGTGTCCAACGTGATCCAGCCCCAAGTAGTGAAAGATCAATCCATCCCAGTCGTCCTTTTCCAGCTCGGGTTCAACGTGGCGAGTGACGTTGTTGTCGACCTCAACTGTATCCTATAGTGCGAGCGGAGAGTTCCATAGTTAGCCTTTGACATTCTTTGAAGCATCAACTACGGGGTTATGGATCCAGTGTAGTGACGAGCGTTACCATGGCAAAGAAGGACGAGGTTCCCTCACTCCTGAAGAAAAGTCCTGGGAACAGCTTGATCCAGGTATCGTCTCCAAAAAACCCAATTTTGCGCTTCTCGTCTTGACCTGGCGTACTTTTGGCGTTCTTCCTGAAGGATGCAGATCGGGTCAATTGAGCAATCCAGTTGTCCTGGTTTGCCAACGTTGATGACTGATCCGACTCGGCAATGTTCAAGATGGCATCCAGGAATCCCGGAACTGTTCCTGTAGTCAAGGCTTTTAGTCGAGGGAGTGTCACCGTTGGGGCAGAGGCCAATGCTGTGAACGGGATCGCCTTGTGCTCGTCAATAAGACTAGTGAATATAACCATAGATCGACGTTAGATTATCGTTACCCCTCTACCCTTTTCATATCCAAGCGCAAATCCAATTGTCGTCAATGTCGTTGTAAAAAGTACACTAACCTCTGCATGAGTCGAAAATCGGATTCGTTGCCGTAGAGGAAGTCACTATAACAAGTAGCAATTGATAAACGTGTTCGTGTCAATGCGTGATTTAATGTGTGTAAAACACTTTTCATTTCAGCTTACTTCACATCGCCACATCAAAGTCTGCCCCTTATTACCTTCGCAACGCGTCGACAAGCATGAGGACTATCTTGCCAAACCGGGGTTTTACCGTGGTGGTTTGGAGCGAGTCTTCTCCGTTGACAACCAGAGAAGAGGGCTCGAAGGGCAAGTCTTCCAATGATGCAAAGGTGGTCGATATGGCTTTGTAGGGAAAGAAGCCCTTGGCAAACATGATCAGGCCGACGAGCTGGCAGGCCAAGGAGGCCAAAAGGATCCCGTAGAGAACCCAGGGCCGCATGGCGTTGAATTAATGTGCCGTCCCTGTGAAGTTGAGGTGATGGGTTATGTTGCTGTGGTGTCGGTGTCGAGCGTGTTCTGTTGTGTCAGGAGTGGTTGTTTGTGGGTGTTGTTATAGATGGATGCAAGGAAGGGTGTAAACGTGTCTAGAGAGTGGAGAGTGGGGCTTTTTGTCCAGGACCATGTTTCAGTCACTAGCGCAGAGGACACAAACGGCTTGGGCACTAAAATTGAGCCAAAGCCACTCTACTAATAGCACTTGACGAGTGAAGAACATCGTTCAAAGACCCTGATCACTCGTCTCTTCTTTATTCTCTCACATCACCACGAATCACTTGTCTTTCAACACAAACGAACCGAGGAACAAGCACAAAAGCAACCACCAGGACCCTCTCAACACCTTACGAAAACTGGACACTACGCATCATCATGAACTTTACCGACGTAAGAACATCGAATCGCCCTCGCTTCTTGTTTCCCTCATGCAAGCGGAAGGGAAGGAAGTCTTTCTCTTTCTTCAATACAGCCACTCTTTGTCCGTGTTAGCCGTTAATAACACAGTCATCCGTACACAATATCACGTTCCAATGCCGGTGCTCTTCACATCTAGGATCGACTTGCTATGCCAGAGGAGGAGGACTTGGATCTTGATATCTCCGCCGAGGCTGGACCCAACCACCAGCTTGACTCTATGCTGCAACTGGAGCAGTAAGTTTCTGTATTTGGATGTTTACTGCTAGCTGGTTTCAACTGCTGCGAGAAGACAAAAAAAAACCAGCTTCGCTCACACCGTCATTGCTTTTGATCACTCCTTCATCAGGGCACTAGAAGAGGAAACGAGAGATATTTCGACCCGGTTCCAGAGCGAAAGGAGACCCGAGCCTGCAGGATTGGATCGCGCACTAGGCGACGACCGCACCAACAACCGCTCAGGAGGACGTGGAACAAACGAAAACCATGCTCAACACAAATACGCCAGCAAAAGCGGCGGATTTGTCACCGGTATGTCCACCCCCCTCGTTATTGTTGTTATTGTTCGTAAAGAACTTCTGCCCTGGCAAAGAAAACTGACATGTTATATTTTGAATCATTCGGTCGTTATAGGATTTGATCCATTGTCCAGAGAAGAGCAGGCAAAGAAAGCAAACCGCACTCAGCGCTTCGGAGGTTTGCCTCAGGAGCCATCGGAGATCAAGGATGAGAGCATGGAGGAGGCAGGCATGGAAGTGGGTACGTAACGATTACGAAGAACCAATCGTATCTGAATCTTTTCCGTAAATTGACACTTCCGGGACGTACTTCAGCTGCTGACCATCAACCTTTCCCAACTCCTGTAGATGACAAGGACTTTGCCAAACCCGATAACTTGCCCGAAACACCCCCCAGGACTTCGTCGATTCGTCTGGAGGCTGTTCACCTGTACGGCACGGATGAGATGTCGACCAAGGATGTCTTGAAATACTTTGACGCGTATGGACCAAGCCACGTGGAGTGGATCGACGACTCGTCCTGCAACATTGTCTTTCCCGACCAGTTCTCGGCCAAGCGCGCTGTGTACTTCCAACTCGTCGACAAAGAAAATGTCACCTTTGGCGAGGATGGCGATGACGCCGATATTGAGCCCAGTCGCGAAATCTCAGAATCAGGAATCGCTGAACCCATCGTTGTCCCAAAATCCAAGAACCGTTTGCAGCGTGCTAGGGAGTACGTCCCTGCCCAACAACATAACCAGCTCACCACCGCCAAGAGCAACTCGGGACTCTTTGTGCGCTACGCGACCGACTATGACCGCAAGGAACGTAACTCTGCAGCCAAAAGTGTCTATTATGCCATTCACGGACGGGAGGATCCTGCGTCGACTGGACAAAAGTCATCGACGACGAGCTCGAGATATGGCCGTCGTAGCCGTGCAGATGAGGACGAGGTCTGGAACCGTGGACGTGGTATTCAGACCATGAGCCGTCTTCGACGAAGAATAGAGGGGGCTTCTCCTTCACCATCACCCACACGCCGTTCTTGGTCAAGGGGCCGACGTCTGTCTGGCTCACGTTCAAGGTCCGGATCTCGCTCGGGATCTCATTCTAGATCCAGGTCGCCTCGTCGCTCTGCCCGTCGTGACCATGGAAGTCGCTCGCCAGATGCCCGGGATCGCCGTTCCGATGACTACGAGTATGTTTATCTGTCAATGGTGTTGTCTCTTTTTTTTTATTCCAATCATCGTTTACTGCCGTTTTGGAGGAGCACATTGCTAACTATCTCAATAATATTTGATTTTTTTTTCTCTCTTCTCTAGCAACCGTGGTCGTCGTGGAGACATTTCACTTCGTTTGGGCGGCAGGGTCAAATTCCCAGAAGAAGAGTCAGCCATCGCCGAGAGCAGAATGGACCAATACGCAAACGAGTTTATGGCAGAGCTCGAATCGACCTTCAGTCGTCGCGAAAAGGCTATCCCACGGACAAAGATGTACAGCGACTTTTATGAACGCGAGACTCTTACAGAAAAGCCGTTGGATTCTGATCGTCGCGGCGGTGGCCGACACAGAGATAGGGACCATCGGGGAGATGGAGGCAATGACCGAGGAAATGACCGAGGCGGTAGAAGGAGAGGAGGTAACAACAGGAGAGACAACAACACGGCATCGTTTGCGGGTGCTGCAAGGACTGGACCCTCTGGTGGTAGGGATAGGAGTGGCGATCGTAGGTCTTCGAGAGAGGACGCTATGAAGGCCATGGATGCTCGTCTTGGTTTGCCAGCAGACCTGGATGAGTATGGACGATCCCAGAGGAATTAAAAAATGGTACCCCTCCTTTTTTAACAACTTGAATACAGTATGTTTTAAACCACTTGGTTTCCCTTTTTTTTCATGGTTCATTCAAGCTGCATGACATGCACACGCCACCACGATTTTCTTTGGTTCCAAAACATGTATTTGAGTCTAATGTATTAATATGTAAAAAAAAAAAAAAGGCAATGTACACTTTTTAAAAGTCAAACTCGTCCCTGAAGGCATCCAGGTCTCTAGTCGTCTCACAACGTTGTGCAAGATCCGACCGTCCCAACATGTACATGGCCATCTTCAAGGTCTCCCACACATTCTGCGACATGCCGCCAATACCGCCATCAGGCTGGGGACCAGCTGTCGACGATCCGACCATGAGACCTCTTGCAGCATCGCCAGCATTCTGCAAAGACAAGGCGCTCAACAGGTGCTCGGCCGCCTCACGGTGTTGACCGAGGTTGATGCAGGCAATGGCGAGGTTATACCGTGCACGGATATAGGATGGGTTGATGTTGAGGGCGTTGAAGTAAGCCTCGATGGCGGCGCTCGTGTTGTGAGAGTTGGCGAGCGTAGCACCATACTTGTTCCAGAGCATGTAGTCCTATATGTCAGAGAAAGACAAGAGCAGCCAGTGTGGCTAGCAATGAGAACACAATACAAAAAAAAATTGATCATTTGAAAAGAAATGGACAAAAAGCTTACATCTGGCCGGAGGTTCAGTGCGGCGCGGAAGCAGTCGACGGCCTTCTCGTACTCCTCAGAGACATTAAAAAGAACACCCAAGGCGACCTGGACATCGGGATCCAAGTTCTCACCAGGGTTCGTCCGGGCGGCCTCCAAGAACAATCCCGTCACATAATCGTGCCTCTCCTGAGCCGAACGTCCCTGACCGCCCTGCACAGACTTCATGACTCCGCTGTATAAATCCGAGTTCTCAACCCAGGATTGCAGAGAATCGTAGGCGTCGACTCTGCAGTTTTCGTTAGTGTAAGAAACAGCCAGTGCCAACCAAGCGTTCAATTCCTTGGGGTTGGCCTCGACAGCCTTGAGCAACGCAGCGATGGCCATCGTCTCACGCTCGTTCTCCTGTTGGCGCAGACCCAGCTGGTGCCAGGCGGCGGCATCTGTGGGATCCTTTTGAACTGCAGCCTCAAGAGCCAAAATGGACTCTGTGAGGTTACCCCTGGCTGCCAAATCCATCAACTTGGCAGGGTCAGCCACCATGTAGGGGTTGTTCTGCTCAAAGGCATAGTGCTGATACCGTGGGTCCGAGGCCTTGTAGCCCAATCCTGTCGTCTCGTGCTTCTCCCAGTCCTTTTGCAATGCGTCCCACTCCTTGTCGCTGGGATCCTGAGCTAGGTGAGCAATGTTCTTGCGGTAGGTGTCGACCCAGCTATCGTTCTGATCGTTTTGGAGGTGCTGTTGTTGGAACGCCTGCTCCAATTCCTCTGCTGCGTTCGAAGAGTTGAATTCTTGAACCCAGTCTTGTGCGGTATCCTGTCGTGTGTTGTTGAACTGCTGTGCCCAGTCTCCACCACCTACGGCCTGTGTCACTCCGGTAAATTCTTCTGCCCAGCTGCCTTCCTGCTGCTTGGCAAACTCACTCGACCACATTCCGCCGGGCTCACGGTTCTTGATATGCTGCTCAATACGCTTCTCAAAATCGGTCGACCATGTGCTTCCTCCGTCCTGCTGCTTTTGTTGGCTTTCAAACTCAGACGACCAATCTCCGGCTCGGCCCTTGCCCTTGTCCTGCTGCTGGTTGAAGGAGGCAGCCCAGTCGCCGGACGCCGCGACGGGAGTTGTCTGTTCGACTAGCTTGTTGCCCTCAATTGCTACCTCCTGGTCACGGAGACGTCTCATAAAGTTCATGAACGACGAGTTCTTAAACTTTTCGTTCGAGTTGGGGTCGACAGATTCGAGCAAAAGTCCTGCAGTCTTGGCCAGGGCCTCCTTGTTCTCGAGATCGGCGACAGGGTTGCTCTCTTGAGCCGCAAACTCCTCGGCCCAGCCCTGGGGGTTCTCTGTCTTGAACTCGGACTCCCACTCGCTGACCTTTTTGGCATCCTCAAAGGCCCGCTCAAAGGCTTCGATCTGCTCTGGTTGGAGGGTATGATTCAGTCCACCGTGCTGTTGCTCAAACGCAGCAAACTCGGCATGCCAACCAGCTAGTATGAATACAAAAAAAAGGAGAAGGTTAGAGCCTGGAGATCATAATCCCGGAGATGCTCGATCGATCCCGCTCCGTCGAAACACCCAACTTTCAAGATATAGGATTTCAAGCAAGGGTAAAAACTTCTGCAGCCGGTTGGGAGATTTTCTTTACCTCCGTGCTGTGGTCCCTGTTGCTGCTGCTGTGCGTTCCGGAAAACATTCTCAAACTCCTGGAATTGGGCATCGTTATGGAACTCTTGGTGTTGCTGGGGTCCAGGTCCGCTCTGCTGCATAAAGTCCAGAGCCCAGTCGGGTCCTGCTGGAGAGGCGGTCTGGGCATGATGGTGCTGTTGCTGTTGCTGGTGAATTCCCTCCAGTTCCTTGCCCATCTCGTTGAATTCGAAAAACTCTTGCGAGCCCCCCTGCTGAGCCTGCAAAAACTCTTGAGAAAACTAGTTGGTTTGGAAGAATATCATAAAGATGAGCCGAAGCGGTTGAGGGAGGGGGAGTGAGTCTCTTTTCTCTTTCTGGTCAGTTTCACTCCGCAGTGCTGTCGGTCTGTCTGTCTGTAGCGATGTAGTTGCTGTACCTGATCACTTCCATGCTGCTGCCCTGGACGGTTGGTTCGGAATCCCGAAGAACTGCTTCCGGCATTGCGAGGACTTGATGCAAAGCGATCCTATAAGTTATGAGTAAACCCACGAATAAGTTTGTGTGGATAAATGAAAAGGCGGGGAATATTTCAAAGTCGGTGTCAGAAACAAGGTATGTGAGGAGAGGAGGTTCACAAGCCCAGTAGCAAAAAACCAAAAAAAAAAAAAAAGAAACGGAGTATGCACGCAGGCAAAGGCGGGAAGTGCGCAAAGTACCTGCTGGAGGGATCTGTCTCTGGAAAAGTTCTTGACGAGTCCAGTCATGGCGTTGGAGGGTCCGCATTCGGCACCTCCGGAGACAAGGCTGGGGAAGGACATGGTGTCTATTGTTGTTTCTTTTGTGTGTTGGAGGGAGGGAGAAGGTGCAAGTCCAAATTATGTAGTGAGGTAATGAAAGAAAGGAGGAGAGTGTGTGTATGCGGCAGTTGTCGGTCGGTCGGAAGGAATGAAAGAAGAGAATGAAGAGAGAAGAAGGAGCGATGACAAAGGGAAGATGTGAAGAAGAAAAAGAAGAACAAAGAAGGGAGGACAGACGGACACTTTACACCTCGAAACCGCTCTCTTTGCTCGTTGGTCCCACACGTCGCTGAACAGAACAAGGTTCACCGTCTCTTTCTCTCTCTCCTTCCCATTTCCATTCGATTGGCCGTGCAAAGCGACTGTCACGTGGGATTGGCTACCTTACATTGCTTTGCTCAACACTAGACCCTTGTTTCGATCCGTTCCTCAACTTGAATACTTATTCAGCAAACGCATCCATGGCACACATGGCTTGGTAATGAAAAATGCATTTTTAATGGAATGGTAAACAGTGTATACAAGGAAGCAAAAAAGTGAGTGAAAATGAGAAATGAAAAAAAGCGAATAAATAACAAGGAAAAAAAAAAAAAAAAAAAAAGAGAACAGAACAAGAGAGAATTTACTTCTTCTCCTTCTTGTCCTTCTTCTCCTTCTTTTCCTTCTTCTCCTTCTTCTCCTTCTTGTCCTCGCTCTTCTCAGTCTTCTCCTTCTTCGACTTCTTCGAGGGTGTAGACTCCTCCTCGACCTTTCTCTTCTTGCTCGACTTGGGTTCCTCAATATCCTCGCCTGCAGCATCCTTGAGACCCTCAATGACCTTCTTCATCGTATCTGCGTTCTTGGAGGGGGTCGCGCCCGACTCGTAAAACTCGAGACGCTCCTCAACCTGCTCCTTCATGGCCTCACCAAACTTGGTCGTAGGCACTTCGCTGAAGCAATCAATACGGGAAGCAATCGAGCACTTGTTGGCGACGAAACGGGAGATGCGACCCTTGTTCTTGGCACCGGCCCGGCCAATGAACGAAGAGTGGTAGATCAATCCGTACTTGGGGGTGTTACCCTTGGTCTTCAAGGCACGGAAAAGAGCCTTCTCGGCACCGAGAATCTGGACAGTCGAGGCGGGGTACTTGGAGAGGTTGGTCAACGAACCGGCGTGGGAGATCAAACGGGCACCAACCATCTCGCCGATCAAGGCAGACAAGTTGGGGGCGACGTTGTTCATCTTCGAGATCAAGTACTCGTGCAACTTCTTTCTGTAGTCGGCAAGGTCGATGACGCGCTTGGCAAAGTTCTCGATGTTGATCATATCAATTTCAGAAATGTCGGTACCCATCGAAGCACGGGCAGCGTCGAGGATCTGCTGGGCCTGAGCGGCATCACCAGTAATCCCCTCCAAACCCTCCAAGTGGCTCTCCGAGAGATCGTTCTTGTTCTTGATGAACTGAGCGAGCTTGGCGAACTTGTAGTTGTCGTTGACAATCTTGACCAACTCGGGGAAGTGCCACGAGTACCACTCCCTACAACAATCATTAGAGTTGATTATGGAATAAGGTGTTAGCTTTCAATGCCATGAACAAAAACACATAGAGGCACTCAATAGCAAAAATACTCCAGCCAAGAGATATTACGAACCTGATACGCATGGCAAAGGTGTTGACGTCCTTGTCCATTTGATCCAAGAGGGCAATGGCCTGCATGATCATGTTGTCGGAACGGTGAACGTTGAACTTGACCTTACCACGAGAGTAGCTGTGACCCAAACCGAGCTGAGCACGCTCGAGATCGCCCTCCTTGAGCTGCTTGAGGAGCTTGTCGCCAAAGAGACGGACACCGCGGACGAGATCCAAGACGATCTCGCTGGCATCGCACTCGTATCCAAGACCTTCCTTGATTGATCCAGCAAGGGACTTCTCAGTGACACCCAAGACGACCTTGGACTTTTTGCCGGGCTTGGGCAAGTTCATCTCCAAGAAGGCCTTCAAGTGATCGTTCATGATGCCTGTTTTATCGTGTCAATTGATGTCCGTGTATCCGTTAAGGTGTGATCCGTTTGCGTTTGTTGGATAAAGTGAGTGTATGTCGCGTTGTTGGGTGAGAAAGGTAACACAGGTAATAAAGTCGCGACGAATCGGTCGATTGATATTCCATGAGCAGAGGGCAGATACATATGTGGGTACAGATACGAGTAAAAAAGAAGAGTAAGAAACTTGTATTAGTGAAGCGATCCAATGATCATAACAACTCTGTGTCAAATCAAAAGCGCAGAGTCCCTGCAATAAACAGCAAGTAAGTAAAACAAAAAAAGGAGAAAGCATACCCTCAGAGACATCGTTCATGTTCTCCAAAGCGTGGGCGGCGCTCTTGAAGGGGGCGAAGGACTTGAGCTTGACCATCTTTCCGAACTTTGTGAGATCAGTGGCGGCCTCGCAGACATCAGCGAGCTTGGAGCCAATCTCCTCAGACTCCAAACGCTCAAAGAGAGCGTAACCGGATGAGCTCTCGTACAAGAAGTAGTTGACCTAAATGGAGAGATAGGTGTGTGGAATGTGAATGTTGTTTAGAAAGGTGATGCTGTTTGTTCGTAGTGAGGTCATGTTGGTTGAGTCATGGTGCAGGGTGGTTGGTTGTTGAAGGTGTAGTGGTCTAGTTGTGTCGATAGTACAGTAGAGTTTGTTTTGTGGTGTGGCGGGAAGCTGGTTGCCGAGGAAGTGTTTGTAGGGTGTGGGGTATGTGTTGGTGCCGTCGGCAAGGAACCTGTTTGTATGCATGTCCAAAGGAGCTATTACCATTTGGAAGGGGGTGTTGAGGAAGAAGAGTGGGAGGGAGAAGAGAGAAGAAAGGTGAATGGTCAACAACCAAAGGAAACGTCTCAAAGCTCAAACTGCACCCAGCAAACAACGCACAAAAAAAAAAAGAAAAAAAAGAATTGTTTATAGTGACTGGCTTTGTTGATATATCACGTGAGGATTACTCTAGCTAGGATCCAGTCGCGACATCTGCTCAAGGCTCAAGCAATGACTTGTACAAGGGCAAAACCTGCCAGGAAGAACACCGCAGCCAATTCGATAGACCACCGAGACCCGGAGCTACAGGGATATTGCCACTCCGGATTACGACCAGGAGGAAACCCACCACTTCTTCCTCCTCCTCCTCCTCCTCCATACACAAGGTCATATCCAGTGTTTCCAATCCAACGTCCGCCATTCCCGGTCCCGTTCCCGTTTCCATTCCTATATCCAGGACCTCCAGAGCCAGCCAGCCAATAGTTCCAACAGTTGCTTCGACACCAATTTTCGCATCGGCCGTCACCATTACAGGCACTAAAACAACTTCGAAAGTCTTGACCGCTGCTGCAGCACCCCCTCCCGCTGTTGTCGTCCACGCAGCCGCCTCCCCGACCTGGTATTCCTCCGTAGTTGAGTTCTGATACCGAATGGATGCCATTGGACGTGACGAGCGAGGAGGGAGTATCAGACTCAACGAGAAGGGCAAAATAGATAACAGGGAAGAAAGGAGTGGCGACGAGGATCAGGAAAAGCTGTCGAGGATGCATTTGCTTGTGAGAGTGCATTGTGTGATTGTGACTTTGGTTCCACAAGGATAGTGCAAATGTGGAGACGGAACTTGAGGACACAAAAAAGACGGAGGGAGTTTGAAAGGAGGGTGGATGCGAAGGAGAAAGCAAGAATGAGGGTGATTTATATATGCAGTCGCTGAGGAGTCATCAAAGACCTCGGATTATTCCTCCGGAAGCCCGACGACGATTGATGGGAACCATGGCATTCAAAAGTTCATTTATCGGCCATTTCGCATAAAATTGCGCAGAAAAACATTGGCTAGTGTCGATGATAACACAGTATATTAAATACGCTGAAGAATTGCTCTTGATCACTTTAATGGCGCGCGTGGAAACAGATCACTTTTTCCGCTTCAGCTCGCGATGCTCGTCGCCATCGGGTCTGTCGTCGTACACAGCTTTGGGTTGGTTCTTCTTATACGCAGGGGTAATCCATTGAGGGTCCTTTTCTGTCATTTCCGCATACTTCAGCAGCGCAGCACGTGGGTCTTCCTCGCGGGTGTCGTCTCTTGTAAAGCCTGTTAGGGCCTGGTGTGTCATATTGGTTCCAACCTTGCCAGCCTTTCCTGGGCCTGACAGAGGCATCTCTGGGCGATGAGAGGCCTTGGGATCCTTTCGCATCTTCTCCAGTTTCCGCTTATTGCTGACCATAGTGTTGTCCTCCTTGAACATGCGAAGCGCATGAGGGGTGATAATGGGTCTGTCAATCTCGTAGTCGTCCACCGCCCGCTTCTTTGGCGTCTTGGTCGCACAAAGCTTGGCTCCCTTGTTCGAAACCTCAGGGTCGTAGTACACGCGAGCTGTTCCGTCAGCATTGCCCGCCACAATCTATCGTCAACAGGAATAGTAGAAGATTGATTAGCATTTGCATATCTGATATGTCGGGTGACATATGTTATCGAGTGCCTGCAGTGATTTAAATCATACCTGATTCAGCTTGTCGTGCCAGAGGACTCTAACAACACTACTTTGGGACACGCTAACAGTGCGCACAACCTCCAGGTTCTCACTGTTCATCATCACGATCTTGCCGTAGCCCTCGTTCTTCTTGACTCCAGTACCAGTGAGGATGAGGCGCTCGTCGGGCGAAAAGATCACATTGGCCTCAGAGTTCAACGAGGCAACATCCTCAGCGATCGAGAGCGGGTGCTTCAAGTTTCTAGCGTCCCACACTATCAAAATAAAGCAATGTTGCTACTGTTAGTCGTGTGCTCATAGATTTCAACCTCGTCGATTCAGTCAAGCATAGCAGGTGTAGATAAAGACACTTACATTTCACAGTGTCATCGCCACCTCTTGTGACCATGCGCTGGCTATCCCTGGAGAATATAATCGACGATGTCTCTGTTCCTTTTACATGCGCATTCTCAATCGTCTATCGTCAAAAAAAAAAAATTAAAAGGTTCGTTGTTAGGTTGAGTCCTCATTGACGGCGTGAACATTTTGCCAATCATTCTTCCGGCTTTTCGAAGACGTGCTGCTTACATGAGTCGCTCGCAAAAAGGGCCCATTGCTTGAGTAAAGCGAGACTGTCCCATCGGCTCCAGCTAAGTGCACAAACAATAAAAGAAAGCAAAGTTACATTAGCAAATCGTCCTAGCAACCAAAGATCGATCAACAGTAGTCCTGAGGGAATCAACTGTTGACATACCACCTGCAATCAATCTTCCATCCGAGCTATAGGCGACGGAAGTGACTGCGGTCCTTCCACCACGCTCCTTGGTCTTGTAGGCAATGACATCAGCCTGCTTGCGGGTGTTCTCGACATCCCATAGCCTGATGGAACCGTCTGTCGAAGACGTAATGAATCGATCCTTGGTGTAAGGGTGCCAGGCGCCACTGGTCAGAGCAGCAACATGTCCTGAGGTCAACCGCAAGTCCCGGATGTAGGGGTCACCCTTTTGATAATCAGCGACCTCCATCCCGTTTCGATCGTATATCCTGGCCTTGGCCTCTCCCGAGATGATGAGAATTTTGTCTCCTGTTAATGAGTACTTGAGTTCGTGTATCTGATGTGCTCCGCATGGTTCCATGGACCGGAAGGGTCTGAACCGCGTATCCATTCCAGCAAAGTCCCAAAAACAGACATTAAAGTCATATCCTCCAGTGACAAGTCTTGCTCCTGCAGGATCAAGAGCCATCGCAGAGATCGTCTAATGTTTCATTGGAAAATGGTTGAGGGTGAGATTGGATGTTCATGTTGACTCTATGCTGCGCAACTAGGTGGTTTCCGCTGTCTGTAAGTTTACCTTGCTGTGCTCGTTCAAGGTGATCTCGTGTGAAACTGGGATAACAGATGAGGAGGGAGTATCGGCGCTGTCATCATCGTCTTCCTCGTCCTCATCCTCATCGTCCTTGTCCTCGCTGTCCCGATCCTTTGCTGTTGTGGTGTCCTTGATCTGAGGCTTGACGGCGTCCTATTAACCAATTGAGTCTTGTTAGCGACCATGTTCATATTTTATGCCATTCAGATAATATTGCGTCGCAAGCGATCTGGTTGCAATGCCTACTTTGCTATCGATCTCCTGGTCTTGATCTGTGGGTTGCTTTGAAGGTTCCTGTGACGCAGAAGTGGTGCTTGTGTAGTTGCTCCTTGCTGATTTCTGCTTGCCAAATGATGTGGGCATAAAAGCGCGAAGAGCATCCATGCCATCGTCAGCTTGGGCCTTGCGTGGCTCCGGCTTTGCTTTTGGCTTTGACGACGACGACGACTTACCGAACGACGAAGGAAAGTACTTTGCAAAGTCGCTGTCCTATGGAATAAATATGACAACATGAAGGTCGTTAGTCTCCTGCTTTTCATTTAGCCAGTCTTCCAGTCTGTCAATTGGTTTCATGTGCACTTGCTTACATCCATGTTGGTGATGAGTTTGTTGGTTGTTGGTTGGTGTGATGGTGGGAGGCGAAGTGGTTGGTTGGTGGCAAGGAAGAATAGAAGCAAAGAAAGAAAAAAAAAAAGTGACGTCAACAATTTCGCTTTTAGCAGGGACCACTCATCGCTTTCTCTTACTTTCCTTCCCTTCCTTCCAATTTTTTCTTTCTTTCTTTACTTTCATTACTTTTCATCATCTTCCTCGCAAACTAGAAGTGAAGCGTCTTTTTTTCTCGTTATTCGCTCTTTGCTAGAAACCCTTTTTACACCAATCTGCACCACTACTACTACTACTACTACTACTACTACTATTACTATTACTACTACTACATTCTCTACACCCTTCACCTTTACACTCATCACACCCTCCCTGACAATCTTTGACTCCTTTCTCATCACTCAAACTAGAAGAAAGATCTTGCCCCACTTCTTTTATCACTTTTTGCACTCCTCCTTCTACTACTTCCTTGCACCTTCTGCCGGCTAACACTCCCGCTGAAAGCAGACAACACCAACTCAACCCAACGGCCTTATTTGTTCTCGCCCGTTTTTCAGTAACCCTTTCAATCGTCCGCCTCTTTGACGGTACCAAACCACGCACACTTCACTACTTCACCCAAACGCTTATTTTTTTACCACCACCATGATGTCCGATGAAGAAGATTTCGACTGCCCCCTCTGCATGGAAGAGCTTGACATCTCGGATAGAAACTTCCGTCCCTGTCCCTGCGGCTACCAGGTAACGAATACTTCATTCCGGAACTTTGAAAAGGAACCGAGGATCAGGACTCAAAAGAGGATGAACTACTAACTATGTTCGCCCTGTCCGCCTATTGTAGATCTGTCGCTTCTGCTGGCACCACATCAAGGAAGATCTCAACGGCCGCTGTCCTGCTTGCAGGCGAGTGTACTCGGAAGAGACAGTTGAGTTCACGCCCATCTCCGCAGACGAGTAAGTGCCGTCGCTTTCATTCGCTGTTTTGTTCATCAGTTGTAACTGCATTGTTTATGCATATTCGACTCCTCAAAAGTCCACCCCTTTTTTTTACTTGTGCTTGCTTGTTACCCCACGCTAACCACAATCGGAATTTGTTTCTTTTGCCTAACCTGCCATGTAGACTGGCCATGATCAAGAATGAGAAGAAGGCAAAAGAGCGTGAAAAGAAGGAGATCGAGGCTATGAACAGGAAGCACCTCTCCAACATGAGGGTCGTCCAAAAGAGCCTGGTGTATGTCATCGGCCTGCCTACCAAACTAGCAAACGACGAGGTAAAACCACAGGAATAGCTATTATTGAACCCTGTGCGACCTTCGGCCATGAAGACACTTCTTACAGCAAGACACCGACTGACACTGCAGACTCTTTATGCACCCTTTTTTTCACCTTACCCCTAATAGCACACCCTGAGACAGCACGAGTACTTTGGCCAATACGGCAAGATTGCAAAGGTCGTCATCAACAGGAGAAATGCCCCGATGCCAGTGGGAGGATCGTCGCCAGGACAAGCCAGTGTTGGTGTCTACATCACATATGTGCGGAAGGAGGACGCGGCCAAGGCCATTGCGGCCATTGACGGCAGCATATGGGACGGAAAGATTCTCAGGTACGAAATATTAAACACTGGCAGGGCAGTATAGGCACGAAAATTTGGAACTTGACAATCACCTGTCAATCACAGTGTGCTGGATATTTGGACGTATCGGGTTCTCCACAAGCACAGCCTACTGGATCGGATGAACACGTCAACATATGGGGCTCAACATTACGGCAATGTGGGTTTATGAGCCCACACAGGAGTCCACTTAGATCCCTATCACTCACCCTCACTTCCCTGTACTTTTTAGAGCGTCTTATGGCACCACCAAGTACTGCACGTATTACCTCCGAGGCATGAACTGCCAAAATCCAGGATGCATGTATCTCCACGAGCCTGGAGAGGATGCTGATAGCTACACCAAGGAGGATCTCGCAGTCGGGTAAGGGTCATATGGATGATGCATTTGATCAGTATACAGTGATCCATAGGACGCAACATCGATACAGCCAGACTAATCAGCGCTGTTTTTCTTTCAAAACTGTACAGGAAGCATCAAAGCCCAGAACCTACACCGTATGATGGGTATAGCAGTAAGCCTCCGGTGTTGGGACGCCCTCCTCTCCCGTCCCAAGGATCCAGTGCCTCTCTAACTCCTAGACCCAAAGCTGCAACGGTGCCATCCTACCAGTCTGCAGCTTCTTCGTTATCAGACTGGCCAGCTCCTGGAGGTGACAGAGGAAACGGCGATGATAGGGAGGAGGAAGGCTCAGCCCTTCCTGCAACGGCGTCTTGGGCAAAAATTGGCAGCAATCCTTCTACCCCCACTTTACACAGCTCCACACCCCTGTTGCGGAAACTCGAAGGACCACCACCCCTGCGATCTAAGGGTTCTACCACGTCGATTATTACCGGTATTGTCGTCAACAATGGCAAGAGGAAAGAACTCAATTACACCAAGGATGGCGCGCTGATCGATGGTAAGCACCGTTACATGGTCATTTCACGCGTTTCAAGGGTTGCGAAACTTGAATTGTGTGTTTCGAACGCTAATTTGGATCATTGTACTTTAAATTCAAATTAGATTCTCCAACGCCAGCAGAAGCCCTGGCAATTGAGGCTGCCGCAAAGCAGCAGATGCTTCTGGAACAACGGCAACAACAAGAACAGCTACGGAAGCAACAGCTCCTCTTGCAGAAACAGCAGCAAGAGAATGAGTTGCAGGCCGAGCTGCTCAACCAGAAGCTCAAGAAGCAGAGGCAACTGGAGATGGAGCAAGAGGAACTGGAGCGTCAAAAGCAGAAACAGCAGCAGGTGATGGAGCTGAAGATGCAGAAACAAAAGGAAAAGGAGCAACAGAAGAAAGAGCAGCTCCGGCTAGAACAGTTGCAGAAGGAAAAGGAAGCTCAGGAGAAGGCTCGAAAGGAGCAGGAACTCAAGGAGCAGAAGGAGCGGGAAGAGCGGGAAGAGCGCGAACGTCTTCAGAAGGAGCGCGAAGAGAAGGAGAGACTGGAGAAGGAGAGGCTCGAGGAACTGGAGCGCATCGAAAAAGAGCGTTTGGAGAAAGAGGCCCGCGAGGAACAAGCAAGAAAGGAGCAGGAGGAGAAGGAGCGCCTGGAGAAGGAAGCCCGCCTCGCGCAGAACCAACCCAAGCTCTCTCTCGGTTCATTCTCGTTCAACCCCGATGCTTCTTTGGCCACATTCCCTCACTCCTTTGGCAACCCCGCTGCAGCTCCCCCACTCGGAACGGATGCGCCAGGTCCCTTTGGCCTGGATACCTTTGCCGGTTACCCGAACCTTCCTCTCACGCCCACGCACTACACTGGCTCGTTCAACCCCTTCTCTATGGAGGATGAGCCTCTCATGCGGCGATCGATGATCCCACCCGCTCGCAACTTCCTGGGCGATTCAGACTATGATCCCGTAACCGGACGCAGCCGCCCTGTCGGTCCTCCTATTCCTGGCAAGCCAAGACAGACCTCTCGTTTTGGATTTGCCACGGACGGCCAGTACGGTGACTCAATGGGCCGCGAGGGATACTCTGATCCTCCACCCAACATGCAGTCCATGGAGGAGGGCTTCCGAGCTCTCTTCCCCAACGTCAATGTCAGCTTTGGTCGACCTGACGGCGGTTTGGGTCAGCAGCAAGTGCAGCAACAGCAACAACAGGCGATGTATCAGTCATCGCCTTTGCTTCATCGTCAGGAACCCCCCGGCATGTGGAACGGTGCGGACAAGCAAGAGGGTCAGGCATTCCAGAGAAGCATGAACCAGCTGAACATGGACCCTATGCTGACGACGCCTAGCTCTCGTATGGCCGAGTACCACCAACAACTTTCCATGCAGCAGCAGCAGTCTACTCAGCAGCAGCAGCAACAACATCATCAACAACAACAGCATCAACAACAACAACATCATCAACACCAACAACAACAACAACAACAACATCAACAACAACAGCATCAACAACAACAACAACAACAGCAACAACAACAACAACAACAACAACAACATCAACAACAACATCAACAACAGCAACAACAACAGCAACAGCAACCACCACAGCGGAGCGGTCCCCCTGGTCTCGCAAGAAACCCGATGACCCCAACGATGATGAAGTCGCCACCCCCTGGTCTGGAGAGCCTGGCTCGCAACGGATACGGTGGCTGGTCGGATTCGCAACAGCAGCAGCAGCAGCAGGCACAGCAGTTGTTGCACCAGCAGCAACAGCAACAGCAACGTCCACAGCAGCAAACGTCTCGATTGAACAGCTGGAAGGGCGAGGGTCAGCCGGGGCCCATCAACACTGGTATGCCCCACAATAACCAAGAGAATGCTCAGGACTTTTTCGGTGCTTTCTTGAAGGCCGCAGCTGCCTCGCCCTCCAACCAGTCAGCCCCCAGCGGCAACCAGCAAGGTATGGTGTCTTATCCTTCTATGACGGTGTATGAAATGATGATTAACAATTGAATTGTATTATGGAGTGTTCGCTAACTTTTTCAATCGCTGCTCGCCTATGTTTAGGTGCCCAAAATTCAATTCCTTTCCAAGACCCTGCCATCATGTCCGTTCGCTTGGCCTCTTCTGCGGCGGCCAGACCCTCCTTGGTTGAAGCCCTTCAGCAGCCACCTATGGGTGGCGCTTACTCTGGCGCCTACGGGCAAATGGGCCGCGAGGCCTTCTCTGGTAAGTTTTTTTGACCTGATCTCGATTGCCTTCATTCTCCTTGATAACTTGCTAGTATGCCGACCTCTTATTGACATTTATCCTCTTATCATTCTAGATGTTGGAATACGCCACGGTGACAACACCAACTCTCCTCTGCTTCAGCAATTCGGCCTCGGATCGAAGCGCATGGACGTAAGTTTGGGCGAACGAAAATTTGATTCATGGATCTGACCGTAGTTGCTCACATGCTTTGTTGCGACCGCGATTGCTAACATTTTTAATATCCCTAAATCACTATAGCATTACTCTCCTCTCAAGCCTGCCAACATGGAGGCTTACCCTGTAGCGTTTGGGGCTGGCGAGTCGCCCATGATGAGCACGATCAACCCTGCTGCTGCTGCGGCGCGCTCTGCCAAGGTCAAGTCGGACCTTTTGATGGGTCTCAACACTGGTATTCGACCTGAGAGACTAAGCATGAAGGATCAACCCCAGCAAGCCAGGCCACCCTCTGTTCTCTCTGAGGAGCATAGCAGCATCCTCAACAGCCTGAATGGCGGCATGAGGATGAACTCTCCAGCCAACATGTACAACAGTAATGCAGGTGGCGGCGACTATCTTAATCGTCCCTCGAGCCAGTACGAGGGATTGTCCATGAACGGCGTCTTTGGAGGCAGCGGCCTGAATGGTCCTATGATGTCCATGTCGATGCCGCCGTCGTCTGGTTCGGGCGTGTCGATCTCTGGTCCTCCTCCTGGCTTGGGCATGCCTCCTAACAGCGGCAACAACAGTGGTGCCCAGAGTGGAGGAAACAACCCCAACAACAGACCTGGATCTTACGCTTTGGGAGGAGGCGACAATGACAACAATGGTCCCTCGTCGTTTGGACCTGGCATGGGCGGCATGGGCTTGAACGGCAACATGAACAAGCCTATGGATATCACCAGTATGATGAGTGCGCTTGACTTTTTCGGTCCATCCTCGTCCGTTGGCCCTTCCTCTGGAACCTTGGCCAACAACTGGTCGATGCCCAATGGAAATGCGCACCATCCGTCGTATCTCCAGCAGCAGCATTTGCTCCACCTCCAACAGGGCCTGAACTCTCCTACCAACAGTAACAATGGCCAGGGAGCGCCAAGCCTTGGGTCCCGTCGCGACTCTGCCCAATCAAACACCAGCCTTTCGATGAACGGCGGTCCACAGCAGCAGCAGTATCAGCAACAGCAGCAACAGCAGCAACAGCAGCAACAGCAGCAACAGCAGCAACAGCAGCAACAGCAGCAGCAACAGCAAGGGTTCAACAATGGCGGCTTTGAACATGGCGGCAACCCCAATGCTCCCAACACCAACAATAGTACCAGCAACGGCAACAGCAACAACACCAGCGAAGTAAATACTGCTCAGTCGACCCCTCATATGAGCAATCCTACGGCAGCTGCAGGAGCGACGGCGCGGAGTGTTGAGGACCTGGAGTTGCAGGTGATCAATGCCAAGATGGAAACCCAAATGCTTGAGAACCAGCTGAACGCTGTCATCAAACGTAACCGCCGCAAGCTCTATGCTTGAACACCTCACCCATCGACGCGACCCTTCTCCTCTTCGACCTCAATAAAAATGGCCCTCTTTTCCCCAACTTTTTTTTTTGGCGTTTTTCATTCATGTTTGGATAAGATTTGACTGGATGTCGGATTTTAATAGAGGTGTAATGGAATGTTGCATGCGTGTGTTTTTTAAATTTCTTTTGTTGCCTTGGTGTGTTGTTTTTGCTTTGGTGTTGTTATTGCGTTTGTTTTTTTGGTAATGGTTGTTGAGTACAAAATTCCGTAGAGATCCTGCTTTCTGAGAATAGCTTCGATCTAGGCCTTCCTGTCGTCCAAGTCCTTAGGGGTGACATCTCTGGCGCGGTTCAACATACACGACTGGACACAGGACTCGATCTTGGACAGGAACTCGTCCTCGGACACGTTGACCTTCTTGTCCACTATGGCAGCGGCGGGGTCGGCGGCGTTGGCAGGAGCGGTATCTGCATTGTCAGAGTCGTTGTCGTCGTCGGTCTCGGTCTCGGTCTCGGTCTCAGTCTCAGTCTCAGTCTCGGCGCCGGCCTTGGCAGATGGAGACACGACGCGTTTCCAGAGGCGACTGATCAATCCATCCTCATCGTTCCCCTGCCTTGTCATCTCCCTCCTCGCCACTACCACCACCACCCTCAATATCATCCCTCTCATCCTCGGTATCATCCGCATCCGTTTCAGACTCGGCGGCATCGGGCAACTCACCGCGACCATCAATACTGAGATCACTGCACTCATTCCCATCCTGCAACGTCAACAGCGGGACCTGGTTTCGCAGCCGCAAATGCAGCAGCCGCCCTAAACTGCTTCCACATCCTAGGCCGAGAATCCCGTCTTCTTTCCCGGACCATCCATATCCTCTGCCAGCCTCCTCTTCCTCATCATCTTCTTCATCAGCGCCGCCGTCGATGCCGTTTGAGGTATTGAGGTACTCGGCAAGGAGAGCTTCAGCCTTTGCGATCCCCTCGGTGGCTGCGGCTTGGATACAGAGGTCCTGGGAGGTTGAGGAAGGGTTCTGCGGCTTTTCATGGCGAATGCTTAAGCCTGTTCGCCCGTCAGGGGGGGGGGGGGGGGGGGGGGTCGGTGCCGCTTGGATTGGTTCTGTTCCTGCGGGGGCCGGCGGCGACGTAGGTTAGGGCGTGTTGATAGACCTATTAGTGCGATGAGTGAGATTTCATTGTATATATTATTATTATTTTTTGGTTTTGTGTTTGTAGTGTGTGTGTAGTGTGTTGTGCAGTGATTAGTGGTGTTAGATGTGGTATGAAATCGGAGAGAAGTAAATAAATTCCACTACAAAGAAGGAGAGTTGTATGAGAAAGGAAGTGGAGGGGGGGGATGAGAGAAGAATGAAAACAAAGGGAGTGAAAGTGAGGGGAGGGAGGAAGGAACAAACAGAAAGAAAACCACCCAAAGGGATAAAGAAGAAGATGAAGGGGATTGAGGAGAATGAGGAGGTGAGAAACATAGGAGGACAAGAGAGAAAAATAGGAGACGCGATCCTTATTAAAGGAGTGAAATAATAGGGAGAATGAGAAGAGAGATAGGGAAAAAAGGGAAAGGAATAAAGGGGATTGATCCATGCTTGGATGAAATCTTCACTCTCAAGTCGTAACACGATCCAAGGGAATGAGAATATCAAAGAAAGGAAGGAGAATCGTCCCTTGTGTCTGGGTGCGTGTCCGTGTATGAATGAGAAGGGAGCTTTAATTCAAAAAGATGCTAAGAAGGGGGCGCGATAAGATGCACCCATTTTTATTTTACATTTGTTGTTGGTTGTTTGCTTGCTTTCATGATGTTGGTGATGCTGGTGTTGGTGGAGTCTCTCTGTGTGAATTGTGCGTATGTGTCGGATTAGGGCTGAGGGGTCAGGTGCGTGGTCGCCTTGACTTCCTTGATTAGGTTGCGGAGCCGTGCCAAGCGGTCGACAATCGGCGAGGAAGTAGAGGTCATGCCTGTCGCAAAGGCAGTGGATGTCGACAAGGGTACAGTAGAAAATGGCGTCAATGCTCCCGAAAGAGGCGAGACTGTCTTAGACAGAGGCGAGGACCATGGGCTTGTACTTGACGACAATCCTGGGCTGGCGGTTCCACTCAAAGCACCATTGGCGACACCGTTGATGACGGCACCATTAGGGGGCGAGGAGGGGCGAGAGGGAGAGTTCGATGTAATGAATAAGTTCTCGTCGTCGCCTCTGTTCAACCCCAGTGCCGATCGTGCCTGCATCCTCGATTTTTTCAGTGTTTCCCTAGATGTGAGCAAATCGCATATAACGCGTTAGCTATAGAGTCTTCTTTAGCCACTTTGCTGCAACGATGCGAACACACAATAAATAACTTACCGAGGACTCTCTGGTGCTCGTCGCTTGCGACTGTCTCCGAAGCGGTTCGCTGCAATTGCTGACGGTACTGTCAGTCCTGCTCGATCGGCTAGTGATGAGGTCTCCACCGGAATAGCCAATGCCCTCTCCTCGCGTTCGCGGGCTTGCTTCTCCACCGCCCTCTCCCAAATGCGGACCTCACTCTGTGCCGTCGTCTCAAAATCAAAGACGTTTTCATCGACATCCACCTCGTCATGGATCAATAAAGGTGTAAATGACATGTCAGAAGACTGGTCTTGCTGGCGAACTGCCCGTCCGTTGTTGCCCAGATCGCTCTCGTTGTCATCCTCCCAGTCGACACTGTCCAGCTGTTGCTGCTGCTGGCGGTATTGGTTCTGTTGGTGTTCCAAAGAGTTGCGAAGAGATTCCCACTTTTTGAGGCGAATGCTGAATCGCTCCGTGTCCAAAATGCCTGCCTCTATCCATGTCAATACCTGGCTGGAGATGCGCTTGAAAATTGCTTCCAGAGGGACGCGGTCTATTTTTGCACAGTAAATCATAGTAACCTTTGTTAGATATCTGGCACGCAAATTAGTTGGGCGAAGCTATGTTGCCAATTTGCACGGAAAAGTACCTTCTGTAGAGGATCGGAGTAGCTTCCAGATCTCGGCGCGCATCGCCGCCTTGGCTTCCTGATTCTGTGGTTCCTTGGCGAGTCCTCCCAGTGTAGCGAGGTAAACGTCCATAAAGTCGCAGAACGCACTAAAAAGTATTCGAACAATCAGCACGTCAGTCTCTACTTCGAAGAGAATGGACACAGTCCATGCACACTCAGACGAACATTGCTCTTACCTCTTGGAGTCCATGCCAAAGTGGATCCTGTCAAGAATCGATCCAGGCTTCATCTCGGGCAACTCGGCTTGACGAATAAACCGTGCCATCGCATCCTTCATGCGACCCTCCTGTGCGGCTCCTTCGCGGGTTTCACCTTGCCCCTTGGCCTCAATAGTTTGTGCAATGTTCTCCAGTTCCGCGTTGAACAACCGCACAGCCAAGTTGAACCCAGTCTCCAAGGACTCCACAAACAAGTTCCTGGGTGGCGCAACATCTTCTAAATCTCCATTTCCTAGTTGCGCGCCTCTTCCTCCTCCTCCTCCGATACCATTCAATAACAACTTCTGGTCCTGCAGCTTCTTCCGCTGTCTCTGCTTCAGCAACCACATGTTCGTCTCCTCCTCATCTTCTTCATCGTACTGCGAGTACCAAGGTCCCTCTGCCAATGAGATCCGACAGAGAGCCCACTCGAAGATCGGTCTATACTTGTCCAGAAGGGTCGACAACATAGCGGCAGGGTCCTCGAAGTAATCCTTTGTCTCGGCCGCAAGCCATTCGAGTGATCCAGCCATAAAACGATCCAGTTTCATCGTCGACATATCCATGTTTAAGAACCGGTAGCCTAGGAGCGGAGCTTTGGGGGACTTGACCATCGCGTCCAGTTCAAGATACTCCACCATCCGAGGTGACATTCTCTCCCAAACTTCAGGGGAACTTGTCCAAAGAATAAAGACAATCGGCTGCTTGACCTTCGGGAAGCACGACAGGAAGCGAACCAATCTTGCACGTTCCGACAGCCAATATTGACGACTACAGTATGCGATGAAAAATGGTGTGAGGTAAGCCATCTGTTAGAGGTCATACATACCGAGTAATCGCTGCCCTTGTAGAAAGAAAAGACATTCAATAAAATACTTACATGGCTTGCTCTGTTGCTTCATGGTCTGCAAAAGGGATCTTGCTAAACTCAAATATGAATGCTGCCGTCTCCATAATTTCGTACTTGGACATACCCAAGAGGTCCATCACAGAGGCGTCCTCGCTTCCGTGGACAATTACGTCCATTGCCGTCTCAGAGTCGGTTCGCCCTGGGTGTTCCGCCACCATAGTTCCTGATCGTTGTTGAGCCTTGGTTGTTCTGCTCATGTCGACGCCCAGCTTTCTAAGCAGCCATTTCGATGTAGTCTCCTTGAAGCTTGGGGTGCCGACAAACAATCTCCAGCGACGCTTCGTCAATCCTCCCGATCTGCGAGGAGGCTCCTGGTCCGCTGACGTTGAATCTCCTGACACGGCTGCAGGCCTCTTGTTGTACTGGTTCTCGACAATATCAAGCACAGGCAAGGGTGCCCACATCTCCTGCTTGGGCGCGGCAGCCTTCTTGAGACCTGCTACTAGGGCCAGATCTGGACTGCCTTCCTGACCAATGCTCAAAAGTCGCTTGCGCTTGCTGGAGGCCACCATGGCCTTGATGCCCTGTATATCCGATGCAGCTTGTCTTGTGCCCTTGGCGGTCCGTGGCAGCCGCCTGGCAGAGTTCTGATCCCGAACCTTGACCGTCCAGGGCTCCGCATCAGTGAGTCCTGCACGACTGCCCATAGCCCGAACATTGCTCAAAAAGTGCTCTTGACGCCTCCGAAGTTCCTCCGCTCGTTGAATAGACTTGACTGTGAACGATCTCCAGTGAGCCACTACCCGTCTCTGAACTATTGTCTCTCGATAAATCTCGGCTAGAATCTCCTCGATCGTCTCGTCAGCAGCTTGAGCCATTACTTCTGTCAAAAGTCGCATGGACTCGCGTTGAATAGTGTCCTGTCTCTCCTTTGCCCGACGAACAGATCGCTCGATCGCCACCTCCTGTGACATCTGCGCTGCCGTCATTCGAATGAGACGATCCGTTTCCGAGTCCAAAAGTTCCTTGACTATAGATTCAACAACTGAGCGTGGGTAGATCCGTCCCCGTTTTGTGACAATCCTGGTGGCATCTGATTTGGGCGCAAATGATGGCGAAAGAGGCGGCGGTGTGGTGAAGAGCGAAGATCGTGTGGGTGTCGGTGGCTGCACAGAAGTTACTGATGGGATCGGAGGGATATTGATAGTACCAGGTGATTTCGACGTGCTGGTAGCAATACCACCCATGGCCGGGGCGAGAGATAGTGACGAAGGTACGACATTTGATGCCGGTGTTTGACTTGATGCATTAAAGTTGAAGGGACTTGCTGTTGCTGGGGATCTGGTTTCGGGCGTTTTGAATGCAAAGGGAGATGACTGGACTGGAGTTCCTGTAGTAGATAAGAGAGTGCTTGATAAGGCTGGCGTGAAGGCGCTTGATGTTGTAGCGGTCGTCGTCGAGCTGACTGGAGGTGCCAAGAAACTAAACCCGGGCGGGTTCATTCCTGCGGCAGCTGGGTTTGTAAATAAGGACGCAGGCTGGCTGACGTTAGTTGGTGCACTGGTTACAGACTGCTGTCCACGAGCTAGTGGTGCAACAGAGGAGGAAGTTGTCGCATTGCTGAATCCTTGGGTGAAGAGAGGTATGGTCGCTGCTCCTGCGCCAAGTGTAGCCGTAGCTGCAGTAGAAAACACGGACGGCAACAGCGATCCCTGACTTGTAGTGGTCGAGGTGGTTACTCCGTTGGGCAGGGGTGATACTGTTCCACCCAGACCAAAGTCAAACATTCCGCTTGGTTTTACACCCGTCGCTGGCTGAGATACTGTCGTTGTTGGCGCTGGTGAAGATCTGGCTCCTGTTGGAGGTCCTGTAGGCGCCGAAGCGGATGCACTCTGCCGTAATGTCGCGCTAGCGGATGTGTGTCGTTGCAAGGGGTTGGGGACAGTTGGTCTTGTGGCGAGAGGTGCGATTGCTTGTGGCGTTCTCGAGAGAGCATTGATCGGCTGTGGGGGTGGAGTCCTGCCATAAATGATTTCAGAGGCCGTGTAGTTCTGTCTCTTAGCCTCGACGATCCTTTCGTTGCGATGTTGCTTCATCGCCAGCGTTCCCTCTAATAGTACAATGGGGTTTCAAGTCGTACATTAGTTAGTATAACCACAGTTCACAACCAAAAATGACTTTGCTCATACTGTAAGAAACCTTTCCGAAAGGAGACGCACCTTTAAAGATACGACGACGAGTGGTCGGATCTTTCCTTCCAAAGATGACTGCGGTCCGGTCCGGGGTCAACGCCAGGTCGTACTCTTCACAGTTGGCAATGCACTCCTCGGCATCATCAAACCCCAGATTGACCACTAAATCTTCCACCGAGAAACCGCGGTGTTGATCGAGGTAGCACTTGTTCATTGCCTTCAAGGCGCCCTTGCGGATTTCGACGAAATTGACCTCCAGGAGACAAGCCATGAGATACGTGGTCGGCGCACCTGCCACAAGCTTGAAAAACCGAGTGAAGAAGTTAGGAGAGGCCTCCGACTGGATCTTGGCTCGCCGGTGGATGTCGTTGTTGCGCCTTGTCAACGCGTGGATCTCTGCCGCCACCTGAATGTAAGGGTCCCGGAAAATGTGCATCGGGAGTCGTTGTGCTTGACGGATCATGTCTGGGTCTCGGAGATGACTCAGCATATGGTAAGCCCTAAATTCAGCCTCGTTCGGACAAGGAACGCCCTCCGACCTCATGTCGTCGTAAAACTCCTGCAAACTTGTAAGGACTATATCAATAAATAACAACAATGTCGTTAGCCATTGCTGTGGGCACATGCCGTGTTCGTGTGTCGAATGCTTGTAACATAACCTTGATGCCATCCATACCTTTCCTAAGTTGTTCCATCTCCTGCTGATCGCTGAACCCCTTATTCTCGCATAGTTGATGCATGCAAAGAATGTGATAACGGGCGATTATCTCGTGTGCTTGAATCGCCTCGAGTCCTCTGTTGTTCTGCAGGGTGAAGTCTTGCCTGATAGAACGTGTTCGGTCGCGCACAAAAAAGTGGGAGTCGCCCAAGCCATCCTCGCCGACAATTTGGTTGATAAGATAGTCGAGTGTCGACTAGCAGTGTAATGGAAATACATTCGCGTGTTAGAAACTGGCAGCACACATGTGGCGAGTTCCACAATTTAATCAATGGTAAACTTACAAGTAGGGCTGCAGGAGGGCGAACATCCGATGGCAGAGGTTGCTCCTTTCCTGCAGCGGGTCTTGCATAAGCCTTGACAGCTCGTAGGTGGTCAATCTTCTCTGTTCCTGGGACCTGTAATGTATACCAATACCAATTTCAATTGTTAAGGTCAATATCGTTCTATCTAGTACGGAGCATCCAAATTATAAACAGGAATCAAAGCACGCCAGCGCCATACCTTCTCGAACTTTTCGACGTTAAGCTGGAATTCCCGCTCGTGGCGCTCGAATTCTGGACACATGTCCATGCAGGTACCGACGAAGGTGATGGCATCTTCCAGTCGTCGCGGTTTATCTGGGTCCGGGATCAGGCCTGCGCGGATGGCATCTTTTCGTTCCAGTTCACGCTTTTCTTTCAGCTGAGCGTTTCCATATTTTGGTCCAGAGTGTCGAGGGGGGAAGGGATGATTTCCGCGAGATATAAGGGTCGGCAGAGTGAAACAACGATATCAAGCACCCAAAGTATGGTGAGAATGATAGGGGAAGGGGGGACAAAGAAGGAGGAAAGGTGTAGTCATTACGCCAGGTCAGACGGGTTTCGTAGGTATAACGGGGGAAGCGAAAGAAAATCGAAGGTCGAGGTTGCATCCATGTTGGAAGATCGCCCAGCATCCATGACGTCTTATGTTGTGGACAGAAAACGGTACAAAATGCACGAAAGAAAGTGAAATAAACAATACACAGTGGATCATATAACGACAGGAATGGAAAACACAATTCAGACAACAACAATAAAACATCTTTCAAACAATGGGATCGAACCTTTTCAAATTCTTTGGCATCAATGGTATCCGTGGAGAATCGAGTCAATCGACTGTCTGAATCCACGGTACCGCCAGAGATCTGTTGGGATGCAGAGCTGTCCATGAAGGGTGAAGACTTGGCTGGCGGTGTGAATGCAGACTGGTTTGGACGGGATGCGGATGGTGATGAGACTGGTCGAGAGGTGGGAGTCGCAAAGACCGAGTCGCCCTTACTACTTGGAGAGCTGCTAACGAACCCTCCCTTCCTGAAAGTTGACGTCGTCAGGCCTTGTGGTGCGGTTACAGCGGACGAAAAGGATGAAGTTGTAGAGTTTCCTGATGCTGACGCAGAAGTATGTGTGCCGAACGCGCTTCCAGAACTGCTACCCTGAAACGCAGGTGTAGAGATGGCAGTTACAGAGGACGGGATGGGTGAGGAGGTCGTAGATCTTCCTGCTGCTGGCACGGAAGTATGGATGCCAAACGCGCCTCCTGAACCGCTGCCTTGGAACGCAGACGTAGGGGTGGCAGATGAGGCAGCTGGAGTCCATTGCTTGTTGAAGGACGAGCCTACGGACCCTGCCCCTGCTCCTGTTTGTAGAGCGAACCCTTCATTCTGATTACTGCTAACGAATCCTGCACTCGGGTTATTACCACCGAATGCTGTGCTCTTGTTGGCGCCCCCGAATCCTGCATTATTGTGGCCGGCAGCCCCAAAGGCAGAAAAGGCGGCATGCTGCTGTAAGCTTCCAGGACTGCCGGATGATGAAGTGTTGACGGCGGAGGAGGGCGTTGCACTATTTGAAATGTCGGAAGTGCTATCCATTGCCATGGCAGAGTCGAATCCTTGGTTGGCGGAACCACTCTGAGGGCCATCAGCTGGACGCCATTGGATCGATCTGAACTGTCCTGGAACTCCTCCAGCTGCTGCACCACCACGTCCACGTCCTCTGGGGCTGCCAGAATACCCTCCGCGACCACCACCACGATTAGATCCCGCTGCAGAGAATGCCGGATCAGACTCTCCGCCTGGTGATCCTACAGTGAAGACGGATGAGAGGTGCGATCTGTGTTGTGGTTGGTGTTGCTGCTGTTGTTGTTGACCGTGGCTGGTCGACAGTCCTGGTGCCACATACGTCATATTGGAGCTTCCTCGGTTGCTTCCTCCACGTCCGCCTCTGTAGCTGTTGTTACCACCTTGACCTCTGCCCCGTCCTCGAGAATTGTCAGAATGACCATCAGCTGCTCCAAACTGGTTTTGACCTGACGCGGACTGGTTATACGAGTTGAAACCGCCACCGTTGTTGAAGGCTGTCCCTGGGATTCCGCTGACGCCTGCTGTGTTGTTGTTATGGCTGTTGAAGGCACTTGCACCACTGTTTCCGCCTGCAAACGCCCCAAACGCGCTAGGAGCGCCGCCGGCGTTATTGAATGCGCTACCTCCTCTTCCTCCTCCTCCTCCTCCTCCTCCTGCTCCAGGTCCAGTGTTGGCGAATGCGCTTCCACTCGGGTTGGTGTTATTTGCGTTGCCGCTGTTTCCTCCTCCAAAGGCCATGCCCTGTCCACCGAATGCACTTCCGAATGCGCTGCCAGATGTGGGGTTCATGTTGAAGGTCATTCGAGGCTAGACAAAGAGAAGGGCGCGAGATCTGCACCTGATAAAAAGAAAAAGTGATCAGCCTTCCGGTGGGTATTACAGGCGCGGTCGATAGTGTTGAACAGACTTGTGTGCTGACGTGCGACTGTGGTGCAAGGTCCTCGTACCTTGCCTGAACGAGGGTAGATGGATGGAGCTTTTGTGGCGCTGCGTCCCTGGTGAACTATGTTGTTCCGGGTTGGGTTGGTGTGGTTGTTGAAGGGCGATTGCAGCGCGTTTGTCGTTACGTGGATGTGAGTGTGTGGACGTCAGGAAGGAAGGCGATCGACAAAAGGCGAGGTGGGATGTTAGTGTGATGCGTGAGGTATGTAGAAAAAGGTGAAAGGGGTGAAAGGGGTGAAAGGGGCGAGGGAAGAAGGTGTGTGAGTGTCGACGACAGGCCGATCCCTGAGAGAAGAAGAATGGAAGAGGGAAGACGGGGATGGGTGAATGGCGGACGATGGGGGGTCGACACAGACGTGAGTGTAGAACGGATACAGTACGTGAGAAGCGAGAAAGGAAGAAGGCGTGGAGGAAATTCAAAAAGAAAGTTACAAGAAAGGTGGCTTGGCTGTTCAGCACGGAATGGTGGGGTGGAGATCACTCTTTCAATGAATGATTTTTATTTTTCAAAAGGCTATGTACATCCACAGGTTCAAACGCGCTCAGTCCAAGCGCATTTTGCCAGAGAGCAAGGGGTCATCATCGCTCATCCGCCGATCATCCAGGGACCGCTTCATCCAAGCCTTGGTCGCTCCAAGTGCTGCCTGCGATTTCTCCTGCAGATACCTCGACGTTGACGACGACGAGGACGACGAACGAGACGAGCCCGTAGACCCTGACGACGTGAGAGGAGCCATCCTCGACGACGCGACTGTTGAGCTCAATGGTTGATTTGCCATCGTCTCTTCTGGGGCCGTAGGCAAAAATCGAGTTGAGGGCGACGATCCTTCAAAGGGCTTACCCAGAGGGTACAGGTCTACATTCCGGGAACTTGACACTGCCGTGCTGGACATCGACCGCTCCAAACCCCTCCTCCCTGGTGCTTGAAGTTGTGGTGACCCTTGCTCGTGCTCCTGCTGCTCCTGCTGCCCTTGGTGATCTTGCAGCTGGTCCGCGGTATGCAACGGCGACGAATCCGCAGCCGCAGCTGTCTGTTTTTGGCCGGCCTTGCCATTCTGAGCAGGGAGGCTGCCTCTCCTGCGATGACCCAATAGTCCGCCAACACGAATATCGTCCAATGATAACTTGGACGACAGGCTCTTGAGGCTCGCGCTATCGTGCTCCTCCTCGCTCTGGTTGCTATTCGTGCTGCTATTGCTCGTGATCTTTTTCAACAACAGGTCCTTCTTCGCCTTGAAGGACAGGAGGCTGTCGCCGCTGTTTTTCCTGCCATGATCCTTGGTGTGGCTATTATTGTTGTTATTGTTGTTGTTGTTGGTAGCTTTGGTGGTATCCTGGTCAGTGTTGCTGTTGCTGTTGTTACTGTTACCATTGCCTGCGCTATTGTCGCCCTTGTTTTGGTTCTTTTTGTTTCGACGCTCGGAGAACAAGTTGGCCAGGTTGCTCTGGACAGTTCCTGAGATCGAATTGTTCCTGGACCGTTTGCCGTCCAGGATGCCCGCGATGCCGAGGTGCGATGAAGACGACGTCATTCCGTTGCCGTAATTGCTTGTGGTCTCCTTCCCGCCTCCATCGACCTGTCCATTTGTCGCATCCGATCCTCGTGAGGCGTTTGAACGAGGAGATGTGTCAAGCTCGGTGCGGCGGGTCTGTCGAGGCGCGCCTTCCTTTTTGTCAATTGGCTCAACTGGACTTCGGAGCGATTGGTAAACTGGGTCGTTTCCGGTAGGCGTTGCCGCACTATCAGCACTATCGGTACTACTCTCAGAATCATCGCTGGCCGGAGATTCTAGGCTGGCAAGGCGTCTCAATGAACTGGAAGAATCCTTCTTGGCAGGTCCATTCGAAGGAGACGAAGCAAAGATCCGGGGCCCTGCAGATTCAGGGATGTCGCTGATAACATTCAGCTTGGGGATGGCTAACAGTTTTCCTGGGTTGGACGAGCTGACAGAGTGTGAGGTGCCTGCAGGCGATGTCCTGATGGCCGTAGCAATTGAGGTGGCGACAGTAGGTTTGGTATTCAATTTGGACGCATCGGCTAATGACTCTGTCGATTTATATGGGAAATGAGCCTGGGAGAAGCGCTTGAACTTGGCTGCCATAGTGGCAGCAATGGGCGTCGTAGTATTGGTCATAGACACGGCATTAGTGCTGCTACTGTTATTCGGCTGGAGGTAGATGGTGCTTGGCGGTGTTGTTGCTATTGGGGCGGACTCGGGGTCAATGTCAGACTCCGTTCCTGCAGAGCTCCATGACAACTTGCGCTCGCTGTCATCCAGCTTGGGCGGTGCGTGCTCCGAATTGAAAGAGCTCACACTGTCGCGGCGACCTCCTGCTGATTTCCTACGTCCTGACTTTCCTGCCCTGCCCATCAGCATCGATTCAGCGTCGCTCTCCTCGGGCGTCTCTGAAGAAATGTCCTCGTCGCCCTCAAAGATGCCGCCCCTGCCGTGAGAGTCAAAGAAGGGTGTGTCATCCATGTTGGGCAGCACAATCGCCTCGACCATCGCCTCTCTGATCTTGGACTCAATAGCGGTGAGGATCATGTTGAGTTTGATGGCTTTGTCGGCAACGATAGGCTCGATGACAATGTCCATCTCGGGTGGCTCCTGAAATCCGATCCAGAAGCGATTGGTTGGCGGGGCTTTGATCTTGAGCGTCATCATTCCTGAAATTGACTTGACCAAGACGGCGAGAACGATGGTCACCTTGACGGGCTTGAGCGTGGCCAGTCCGAGACCCACATCAACCTCGATCTCGACACGGAGACCGCCACGGTAGGAGAGATGGAACTCGGAGGAGAGCTCTCCGTTGGGAGCGAGTTCGTGCAGCTTGGTGCGTGTGATGTAGGGAATGCTGTGGCCGACTTGGAAGGAGCGGACCTTGATCTCGCCAAGGAAGGAGGGTCGTTTCAGCTTGAGGGTCTTGCGGGTGATTTTCTGGATAAAGATCTCCTCGATTTTCTTGGTCTTGTAGACGCCCAGGAAGATTCGCCCCAGGAAGGAATTGAACCAGCGGGTGTGTTCGTGGTGCTTGTCGGAATGGATGATGCGAATGTGGTTCTGAATCGCCTCTGGGTCAAACTGGGCCTTGTCCTGAATCTTTTGCTTTGTTCCAGGCTTTCTCAGCTTGGATGCATACAGCAGTGCAAGGTACCTAGTGGGTGTAACATGAGGCGGCCCATGCAAAATTTCCATCAGTCATCCAGCACCTTTGCACATGTCTTCATTATCTCTATGCTGTGACAGACAGCAACCAACAGAGCAAGAGCGTGATAAAAGTGACAACTCACCAGTCTTCCTTGACCACAGGCGTGTGGATAAAGATATAATACTCGTCCTGACCATTATCCTGGGCACTGGCTGAGACAGAGGCGTCTGGTTTCCGCTTGATCTGGATAGGATGCTCCTTGTTGAAGACCTCGTTATCGGGCAGGCTTTTGGGGAAGATCTTGACTTCGTACAGGTTCATGGGCACGACGGACTTGCAGTCCCGTTGTTGGTCACTCTCGTAGAGGAACAATGTGTCGTAACGGAGAACGGCATAGTACGAGTCTTTGGGGCGAGCATTCTTGGGCTGGAAAAGGATGTTGGACATGTAGTCGGAGATGGATTCAGCTGCGGGGCCGAGCCGTGGGACACGCGTCATGCGAACGTAGCCTTCTTTGTTGAGGTTGGGGTCCGCTTGCATCAAGACATCCGGCTCCCTTGCAGTAACAGCCTTGAGACTGAGAGTTGCAGCTGAATCGCCGTTAACGACGGTATCTTCCTCGCCATGGTTGTCCTGATCATCCGAAGAACAATCGCTGTCGTCACTGTCGTCATTGTTATCACTGACTGTGGTCTTGTGTAGCCGGCCTGGTGCAGAGGCGGTGGTGTTGATAGAATTGGTGCCAGAGACGAAGGGGGATGATGACGACATGGCCTGGGGTTTGAAGTGTTGATCCGATTTGCTGTGGTGAAGCGCAGACCTCCTCCTGCGGATACTCCTGTTCTTGTCGAGGCCCGTGGATGTTGATACGGAGGATGCGGATGATCCATCGCCGGCACTGGTGCTACTGCTGTGGATGTCCTTGACGTTATCCCGTTCGATCTGGTCTAGGAGGGTATGTGGGGGTGGCAGGTCAGTGGGGCGAGGTAGGCTCGGGTCAAATGCGGGAAGGCGTATCCAGAGGACGGTGAAGACGAGGAGGAGGGTCAAGGGGATGAAGGTCAAGCCGCCGAGAAAATAGAAGAACAGATATGGGTGCATGGCGAAGCGAAGTATCCTGGTTATGGTTGTTGTTAAGAGTGCTCTTTTGAAAACAGGACAATCCAGTTCTTGTCTGCCCTCCTTTATTGTGTTCTTGGCACGGCAAGCAGGCAGGCAGGCGAGGACGGGTTGCCACGGGAAGGGAAGGGAGGGGAGGAAGAGGGGTGAAAGAAGAAAAAAGAGAAAAGACGGAAAAGAGAGAAGAGGGGGGGGAAGGCGAACTGGTATGTTGAGAAAAGTATTAACTGTGGTATGGTATTGTATGTAGTTCGTGTGATGGTGTCAAGTGAAAGAAAAGAAACAGAGAAGAATGATGCTTGGCAAAACAACAACGAGGACGAAGTAATGAATGAATGAATGAATGAATGAGAATGAATGAATGAATGAATGAATGAAGGGAGGAAGTAGAAGGAAGGACTATGGGTACAAAAAGGGTACAAAAAACAAGGTCTTGTGGGGAGGTTGGGCACGAGTTTTGCCAAGAGAGGGGGACAAGAAGAAGGAAGGAAGGAAGGAGTGTGCTGGGTGTTCAGAGTGCACTGTTCACTTCAGAGGGACAAAGGATCAGATCCCTTTGGTTGGTCGTTGTGGTGAAAGTGATGAATGAGTGGCGGTGTGATCCACGAAAAGAAGAGCAGAGTGGAAGAGAATGGGATCAATAGTGGTGGCGACCAAGAAGGAGTACGAAGGGAAGGGAAGGGAGGGAAGGGAGGGAAGGAGGGAAGGAGGAAGAAAGGAAAAGGACAAAGAGACAAAGAGGCGAAGAGGACAAAGAGTGCAGAAAAAGAGAAAGAGCGCGACGACATACTCAAGAATCGCCTTTTTTTGGTGTTAATCATTTTGGGTTGATCAGCAGCAACCACAAGGACCGATTTGGTGGGGGGACGGACACAGTGCTATTCTGTAAACACTGATGGTCATCACAGTGAATGGTATGGTATGCATCCGTTATTATCTGAGTGTAAATGCGTCCATGGTGCGCAACATTACTTGTCCACCATTACTATCTATGCAATCACCACAATCCCACAACTTCTCCAATGCATACCGCGCCATTCTCTTTATCTCTCCCGCAACCACTCACTCGTCCTTCCCCATGCAGGCAAGAAAAAGGGAACGATGTCATCCTCTATTCATTTCCCTTTTGAAACTCAACCTTGTCCATACTAAAATAGAGAAATAACGACTGTGCGCGCTGTCATTTTTTTGTCTGTGTGACAGAACCGGCTTGCGAGCAACCCTGCCTATGCAAGGCTAGGCCGTGGCGCCATATTACTCGCCCAATTATCCGAGAAGGCCTTTGGCGACAATTGATGCATGAACGTTTGTTGGAGTGAACCCTCATACACCATAAATATCACAGCATGCATCTCTACAAAAGGGAGGCACCCATAGAACCCAAGGACGATGCAACGTGGGCTTATGGGTGCAACCATTCGATGCCACCAACCATAGCACATCTTTTTCTCATTGCTCTTTCTACCTCCTTCGCTTCTTTCACTCCATCCTCTTCGCCCTCTCCCTCTCGCCCGAAAAAGTAAAAGTAATGAACCTTGCTCGCAACCCTCTCAGCATACACTGCTAAGCGAGCACTGATAGGTGTCGACGCCAGTAAAAAAAAGTACATGTTGTGAGATGCTACGCTTTTGCCACCAAAATGACAATCAAGGCGAGGGTTGAATTATTTTTTGTCGTCTCAGAAACAAAGAACAACATATATTACTCCTTTTCAATTGTTCATTCCCAAGACCTCGAGAGCTGTTGCATTCGTGGAGCGTCGGGTGGGAGAAAAAGGAAAGAAACAGAAAGAGAAAGAAGTGCTTTTGACCATGTGTGCCATGAGCGATAGGGTTACTATGATAATCACGAATATCCACTACAATCTGCGATCTATTTAAAGAAACACAACAATAACTCGCAGACTCAGCAGCACCACCACTATGAACGCTCACATCGCAGTGCTCTTTTTGTGTCTCCATTCTTGTAGATCTTAATTCGCCGTTGGGTTTGCAATAGTCAATTGCATTGTTTCCTACGCGCATGTGCCTGACGATCGTCCTTTTTTTTTTTTTTGTCTTTCTCTCTTTTACAGAGGGGATACGACGCGCCCGAACGTCGACTGACAGGCCAAGGATCCTTCGCCATCGATGTCTGGGCATTCAGCATCACTTTTCATAAAGTAACTCATTGGACAATTTTCTGACATTGACAAGGAGTTAATCTTTCTCTCAAACTTGAATTACTTCCTGTTCGCTTGTTTATTCAACACAATCTAATCCCAAATAAAAAATGAGAATGTTCTCTATTAGGTACATCGCTCACTCAGATGAAAAAGGTTCGCCAGGTTGTCGCCAGAACGTCAGGAGCTGGTCCATGACATATTGACCATCGACCCAGGTGAGCTCTCGTCCTTGAAAGTCCATACTGATCTTGCCGTAATGCGTCCCATACTGACATTCGTCCTCGCCTCTCTCCTCTCCACGACAAATTAAAAAAGCACCGTTAAACTTTCAATCTCTCGAAGTTCCTGGAGGAAATGTGATTATGAATCAACAAAAGTATGCGCTTCTCTTCCTGCAGTGCCGCGCCGCCTCTGCCATCTGTGTTTCAAGGCATCACAAAAAGTAAAGAAAAGGAACAAAAATAAAAAAAGAAAGAGGTTGATTTGCAAGTGTAGCACCGACATTGTCTGTCGACGCGTACTTTTGAATGGGGGTATTCCTCCAGAGAGCCAACCGAGACTCCGTGGTCGACGGTCAACAAATGTGAATAGTGTTTTTACGCATCCTCCTCCTTTTAATATGTTATTATTTAGTTACGAGGATACATTCTAAACTTTTGTTCCAACTTCTCAGCCTCGTCCAAAAATGACTCTCCGCCACCTCCACTTTCAGGACGGTCCTGCTGCTGTTGTTGTCCAAAGGCCGTTCCACCAGAGTCAGCATCAGAAGCTGACCCATCAGCGTCAGCAGCCGCCTCACCATCCTCATCCTCATAATCACCACTACCTCTCCCGACCCCTTCCTCAAAACCATGCGCAGGGGGGAGAATAATGCCTTCGCGGAACCGCTCCAACCTTTCTCCCGTCAGATCTCGACCATCCCCACCATTCGCCGCAGCATCCTGCATCGCTCTTGCAGCCTCCTCAAAACTAAACGGACTCTTGTCATGTTCCTCCACACGGGTCCCTTCAAGCGCCGCCTCCAGTCCAATCCCATCAATCGGGATCGCGGGTTCTTCCTCCTCGGGTGGCGGAGGGATGTAGTAGGACTTGGGTTGGACCCCTCCCCAGATCTTGCCCTGTGGTCGACTCATCCATGGGTCCTGGATCTGTTCGCCGTCGACGAGCTGTTTACCTAGTGCCACCTCGCCGTGACCACCTCCTCGCTCGTGGCTGTGTCTGTTCGGTTCCTCTTCCTCCTCCTCTTGTCCTTGTTGACCAGCTTTTCGATTATTTCCTGCAGCTCCACCATTTCCGTGCCACCTTGGTCGACTCGCCTCCTGCTCCTCAACCTCTGTCACAAACACCGGATCCTTCAACAAACTCTCCGGATGGCGGTCCTCAAACTCCTGCGCCAACTGATCTGCAGACTGCAAGAATCCCTCAAATCCACTACACTGATGCCTCAAGTTGTCCGCCTTGGAGGTATACCACTCTCCCGTGATAATCATTCGGTTCAGGGTCCGGAAGCAGACTTCCTGTTGGAAGGAGACAAAGAGCTGTCGGTTGAGGATACGTCCGTTCTTGCGGTCCGTGGTGGGGTAGTCGTGGTATTGGTGGATGAGAAAGTCTTGGGGCATGACCCAAAAGTCGATTCCTGAAATGTAGATCTCAAACAGGCACGCCTACAGTTCATTTGCAAAAAACAAAACACAGGTTAATAAACAGTGGCAGCTAGTCAAGCAAAAAAAAGGACCCCCCCCCCCCCCTCCCAAGCTATAAGGAGAAAATCGATGATGAGTACTTACAGCTTTGTTGGCGCCATACCCGACGAAGCGCTCGTCGCACCAAGGGGTTCCTTCCTTCTTTAAGATGACGTATGGCTCATACTTGGGCTCAAACTTGGTGACCTTATAAGGTCTCTCGCCATCAGCCTCATGTTCCAGATACTCCTCCCTCACATGCTCCTCATCAACCTCATCTTCCTCAGCAGCCGCCGCGGCCTTCTCCCAATCAGCAGCAGCAGCATAGTCCTCTTCGAATCCAGCCCGTCCCTTTGGAGGCGATGGGTGAGAATCCGAACGACCAGCGATCCCCTGACTCATTTTGATCCAGCGAGGTGTATCCGTGGCACCATGTCCGGGAGGGAACGAGTCGTGGAAGACATGAATATGTCCCTTCTCCAGTAGTGGCAACAGATCGGATTTTGTCTCTGGAAAGTATTTTGAATCCTTGGGGTCGTGGTCGACCTTGTACTCGAATGCGGGTACGACTAGTGCTACTCCTGATGCAAGGAGTTGTTTGATCCTGGGGTCGTAGTGTAGGTTCTTCTTTAAACTTGATGGAATATGGAAATCGACTATACATCGTATCAAAATGCAAAAGTGGATATTAATTGCAGTTATAATATCTAAACAGTACACACATACAGAACGCGACATCCAACAAGGCATATGTGATAGTTACCATCGAGCATCATGAAGTAGTCGGTGCGGGCAAACATCCGCGCGACATTCCGCCACATGTTGAGCTGGAAATCGACACCGTCAACAATCACATGCAAGTCGACATACTTGCGAAGGATCGAGTTCTCCCTGAAGAACGTGTGGAGCTCATGGAACATCGCATCCTGTTCAGGACCCTTGCGGATATGAGTCGCGACCGAAATGGGGCCCCGGTATTGCTTCACCAGTTTCAAGAAGACCTCGTACCGGTTTGGTGTAATCAGAGTCGTGATAGTGACGAGAGAGCGGTCGATTGGAGCGGCTTCCTGTGGTCCTGCTCCTGCTCCTGCTCCTGACTCTGTATATGGATCTGAACCGGATCCCTGGGCGCCATGGTGATCATCTACGTGGAGGTCCTCATCATCGTCCTCGTCCCGGAACGATGCCTTGAAGTAGAAGGGGATGACGCGCGTTGGCTGCATGGCGCCATTGAACGCCTTTGACAACATGTAGTCCTCGCCCACCCGAGCAATCGCCTTTGCTATTAGTCAGGGGGGGGGGGGGGAATAAAAGAAACATTTGTGTCAGATCTTCCCTCACCTCATTGTAACATGCCTTGGGGAAACGAAAAAGGGTATGGAAATACTTACTGTTTTTGATATCGTAAGTATCAACCGCCCATTGGTGAATAGAATAATTCTGGGCCTCGACATCAAAAGACGACAAGACTCTCTGTGGTGCCTTTGACCGACCCAACATCTTCCTCACCAGGAGTTGCTGTTCCGTGAGATCAAAACTCTTTCGCAACTCGGCCGGCCGTCCTAATCCATCAGGTCTTCCTGCTCCCAAAAACAGCAGATGAATCGTCGTGAAGCAAACAGAGCCCGCCAGGCATAAAAATACGACGAGACGGATACAGGGGTGCAGACGTCGGTTCTGTCGTAGACAAAACAGACGCGCTCGGAGGACGCGCTTCGGGTCGCTGAAGAGGAGAGGGAAATGGGATGCTTGTCCTCGTCCGTGACCGTGTCCGCGCCGGGTAGAGTAAGAACGATCCTTCTTGCGGTCGTTGTAGTAGTCCCCATCGTCATAGTCGTCTTGGCCGTGGTGGCGGTCGTTGTCGTCGTAGTCAGGTCCTCCACCGCCGCTCATCCACGACATCTCCAATGATCCACCTGCCACTGCTCCCGTTCCATCTCCGCCGTTCCTTTGCTGCTGCGGTTGGTTGCGTCGAAGACCTGGTGACACCGCAGGCTGCTGCTGTTGCTGCTGATACTGCTGTTGTTGATATTGTTGTTGCTGTTGGAGTGACATAGGATGGCCGTTGGTATTGCTGTTGGGTATATATCCCGCTCCTGCGCCTGCACTTGCAGCAACTCGGGACTTGAAGGGCTGAGCAGCACTCTCAGATGAACGCCTGTCAAAAGTAGGAGAGCTGGCCGTCGTTGCCGTCGCCGTCTTCCAACCTGCGCCTTCACCAGCCTTCCGACTCAACATCCCCACAGACCCACCACCTGAGCCCCAGCCAGCATTTAATCGACCACCTCCACCTCCTCCCGTCCGCGGGTTTGGGCCCATACCTGCGCCCTTCCCGGCAATGGCAGGGATATAACGCGGTAACGCCGGCGACACCGGTTCGACCCAATCAGCGTTCCACAGCTGTGCCTCTACGGCTGTCGCTGCCGCTGGCTGGGGCTGTGCACTACTAGTGTTTGTTGCCGAGTTTGTTGTTGCTGTGGTGGTTGTTCCGTTGGCAGTGCTGTTGGTGGTAAAGATACCAGTAAGGTTTAACATCATACCAGCTGGACTCTTGGATTTGGAAGATGATGGCGATGACGACGAGGAGAGAGTCGACAACAAGGGAGATGATGTCGTTGTCCCTGTGCCTGTGTTTGTTCCTGCACTTCCTCCTGCACCTCCACCTACTCCACCTGCACCTGCAGTCATTCCAAGACCTGATCCAGATTCGACACCAACACCACTACCGCCACCCTGCTGCTGTTGTTGCTGTTGCTGAGGGTTCCAGGCCTTGAACCCTTGTTGTTGCTGATTCTGGGGTAAGAAGGGACTCCGCTCATAACTGCTCCTACGACTCGACGAAGACGTAGTGGTCGTGGTCGTGGTCGTCCGGTTCCATTGCCGCTCTTCACTCCTCCTTGCAGTCGTCGTTGTCGATGATGTTGATGTTGGAGTGGTTTGGTCGAATACATCATGAGGGACCGAGACGGTGATAGTTGGCGATGAGGCCGAATTGTCGTCGTTGTCGTCGTTATTGTTGTTGTTGGTATTGTTGGCGTCTGGTTTTTTGGAGGGAGGAGAGCGTTTCTTGAACATTGTGAGATAGGAGCGTGGGTGGATAAGCAAGGAAGGTGTGAAAGGGGTGAAAGATGGTTTATGTCAGTAAGGTTGTGGAAGAACAAAAAGGATGAAAAGGGGAAGGGGGTCTGAGGAATTATGGAGAGAGTTGAGGGTGGTGGGAGATAGAAGAGGATAGGAGAGTGGAATGAGGATGGCGACTAAAACACAGAAAAGAAGAAGCACACAAACGATCGGATCAAAGAAAGTGGCGAACCTCACACCCCTGAAAAATGAAAACAGAAACAAAAAAGGTTTTTTTTTATTTTTTGTGGGTATTGTACGTGATTTGGTACTGATGGGATGGGTGATCAAAGAAAAAAACGCGTTTAGAGAAACAGAAAAGAGTCTAAACTGATTTAGTGGCGTCGCAAGAACTGGTAGCGCTCAGCCTGACCTTGCTGGGGCTGGTTATGATCCCGCTCATGGTGCTTGTCATCCTCTTCTTTCGTCCCCGCACTATGATTTCCAACAACACCATCAACTTTCTCATCTTCCTCATCCTCAGCACCCTCGTCATCCTCATCCTCATAGTCATCGTCATAGTACGAATCCTCATCGTCCTCACCCGAAACATCGCTGTTGCCAGCAAGTCCAGCGGCATCGACCTGCTCCGGAGGGGTCAGGTTTCCGAGACCGGAGGGGATAGCATCATCACGCCCAAGGAAGGGGTAACGATCGCCAATGGCGGGCTCATCACCGACAGACTCATCATCATCCCCAACGTCATCGCTGTTGCCAGCAAGTCCAGCGGCATCGACCTGCTCCGGAGGGGTCAGGTTTCCGAGACCGGAGGGGATGGCATCATCACGCCCAAGGAAGGGGTAATGATCGCCAATGGCGGGCTCATCACCGACAGACTTATCATCATCCTTAACGTTATCGTCATGGTTGACATCCAAAATACTATCATTGGGGCCGTCGCCGTCGATGATACTGGGTTCAGACGCGTTGGGGAAGTCTGAGATTCCTTCGGTGGAAGGAATGAGCGAAGGGTCAATCGTGGCGTCAAGAAGGGTCGCGTAGTCTGAAATAGCTCTTCCTCCGAGGTCGACCGGGATGTCATGGAGGGTCGTGTAGTCTGGAATATCTCTTCCTCCACCGCCGCTTGCGAAATTGAGGGTTGGTTCAATTGGGCAAGTTGGGACAAAGGTGACGGTCTCGTAAACGATGCAGTCATCACTGTGCTTCTTGTGGTGGTGCTTCTTGTGCTCGTGCTTCTTGTGCTCGTGCTTCTTGTGCTCGTCCTTCTTGTGGTGGCCCTTGTGGTGAGGACGGTGGTGGCTATGATGCCCATTGTGGTGATGATGATGAGGACGACCATCATTGTTGAGCGCCTTGAACTTGTGGTCCTGCTTATGCTGAGAGTGCTCCTGGACCTTCTTGACCTTATGGTGCTTCTGCTCCTTCTTCTCTTGATGGTGATGATCCTTCTTGTCGCTGTGGTGGCTCGCCGAAACCTTCTTGGAGTGCTTCTTCTCCGCGTTCGCAGCCTTAAACGCCTTCTGATGGGCTTTCTTCTCTTTGTTCTTGGCCTTCTTCTCCTTCTCATCCTTCTTCTCCTTCTCATCCTTCTCCTCCGTCTCATCCTTCTCCTCGGCAGGGGCCTTCTCCTCCTTCTCGTCCTTCTCGGCAGGGTCAGCGGCGGCCTCCTTCTCCTCATTCTCCATCCCGGCGGAGGCAGCGGCAATCTTCTTCTCCTTCTTGGCAACAAAGGCATTATAGGTACTGATTCGCTGCTCGAGCTCCTGCAAGGACGGGTAGTACGAAGGGTCCATATCCTTCAAACCCTCGGCAGAGATGACAATGTCGTCTCCTACAGCGGCGGGCGCGTCGGGCACGGCGGCAGCGGCGGCGGTGGCGGCAGCGGCGGCGGTGGCGGCAGCGGCAGGGTCGGCATCTTGGGCACGGACGGTCGAAAGGGCGACGAGAGCGCATGCTCCCAAAAGAGTGATCAGACGCATTTTTTGATTACGGTGTTGGTGGGGGTATAAGGTGTTGGTGGAAAAAAAGAGCAAGATATGGGGAGAGTGTGGAGGGATGGGAGGAGGGAGGGGGGGGGGGGAATAGTCGAATGTGTGTTTTTCGATAGGTAAAGGTCCTCGTATACTGTCTATCTTTTAAGCGAGAATGAAGATGGAAAAGAAAAGTAAAAAGAAAAAAGAAAAAAGAGAAAGACAGATAAAGTAGTGGAGGAAAAATAGATGTAGGACAAAAAAAATGTAGAAAGGTGAATACCAAAAAAACGAACATACCACCTCTTGCTTGACGTCCCTAAAGAATGGCGAGATTACGGATACATACTCGCGTTATGGTCAGAATGAAATGGTGTTAGACGAACGAACTAGGGATGATCGAAAATCTGACAGAGAGACGAAGGAGAGGAGGAGAGCATGAGATGGTACAATGGAGGATAGGATAGTCATAGCAAAGCATTGGACTTGAGGGATGAATAGAATGACAGAATACGGCATTGGAGGCAGACGAGGAGGAAGCAAGGAAAAAGAAGGGATGAACCTCCTTGTCTGTCATCTTTCTCTTTGTTGCGAAAGAGAGAGTACATTCCAAGACTCCGTCGCGTCTGAAATATCTCGCTTCACAAGAGAGGGGATGATAAGGGGTGGTGTGGTGGGCGAAAGAAACAAGGGAGAGACGGCATGCACTCAACAAAGGGGTGTGTGCATGCTGCGAATCGAACTATTTCCTCTCCAATATTCAAGTTGAGGCTGACATGAACATGAAAATCAGAACAAAATAAAGGGGGTAGAGACGACAGAGGAGACAACAAGGGGTTGGATGCTGAAGCATGGAGGAAGGGTGGTGTGGAATTACACCCTTCCTCGCCAATCCAGAGATACGCGACATCTCAACATAGCGAAGGATGAGAACATTAGCCCTTCTCTGCGTCAAGGGAAAGAAATAGAAAACGTAATCGACCAAAGATAGCAACCACAAACAACGAGAGACCGTGAATGTTCAGAGTATAGTAAGTATTTAGTTTTGTTTTTAATGGTTAATAATGCGAACTTTTTTTAGGAGGTGTGTATGAATGCAAAAAAAGGACTATGGTACAGGTAGAGGAACAGCGAACAGTGAAGAAAAAAAAATGATACAAGAAAAAAGAACACTGGGTGAAAAAGAACGGACGCTTTAGGACCGGTCATGGAAGGCTGACATGGAGTTGAAGTGAGGCAGACGAGCATAGGAGTTCTGGTGATGCTGTTGCTGTTGCTGGTGGTGTTGATGATGCTGAGGTTGCTGAGGCTGGTGAGGACGCTGGTAAGGGTGCTGGTTATCCATGCGCATACCCAGACCAGTCAATCCGTTAAAGTCGTCGTAGTTCAAGCCCAAACCGGAGTGCTGAGGGCTGTGGTGATAGTCCATCTGACCATGCCCATGGCTGCTCTTGGGATCAAAAGGCAAACCACTGCCACCCATCATGGGGTTTTTGATGCGCTTCCGGGACAGGTCAACCATATGCACGGTTTTCTCATGGGTGCGGAGGTTATGCAACTGGGTGTAGGCTTTGGTGCAGCCATCTTGGGAGCACTTAAAGGGCTTGAACTTAAAGTCGACGTGGGCAGTCTTAATGTGAGTGGCCAGGGACTTGCGCTGGGAGAAGGCCTTGGAGCATCCCTCGATGATGCAGTGGAAAGGCTTCAACTTGATGATGGGAGTGTGGCCGGTGCGCTCGTGCGACTTCAAATTGTGGAGCTGGGTGTAGGCCTTGGTGCATCCGGGAACAGAGCATTCAAAGACGCGGGCAGCGATTGCCTTTCTTGGCACCGTGTTGCAACGAGGGCGCATCTGGATGGTGGTGGGCGAATCTGAATCTTCCTCCTCGTCGTCAAACAGCTGGCGGGAGTACTCCTCGGGTGTGGTAGCGAGCTCAGAACCGCCTCCAATGGTGGCAGAGCCCAAGGTGGTGGCCAAGGAGGTCAGGACACCGCTGGAGGAGATAGACGAGGTCGAGTTGACCGAGTTGGTTCTTGTCCTGTTGCCAAGGTCGCGCATGGAGCTGACAGATGGAGGGCGGCTCTTGGGGTGAGTCGCTCTCATGGGACCATAGCGCGAGCTGGCATTGTTGTTGTTGCTGCCAGCAGCTGAGGACAGGGAAGGAATAGAGGGAGTGACGCGGTTGTAGTCAAGGTGAGACATGATGGTAGGAGCATCGTGCATGTTCATCGAGTAGGACGAAGACTGGTAGTCGGGCGAGGAGAGCATGTTCGAGGGCGACAGAAGAGGAAGACCACCTGCAGGGGTCAAGCTGGTCTGCTGAGTTGCAACAGAGGGCTGCTGGTTCTGCTGGCCATAGGAGTTTCTGTTGGACTGAGAGTACTGGCGCTGGTGGTGCTGGTGAGGCTGCTGCTGTCTGTCCTGGTCTATTAGATTGGAAGCGGAGGGGATGGATGTTAGCTTTCTATTGATTTTTGAGCAAGCCAGACATTATTTTCACATCAGCACCAGTGTTGGCCCAATAAGTCCATGCTTAGAAAGAATAGGAAAACCCTAACCCTAGTTTCCCTGTGCAAATGCTCACTCTCCTAGTTCAAACAGGATTGGTCTGTTTTCTTCAGGCCTGCCCTTTTCTATAAGCAGTTGAACCTTCTCTGTTTGTCTCTTCACTTTTTTTGTTAAAGGCACGCTCTTCATTTGGGTGGTGCCACTTCTTTTTCATTTGCAACCCCGCTGCGAACAAACTGAAATGAAATTGATACCCGATAGAGATAGTCGAGAGAGTCGATGATGCTGTCGCTTACGATGTAGCTTATGATGACGGTGACGATGATGCTGGTTGTTTAGTTTAGCAGAGGAGTGAGCACGCAACAAGTCGTCGTTCTCCCTTCCACTCTTCGTTCCCCGATGCCTCCGATGCTGCCCATTAAGCAAAGCACGATTGGCCAATCAGCGACTCGAATAAAGCCGTCTTAAGGGAAAGAAGGGGCAGTCTCACAGCACATGGCTGAATTGTTGGACCGTGGGATTATTTTTTTCTCTTCTCCCTCTTGCTTGCTGCTCTTGTTGTTGTTATTGTTGTTGCCGCCCTTGTACACCATTCGAAGACAGACAAGACAAACAACAACAAACTAACTTTGTGCGACAGTCGACCCACACCCTGGACATTCCCTTATCTCTCCCACATATCACCTGGTATATCCCTCTCTCCCAATTGCAATTGGAAAACTATAAAATGGATTGAAGGAAACAACTTACCAAGGATCTCTTGTTGCGAAAAGTCATCGGCAGACATGCTGGCAACCCATGCCTGCTGTTGCTGGTCTTGTTGGCTATTTTCGCAAGAAAATAAAAGATAAAAGGTGCAGGCACATTATTAGTGAAAAGGAAAAGGAAAAAAAGAGAGTTCGAGACAAGGTATCCATTTAAGGTCAGCCTTGCCAAGTGGCCAAAAGGAAAAAGAATAAAAAAAAAATATGATCGGCAGTCATGGCACAAATGTCTTATAACAACAACGAACAACAACAGACAGAGACATTGTCAAAAATGACTTGTCTATCTGTCAATCAATGTTGAGGCGCAATTGAAGACGACAAAAGGCTCACTTCTCCAACAGGGTATCATCATTCACTGTCACCATGAACGTATGAACGATCTGTTTCATGTCCAACACACGACTTTCAAAAGTCTAAAATGAAAATGGGCGAGGAACAGAAGTAGAGTTGCGGTTTGTTGCTTACCTATATAGTGGTGAACCTTGCTGCTGGGGGTGGTAGGGCGATCGAGCCGACTTGGGAGAATCGTTGTATCCAAGCGAGACGTACTCGCGTGCAGCAGCAGAGGAAGAGCCAGACTGGGTCGACTCTTGCTGTTGGTTCATTGAGCCTATTTGCCAAAAGGGCGATACGGGATATGCAGAATGATGGTAAGATTTCGTGCAGGGAGCACATTATAGCCAACTTTTTCAGCCCAAGAGCCGCAAAAGCGAGAGACTGGAGAGAGGGCGAGAGAGCCCTCGTTTGTACTTTAGGGACCCGCATGTACGTGTTTGTGTGTGGAAGAGTAGGAAAAGGGGAGCAAGGGTTGCGAGGGGGTACTGAGCAAAGTCAAGGGAACGAGGGCAGACGAGAGACCAAAGCCTTAGGGATGGGTTGAGCATAACACAAGAAAAAATGAGGTCCGACGTCTTACCATTGCTGGGTGTCCATGTGGACATGGCCTGGGTCAGTCCGGCGTGGCCAATGGTCAATTGGTCGGGAGATGCTGGAATGTGGAACGAGTTCGAGGTGGCAGTCGATGAAGCGGGGGAAGCAGTCGAGATGGGCGAGGTCTGACGGTTGTTGCTATCAGCTGTATATGAATAATCCTGGCTGTTTTGCAATGTTGAAGGGGAAGAGAGCGAGGGTGTGGAGGCCGAGGAGACGGTGGTCAAGGTCGAAGCAGTTGTGGGTGCAGGTGTCGATGTAGGTGAGCGAAGCTGTTGCTGTTGCTGCTTGGATGAGCTGTGGTTGTTGTGGTGGTGGTTGTGGTAGTTGTAGGGGGCGTGGTAGTTGCTAGAGTGCTGGTTGTTGAGCTGACGGTTGATGAGGGGGGTCATCAAGTTCTCGTCGAGGGCCTGGTGAGGGGATTGATCAATGTTGACGTGGTGCTGGACGAGGGGCTTTTGCAGATCAGTCTGGTATCCGTGGCTTGAAGACGCACTGTTGCTGCCGTTGTTGTTGCTTGAGTGCTGAGGAGAGGTATAGGACTGAGAGTAGGCCGGGGTTTGTTGCTGTTGTTGTTGTTGTTGTTGTTGAGCGGCAACGTGATGGTGGTGGTGATGAGATTGGGGGTGGAACTGGCTTGTGACAGAGTTGCTGGGGAAGTTGTAGGGGTGGAGGGTGGTGGTGGCGCTGGCGGCACTGTGGGCGCTCTGGCTGTGTTCGAAGGATGTGCTTCCGCCACCGCTAAAGCCGAGGTCACCCTCGATGGCGACGGATCCGAGGGAATAATAGGCAGGGATTTGAACCTGAACCTGAGTGTTGTTGGAATGCATGGCCGAGGGAATTGAATGTATGCGTTGCTAAGGTAGGGTAGGTGGGAATAGGGGTAGTGTGTGCAGGTGGGATGGTCGTGAGAGAAAAAATATATAAAATGTCAAGGAATAGGGGAAGAAGAGGCAATCTGCATCGGGAACAGACGGTGGGATGACAGGGGAAGGAAGGGGAGGGGAGGAATTGGGTTTTCGTGCCAGGAGGAAGTCAAGAAGGAGGAGTGACAAGTGGCCGGACAATACGAGCAATGGGAAGAGAGATAGAAAGAGAAAAGGAAGAAAGGAAGGAAAAGGGAAAAGGGAAGGAAAGGGGGAAAGGAAAAGAGGGAGAAAGAAAGATAAAAAAAAAAGGTTTGTTTGTTAGGAGAAGGTGCTGCAGGCAGGGTGACAACAGAGAGACAGAGCAAAAGAGAGAAAGGAAAGAGTGGGAAGAGAGAGAAAAGGGCTCCCACACATATACAAATAGCACACAGAACACAACGACTGACTTGACTGACTCGTCTGCCTGTCTGTCATGCAGGCACACACAGACAGAGAACAGGACATAAGTGTGTACAAACTACAAACACAACAAACAAATACAGACAACAGACAGCAGGACCATTGAGCTGAACAGACAAAAGAAAAAATATTCAACCGCCGAAATCGTTCAAAGAGAAAGAGTAAAAAAACGAGGGGGTGAAAGAAGAAAGTGAAGTGAAAGTCAAGCAATGACCGTTGAGATAGGCCGAGCGCGTGGCCGCTTGGCCGACAGGGGGGAACAATAAGTACAAAAGAGGGTAGGGGTCTTTGATATCACTCATTTTGCTCACCTTTTTTTGTTACAAAGCTGGTTGGCTGGTTCTTGGTGGTCTTTTGGAGGGGGAGGAGATGTATGTGTGATTGAAGGAGGATGAGGCAGCTGTTTGGTGCAGGTTCCAATGGAATCAAGGAAATAGAGGAAAAGAGAGACTGGCGGTAATTGGCCAAATGAAAAATGAGTGAACGAGAAGTGAAGGGGTAATCGATCGCGGCCGATAAAGAAAAAGCAGGGTCTTTGTTGGGAGTGAGAAAAAGAAGAGGCGATTGCTTGACGTGAGGATAGAGGTGGAAATAAAGAAATGAGGACTGTGGAGGCCAGTGAATTAAAGATGTATGGATGGGATAGGATGCGATAGGTCGTCAATGGAGGTGGAGGGATCGAATCAGATTCTGTGTGTTGTGGATGCAAGTGTAGTAGGGTGGGTGACTAGGAAAATGTACAAGGAAATGCGATTTTGAGATTCGATGTGTGGAAGGATTGGAGGATGCGTATGAAGGATGGTAGTGGTAGTGGTAAGTGTAAGAAGCAGTGGTAGTTGTTGTAGTAGTTGTAGTAGTAGTAGTAAGAGTGTGTAAAAGTGTAAAAAATAATAAGAAAAGGTGATTCAAGTATCCTTCTCTTCTCCCATTCTCTTGGGTGGTGCCTGGGATGTTGCCCTTTTATACAAGAAAATTGGTCAAGGAAGAGGTTGGCAGTTATGAGGAGGGGGATCGAGTGCGAAAGAGCTGTCCTAGCCCTGTTGCTGGCTGTTGCCCGTTGTCGATATTTTTTGTTTGTGTTGTTGGCCCCTCCCTCACGCTCTCTCAATTTTCTGCCTCAGCTCACTTTCCCTCTATCTGAATGCTATTCAATACTTTTATTTTATTTTTATTTTTTCAACAACATCAACAATAAACAACAACAACCTTGCAATTGAATGACCATTGAGTCCCCCCTTATATTTTATTTGAACAACAACAACAATTGAGTATTGAAAGAAGGACCTCCAATCAGAGCAAACAGGGGGTACCTTGTAAGGATACTTTCTCCTTTGATACACACTCAATAGCATCCAAGGTCTTCCTATTCAGTTCCACTTCCAACACCCTCTTCAGCTCGTCGTCCTTACTCTCTCGCTCCTCGCAAAAAACATTTTTAGCTCGTTCTCTCATCCCTCCTCTCCTACTGAGGGGAGTTGGCCACCAATATTCGACTCAACCCAGCCCAACTCCACCGCACTTTAACTCTCTGGTGGGAGCTAGATCACCAACAACAACCACAACCATAAATGACGACCCAAAAAAGCACTCTATCCGATCCATGCATGCGACAACACTCCTGGGTTCCACACTGTTTATATTTTTCACTGTGCTCATCCCCTTATGATAATTAATGGTTCCAACTCCATTTGAGAAACGAACAAGCGAAATTGAAAACGAACGATTCGCCGCTGCATGAGATATGATTGTTTGGATACCATTTTACTTTTAACTCGTTCTGTTACAACCCCTGTTCTTATGCTTCTAGTGAGGTCTAGGAGATCCAGCACGGATATCCCTCCCCTTGTTCATGAAATACGTTTCAGGAAAGACGCGTACTAATTTGCTTGCGCCGGATGCAAAAATGTCAAAATATGTCTGTCTTTCGTCCGACAGTTCCTCTCTGATGTATGAGGTTCTGATTGTGTGCGTGCTTTGATCAGTTATGAATGAGAAATATACTAGTGGTCTACCATCCATGAGAAATAACCGCATCTCACAGTACCCTGAAGACCATACCCTCTCCCTTTTATTATTACTTCTGCCAGATCTCGATACCTCTACAACTGGGTCGCCAAGGTCTTATTTTCCGAGTCCATATTGTCTTCAAAAAGAAAGCATCCCTTGCCATTCATCGTCTCAAGAAAGAAGGGAGTGAAAGAGAAGGAGTTGAAAGACAAGGCACATGTGTTAGTCTAGCTTCATTGTTGTAGTGCAGAACGAGAGAGGGACATGGTTTCTTGCATTTTGGTTTTTTTTTTGTTGAGCACGTTTGTGGTGGTCAGTTTGTTAGACAGGTGCTAATGGCAATTAGTTCGTACACGCCCTCTCCACAATTTCGTGATAGTATCTGAATAGCATGAGAAAACAAGCACGGGGGAAGGGAGAGAAAGCACGTTCATGAGTGAGTAAGGAATGGTGGAAAAAAAGGAGCAACAAAGAAGAGGACCGTTGTGGAGGCACAACTATCATGTGCGTCGCACACAAATTTATATTTTCTTTCTCTTTCGCCTTCGTTCTTTCCCTCGTTCTTTCTTTGCACGAAAAGACTCTCCTCTCTTTCACGACGTTACACGTTCTTTTCCTCTTGGATGTTATTTTTGTAATCCTTTGTGTTCTCTCTCCTCGCCATGTACAAGTGCTCAGCGCAAAAGTGGGTCACGGTCACAGTAGGCAGCACTGAGATCATCCCTATCCTTTTGAAGGCGTTCATTCCTCCTCAGATGTATGTGTGTCTAGGATGGACCACATGAAAGACGAACACAAAGAAACTACGTACAACATGGACGTTGTCACATTCCAACTCCCCACTTCTAGGTCGAAGCCCAGAAGCCAAAACCAAGACCATCCTTTCATACTCGTACTCGTACCTCTTTCTCGCTTCTCCTTTTCATTCTCTTTCCCGCTATATCCATGCCACTACTTTGTCTTTGAAATTCCTAGAAAAGGTATTGAACGTCGACATCAAAAAACCGAGATACTACGAAATTGCAGAGAAGAAAGACAACAACTAAATACGGAGTGTGGTGGGTCGATTCCCGTTTCTCTCGTTGTAGCATGCAGTTGTTTGTAAGCTGTGGTTGTTTTGGTGTTTTGTTTATGTCTGTTATCAAACCTACGACAAAACAAAACAAAAAAAAAGATAGGGAAGAGAGGATAGGGCGCGTTCGTCCCAACGGGATCATAGAACGTTTACAAAAAAAAAGAGAGACATTTGTAGAGTACATCCTCATCCCCTTTACTTGCGCTGACAACATCCAAATGGTCAAGATGGAATCAGTTGAAAAGAAGAACAAGAAGGAATAAAAAAGAGGAGAGGATCTAGATTGTAGAACAACAACAGCCAACAACAAGCTCGCGGCCCATGGACATTCCACGGACACTCTTTATTTTTGACATTCCTACAAACATAAAGCAATCGATGATGATAGTCGGTGGTGGTTATGGTAGTGGTCAGACACATAACTAAAGAGAGACATGGGGGAGATAGTTAATAGAATTATCGCCCCGCTTTGCCTTCGTTGGATATGTTTTCCACCAATGTATATATCTCTCTTGCACTCTCCTACTCTTATTACTCCTCTCCTCTCCATGACTGGACCTGTTTGTTGCCTCCTGAGCACTGGCTACAGCTATAAAAACCTATAAAGACAGGGCATTCGCGATTTGCGAACCCGCCCTAAAAAAAATGTTTCTCTGGATCTGAAAACAGGGCAAATAGTAACATAGACATATGGGCCAAATGTCTCAATCGTAGGAGCAAGAGCTTTCAAAGAACAAAAGGCAAACGTACCGTATCTTGTCACTAAAGTTTTTCCTCGGTTCTCGACCCCTCTTCCTTTGAGTCAGCCCAGGCTGGCAGAAAAAGGTTATCTCTCTTAGAAGACACAAGTGTGAGTTTATGCGGTTGAAAAATGAAGGAAGTGTTCCTTTCTTACACTGTTCTCCATTCGTTTCTCCATTTTCCCAAGAGAAAGGTGCTACTTGCTGTTGTTCGGCCCTTGGAAGTCTGCAACAATGAGTAGAGAGTGGGTGAAGGGGTGAACGACTTATATTTCCTGAGAACTCAAACGCAACAATCCCTTCTTCATCCCGGTAAAATGAAGGCACGAAAAAATCACCATCAAGAAATTAGGGTTGTAGGATAAGGATAGGGATAGGAAGAGAGAGAGGGAAGGTGTTGGAGCAATTGACCCTGACCGCCTATGCAACACCCAGTCAATAAGAGAGGATCTCCAGCTAAATCGCCATTATTACAACTGGGTTCGTGTTCTCACTTCCCTCCTCAGAAAGTAAAAAAGAGTCCGAAGATGGTCATAAGTTTATCTCAAACCGGTTGTTCTGCATTAAGTGGGTGGATAGGGTAAGCGGTATGTGAAAGGGGGAGCAAGGAGAAGGAAGAGTGAGGACCCTGTTGGTGTCCACTTGCCGCATTGTGCCCCCAAAAAAAGGGACCGTGGTAG